GAGATTCGAGAGCTGATGAGTTGATATTAGACTATCCGAGATCGGCCTTTAGCCTCGGACATGCGTCGTTGTCCCCGCGTGTCAGATCGGCCAGTATTAGAAATCATTTCCATGCTTTTTTAACAGCAATCAGTAATCGCTAGTGACTAATTAGGAACGTTTCGCGCGGTGCGTACTCCAGGGTCGTTGAGGGTTGTCAAGTTGTCTTTGCAGCTCGGTAGTAGGCACCCGGAATCTACCGTGTACCTCAAGGATACACCTCCGGAGTACGTACGTAAACGGAATCTAATTAGTAGTCTAGTACCAACTACGCCGTAAGTAGCAAGTAGACTAGGACGCTTGAGAGTAAGCCAGGTCCACCATGCGGCCAGTCAATCGAATGTCATCCACAGCGGCCCGAAGAGGCAGTGGCTCGCTCCGTCGGAAGCTTTGTCCAAGTCCAAGTTTGAGCCTTCAAATCATCAATCAAGATCCCCACTCTATTTGAAATTTTGGATGAACAAAAATCCTAAAGGGCTAGCCCCGTGGCTTAGAAAGTCAAATGCCAGAAATTTCATTTAATATATGGCATCTTTCAAGCTGGATTGGCCCGTTCCTTTTCCTCATTTAATTGCGCATCCTTGTCCAACTCCTCCCCAGTCCCCTCTTTTCTCGAGTTACGGCGCTAAACTAGACTCGAGGAGGGTGGCCAGCCAGTCAGGGCTCACAGCCTTGCAATCGATACATCACGCAACGGATTCTCATTTGTTGATTTTCACTTTTCGCTTCGCCGACTCTTCGCCGTACCGTGGTCTGGCCCATGACGCTAGACTGCGTTAGTAGTACGACCATACTGTCGCTAAGTTGCTTCGTTGCTTCAGCCTTGACGAACCGCCGCTCAAGGATCGTGCTTGGCTAAAATCTCACCATCTCATCTTTCCCCATGGATTTGCGGTACATAAAGGGCGCTAGTCTGTTAGCGTGCTTAGTTTCCACGGATGCCGCAGGCTCTAGCTCAGCCTCTGTGGACCTGCGTGCGGATCTTCGCCAATCAGACTGCATATTATAGTTCTGTATCGACGTACTGTATGGTATGTAACTGTGTATATGTATTTTGTATCTGTACAGTATTACATATCATGCTGTCAAGTACTTCTCAGAACCCTACTGGATGTTCCAGCCAGCCTCGCCGTCCTATTAATAGTCAGTTGCCCGTGGTACGGAAGAGAACGGTACTACTTTCACCGATTGCCTGAGCAGCACTTCTCCTCCATTCCGGTCAAGCCACTACGGGCAAAAAGTGATTTGACTAAACAAGAACTGGTTCACTTCGCAAGTGTTTGTTGTTTGATTGCTATCATCTGTCAACAATACCATTATACTTATAAAAGATGAAGAAAATGTAACAAAGAAAGCAGAACAAGGTTTGCGGCCCGGACCTACTTCATGCCCACCCAAACATACGTCGGACGTTCTTATCGGCAGCAAATCGTCACTTTTGCAATATGATTGGCTCATCGCATAGTATCAACTGTCTTGATACGATTCGGCTAGGATACAAGGCGAGACAACTACGTACGTAATGAAACGTGCACAATACGTAATTCAGCATTAAGCTTAAGCCAAGATAAGTATCGAATCATACCAAAATTACTCATGTATTCTGACTATCCTGAGCTTGGTGATCATATTTTCCCCTCTTCTGCGTATATGTGATTAGCTTACGTAGTACACAGAGACAAACCAAAAGCCGACGGTAAAAAAAAAAGCCTCACGTTGGAGATTGTATACTACTGGTCCCTGCATACTATCCTTGTAGATTTGTCATGGATACGAACTATGACCCAGGATAGCCTGGGTAGCTACATACTACGCAGGATAACTACATGGCACGGAGTACTATATTCTTTCATATCTAGCTCAAAGTTGGCTAGTAACTAGGTTTTGGTCTCGATCAAAAGTCCATACGTACTGTGGTATTTCTCCTAATCTCCGTGTCGTTGGAAGTCTGACATGTATTGGAAAATACTGCATGTTATTGCACAGAATCAAGCAATTGCCCTGTCATGAGTCCGCATTCTCGCATGTCTCTCCGCATAGATGCAGCGTATGACAAGCGACTATTCTAGTCCTCCGTAACTGGGATATGGGTATGCAACATGGCAGCTTGCGGCGACGTCGCAGGAAGGCACAAGATATACATGTTCCCCACGCAATCTATGTACATAGTCGCTCTGATTAGCCTCGTGAACCCGCAGCCAATTTCGCTCACCTGAGTGTCAGTCATGCATCGGATATGAGAAGTGGATACTAAGTCACTAACTTCTTACTACATGCTTACGCAACCTCGTAAGTATTCTCTCGTGTTAGTGTGTATGACATGTACGGATTATCCAATACTTGTTTGTATTTGATCTAAAAGTGATCACCAAAAAGTCTGTGGTCCGTGCTAACTACGTAGCTTAGACCAGTATCGCGATATGACGATCAATGAATCATGCCAAAAAGGACAAGAAACGAAGATCAGAATTTCCCTAATTTGTAGTAGATTTTCTTGCTAACTACTTACATATGTAGATCTCCCCTGCCTCAGCAAACGAGGGATTACCCGGACGGACCGAAAGTGTACGGCCAAGTATTCCTTACATCATAAACTTTGTATCTCGTGGAGATTGAAGTAGGAACATGTGGAAAGTTTAAAGTGTGTAATCAGCATGGCAGTTGCATGTCTCGTTTCATATGCCTTGCCTCGGCGTAGGCGACCGAAATCTGTGCCAGCTTCCAAAAAAGTGTCATCAAGTCCGCATGTCAAAGTACTCATGATGGGTCTATGTACATTATAGGCTGCTCGATGTCTACTGCTCCATTTTTCTGCTTCACTCTTTCGAATCGTCCGTGCCGTTTTCTCCTAGATCAAACCTTCGTGCTGAGTTATGCTGCTTTTGCTAACAATCACTGGATGACGAGCATCGAAATCTAAATCAATTCGTGCCTCAAATGACTCGAGACCACCCGTACTAAGATATTGTAGTAGCATCGAGGATGATACAGTATCTTCCCCTACAGATCGGTTGTCATCTGACTCGCTCTCGCTGATAGACGAAGACGGGTTTATGGCGTATTCCGTTCGAAGCTGCTAATGATTGCTTCGTGATATAGCCCAGTCCCCAAAATGGAGATTGCTCGTGATCTGTATCTAGCCATATGGAAAGTTAGGATCCGAAACTGTTGGTTGATTCGACCGTTGTCAACCATACAAACGGCGAATGGCACAGTAGATAGTTCTGCGGGATATTCCAAAGAAGACTGATTGATTGAGATACAGTAACATTCGCTTGTATCTTACACCGTACGGTATGCCTGTAAGTATGTAACAGAAAAACCGCCGTTTCGGAACGGTAAAAAATGACAAGGCAAGATCAAACTAGATTACTCCGTAGAATAGCCCTCACTTTTCTGATCTCTTTTTTGGCCCTAGATAGAAAAAAGTAACTAAAAGGAAACTAAATACCCCTGTCAAAATAGCCCGGTCAGAAAGAGCCAATCGTTCGAGGTCTCCGCACTGTATTTTCTTCTCACCCCAGCCAACCACCGTGCCGTATCAGCCATTTTATTTCCCTTGACCTACGTACTTGCGTTTTTATTTGACAATGTACTCGACTTTCTCGCCTCAAACGAAATGAACAAAAAGGTAGGAAAATTACCGCTAGCTAACTGGACTGCTCAGATGTTATGAATATGCAGTAATTATTTCCGTGTACAGATACCAGGTGAAATTACACATCTAATGGTACGGAGACGGTAACTTACTTGTAAGTACTATCCTGAATTTCAACCATGCCCTAGATCAACCTATCTAAATAATTCGGCTTGAAAAGAAAGCTAGCTTGCTCCATACGTACCTGTCAATTGTGAATGACTGCTTATGAATGGATTAGGTAGGATTTGGAAGTTAACTCCAAGTTACAACTGATCTCACCCTTCGAGAATGTCAATTGGTTAGGCACGAAACAAATGAGAGCTACGCCGTGAATCCCTTTCTCATCCGAGCAGACAAACAGTACATTATTCGTCCTTTGCTCTTTCTCGCTAGGAATCTAGTAGTAATTCGATGGAGAATGAAAGACAATGAAGAAGGGGGGAAAGCAAGCAGTAATATAAAATCGATAGATTATAGTATTTATTATGTACTTTCTTTTTCTACCGATTTTCCCATGATATATACCTAAATTGCAATAACTAATACATGGGTCCTATTTTATTTATTTGATTTTCCACCCTCCCTGCAACAGCCCAAGGCTAAATAATAGTTTCTTTACCCGCCCCGATTGGCAGCCATCCCATTATTACTGCTACTGTACGGAGTACCCAGGTAGGTATTTTATCGCCTTATTGCCTAAGGTTGCCCCTCAGGAGTCGATTCGGTCCAACAAGGCTTGATTTTCCGCCGATTTTCCTTCCCCTCTCCCCCAAATACCTGCAGCTCGCGGCAAAGCTTTGTTTAATCTTAGCCTCTGGCCTGCATACATATATACAATCTCATATATATACATATCGCTGCATACTGCCTAGTTACATATTTACATACATATACACTCACTCACTCATTCATTATCTCCCCAGGCACTCGATTACCTACCTCCCTGGACCCGGGATCTGGACTCGACTTATACTCGACCTGACCTCGCTAACCTTCTCCGGAGAAACCATAAGCTATTGTGTGTGTGTGTGTGTGCTTTTCGTGACCGGACATTCCAACTCGACAATGAATTGTCTCGTTACAAATAATCTGATATCAAAGTGCGCCTGAGGAACAATATACCAGTCCATTAGTCGGCACTTTTAAAGCAATCGACTCTCTTAGATTGCTAGCTACTTTCTCAAGCTCTTCTGGATCAAATCGATTATTGACTGGAACTCGGAAAATTCCTTTTTACTCCGCAGTGATTTACGCAAACTTCATCGACGACAAGGGCAACTCCCCGGTGTATTTCGTATCTGTGGACGAAGTACTTTCGACCATGGATACGGATGCACCCAACGGACAGGAGAGTGATTATGGAAGTTCTCCATGGATCGAATTAGGCGCATTTGAGTCGCCAGGAGGCTCGCATCACAGCCCACCATTGCCGGATTTCCATGGATTCAGCTATGGATCTTCACCTATCATGCCACTGGAACCGGCATACAGCATGTCTATTCCTCCGCCATATTCGACAATTAACTTGACCATGCCGGCTCATCCTTGGCCTAGTATGTTGACTACCCAGTCACCATTCCCGGAGACTTCACTGTCGCCTGCGCCTACTCCGACTTTGTCAATACCCCAGCCAGTGCCTATCCGGCCTTTACATACGACTCCCGCACCGTCTGCGCCGACACCTCGTAGGACCTTGACGGATGAAGATCGCCGTCGGATGTGCTTGTACCATGAAGAGAACAAGTCAGCTAAACAGACTGACATAGGAGGTTAGTTTGCCCAGCAAATGGAATCACAAAGACGAGGTTACTAATTTCATCATAGCTTTATTCGGTGTAGAGAGGAGGTAAAATAAGATTCTTCTGAGCTATAAAGGACCTTCATGCTGATTGTCTTACAGTACTGTATCCAAGGTCCTGCGACAAAAAGAAAAGTACCTAAGTATGGATGACGGAAGCCGATCTCCCATCAAACGAAGTAAAGGAAAAGTGCCCGACATCGAAAAGGCTCTTGCCAACTGGGCTCGAAACTATCAGCGCCAGGGATTCGTTTTGACGGACGCTATGATCAAAGAGAAAGCACATTTCTTCGCTACAACCTGTGCTAGTCCAGATGGGAAATCAAAGATCCTCACCGCAAGTTGGCTGGAGAAATTCAAGCAGAAAAATAACCTGTCAGGATCAAAGTCTCGAAAGAACTCTACAGATACAATCGCAAGCGATAGAGAAGACCTGCCTCATATTCACTCTCCAACTGGCACGCTCATATCGACGGGTGTATCGCCTATTTCTCCTACAGGATTGACGCCGTCGCCTCTTTCACCTTCTATGAGCCAAGAAACCCTAAAGAAAGAACTTGGCGAGAGCGCTCTTCTCGATTTCTCCAGAGATCCAGTCAAGCATGGCCACTCGCAGAGCACGACTTCCCTCGACACGATCCCATCATTGTCTGCCGGCGTAGCTAGTCCGACATCACCTTTGGTCTCTGAAAGCCCATACACTCCAACCGTGCGGTCTCGCCTGCCTTCAATCAGTTCTGCTGCTAGTCGACCCCGAAGCCAGACATTCCCACTTGCAGGAGATGCCGAGTCTCTGAATGGACAGGGGGAACACCACAAGGTCACAAACTCAAAGCACTCCATGAACGGATCACTCTCCGTTTCAGTGGTCGACTCACCCTTGGATGATGACTCGGAACACAAAAGCCCGAACGATACTGGCGATGACAGCAACAGCTCAATGAAACATCACAGAAGCAACTCAGACCTGAAATCGATCAGTACCTCGATGCAGCCTCCACCCGTACCACCATCTAGATCCAGCACAGTGAGCAGTCCAGTCTCTCCTGGATCACCGACGCAGGACGAAGCGCGACGTGCCCTAGAGCTGGTCATGAACTATATCCAGAACCAACCTTCAGGTTTAGGGCTACAGATGCAGGACTATGTTACAATGGGTAAATTGATGGAAAAGCTTGATCTGGTACACAACAACCAGTCAATCTCGGGCAGGCTTCATCGCATAGATGAGGACACCGATGGTCCTCAAATGACTAAGAAGAGGAGTATTCACTCCTTGACATAGTCTATACTTGTTACAACTGTTTGATTTCTTATGCATAGTCAATTTTCATTTCCTCCTCGATACCTTTCCACTTTGTTTCCTTATCTCTTACTTTTCATTTTCTATGGGATATATTTTAGGACCACGGGCATCATCATTATAAGGGCTAGGGACGCAAATACGGATATAAGAAGAGGTGGGATGGCAAGATCAAAACCTGGGGGGCGACCCCCATTCTTGCCGGAGTTTTTTCTTTCTATTTTGAACTTGATTGAACGCATTGGAATGTGTTTTTTCCCTTATTATTTCGGCCTATGGAAACATTGACACAAGAAGGGGTCCTATTTACAAGGGGACTAGAACGAATTACTACAACATATCGGGCAACCACCACATACACCACGAACAAGCAGAGCAGCTCGAAAACGCCGCATCTACAGGTATTTCAGCCTATACCTTTACCTCGTCCTCTTTTTGGGGGTTTGTTGCATTCATCTTTGCTCTTCGGTCTTTGTTAGTCGATTTTTGATTACTGTTCAGTTTCTTTCAATCACTATCATTCGATATTCATCGAGGGAGCTTGCCTGGTTGGCTTTTTGTGGCTTTTGTTTTCCTTTCGCTTCTCATTCTCTCATTTATATATAGTTTTATATCTGCTTCATGCCTTGGAGACATGTTTGCTCCAGAAGTATGCTGTATGTAATTTATGATGCTGGGCGGCTTGTGTATAATGCAATTCTGAAGTTCGCTATCTATCACCCTCAGTACACGTTTTCATATCCAGTCGTCATATTCATCTCATTATCAATCATTTTTCTAGTGAATCGCTATGAAGAACAAACAATCAACATGTAGAGTCACTTTACAATCCCACGCTCTTCCATGAGACTACTCACGCTCTGCTCTGACAACTCTGGAATCAGTTTGATCAACACCAACTCGACAATGGCATAGATGAGATGTTTGTTGCAGTATGCATCGGAGAATGGGTCTAGTAAATCACTTTCTATAGTCTCCAGAAGGTCTTCCGTATCAGCTGTCGAGCTCTGTGACGAGCCTTTGCTAGTAAAAGGTGATGTCTCATTATGACTACTTTCGTTCCTATCATGAGGGCGATAGTCATTGACTTGATTTTCGGCATTGCCACGGAAAAAGGCTCGAGCGACAGACTCCGGAATTAGTGACAATATATCCGTGGCGCATTGACGTTTGATAACAGCAATCTCAGACGGGGAAGGAGTATTGCCTCCCGGAGCTGGGGTAGATGCATCCTTAATATCAGAGTTATCAATAACTGTCTGGTGGTCTGTGCCGTTCAAAGGTTGCCCCTGCTGTGGTTGCTGAAAGGAAGGAGATACGTCGTTACTGGGTCGAGAAGGTTGTTGACCAAAATTGTTGTTATTGGTTGATACACTAACAGGACGAGCATTCGACGGGAAAAGAGTAGTTCTGACGGTAAATAACAAAACCGGCAAAATCGTGGGGGTCAGTACATATCTGCTTATCAAATCGCGTAGGTACCTAATCGAATGTAGTAATTGGTTAGCGAAGAAGAGACAGATGCGAAATCCTGATGTATCAAAAGTCGGCCGAATAGGGAAGAGAGATGAACGCCGACCGTGTGAGAAAAAGCAATACATAGCACAAAGAAAAGGGAAAAAAGAAAGGAAAAGGTCGCAGCTCTAGCGAGATGAGCGCCGAATCATGTCTGCGAAAAGGAAAAACATGTCTCCATCAACCCGCGCGCGATTGTGAATTGGCCTAGACTTTTCAGTAGCATGACCAAAGATGCGAAAATGCATGTCAGGCTTGAATCAGAGAGTACTCGGAAGTATCCAACTGCAAATTGCCACTAGGTATATTCCAACCAGAGCGCATTACAAATCAAACTAGACTATTCAAATGACTTGTGTTGTAAATTGCTGTTGATGGATAGTAGCATCAGGGCGTTCACGGTTGGAATTGCAATTCGCCTTTCTCGAACAAGCAAAGTCAATTGCTAGACTTGTGCTAAGTCCATGGTAGCGTTTTGGCATGTGTTTGACAAAGTAAGCTGCCATGAGTAGCGGATTAGCGTTCTTGTCCTTCCACTCCGTCCTGTGTCTCATTGGTGGGTACTCGAACACGGACAGCCTGTGAACAATCTTTACAATGGCCATGGATGCAATAATGCCATAGTCGACAACTCCAAGTTTAAATCGCGATCAGCGATCAGATTCGGCGGGATTAAAGAGAACAAGTATGGGCTTTGCGGGGTGGTGCCAGACGTCATGCAAGATGAGACCGATTTTACGGCGTAGCAGGATCAAGCGAAAATTCAAATCGATCGCTCACGGTTTACCATTGGGCAGAAGCTTCACTGACAGACGGGAGGTAAGGGCCGATCCAGGCACCTCGGTCCGTCAATGATCAACCAGCTCAGGCCACACTCATTAGTCGTGAGCACTGAGCAGTGCATCGACCTCCGGTTGGTGTGTCTTGACTCGTAACTGATAGATTGAAACACTATACCCTGTTGGGTATCAGTAACGGCGGTTCAAAATGAGGGTACATTCTCTCGATAGAATGTGAGAAACTCGATTTTGGAATGGTGCCCAATCTCTGCGGACCATAGCGACAGGAGCCGAAGACTTGAAAAGCCAGGATAATAGCGAAAAATAATAGTAATGACATGGATAACAGTCGTGGCCGTATTGTGAACCGCGACCCACCATACTAAGAGTCTCGGAATGTAACGTAATAAATAGTTCGGTGGTATTGTAAGTGTATACCCATGATGATTTCCGTATGTATTGTATTGTAATGGGTCGGTATAGTGTTCGTAAGATTCGTCACTGAAAGATTGCACAGGGTCATTTATCGAGGGTGTAGGGCGAAAAATGGAGGGCGAGGAATAGGTGGAAATCCTTGCAATCATGAGTCGCGGTGAAACCGCATTGGCCCATTTGGGAGTTTTAGCAGATCAAGTGACCGAGACGCTATGCGAGTAGCCGAAACTGGGCTATGCTGACGAGATAGTTCATTTCCAATCAGATTGGTGAAGTGGCTGTTCACACGGTCATGCGAGAAATAAGTCTGCCCGCGACGATAGCCCATTCGATGAAGCTTTGAGACATGCTGATTGACAATGGCACCGTCCTCTTTCCGTCATTCGATTTGACAAACTCGTAGAGAAACGAGAGGCTTCAACATTGAAGGATCTTAGAGTGGTACTGGTTCTTTGAAGTAGAATTGTAGTCATGATAAATGAACACAACGCGCGCGTGAAGGTCGGAGTCTTCTCCGATGCATATTGTGACGAAGTGGAGACAGGGAGTCAAAGAAGATAAACGAAAACAGAAAGCCAAAAATATCTACTTACCGATCAAGAACGCTACCTGTCTCACCTATCTTGCCAGGACCTGCCAGAAACAAACTCTGAATCAACGAGAGCGAACCATTTAGCCATGGCATTCTCTGTGGTACCCCCAATGATTGGGATATCAAACTAAAGACTCTGTAGCTGAGCACAGGACGGCATAGACTTGGCTGATTTGTTGCTTTTGTCGTAGCGACAGGGGCCGCTTGTAACATCTCTGTAGTTTTTACCACTGGATTGGATAATGCAGTATGTAGCAATCCACCGATGACAAAACGCATCGTAACATATGTGAGGTAGACGGAATATAGTATCTTCCATAGCCATAGCGAAGCCGTGGACCGCCTATGCTTCTGGGCATTTCTGTCTTCGTTTCCGTCCTCTGACAGAAGACCAAATCGTTCCAGGCGGTTCAAGTCCGCTACGGCATCCAGGCTCTGCCCTACAGTCACTGTGGTCACAGAATCCCGCTGTTTCGCCATAGTAATGACCTTGCTAATTGCGGTCCAGATAAACCAGCCCTCACATATCCTCCCACTAACTTGGTTGCCCAAGATCAGATCGGACAGAACATCTTCGACAAGTGTTCTCAAACACACATTTTCCAAATCTTCAGTCGGCAATAGCACCGCCAACACGCCTTGTGCCAGCAAGTGACGGTACAAATTCTCATTATTCTGTTGCTCCGATGATCGTGATGGTGTCGATACATTTGGCACTGGTGAGAGTCCTGGGTGTGGGTTAAGATGGTGGTATATCTCACGAGCAGATGGCTTCACTGCAACCAAGTCGGAGCCCTGTGTCGCGATTCGGTATGCTAGAGACACCATTGGGTATAAGATTATGTTCAGACGGAAAGAAGAGTGGGGATATTGGAGTGCATACCGGTAATATGAGCGTGAACCAGTCCAGTGACTTCGTCCAAGACGAGCTGCCCAACGTCCACCCGCCGAAGTCTTTGTTCCAAGGCCCGCGTGCAGTGTGCAATCAGTTGCAAGACTTCGTCGACAAAGAAGTGATCTGGTGTAATCCTTGCATACCATGAATAGACAAATTCCTTGATAATGACCGCAGTCAGAGCGTACAATTGCAAATCCACATCGTTGGAACTGGTCAAGGGTGGTAGGAGCTCTTGCAAGGGTCGGGGTGCGCTCGATCCATATGTGGAGACATCAGGACAAAGAACACGCCGAATTAGCGCGACGGTACTTCTGTCACCAGATGTGTCATTGGACTCCGAATCAGCTGTGTTCCTTCGATTCTCTGTTCGCGACTTCGTTCGACCGGGTTGCGAGGATGCGAAGGAGACGTTGGAGGTTTTTGGTTGTGACGTCGTTGCTCCAGGGTTGAATGGAGAGGGACCTCTCGGGGGTAGGCTCGTGGTCATTGCATCGCTGGAGCAGTCCACAGTCAGACTGAGTGATAGCAATCAATAGTCTATCACAAGAAAGGTAGAAGTAGAAGTAGAAGTAGAAGGAGACAGAGAAAGAAGAGTTGTCGAGATGGCTCGGCGGAAGGAAGCTAAAGACAAAAACATCCAAAGAGGAAGGTGGCTTCCCGAGGCAGGAAGCGGCCTATCAGCGCCAAGTGGGAGGATACCAGCGATCATCTCTTTTTTGTACAACTTCAATTCTAAAAATTTATACTCATTGCTGCATGTTTTTTTCTCTCCTGATCTTAAGGTTGTAAATTCAATATATAAACAGAGCGAATTTTGCAAACCATCTATACGGAATGTCTTCATCTACTATCCCGCTATGGCTTGATTGCGATCCAGGTTAGTGGCATGCTGTTAGGTCAACGTGAACGAGAACTGATCATGGCTTTAGGACACGACGTAAGAATACAGACACTTGCAAAGACTTACATCTCAAGCCCTGACCGTCAACCATGAGTAGGACGTTTTCGCAATTCTTCTTGCAGCCCACCATCCGTCCTTGAATCTTCTTGGTATTACCACAGTCCATGGCAACTCGTCTTTGGCGAACACGACGGCAAATGCGGGCAGTGTCCTAGAAGCAATCGGACGACCCGATATCCCAGTTTTTCCCGGCTCGAAGAAGCCGTTCAGTCGAGCTGCAGTACATGCGCCAGATATCCATGGTAGGCATTTAGCATGACTATGGTCTGGGTAACAGCTTCTAACAAGGTTCCTGCTCATATAGGCCACTCTGGTCTCGATGGCACAGATCTCTTGCCCAAGGCAAGTCGGCCTCCTGTTCTGGATGCGAACCCAATTCTAGCGATGCGTAATGCCCTGTTAGCCCAACCACCTAATACGGCATGGCTCGTTGCTACGGGCACATTGACAAACATTGGCCTGCTATTTGCAACCTTTCCCGAGGTTGCAGAACATATTAAGGGTCTGAGTATCATGGGCGGTGCCGTTGGAGAAGGATTCACGGATGTGCCCATGAGTCGGCTCCCGGGAGAAGAGTCTCGAGTTGGAAACACCACGCCGTGGGCCGAGTTCAATATATACGTGAGTGTTTGAACTCTATGTTTTGGTAGGCACTATCGCCGATAGTTTCGCCGCTAAACAGAGATTCTCAGTGTGACCCAGAAGCCTCCCGATCTATCTTGTCGAACCCGATTCTTAGCCCAAAGACGACTTTGATAGCCTTGGATTTGACGCATCAAGTACTTGCGACAGTTCCAATCCAGGAGAGAGTTCTCAAAACTAGCACATCACAAGCATCATCGGCAAGTGAATTACGTCGAATGCTGTACGAATTGCTGGTGTTCTTCGCAAACACCTATCACGTAACATTCGGTATGGAAGGCCCGCCACTACACGACCCATTGGCAGTGGCTGTGATTTTATCGAACCTGAATCCGGATTATGAGCAAGCACATCCGAAGGAAGTGCTCAAATTCGACGACAAAAATGGAGAGCGATTCGTTGTGCACGTTGTGACTGACGGGGAACACGGAAGCACTCCTGAAGTCACGGGACAGCTAGGTCGTACGATAGCAAAGCCGACGGAAGGTCAAGGTGTAAGCATCCCTAGAGCTGTGGACAATCAAGCATTTTGGGAGTTGGTGCTTTTATGTTTAGAGCGTGCCGAACAGTGTTCTCCATTGAAGAAGTGAGCTCAGAAATACGTCCTTGGGTCGCTTTTGTTGTAACCAGGAGGCTGGCACATGTACATCAAAGATCATGTTTATAGATTTGGATCTCTATTCTCGTTAATACTTCATTCTTTCTCCTTTTGACAATCCGACAAGAACTACGTATTACAAAGTATGGTGGGTTCTCAGAGGACGAAGATCACGCAACCATGATTGGCTGCGAAAAGCGCCCGCAATGCCGTCAGTGGAATAACTCTCCGCCTTACAGATAAACGTTCTCCGACTCACTCACGATTCATCAATCAGCCTCACCACTTCAAGAGCCTTCAGCCGGGAGGTTATATCTGTTGCAGCTTCGTTGACTTGCATTCCGCCTGCAAATTGTGAATATTCCTTCGTCGCGTATAATAAGCATTCAAGTGAAACGGCCATCGCCGCAACTCATTCGCCACCCGGTAGAATTTGATAGATTTAAAATCATCGCATCCTCAGATTATGTCCAACTCGTCATGTTTTACCTGAATCTACAATCTTGATACTTCTCCATGATGCCACCGACAAGTTCTCCAACGGTAAGAGATCGCTGAGTGATACTTTCTCTTATCAATGCGGACTCCTGCTTATCTCGTACTTGATCGTGCAATGGCAATCAAATACTAACTGAGTCGCATTCCATACAGGAAACACCTGGAGTTCCATCTGCTGCTTTGGCGAACCGATACTTTACAAACGAATTACAAATGTTATCAGATCCAGTCCCCAGTCTGGCTGCTACACTCACCAACCTTCCAACAGAAGCCGAAGACGCCAACCATGAGAACGTGAATTTTCTGCGGACGCGCCCTCACTCCCCGTCCGATTCATCAAGTCGCGCCAGACGTAGGCGGTTGGCGCTGTTGCCGGAGGTGGATCTTGAGAGCATGGACATTGACGAACAAAGACGCTTTTTACCATCATCCGCCGAGGCTACTCCACGTTTACCCACCAGCCGTCGCTCGCACGAAGTATATAATACAAACCTGAGTTCAGAGGGGCGAATATCAGGTAGAAGATCACTTTATGGATGGGCTCCTGGTTCTGAAGGGGAGCCGGGAAATGATTATCTGGGCTATCAACATACATCCCAGAATGAAGCTCCGGATAGTATATGGACTGTGGGAAGAGGCTTGGATCGCGAAGCCAATCGCAATACATCTCTCTCTCGGATGGCGAGACGAGATGCCACCGGGATAGCGTTACCATCATATACTGTCGATCCGGCAGAAGCAACAGACCCAAGCAGCCGACACTGGTCAGACCACAATAGCGACACATTCACCGAGGCATTGTTGCAGTCTGTGCGACGTGGTGCAAGGTATGCTTCTCGAGCACGCACCCTTCAAAATTACATTTTGGACCGAGAGCGACTCGCCCGTCAAGAAGCAAACGAGACGGAGCGAGAAGGAGACCGTGAGCGAGAGCGGGAACGGGAGCGGGAAAGGAGAAATGCAACATCCTCGTCCTCATCGCGCGCCTTGAGAATGAGCTTGAGGAACATATCTGGGGATCTACGGGATAGATTAAACTCACATCGACATTTATTAAGCGAAAACCCGCCCAGTGCCAAGCTGAGGGAAACGATAAAGTACCTAGAGCGAGTCCGCACCTCCGGCTCGTTATCAGAGAGCATCGAGACTGCTCTCAAAGGCGGAGTCGTCCAATACGACCATCTCAAAGGACCATACAATGACAGCGATTTCATACTCGATACTTCTTTTATCAAACCACCGGCGTCGAGCTCGTGGCTGCGGCCGGGAACTGTCTTTTCCGGGTCTCAGAAAGCTGTCAATAGCATTGCAGGCCACAATTTTGACATGCTGTCCCATCGCGTATCACAGCCTACGGAACCCTCAGCGGATGACAGTACAAATCGCATTAGTGTATCGACGAGTAGCGGTCGAAGGTACTGGGCAAACTCTCTATCCCACTTTCCTAGTGACCATCACCATTCTCCGAACAGCAAACACGAACTATGGCCAGTCAAAGTCACCATCCACAGCGTCGATTATGCGACAATGACCTTGACGGGGACAATGGAAGCCTACAATATACCAGACAAGACGTCTCCGACCCGGGACGCGCATATAGTCACATTTTTGGAAGGCGAAATCATCGATTTGAATGCACATAGTCTAGAGACGACAAGTTTTCAAGCTGACGCGGATATCGATTGTACATATTGGAGAGAACTGCGGCCGTTCAGAGGACTGAACGAGGACCAAATGACGAAGAACTTGCTGAGTAAGAAGTGGGTGATCGATGAATTGAACAAAAATTGGATTCTGATGCGTTGGAAGGGTATGCAAATCTTTTTCTTTATTAATATACATCCACGAAGCTGACAATCTCTTTCAGAACGCTGCTTCATCACACCCACCGATGCTCGCCAGGGTCTTACGATCTCTGGATTCTACTACATCTCTCTACATCGCGCAACAGGAGAGATAGAAGGCTTATACTACGATCCCGGTAGTTCACCATACCAGCAACTGTCCCTCAAACCTGAGAGACCAACCATGTCATTTCCCTCAGTTGAATTTCGATGATGCCTCTCTTGCGAAACACTCGATTCACTTGCACATATTTTAAGTTTGCTGTGTTTATTCTCTACTATACAGCAGGGTACCCCATGGCATGGATAAAAAAGCATGTTCGCGAAGAATTTGAGTTTGATATAGCGTGTTCTATTCCTGTCTATAGCATGGCCGTCCTTCTATATGCATCACCCTCGTACATATTACCATCTTGAATGTATCCAGTTCATCTGAGCGAATTGTTTATGTTCTATTCCCATGAATAACCACGTGTGAATCGTTGTATGCCCCAAGCTTACATCTACCGATATTTTCATAAAATTTTGTTTTAGTCATGTTCCATTTCTCATGTCTAATCAAATCTGGCCAACTCTGACACTAAAGGATCCATCTATCTGTTTGCCGCTGAGAAAAAGTTGAAAGCACCATCGAAAGTCGAGTTGTCAATCCAATTCCTCCACCAAATAAGATAAGAAAGAGTCCCTTATATCATAAGTAGCCGAGTATGATGACGGGAGTCAAAACTTTTGCAGTTCGCTTGCGAAAAGCTTACTGGCTGGTCTGGAAGTAGTTGAGGAGGACGGAACGTTCCTGGGACTCTTCACCCCAGTCCTTGACGACGACGCAAGAGCAGTTGACGACCTTGCGGGCGTTTCCTTCGCGGTCGAGCTGGCCTAAGATCAACAGATTAGAAGATATTCCATAGGACAAGGAGGAAGAGGGGAAACGTACAAAGACCGACCCATTCACCAAGGACCTTTCCATCAGGGACCTTGATCAAAGGGATATCGTGTTCAGAGCAGAGAGCGACAACAAGCTTCTTGTAAGCCTCCTCCTCGCAAGACTCGTTGAGGACACACATGTGCGCCTGGCGACGGTCGAGGGCCTTGGAAGCCTCGCGAAGACCACGGGCAAGACCGTCGTGGATCAAGGCGATCTTGAGGACGCCCTTGAGCGCATCGTTGACGGACATCTGGCCACCGCTGGACTCAGCGGGGACCTCGACATCCTCGGCCTCGGCGACGGGGGGGTTGGAAATGGTCTCTTCTCCGTCCGACTATAGAGAAGTAATGTTAGACGTATGTTTCTTCTCTCAAGATCCGATAGTCGAGTATGAATGGAATGGATACGTACCATTGTGATGATATTATCTGGTGGGTTGTTGTTTAAATGTCGGATTATCCTCAAAGAGTAATGGCGATGGATTGGATAACTTTTCGTTTAAAATCCAGTGTCTGAAGCAATTCCGACGATTTTTGATGCTCGCTAAATGTGTGCCGACTTGCCCTAGCCCAATTTGGTAAGTGCGGGCTTGATTATGTAACCGTTTCAGCCAATAAGGCTCTACCAGAGCTCACCACGGAACACTCATACTTTCATAGTAGTTGGAGAAAACATCTATCAATAGTCTGTCATGTACGTTGCTAACAATGAGGTATCATAATCATACACGTAATACATAGGAAAATACCAGCCCAACGTAAAAACATAATTGCTTCAACAAGAAACTCGCCTAGTAGCAGGAATCAAACATATGTACTTGGACGTGTGTGTCCGAACCCATTCGTCAACCCATTCACAGTAGCTGCTGCTTCGTGATGGTCAGGGTAATACCCATTGCCATTCACTTTGGGTCCATCCAGTGGACTGGAGAAATCGCCATGTGACGATGGCTCTTGATCAATATGCATCTTCAGGAAGTCAATATCAAGGCCATTGAGGTGAGGAATATGAGGCACTAGATCCATGAAGTCGGACAACTTAACCCAAAAGACGTGTTCCATATTGAAATATTTGGGCCGCGTTTCGCCATCTCGTTGAATGACTTCTCCGAAAGACGAGCATGGCACTTCCATATCATCTCCATCAACCAAGATGCGCCGCGTCACACGCCACAAGTTCAAACGTTGCGTGTAAGTAGCCGGCCGTTTCTCCCAACTAGCATACTGAGACAATTGCAAGTCGTTTGTAGCAAGAAGAGGCGCCACTAAGAAATTGGGAACCCATACCTCCTCTGCAACTTCTGGTACGCAAGAAGAGTCTAGCTGTACGGTTCGTGCAGTGACCACGGGCATAAACTGTTTCAACCAGGAATGACTTTTAGCTCGAGGATCGTTGGCTCCCACAAGATTTGCAGAAATTCGGAGTCGGTTGGGAAGTGCATCGCGCCGTCGCTGCTCTTGTTCCTCATGTTCCCTGCGGAGCTTGGCAATACGCAGTCGCTCTTGCTCGGCCCTGCGTTGTCGTTCTTCCTCTTGTTGTTTGACGCGCCGTTGTTCTAATTCTTTACGCTTGCGCTCCTCCTCCTCGCCCTGTTCACGGGAAAGACGCGCTTGCTCTTCTGCTTTACGAGCCGCCTCTTCCTCTTTGGCGATGCGTTCCTTTACCAGTTGCTCAGCGGCCTTCTTTTCTTCTTCTTCTTCTTCTTCTTCTTCTTGGGCCTTGCGGGCATCACGTTCTTTCTGTTGCTGTTCTTCTTTTCTCCTGGCAGCAGAAGCCTCTACTTCCTTGCTAGCACTCTCATCCATCGGTATGCGTTCGAGCTCTTGGGTGTCTTGCTTCTTGTGCTCCTGCTTCACTGGAACTGAGGCTTCAGTTGTACGTGCGCGTTTTTCTGGAATAGCGTCTTTGGAAATCCTGCCTGTTTCAGGGTTGTCTTTTTTACTGGCAGGGACCTTGGTAGCCTCTGAGGTATCATCACCTTTCTTGTGAGTCCCATTGAGCAATTTACGTGAGTTTTCTTCGTGCTGTAACCGACGTTTCTTCTTCTGTAAAATCTCTTCGGATTCTCTGCCGCGCTCCGATCCTCGTGAGCGCGACCGTTCGGGCGAGACGCTGTTGCGCGGCCGTTTCAATTTGACTGGGACTTCCAAGGTATCTTTCATATCTTTTGCGTCCTTCAACGCACGAGGATGCGACTTGGTTAGCTCTTCACGCGAAGAAACAGAATCAGTTGACATAAGACTGAGCCTGCGTCGGTCACGATCTGGAGGTCGACCAGCGATCAATCTCCGGCGTTTTGGGACATCATCGCCACGGTTGACTGAGGACGCATCGCTTTGCCGTCTTTGTACAAGAGATTTCTTTGACTTGGCCGTTTCGTGCTCAACAGAATGCTCGCTGAGAGCATCGTCTTGGGCAGCTGCTTTGTGAAGAGATGTGGCGATACGTCTCTCCTTACTCTGCAAAGACGGATCCCGCTTTCTAATCTTCTCCTTGCCAACAACATCTACTGAGCGAGATGATGTCGGACTGCGAACAGGCTTKCGAAGAGTGCTGACGGGAGAAGAAGAAGATCGCCTCGCCGCCTTTTTGGGATCCTTCTCTTGTTCTCGTGGGCGTTTGGGAGATTTAGCCTCGGCCTTTCGTGCTTTTTTCATCCCTTTGTACTTATCATATGCTCTCTTCAACAAGTCCGCTTCTTCCTCCCAGCCATCACCCTGACGTTCTTCTGCAAGTTCGTAGTAGGTTTTACCGCGGTATAATCGTCGCGCCGGATTGAAGCCAGGGTACTCCAGTAACAGACGTATAATAGCCAGATTGCCTCGACCGATTGCGGCCAGCATGGGCGTGTTGAAACCAGGCCGACAATTCGGATTCTGAATAGGCTCAGGATCTGCATCTGCATCGCCCATTCCTAACAGCAGAGACATGACATCTTCATGTCCGCCTTTAGCAGCTGCAATCAAAGATTCTGTATCAGCCTTTTGAATCACATTCAGGATATTGGCTACMCCAGCCATATCACCCTTCGCAGCAAAATTACAGAGATTCTCCGGCGTCGCCTTTGTCCATAAAAGGTCATTGCGCGTTGCCTCACTTCTGACGGTCTTTCGCCTGCTGAAAGCACTCGAACCTGGCGGCGGACTCATCATCAAGTGTGCCGGAGGCGAATCTCTCGGACTGGCACCTGATGTGGCACGAGGGATGGATCCCTTGGCGGACGGAGGTCCATGGTCTTCAGAACGTCGTTTCCGTGGCGGGKGTGCCTTGGCATGAGATATGATCCTCCGAATCTCGTCGTAATCCTCCGTATCAGACGGTACTAGATCGTACGGCTCGTCGCCTTCAGCATTGCCCAATCGGGGGTTTGCGCCTGCATCAAGCAGAAGTTTGATGACTTCCAAATGACCATTTTCCACGGCATCTATAAGAGGAGTGTCCTTATCGATATTTCTCGTGTCAATCTCGCATCCTGCATCTAGTAAAAATTTGACGATTGGTGCGCAGCCTTCCAAAGAAGCAATTTGGAGCGGAGTATTTCCGGCGTTGTCAGCCACATTCAGATCCTCTGGCCGCTCAGCGTGTCGGGCTACCGCAACTTCGTACTCCTGAGCGGCGCAAGCTCTTGCAAGGCGTGTACGTCCGTTCTGATCCCGTTGCTTTTTCTGATTTGAAGGCTTGGCCGAAGAAGCATGGACGCCTTCAGATGTGAGTCTTCGAGACCGCGCTGACGGCATTGGAGAAGCGCTAGCAGACGATGACACCGACAAGCGATCCTCAGAACTCTGACGGCGGTGACTATTGGTCAAGGGCGCTGGAATTTTTCGTTTTCGTTGTGTAATCTCGCCTGATCCTTGATGCGGACCTGATGATACTCGCTTGTGAGAGCGATATGATGGTGAAACGGAACGGTGTTTTGACAGCGAGGCTGTCGAGTTTGTCGCTGGATGAGTCTTTTCTCGCCTTTCGCGCTCTTTGATAGAGCTCCGGCGCCGACGTTCCTGAACATGCGAATCATTATCGGTAAAATCGGCTTCCATTGCACTTCCACTAGGACTGCGCTTCCGAGAACGAGAATAGGCGTCAGGAGTCTGACGATCATCGGAGGTAGAACGAATTGAGTCTCGACGAGCCTTGACAGGCGCAACGGCTTCTGTCCTTTCTTTTTTCACGACAGAAGACAAAGACGACGTCCGAGAGCGAGATTTCGTCGCCGGTGCGGCTTCTTGTATATTAGTCGGCACATCGTCCTCAACACGCTTGCGTTTTCTCGAGTTTGGGGACAAGTCCCCATCGGCCATACCGTCTCCATTGCGCCCTTTGTCGGCGTGTACGTGGAGAGCATGTTGTATATGCTTTCTTCTCTTCTCCGGCGAAAGAGATTCTCGACCAGACTGAATGATAGTCTCTGCTTCAGAGTCTGCCTTGGCATTTTCTTCTTCTGGATCCGCAGTGGCATTATCTTGGGGAACTGGTTGGTTCTCGTCCGGTCCATGAGGAGATGGCGAAGACTTCAGTGCTACATTGTCCTTGTGTCCCACGCCGGGGCCATCAGTACCTACAGGATCTAGCGACGACGACGGAGGGACGTCTGCATCACTCATAGCGTTTGAACCAGTCTTTGTTGAAATTTGCTCGTCATGCTGGGCTGCCGTGGCGGCGATTGTCCAAGGACAATTCGATCGGGGATGAATACTACTACCGAAATCGCGGGTCGACCGGCAGCAGTGTAGAATTATCGAGACTCAAGTCACAAGCGGTGAAATCGGATCGAGGGTACACAAAGAGAACCGATGCGCTAGAGAAGCGGGTGGCAACACGGGGTAGTAGGTAGTTGTCGCGTGGATGTTGTGTGTGGAAATAATCGGTATCGTACGGTGGAATGAGGATGTTGAATAATGGAATACGAGAGAATGGTGTAGTAAGTGTTGAGGGGGAGTCGAGATGAGATAGAGAGCGAGAAGCGAGGATTAAGGAGGGCAAGGAAGAGGAGTTGACGGGAGCAGGCGAGGAAGGAAGGTAGAGAGAAAGAGAGACACAGAGACAGAAAGAGAGAAACGTGAGTTGGTGGAGTCCAAGATCGCATTTGGGCAAGGGTGGGTGGTTGAAGCTGGGAAAGAGCGAACCAGCAGCAAGCGCATCAGCTATTTCGGGTTTAGTGGCAGCGACGATGGGGCTGGCAGAGCCAAGCTGAACGCTGACTGGCCAGCCTTCTGGAGCGCGGGATTGGCTGATCTCTCTGCTGTTGATAACGTGTCGTGTCTTCTCTCCTCTGGACGAACGAATTCTTCTTAGGATTGTTCTCAGCTTCTCATGAAAAATCAGCATTATAGCACATTCCACACTGAACGATGCTATCCAAGAACAACACCAACGAAGTATATTCTCCTTGGTTACAGAGTGTGCCGCCACCGGTGCCTGAGAAGTGGCCAATACGACCTTAGTTTCGCTATACTACGTAGTCTGGATCGAGTTGAGCTAAACACACAGTCGCGCCTCGCAAAGTTTTCGATCGTCTCCTGATTAAGATTGTCGGGTCAACTAATTTAGTTATCGTTGCAAGCTGAATGACATAGCTTAATAGTTATTCAAGGATGAAGTCTCTGCGTCGCTGCCCTCCTTCATAGTACGTACTTGCATGATGATAGGGGGTGGCCTCACCGCTCTGCAGTCAGGCAGACAGCCTAAGGCTCGCAAGAGTCGCAGCCATTTGTGGTTCTCTGTCGATCCCTGCTGCCGCTTTCGTCCTGCAACTTGCCAACCTCCACCTGGCACGCCCAATGTGACCGCTAGAGAGCGCTGCATAGCTGGCGATCCAGCTATCGCTCAAGCTATGCCAATAATTATGTCGGTAATACCAAAAAAACCCCAACAATAGAATCGAAACGCGCGTGACGTGGTATGTGTCAAAGTCTTTGTCAAAATCAAGAATTCACTTCTGTGTATTGTGAGGAAGACAACCAATCAATCATCGCGGAGCCAAGCTGCCGGTGGCGGCTAATCTCAGCTCAGAATCCGCTGCGGCTGTCAAATATACGTTACGACTCAAATACGGTGCACTAGTTCTTTGAGCAGCCGCTCTCTGGGAAAACTAATGGTAAACCAACCATCATCGTACATCCTGTGTAATTACCACTTTGCAATACGGACACAGTGCTACTATCTTTGTCATTGAATCTCCTTCAAGCCGCTTCCGTTCACATACCACCATCAACTACTACTTCATATAAGACGGAGAAGACATATGCGCGTCCCAGAGCCGACATGCCGTCAAGCGACACCTCAATTGTCCAGAGGTTATTCTGGGGAATGGACGTTGTGGATCTGATTCGTCTATGTTTTATCTTCGCCGCATGTACGGTGCGCAGAATCCCATAAAACACTCCATTCGGTTCCGCTACCTTGCAGAATATTGATTTTTGGCCGTTCAGTAGACATTTACATTCTTCTCTGTGCCATTTTTCAATCACCGATTCGTCAATTACGGTGCTCGCACGAGCGATCGAAACAATGCGAATTCGACCGACCCGAAAAACAGTAACAACCCATCCTCCTCATCATCCCCGTTACACAATGCCGGATTCGTTTCGCAAGTAATGGACGCACTGGCAACGTGGCAGGTACCACACCAATACTTCACGCATTACTACGTCCTGTCTTTCCTGTCCTCCGCATTCTGGATCACTCAGCTTCTTACCAAAGGCCCAGCGTTTCAGTTTGTGGTGTCCAACATGAGCGACGACCATCTGCAAAATTCAATGACCATACACCAGGCCATTCTGTGTACAATCTTGATGCTCATTCAAGGCGGTAGGAGATTGTATGAGAGCTTTGCGCTTGCGAAACCTTCTTCGTCTCGGATGTGGGTTGTGCATTGGCTATTGGGTCTATGCTTTTACACCGGTATCACTACAGCTGTGTGGGTGGAAGGGTCGGGTGCGTATTGCTTGGATGATTGGTACTGATATGCATACTGAATACACTGTAGGATCTGTACTCTCCACCACGCTCACTATTCAAGATCTGCGACTTTCTCAAGTTCCCTCGCTAAGGACGCTGTTGTGCCTTCCGATCTTCCTGATGGCGTCTGGCATCCAGCATGACTGCCATCATTATCTCTCGTCGCTGAAAGACTACACCGTCCCAAAACATCCATTGTTTCAATGGGTTCTCTGCCCTCACTACACAGCAGAATGCGCCATATATCTCTCTCTTGCTCTTCTCGCAGCACCGCGCGGGGAACTTATCAATAAGTCTGTACTGTGTGGCTTGTTGTTTGTCGCAGTAAATCTAAGCGCCACAGCGTACAATACGGAGAAATGGTACAGAGCGAAGTTCGGTGAACATAGTGTTCGTGGGAAGTGGAAGATAATACCCGGCGTATTCTGAAATGAAACTAGAACAAGACATCGTTCCATAAGGGTATCATCATCATTTCCGATTCAGAAATTTGATCGAGTTCCCTAATTTCGCGACTTTAGGCACATCGCGGTAGGTGAGACTGACTCTGGTCTGCCTCTCGTAAGCTCCAGTCATGTATGCCTGCTGGTCTCCAAGTATGCTCCAGTTGCATATGGAATCTGGCTTCAGATTCTCATCCCTCTGAGTGTTTGCAATGCCGTGCAGGTACTGAATATAAAGACTGTCCGTCGTGATCAACAAACTCCGCGGTTCTTGCAAAATCCGATATTTAGGTCCTATATTTCCTTCATCTGCACCAACCATGTCTGTCTCTACTTTCTTCTCGTAAAGATCCAGTACTATGGGAGCCGCCAGACTAACCGTCGCCACCAGTGGGAAGTATGCCGGCCCGTCTTCATGCGGCATGATCCCTTGGCCCGGACAATATTCGTTGATTAGTACATGATTCGGAGCTTTGTGAGGTGCATCTGAAAAACAGCCAAGCTCTTCAAACTTAGGATTGATGATAGGATCGTGTAGCCAGTCAGGTAAAGGCGCTGCTAGGAGAGTATCTGACTTGGTCAGCGCAGCTGGCCAAGTTTGAAGTCGTCGATGAGAGAGTTGGGTCCATCTTGGGATGGGGACCGAGTTTATCTAAACTTGTTAGCTTGGATCCTATTAGTGGACCAAATACACTCCAGTATCAGGTCTGATGATTACCTTGTGCAAAATCCGCTCCTCTTCTTCGACTGTGATAAAGTTGGGTATGTAGTATGCATTTCCAGGTAGGCTAATGATACGTGCTGTATCAAGAACAGACATTTGTTTCCGGTGTTTATGTCGAATTAGCAACTAATGTCTATGTATCTAGTTGCAGATGAAAGATGGGCTCTTAAAACAAGCAGGTCAAATGATGATAAGTGCTGCCTAAGGCAGAAACAGAACCCCACAATTTGCTTCCATACAATTTCCGTTCCTTCCTTCGATGGGTGTGCAAAGTACTTCATATCACGTTCATTTCAGACCACTTTATCTTCATTCTGTCTCTCATCAGGTACAGATAAGACACACAATAATCTCGGAACAATTCGACTCCATGGGCCCCAAGAAAGATACCAAAGGGGGCAAAAGCAAGGGAAAAGAGTCAAAAGACACCACAGATGGCGACGATAAGGGCAAAGGCAAGGGCTTGAAGGCTGCCAACTCAATCAATGTTCGACACATCTTGGTATTTATACCTTTCTCTATTCGTGGCCCTTTTATCATTTCAGTTTTGTTGCATATCATCTTGGGAAGTGGGCTGTGGCTTTCACGCCCCCCCACGCCTCCATTGATATCAAATAATGAACATGATGTAAAGTGGTCTTGCAACTAATCAGTGGCATCCGACTGTTTGATTTAGTGTGAGAAACACTCCAAGAAAGAGGAAGCCCTAGAAAAACTTCGCAACGGCGCCAAATTCGACGAGGTCGCCCGAGAATTCTCAGAGGACAAAGCCCGGCAAGGTCTGTCATTCCCAACCACAAGTAATCGATCCTTCAAAAACCGCTGGCTAATCTCCAATCCTTCATTGGGGGTTGTCTTACAGGTGGCTCTCTAGGCTGGAAAGTACGCGGAAGTCTACACGGCGATTTTGAGAAAGTGGCATACGACCTGGAGCCTAGCACAACGGCAAATCCAAAATATGCTGAAGTCAAGACCGGGTTTGGATATCACATCATTATGGTTGAGGGTCGGAAATAGCCCTGGGCACTTTCTTTTTTTTTTTGGCGCTTTGTCTCCTAGAGATTTCATAATCTACGTACTTGATGATCTATAGCGTATTACGTATCATGTTTATTTCTTTTGCTGCCGCGAATATATGGTGTGGGGGATGCGGAGATCGTTCTTTCACATCCGTGGGGGAGTTCGGGGAAATTGACGAGTCTACCGCCTCGTATACGTTAGTCTAGTACGATCTAGACGAGTTCTACATATTATGTATCTTTCCGAACGTCCGGACGAGGTTAATAAGAGTCCTCTAATTGACAGGTTGCGGCGATGCTTGCACTGTTCAGGATGAGCTTGAGGGCTTTTCGATTCATGTATCACAACCCCCTTATCTGCTCTTGGATGGTCTCAAGCCACAATACTCCGTGTTTAACATTTTTCTGTGATACCCTTAGTGTATCCACGCGGGATAAAATCCGTTGACGTAGATCGAAGTCAGACTGGGGGTTCAAACTGGTATACCTCCCCGGATGGTGTACAGTCGAAGTCTATCCCACGCAAGAATAAAAGCGCCGACATGCCATCCCACCCTCTGTCAACACCAGTCATTGAAACCAACTTTAAATTCCAGCTCGCTGGGTCCTATAAATATCGAGCCAATATCCACATAGCTTGACACCTCAAAGCCTATCTATCATTCTAGATTGAGATGCCACATTACCCAAACCGGCAATTCCAGTACTTTCCATAAGCGGAAACAACAATGATTAGGGCTTGTACACATCAGTCTGCGAGAGAGCATATCAATGGCGTCAGCAACATGTGTTTCAACAGAAACGAAACAGCCACTACAAGATGAAGAACTAAAAGTATTGTCGGTTCCTCTACTACTTACCAAAGACGGCCTACCAACAGGAAGATGTATGTTCATAAAGCTCCATCAATCATTGACAGATCAACGATGTAGCTGCGAGTCCTACCGACAAAAGCAGACTGTAACAGGCGTTTACTGCGACTGTGGGCATCAGGCCAGCTACCATTTATACGCACAATGCTACGAGGATGCAGCAAGCCAGCGCATCACAAAACCAAACCCAACTTTCAAAAAACCAGCACCACCACCACTAAAACAATCACCGACCGACCAAATCAAAGCCCTAGTGCAACGCCTCCAAAACCTCGAAGCTCGGCACAACCTCGACACCGCACACTGGCACCAACGCCTCCTCCAAGAACGGCACGCCCACCAAGAAACCCTCAAACAATTCCAGCAACACATCTCCACATTCACGCAATTCATGGAGGCGATACAACAGCTCGATGTGCAGCGTAGATTTGGCGAGGTTGAGGATCGGCTGGATCAGATGATGGACTGTCAGCAGCGGTTGTTTGATAAGGTTGTTAGTGTGGAGGATTTTGGGATGATGTTGGAAGATAGGGTTGTTGATGTTGAGGAGCAGAATGATAGTGATGTTGGGCTGGGTTTTAGGAGAGCTCAGAGTGGGAATGATGATGTTGGAGAAGCTGGCTGTGAGTGTCGTTCCAGAGGTGTGAAGAGGGAGACTGGAAGTGATGAAGAGATTGAAGCCGTGGGCTCAAACTACAAAGTCGCACGGAAAGAATGAAATGTCAATGAAGGTTATAATATGAATTATATACAGAAGAACCCAATATTATAATATAATACACTGCCCAAAGCCAAAGGCTTAATAGAATTTGTACTTATCAAAACGACTTTTCCGCGAATTGTGTTGGGTCAATTCTATCGCCAACCTGCAAGCTGTCATGTAAAACGCGCGAAATTCCTGCACCAGAGAGTCACTTGCAGGATCAAGTGTTTCGTCGACATTCTTGCGCCCCTGCAATTGCGTATAGTACGAAGGCGAATAGTACGAAGGCGTGGCGTTGACAAACATCTCAAGATTGAGCTGGTCACTTCTAGAGTCTAAAGACCGCTTGAAATTGGGACTGTAGCAGAGCCTCTCCCCGGAATACTCGTATGTGCGTACCATGGTTCCTAGGGCTTTCTGCACGCCAGGAAACCAATAATTTCCTTCAATGGTTTTGGGACTCTCGGAAAGGTTCTGATCAGACAGGATGTCGCGCAACAGTTTGCCCGAAACTGGCACCTGACAACTGGGAGGAAACGGTTGCTTCGGATCGCTGAGCACCTCGTTCAAAGAAGATAGAAGTGCGTTTCGCAAGGCTTCGGGCTGCTCAGTCCCGTTCACTCCGTATATCTCTTGGGTAAGTGTTCGTGTGAAACGAATGTCGTAGTTGACCTCAGGTAGAAGGTAATCTATGCTAGTTTCTTCCACAATGGCTTTAACACTCAAGAGTTCAGGCCCGGCGAATGGAAACTTGGCTTCCGGGGCGGTGATCCAGGGAACAGAAATTTCGACTTCGAGAACAGGTAGTTTGTTATCGTTTGGCTCGCACGGAGTCATCCTGAATCGATGGAGTCTAATCTGCGTTCTATCGCCTGGAAATATTCGACGGGTTTTCACCAGAGACTCGCCCTTGGGATGAAGCCATTTGTGGAAAAAACGCGGGAAGGAATGTTCTCCCAGCTGAGTAGCGTTTATTTTCGTCACACTATCCATGACATCGGAGGCTCGAAAGAGGCATTGTCCGATAGTTGCTGATATTTTCTCCTCGAGACCGTGTTGGCCGTTTTTCCTCGATTTTTCTCTCAGTACCTGAAGTATCTCAGACGAGAAAGTAGGTTTATGTTGGCTAAATAAGGGTGGCAATGACTCCCCGTTATAATCTTGAAGTGATGTCGGTATAGCCCACCTCGACCACGGCTTTCCTCTTTCTAAAAGGCCCATGGCTTCCCTACGCTTCTTTGATATTGGGGCCATGAAACCACTGGCGCTGGACGGCACGTCGGCACAGAAAGAGATCTGCTCATTTGCAGACTGTGAATAGTTTGCGAGTTCCAGATCGCGTTTCATTCGAACAAAAGCCCCGTGTTTTGCAGTATATGCCGCCGAGGCAACTGAACTTCGACCCGGATCGTTTATGTATATGCCCAAAGTCCGTGCTATTGAGTCCAAAAACCCGCTCTTCGCCGCTTTGCCGTCAATCAACCACGATTTATCATTCAACAGGGGCTGCTCGAATGATTTCGTGTGAATTTTTGCACCGTATGCCTTGACAATCTCCCGAACCGATTCGCAGGCACTGCGATTTCCGGAGACACGTATAAAATTCAGCGAGACGAACGGTTCTATCTTTGTATTGTGGGAATGCGCCAGCTCCTCCAAAGAATATTGTTGCGATGATAAGATGACAGATATGACTTGTGACGGGATATTCACTTTCAGACTGCCTATCTCGTCATGTACTTCAAGCTGCCAACAGTCTCGAATAATGCGCTCTGTCAGTATGTCCTTTCTGAGTTTTTTCGCCTTCTTGGTTTTCTGAAATTCTGAGACCTCTTCGCTCGATAATTCATTGTCCTCTGACGCCTCACGAGTCGCAGTGGCCTGCCACTGCTCGTCGTCATCGTTCACTTCATTGTCGTTTGGATTGAAGTCTATGACTTCTTTTGGCGGTAATGGTGTAGATTGTTGGGGGAAGCTATCATAATATTTTGATAGCTGGCTTAACGTAAATCCCTCTTCAACCTTGGCTTGAAGTTCAATGAATTCTTCTCTCGAAACAGTATCACCCGGCGAATACGATGCGCGAATTTCGTCGAGGTAAGCGGCGTACTCGTTGTTGTCGTTTCCTCTGTTGATACTACCGAACAACTCCGCGGAGACAGGCGAGACGACCTTCTTCGGGGAATCATCCGACTTTTGATCATTTTGCTGCTCGATAGTTCGTCGTCTCCGTTTTCTCAGCGGAACAACAAGGATCTGGCCGGGTTTTCCAAGCGCGTCGACATCGAGCTTCTGCGTCCGTACGGAGTTGTGATTTCGATATCTCTCAATATGCGGATCTTCATCTTCGTAATCGGCAGCGGATGGACTTTTATGGTCGTCGTCTGGCTGATTGGGGGAGCTTTCATTGTCCGCGATAGAAGAAAAGTTTGAGTACCGGCTCGACAGCCCTACAAGCTGCCTTTTGGGTAGTGGTGCTATGTAGGGTCGTATTGAGAAGACTGCATATTTTGACGACCTGCCGAACATTAATAAATCAGATAAAAAAAAATCAAACGAAAGGTTGGCGCATGGCTTGACAGGGTAAGGACGAAGGTTGTAGTAAGAGAATTATTTTCTGGACCTCCGTCACGATCTCCGCAAAAATATTTGGTGCCTGAGGCAGCGACCTCCTATCGGCTATTCCCATCGTATTATTGCTTGATTGTCTGGGGTATCTCTGATTTATTCATATTTTCTCTTTTTATTTTCTTGTGCGAGGGCTAATATATCTTCTCTACACCATTTTTCGTCTCCGCGATTAGGAAGCCATGGCTTGAGCACATGCTTTGCCTCTTTTGCAGCCAATGACCGAGCTATTAGCCAAGGTAGTCCCTCAATTCCTTTGTTCTTGAAGTCACTATAGTTCTCTGACTCAAGAATAGCTTGCCACCGCAAGTCTTCGCCTCTTAATTCCGTGCAGATTTCGTGCACTAAACTCCACATCTTGACTCGAGAAAGAACGGATGCTCCCCGTAGAGATATTGATTTTAACTTACTGCCCTGTTTCGCACCGCCAATGATGCATTCAACAACCGCAGTTGACTCTGGGTTTATCCGTGGTGTGTATTCAGTGCGTGACATATCATTGACTTGATACGGATTGAGCGTTGAGCCTGATGCGATCCATATAGCGGATATATTCCCGGGCTTAACGGCCCTTCTTGCGACGTCTGATCTGTATTTCCCAAATGACCACATGGGTTTCACAACATCCATTGAGACTGATAGTACTTCAAATGGCCGAAAGTGATATTCAACATCTACGTTCGGCGCCGAAAAAGTCTGGCCGACGAGCGCTCTCATCCGGCCTGTCGGGCCGCCTCCAAACGCCCTCTCGCACCCAATCTGAGATATCTCCTCTTCTGGGAGCACCAGTGCAGTGATATAAGCGCTCCTTGTGGGCGCAATAAGGACACTGGCGGGATATGAAAGAATCGAGGTCACTTGTCGAAGAGCTAACTTATCCGTACATGATTTGCTGATGGTAGGTTCTGCATCTGCTCGACCTGGTTTCCGACGAACGACACCGAGAATTGAAAAATGAGCCCTGCCATCAAGAAGATTTTGTTGGTCTTCCTTCACGTCAGCTGCTGGTAGGACAGCCCAGGGTGTTGCATCCTCTTGCTCGGCCATGCAAAGTTCCATGCTGCAATCACCGCATGGAGCACATGTAGAGTACATGTAGATTTTGACATCGGGGTGTATTTCAAAGGGAGCTCTCATGTCATGTGATCCTGTAGTCACTCGTCTTCTAACGAAGGGCGTCTTTTCATTAATCTGACTAGATCCTGACTCCAGATACTGCTGTTCCCGCTGGATGACTGTGGAGCATTCATTAATGAGCCAATAGTTCAGAGCCCGAACAGCTAACACTTCGGCATGGCAATCATGAAGGACCATGCCACGGCACTCAGGAAGTTGAGATGCAGAGAGACATCTTGCCCCGGTTCTGTAGATGAATCAATACTCGATGGAAAAAAAAAAAGATTGAGATTGACGCTGGCCACATACGCAATTGCAACACAAGTCAAAGTTTCCGAAGGAGTATCCTGTCCTTGTACTCAGTTAGTAGCTGGCGTACCTGAAAAGGTGCAACTCAAGATCTCCATAACTTGATGAAAGATTGCAGTTTCTTGGGCAGATATCTTGACATACCTTGAGAAATCACGAACCCACTCATAGGAATCCATTCTCTAGAGCCATCGTCACGAGTCCGTGGCTTATAACGTGCGGGTAAAGAGTCAAAATGTGCATGGACAAGTGCAGCAATCCGAGTTGGGAGGGGGATTGTTTGCTCCCTGTCCATCACGATGCTGAGGATAATATACAGTCAGTCATGGACATCCTCACGCCACGGCTGTTAAATATCGATCATTCAGACGAGATTCTGGGTTAGATACAAGCTGTGAAGATATATCACTGTCGCTGAGGATTTGGTGGTACAATTAAGTGACTATTCCTGTTGTGTACTAGCGCATATATGTTCGATTTGAAGTGGGTCATCAAGAAAGACTTCCTTCTTTCCCAGCTCTTCCCCTACAGTTCTGTCATTTCCTTAACAACGTCCATCCTGAAACAGAATAAATCAACATGGCAGACAAACTACGCACCCTCCAAAACCTCGAAGCACTTCAAACTCGCTACGTCGGTACTGGGCACGCCGACACTACCAAATACGAGTGGACCTCCAACATCGTCCGCGACAGCTACGCTTCATACATTGGTCATCCGCCTCTTCTAGGATATATGGCGATTGGAATGGGCGAGTCCAAGGAGAAAGTGCGCACGATGATGATCGAGAAGATGATTAGGGGGGCAGGGAATCCGCCAGAGGTACGGTCTTTTGACATCTCTTGCAATAAAATTTGTTCATCGTGCTAATCTTGCTTTGCGGAATAGGTACAAGATTAGGATATCCGGTCGGTTTACTACATCGAACGACAAATGATGGCAAAATCCGGCTTTTATATGATGGTGAAGGGATGAGAACGGATACTGTCGAACTCGCCGCGCGAACAAGCGCGCGAACAGACGCAAACCAAGGCAAACATTGAAGCCGCTACCCCTGCGTTCTCTAAACTGTTATCTGGGAACAACGGCGCAGCCAACGACTTTCCCCGTCAAATAAACCGGGATAGTGGTGAGGACACTGGCATTCAAAGCAACAAGTGCCGCGGAAGTAGATCTTTACACTTGTCTAGCCAATACAAGCTGCTATTAGATTTGTACAGAATCTCATGCATACGGGGACAAGTCAATCAGTTCATATACTAGCAGTCATTTTTGTCGTCCAAAATAGTACACAATATACTCTATGCATGATCAATTAAACCGCAAATCTGTAACTGTGTACTTTACATCATGAACATATACAACAACGCTAATGCGCCGCTCGATGTCAGAAACCTGCGTTAGTCACACTATACACAGCCTCGTCACTACACGGCATCCTTTGTACCACTCGCACCTTGACTATTCTTCTCCATCTGCGCAATCAGCTCCGTATTTTCCTTCTGTAATCTCCCCACAATATCAAGCCATTTGGTTCTTTCACCACGTAGTTCCTGCACTTCCTTACGAAGACTAGAAACCTCCTTTTTCAAACTATCAACCTCAGACTTTGACCGTATCTTCTCATCGCGGTCTGCGGCTTTGCGTTGATCTGCTTCTAGTTTCCGAATTACTTTGAGTTGTTGGGCTTCAATCTTGTTGAGCCGCGAGACCAATTTTGATTCTGTGCGTGCAAGGTGGTCGATTCTTTTCTGGTTTTGCGCTGCTTCTTTGGTAGTAGTTGCAGTTGTACTACTGCCACTTTCTTCTTCAATTTTGGCGTCCGATTCGACACTGAGCATACTCCCACGAGTACTGTCGACATCACTCTTCACAGACTTACTACCCGTTTGCCCGACAAGTTCTCGAATCTCGGACTGGATGGTTGCTAATTTGACTTCCACTTCTCGCTTGCGGGAGTTTAGTTTGGCGAGCTCTTTTTCTTTCTGAGATGGTTTGGATTTGGCTGAATCACTTTGTGGTGTTGATATCAGTGCAGCCTCGGAGCTCACTCCACTCGCGAACTGAGGTGAGATGTTTGTATTCGAGCTTTCACCTATGTAGATCGGAGGTCTCAAGTCTCTGCTTACGGAGGGTGACATATGAGATCCAGCACTTGCAAAGCTGTCGTCGCTAGCCATTGAAGAAGTATCGTCGTCAACCTCAGTGTCGCCCATCTCCTTCCCGGGTTCATCGCTGAGAACTTCTTCACTCCTTCCGGCTTTGGCATCTCTCATAGCAACAGTCCGACCAGCTTTGCCTTCTCCAGGAGACGGACTCAAACTGGCAGGTATATAGTTAAGCACCGCCTTCGGGGTATAACCTTGCACCACCTTAGCAACACTTGACAGCAGGTTACTATCTGTTCGTTGCTCTTCGTCATCGCCATCATATCTCCCTCTTTGCGCTGACTGATCCAATTGATCAATTCCCTTGTCTCCGGTCCCCTTAGCATCGGGTTCTTGATCTGAAACAGTTGTCCCGTGTTTGCTGGACGATCGCACTTCATCGATTCCGTCAGCGCTATGTCGTCGTCCCGCTTCCACGCTCTCGGTCACTTCGCCGATATCAGCAGTGTCCTCCCCTTCTCCGATTTGATCAGGCTCGGACGCCCAGTTCAAGAACTTGACCGCGTCACCGGTAATACTCTTTGGAGTTCCGCGCTCGACCATCCATCTGGGTACACTGCCACCTGGGTCACTTCGAGTGATCATGATCCATTCCACTGGATTAGGTTCCACAGCTTCATTGCCGGAACTTCCGTCCAGGTCAACCGGTACAGGAGGTTCGGTTTGACCTCTGGGTCTTCCTGTAGACTTAGAGCTCTCGCCATCGAGCACGCTATTCGGATGTAAAGAGGGGCTGTCGTAGGTGGTTGCGCTACGAGTGCTGGCTGGTCGTTTAGTGTGCGCCTCTCTTGCTGTGGTCTTTTCGATTGGTAATTCTCTGATCAACTCGACAGATTCGTATTGTCCGCGAATATAGTCATCACGCTCCGGAGCGTCTGGATGTTGACAGGGCTTGGAAACAATCATATACGTGGGTGGTAGAACAAGATCACTATCGGCTCCATCACTCAACATCGCATCCGACGTGATCATCAAAGTGACAAAATCACGCGGAGTAGTCGGACCAGGAAATTGAGCCGACAACTCATAAACCTCGACTTTACCCAATGCCTTTTCTGTCTCTGATTCTTTGATTTCGACGTTTTCTAACCTCCTATCCCCACCAATACCTCGTATACTCGTTGCCGGTATCCGACCTTGTTTCAACTCCTCTTGACGAGCTTTGAGAGTCTCGTCCATTTCAACCTGCATCTTCGACTTCCATCTACTAAATGGTAGACCCTTGTGCACACTCCGACGAGCGAACCATGCACCCTTGCCATCTTTGCCAGACAATTTATAAATAGGTATATTCAATGGATTCTCCTTGGCGTTATTCATCTTAATCGGCTTCCCCCATTCTTTCCGCAATGATGCAAGTTGCGATTGGGAGACAGAAATTGATACCGCACCGGTTCCGGTATCGCCGAGTGATGCGCTCGACGGGGTTTGTTCTGGGACTGTTTCGGCGATGAGTCGTGCTTTGGTGAGGATTTCTTGGACGTATTGCCGCAGGTCGCTTGTGGAGGAGGAGGATGCGGGGACTTCTTCCCATAATATGGGCTTCAAATATGACAGGGCTTCATGAAGCTCTGCCATTTTTAGTCTTGCTATCTGTGTTGTAAGTTATCAGTGTCAAGTACTCAAGTACTCAAGGAAGAAGACTGGGGTACGGTAGTCACCTTATCAGCTTATCACCTCATCTATGAACCGCAAGTATGGACAAGGATTGGCAGTGGACAGCAAATCAGCATGAATCAAATGGTATAGCAATAACAACAGAGGAACAGCATCTAAGTAACAGATCATAAATGGACAGATAGTTGCCAGTGAGAGATGTTGTGCAACCCTGGAGATTCTTGGTCAAGAGCCGGTTCCCCACGACGTCATCGATCAACAATCCGACGCTAAGTCAACGATTTCAGATACAACACACACGACTACAAATAGTCAATATCTTATATCGCATCGAGGGAAGAAGACATATTTGCCAGTCGGAATTATCGGCAGACAATAATTTGACTGCGCCTCCAGACATACTCACCATCCGCTGATTTCCGACTCTTCCGTGCAATCGGCGTCGGCGTTGTAGGTCTGTTTACTGGCCTCATACTAAACCGTGGCTGGTTTTACAATACATCTAAATGAAGCATAGAGATTGTTCTACTCAAATTAAATTTCTGTCTGAATCAAGTAGATACAGTATTCCACGATCGAAGCATACAGAAGAAAATCCCGCCTCTGCAGCAAACGACCATTAATCAGACGAAAATACTTCAACGGGAAAGAAGAAAGAGAAAAAGTGAGGAGTGAGTGATCCAAATTTGATAGTAAAAGAAAAAGCTCAAGTTATATATTGATATTCCAGCATCCGTTTTTTGACTCGGTTTCTTGAACTCGAGGTCAGTCTCCAGTAACCAGCACTGGAGACAGTGATAGGAGGATGTCCCTATCACAAAGAGTGTTTGTCTTGCTGAGGGAGGAAGGATGGACATGGATGGTGGAGTCACCCAGGAGGATAATCGAAGCATTCCAGTCACGGACTGTGAAGTTTCAATTTACCTCCTTTGGCCACGCCCAATTCTTCCTCCCTCAGGGCAAAAACAGTAATTGCGGCCGGATTGTCATGACCAGATGAAGCAATCTCGAAAAACCGCACTGTTGCGGAATCCGCCCATTTCACCAGATCTCTTTAATAAAAAAGGTCTGCCAGCCCGCATACACAGTATGTTGGAATGAAAATGGTTGGTGTCGGACAAGATGGCTGGGTGATAGAGATGGCAAAGCCGGTGAGATACTGGTTGCAATGGTCCAAGCCAATTACATAGGTACCAGTTCACAGCACGAATTGTGTCCGACCTCCTCATCCAACCCTCCAGGCCTTTGCCGTGCGAAAACAGTAGCGCAAACAGTAGAAACAAAAGACATAAACATGCAGTCATATCCAGCCGCGAGGCTAACAAGGTCTTTCATGAACATGAATAATCAATCCCGCATCACATCTCCTCCTGGGGAGTGTATGGGGTTGGTAATGTAAAACAATTGGTATATCTCAGATAGCCCCGCCGGTTCTTATGCAATGAGAAATGAAAAACAAAAACAGAACAAACGCTTGCTGAAAAATCTCACAGAAAATCAAAAATCAAGACTCAAAAGCATGCGACGTTGATGCAACAAAATATAGAACAAGAGGGAGTATCACCGCTGGTGGTTGGTATCGTATCAAACGCTAACGCCTTCATTATGCCTTCTGAATGCTGATGCCTGCATGGAACATTGTTTTCTGGTGTCGGTCGGGGGAGGCTCCCCAATCTCAGACTTTCGGTCGATGTCAGGTTGAGCTCTGCTGTCGTGGCTTACATTGTTGTGCCGTAAGACAAGGCAGGGAATTCTTGATATCGTTCCGGGTAGCCGCCGAAGCCACCACCAAAACCGTTCATGGATGCCGCCGTGCTGCATGGTTGAATCAACATGCTAGGGAGGGGCAGCGCAGCAAGAGCAGCCATAGTGACTGGGGCACTATAGTACTGAACAGCGTCATATGGCGCTGTGGTGTATGGCTGACTGAACGAAGGTGCCGGTGATGGTAGTTGAGCTTCGGCCATAGACATCGACATGGTTGTCCACATATTCGGGGCGCCATCGCAAGAAGACACGGGACTGGGACTGGAAGGAACGACCTTCCAAGCTTCTACCGGCATGACGGGTTGCTGGACGGGACTCGACCACCAATCCTCCGCAATAGTAGAACTGGGCAGCAGAGGTGGTCGGACCACATCGGGGAGTCGTGGAGGCGGAGGCGGAAGTAGAGGGACGAAAAGATTGAGGATGGCGGTCTTTGCATCTTCGCTTCGGCCGCCCAGCAGCTCGCCAGCGCCATCCTCTTCCATTCCTTCCAGAGCCTGAACCTTGGTGCGGTAGATGAACTTGTTGGCGGACTGCACGAACTCGGCCTGCAGTTTCTTGAGCTGAGTTTCCTTTTCCGGCCAGTCCCAGGTACTTGCGGCGGTATCCACGGAAAAGATATCCTTGTGGAAGTCGACCAAGGACTCGATTGTTTCCGGAGTCAACTTGAAAGCCACCTCGTTTTGCGACACCATGTCCACATGCACCACGTAAGCCTCGATATGAATCATCTGATAATTGAACATGGCCTCGACTAACGGGTTCTCGTCCTTTTGGAGTTCGGAATCAGGGGCCTTGGGGAACATGAGTGAGCAGAGAGTCCAGATAGCATTTGGCGAGGAGAGAGTTTCTGTCAGGCATCGCGTGTGTTGTGTCGGATTGTTCAATGGTCTCTTGACACGGTTGACCCTTTTGAGGGTGAGTGTGAGCCATTGTTCCACTTTGCGACCCAGCACAACATTCGGATTGCCACGGGGGGCAAACGCTGCTGCGGAGGCGGGCAGCAGAGCTGTAGGCATTATTATGATATGAGGAAAATAACCTCAGTAAATAGACGTCTGAAGTAACGTTGATACAACCTCTTGTAATATATTTGTTGGAACGAAATTATAAAAGCGACATCCGCCCACTCCAGGTGATCGAGATGATAGATTGACACACGATGATAGTTCGCTCTTTCGGGTGTTTATTCGAAATTTTATCGCACAGACTGTCCGATATAGCAGCGTTGGTTGAGTTTGGTTTAGTTGATCGTAGTAGTTAGCCGAAATAGGGAACTTTGTTTGGTTTCGTGGTGCGGGCGAAAGCGCGTTTAGTTATTAAGAAAGTAAAGTCATATAGCTGGATAATAAAAAGAAAAGAGAGGACGTCAGAAGCACATGAATAGTGAATAAAAAAGAAAGCAGTTAGTAAGAAAGGAAGGTTAAGAAGTATAAATGAAGTTGGAAGAGCGAGGAAGAAATAGGAAAATGGAAGAGAAAAGAGTTTTTGGCTTTAGAGTAGGACGAATAGCCCGAAGAGGTAAGAGGGATCAGATTATGCTCGGGCTTAGTACGAAAAGCAGTATTATTTCAGTATTTTACTGTTACTAGTCCAAAATCTCACGATATAGACGAGAAGTGGAGGGGGCAAAAGCGAAGGAGGCAAGACGGGTCCTCTGCATAGGTTAGTGCGTATACGGAGAAACATATGTTACCTGACTCCAGTCATGTACAACGTATGACTACGTAGTATGTATGTAGCATAGACTAGTCAACTCTGTACGTCGTCGGTACAGAGCGAGCTGCTCAGTGGGGGACCGATCGCCTGCAGTTGCATCTAAATGTTTTCCGTATGACAGAGTATGATCGTAGCGTAAAGTAAAAATAAGTTACTCGGCCAAACTATATGCAAGTCAATCCTTAGCGGTGGCACGCATATTCGTATTTGTAATTTCAGGTCACGCCAGAACGCCCGTACAGTATTCTGTATTACCATATCCGTTACCGTGCCATACAGAACTACGGATGCTTCGCACAGTTTTCCCTCTGCATCCACATCAAAAACCATCTCCAATTTCTCAACGAAACTCGAAAAATCTTCTGAGACATATTTCATTAACATATAATGTATCAACTTTGGCATGCAGGCGGCTGCTGAAGAAATCGACGTCAAGCTGCAGTCTCAAATGCTGCCGGCGCAAATTACCCGTGTTGATGGGCGCGTATACAAGCAACCGCACTCGTGGAGATCCCGAGTTTGAAACAATTAGCACTCTTATGGAGGTAAATCATAGAGCTTTGATGTTGCACACCTCGGTCCTGAAGAATATGAAATCATTGAAATCTCCGAATCTAGAAATAGATTCCTTATTGATCTTCGGCCAGGGCCCATCCTTACTCCTGGATAATGACGCATTAGATCATGATCGAACTCTTAGACTGGTAGAAGTGTAGACGTCCTTCCCGATTAGGATTGTGTGATACAGTACAGTCCTCATATGAGAAACTACTAATACGCAGCCTACATTTTTCACAGTAAATTCAGGGTACCGTATAACAGCAGAATCTGCGTACTTCAGCACTGCCACAATCCTCTCACTCTCGGAAACTGGGAAGAATCAAGAAATCTCGGCGCAATGCAGGATACTATTGTTACCAGTAGTACAAAATAGGAAATCTTCACAAGTGACATGCAATCAGTGACTCTTGTTCACATCAATCATATCTACGATACAGGTTGATCATCACATAGTTTATCTATCATGTCAGAGAAAGGACGTAAAAAACTCCTTGCTTCTAGAAATCACGACATGCATGTGCTCTCGCTCCCACGAGGCCGAGTCACGAGGCCGGGTACCGTCTGTAAATTACCAGCCGTCATATCGCAGAGTTGTTGAGCTCATATTATAGGATGTATCCAGAACCCGTGACCTATAACTACCTGGACAGATTGATCTACATATGTACTTAGAGCCTTGATGAAGCTGAATACGCTGACATCCTGCCAATAGAAAGAGTATCGGCGATGTCCTATCTACAGTCGCTCCCAGATCCTCGAGACTTGCATTTCGAGTCAACTTTGTTGATGAATGGAACAGGGCTACTTGAATACAGAGTAAGTACGCAATACCGTATCACGTTTCTTTTTATCTTTCCGGGGCGGCCCGTACGTCCTGTATTTTATCCAATATCAGTAATTTTCCAACCACGGATCGTTGCCGCCAGGTTCCCCGAATGAACCATGGATGACACTGAGTCTATATGAATAAGAATAAATAAATAGATACTCATTTTTGGGCAGATTGATCAGTCTCGGATTTTAGGTCCGGGAGTCTGCGAGGGCGCGTACATCTAACATTATTGGAAAGCGATTCATGGCAATATCGAGGTCAGATCGATTGTTTAGTTACGTACTGACTAGGTCAAACCTTGTACTCAGCCCTGAGTTTGGTAAGGTATGTATGTTTTGTAATGCGATCACCAACATTAGCGGAACAGACAAAAAGGAGAGACCTAGAATATGGCCCAACATTGAAGTGTGTATCAAGTAATAAGGAGAGTAGACGCCCCGTGTCAACATGCTTTTTTCTCAGACTCAGAGTCTTCCTTCTTGCTTCCGTACAAAAAGTCAGAACAAGAAAGACAACGTGGGGCAAAACGTTCACTTGATCGGATTGGCCAGTACCCACAGGGCACATTCGAGCTGATATCCCCGCTACGATCTGCAATTGGGCGGCGCTCGGAGCGTCCGTCTGCGATAGACTCGGCCTAACCGACGCCACCAGCGCTACGATTTCCTGTTTCGGGAATTTCATTGGTCAGGGTAACCTACGCGGCCGTGCTTTTGTCTCTTGTTCCTAAGACTCTTTGGGCTCTTTTTGACTGTTTTTGTATGTCTGCATAATTGCTCTGGTCCAATTAGAGGAGGGGGTATGTCGGTATAATATTCACCCTGGTCCATAATGAGTGCCTGAAAGGGTAACATGCAATAGACCTGTCAGATTCTCGAGATACTGTCGGGAGGAAATGTCTTTGTCGTACATCGGATTCTGGAATATCATTGTTCCAGTGGTTATGAATCTTTAGTAAAAACTCGAATTGTAAGCTCCCTATAATGAGACTACGCAACAACAATGATGGCAACTCGCCATGCTCAATCTTGACGTCAGAGGCAAAGCATGCCACGTAGCACAAAGAACGTTGCAAGATTTGCATTGTCTAAAATCCTTTGAGTAACTTCGCATTGCCAGTTGTCAAACATATGTGGCGGTGGGTACTGCGCCTCAGCGTGGCGGTGTCTCGAAGCAATGAGTTGGCAAGCCCTAAGTCTAGCTAGCCCTAACTAGTAACTCTCGCACCAGAATTTCATGATTGTCATGACATAGTCTTGAAACGTAAGGTAAGTACAAAGAACAAAACATTATCAATACTCAGTATACTCATCAAAAATGTATTTTTTCTTTCTTTCCACGATCGTGTAAACTCCACAGTAGGATTCGACAGAATACTGGTGAATATCTGATAGGTTCATCTAGCTGCCCCGCGGCCGAACACCGATAAGCATCCACGAACCTTGGAAGTTGTGGCCACAACGTTTTCATGAAACATGGCGATATCAACTATCAGACAAGCCACATGACTCACTCATAACTTGACTCACATCATGTGCCGCGGATCTTCGCGATAAAACCAGTTCCTTGATCTTCCTTCGTACAATCAGCAAGACAAGCGGTCTGGAGAAATGCAAAAGAAACAATCGGCTAGAGACGGAAGGGCGCCATGCCCAATAACGGCCCTCGGAGGTTAGCGATATCAGTCTGTAGTTGCGCATCTTAGGGTAGAAGTTTAACGTGACTCATATGGGCCCGGTTTTGGATAAATTCAATCGACCATTTCGCCGGCATAGAACATGTATCATTCAACGCGCAACGCGTACAAGGACACGCATACGATTTGATAGAGACGCGTGAGGATCGCGGTATCAGGTGGTATGCGCATTATGCAGCTGTTCTCTGTGTGTGTCAAGTAGTAGAGGCTTGCAGATCATGTTTCGAAACATTCTGCGAATTATCTTAGCCTTTGTATAGCCCTTATCGATAAGCCACTCCGATTCGTGGGGTTTGGTTATCAGTGAAACATACTCTACTTTTCAGGCTTACATACAACTACGTATTGTACACTAGAGCAATATTGAATCGTCCAGAATAATGAGTCATCTTCGGCTGTTTCATATAATCACAGACTACATACTAGACTGTGATCCATATCCAAGGAACGCTAAAGTCGCGGCTATTCCCGCTAAACATCCCGCTCCTTTCTCATCCAATGTATTTCCAGAAGAGCCAAATGTCACTCTGCTCTTAGTTCACTAGAGTCGTAGACGAGAACGAATAATGATGTACATGTCCAAGTTCATGATTTTGACTGGTTCGTGGATTGGATCAGTAGTGCAGGTCATCATTTGGTATTGTGGCTTTGTTGCTGAATCCTGGGGTTTGCTTGATTACTTACGAATCTAGGCAGTTTCATGCGTAGTACATGTTTGCATCAATATATGGACCATATACTCCAATGCAGGGTAAGGAAGGGATATGGAACAATGAGATCGCATCATGAATCGAGATCATCGCACTGGTCGGCCGAGAGACCAAAGGATATTCTTACATTACTCGCAATGGGATAGGGTGACTTCCAGTCAGCTATTTTACCCAATTGTAGCACTGTACTATGTAAGACTCGTTTAGACTCGGAAGGTATGTCGTGAATTGCTTTCATAGCGAAAATAGTTTTCTTAGAGCTGTTGTCTAGTCCTAACCCTAGAATCAGTCCTGTAATTGTCTCTGACAGGTGCCGGACAAAATCTTTAAGGAGAAACCACGAAGACAGCTGTTCTTTGAGCTCAATGGCCTTCATGTTGTATCATACTCAACTAAGAAAAGTAATTATTCGTATCATACCTATATAGATATCCATTTTTGCCGTAAGGCTTCCCCGGGTGCCTTTGCCGGATCATCAGCTCACCTACACAAGTGAAAAAAAAAAAAATTTGTTGCAAGAAGCATCAGAAAATCTTTCCAGGAACATAAACTTTTCACGCTTCAGCCAATTGTCAAATCGGATCTTAATTGGGATATTACAAGAAAAAGCAGAGCTTGCATCGCATAACATGTTGTGCTTCTCCAGACTCAGTGAACTGGTCCAAACCCTCCTCCATGACCTGGTTATCCCACCTGAATCATTCCGCCAAGGACACCCGTGCTGCTTGTGCGCAGTTTCGCTACACAAGCCGCAATGAATGTTGAGATTGATAAATTCCACATTAGGACTCTGATATGCATTAAATTATTTGATGGATTCCAAGGTTAGAGTCGCGGGTGCTGTCCAGGCCGGCACTGGGTTAAGGTATCTGTGACGGATAGGTGAATCTATATGTGATCTTGCAAGATGATAAGAAAAGTTCAAGATGACTAGTTTATCAAGTACAGATATTAGCTTGGTGACTGTTGCAGGGATCATTGGCGTCAAGTCGTTTCTTCCGAGGAAACGCGGAAGCCTGGGGGATGTTTATTCCAGTCTACCATTAGATTTATCAATGGTACATGTCCAAAGTATCATCAGCAAGTAAAGGAACAACAATATTGAACTTACCAGAGTACTCCCTATTATACAACCGGATAATTTGGAAAGCTACCAACGCACTCATATTGTAAGGCGGAACTGGATATAACAGTTGCCCCTCTTGCTTTGCATTGTCACCTCGATTTTCAAGAGCTCTAGTCACCGCTGTACAATAAGACCAATATGACGGAAGAAATCGTTCTGGCTGAATTACAACCTGGAGATCCCCCAGGAGACTCTAAAACCGAACTCAGCTTAAGAGCCACTGGCGAGGTTTCTCCTGAAGACCCCCCAGAATATCCCCATGGATATCGTTTTGCTCTCATTTCAGCATCACTGATGATTACTGTGTTTCTACTCGGGCTGGTGAGACCACAATCATATCTCAATGATCATTACAGACTTATACTTGTTTAGGATGCGACCATTATCACAACTGCAGTACCGAAAATCACCGACGAATTCCAATCCATCGCTGATGTTGGATGGTATGGATCGGCATTGTGAGTTCAATAGTCCTATAATTATTAGTATATGAGCTAGGCATAAACAGCTTACAGAACTATGGAACAGTCGACTGGCATCTAGCATGTCTCAGCTTCTGCAGGGAAGAGTCTTTGACTACTTTTCCGTTAAATGGGCGTTTTTGATACACCTCATCATCTTTGAAGCGGGTGCCCTGATATCTGGGGCAGCGCCATCATCTGCGGTTTTCATTGCCGGGCGTGCTATTAGTGGACTGGGCTTCTCAGGCATTAGCCAGGGCTGTATGGTGTCAGTACTCTTGCTCATTAGCATTTGACTACAAACCTAACCGTCAGAAGAATTATTGCAACGACTCGCCCCCTGGACAAACGACCCATCTATATTGGTGCAATCAGCGCGAGCGAGTTCTTCGCAACGGCCATTGCCCCTATCATCGGAGGTGCCATTACCTCAGCCCTTTCGTGGCGATGGTGCTTCTATCTCAATGTAATTGTTTCCATCATTCCAGCCCTAATCACGACAGTGATGTTCAAGGCCCAATCAGGTAGGGCTATTCACCAAGTAGGGCATCTCCAGCGTCTCAAACAGATTGATTTTACCGGGATGTTCCTTTTCGCTGTGGCGTTGTTAAGTCTTCTTTTATCCATTCAATGGGGTGGAGATACTTATAGTTGGAGTAACGATCGGATCATTGCACTTTTGGCTATAAGCTCTGTATTTTTCATCATTTTTGTTCTGGTCCAAGTCAAAAAGAGGGATCTTGCGATGCTGCCATTGCGACTCCTTAAACAACGCTCAATATTGTTCGGTGCGCTTTTTAGTCTAGCCCTTCAGGCTGTCAACAGTATCGCCTCCTACTACGTCAGTGTCTTCCTTTCCTTACCTAACGCTTATATCTGATCATGGCACAGCTGGCGATCTGGTTCCAGGTTGTGAAAGATGCCTCTCCGGTTCAATCTGGCGTCATGCTGTTGCCGATGGTCATTGCAATTCTAGTGGCGAGCGTGGCATCCGGATATGCCATCACTTATATGGGCTACTACATTATATTAATGATACCAGCGGGATTTACAACCCTCGGAGGCGCAATTATGATGATGTACTTTGAAAAAGACACTCCAGCTAAATTCTGGATCCCTGCTCTGGCGCTTCTCGGTTTCGGTATCGGACTTGGAATATCCGGGCCGTTTCTGGCTGCACAGGCTATTCTTCCGGAAAGAGATAGATCGGTTGGACTGGCCATCATGACATTCTCTCAGGAATTCGGTGTAGCATTGTCGCTAGGTATTGCACAGTGTTTATTCCTCAACGGACTACGCGCAAGTATCATCCGTATTACGCCAGAATTGAATCCAGAAACTATCATCAATGCTGGTGCAACGAGCTTGGCTGGCTCAGGGTTAGAGAAGTACGCCAGTCAGATTGACGAGGAGTATAGTCAAGCGTTGAAAGCGACCTTTGACTTGAGCTTGGGAATGGCCGCTTTGGTAGTCGTAACCGGGTGTCTCATGGAGGTACGGTCTGTGAAGTGAGTCAATTGTGCTGGAGGCCTCGGATAATGGTTTAGATGTCTTCAGAACCGATATCAATCTCATTTCAAACAGGAATGATACTGCCCCGTGTCGTTCCTCTATTAGGTTATCTTACAGGGTCTCTTCCCACGCTTTGCTTATGTGACGAACAAGAAGTCAAAATCATGACTATAGTTACACAATAGAAGTTTATTGTTACATTTCGAAGCAAAAGAGTTACATAGAGTGAATCTTCACCTGCTTAGTCAGCGAAACTCCGACGCCGGCCTTTAACTAACTCATTCAGGTTGGACATGACTCACTTATCTGCACCTCAAGAATGATCCGAGAGAATTCCTCAATGATCATCTCATAGCCTGGATACAAAGGGACCATTGATGCATTGAGCAAAATAAGTGAGAAAAGATGGGCAAATTCTACGAAACAATCCCCGAAACTCTCTCCACCTGGATCCTAACTCAAAAGATCTTCTGGGTAGCCACCGCCCCATTATCAGGAACCGGTCATGTCAACGTCTCCCCCAAGGGCGGGCCTTACTTCGGTCTGCTCGACAACAAAACCTTTTGGTATCTAGATATGACCGGTTCCGGCAGCGAGACAATTAGTCACATCTACGAGCCAGGCAATGGTCGTGTCACGATTATGTTCAATGCCTTTGAAGGTCCCCCACGCATCGTGAGACTGTGGGGGAAAGGGAGAGTATTAGAGAATGGGGGCAAGGACTTTGCGGACTTTGTGGAGCGAAATCACGTTCAGCTTGTCTCGGGGACGAGGTCGATTATTGTGGTGGACGTGCATCAGGTTGGGTCATCGTGTGGGTTCTCGGTGCCTTTTTATGAGTTCAAGGACTTTCGCGAGACGTTGCTGGATCATCATGTCAGAAAGGAGAAGAAGTATAAAGAGGGAAATGAGAAAGAGAGCTTTCCAAGGTTTGTTCTTTCTATTCCCGATCACGTATATTTGACTGACATTTTTTGAAAAAGATACTGGGCGGCGAACAATACATGGTCCATGGATAACCTTCCTGGTATGAAAACCGCAGTGGTAGTCAGTGCAGAGGAGAAGATCGTTCCGAACACCAAAATGGTTGGCCCACTGGCACCAAAGCATCCAGGCATACCCAGCCGAGGAGTGTTACCATTACAGCGACAAGCTGCTAATTTGCAACCTTCTTTGCTGTTACTCGTGGCTTTTTTAAGCTTTATAATGGGGGTTTGTGCTACGCTTTTTATTGGTAGTGAGAAGGTCATGGAACCTTTTGCTGCTTATCTTTAGGGTTATCAACTCGAACTTTATTGCTGACATACGATGGTAAAAGAAGTACTCTGCCCAGTCGTTTAATCATATCCAGGTAGCCTTAGAGATTCATTCCTACCTTGAAGGATCCGAGTTGCCACAATTCTTCATTGAGTTGGACATGTAAGGGTGAATCGTCTTCTATTCTGATTTGTGTTTGTCAGGCTTCGGCAGACTTGTATTGCATTTAATAAGCTTTCCAGAACAATGCGAGTACCAGCAAGATGCCATAGTCTTAGCTCTAAACTTACACCTGCCCAAACGGGAGATAGACAGGTCAGAGCCTTGCCTTAGCCCTTGAGCAGAAAGTATCCACTATGCACGTTTTTGTTGGTTTGCAAATGCTCAGCACAAAGTCGCCCGAAATCTGGTGACGAGATGCTTATCCTTCTCATTCAAGCTCATCGCAACCACGTGTATCCTGCCAAGTCGGTACGTGATGCTGATGAAAGCTTCTATCTAGTATGTACGAATTGGATTTGGAGACTGGGAGGATAAGAAATGAAGCCGACTTGGCGGGCTCCTCTCCAGATACCCGGGGAGATACCGGGTTAGCCGGACAGAATACCGCATTGACCTTCACACCGAAACTCTGACAATCGGAATTTGCGCCGATGTTCTGCTCCCGGACCGGTAAACCGATTCTCTGCACAATCTTATTCTATCTATGCCTTTTATGGCCAGAATTTTACTGGAGAAACTAATAGAGAAATAGATAAATTGCTCTGCAATGAGCCGAGCATATACATCATCTTTCTCATCTCCAGAACCCCAGACTAGAGAAATATCCTCGAACACTCGGTCGAGTCATTCGGCACACCTGCCCCGGTACACCTCGTCTCGATTGCCGCTTCAATCAGGCTTTGTACCAATCAGCAAACGATGTATTCAAATTAGCAGTTAAATGCGGAGAATATTTGGGGGTACCTCTCACCCCACCGCCAACGTTTCCTTCAATCTCTCGCCAGCAACCCCCACGGGCCCCGTCTTCTCAGATTTGCCTGCTATTACCTGGTAACTACGTCGTACCATAGGCAAATACTAGTCCTAAATACACACATACGTAGTAATAGCTCGATTAATTCGCGACTGCTCCACATGTACCACCACCCAGGAAAAGCAAGAGTAAGCGAGTCATTTGGAAAAGCTTACTTACAAAGAAAACGTGCCGTATAGTAGAATATCAATCCCGGATGAACTCACGCTTTTGGTATGTGGAGTACATAGTCTGGAGTAGCTGGTGACCCCAGACACACAATCTTTCCCGGGCCTACATACGTACGGAGTAATCATCCGGAAAGCAAGTCAAAACTTCTATAGTAGTCCTGGATACTTATATACGCGAGTCTGCCCCCGGATCTAACGCTGCTGATCTTTTCTTGACTCTTCTTCCTGGTGTCTAAGATTTGTATAACGGCCGACCATACACACTACTACCAAAAATCAATATTGGACAACTACGATGGCTCCTTATTTTGGCCTTCGGGGCATGCCCCTGGTGGTTGCCATCACCGCTGCTTGTTCTACCGGCTTCTTGCTTTTCGGTCCGTTTAGCCTTGGCCCCGTATCTCGAAATATTACTGACACTGTCGATTAGGATACGACAATGGTGTCTTCTCCGGCCTCACAACAGACGAACTCTTTCTCACAACAATGGGCAGCCCTAACTCCACGTTACTCGGATTCATCGTTGCCGTGTACGAACTCGGGTGTCTCGTCGGTGCGCTGGCCTCTTTCTTCTGGGGTGAAGCCCTCGGTCGTCGCTGGCTCACCGTGTCTGGCGCCGTGTGGCTTATTCTCGGCACTGTGGTTCAATGCACTTCCTATGGTCAAGCGCAGATGATTGTGGGCCGTATCGTGACTGGTTTCGGCATGGGATGTATCACTTCTGCGGTTCCCATTTGGCAGTGCGAAACTACGCCTGCACACTTGCGTGGCAGGACAATGGCTATTGAGCTTTCGTGCTTGATTGTCGGCATTGTCGTGGCTTACTGGATCGATTATGGTTGTAGTCTGTACACGAACGAGTTACAATGGAGGTTCCCGATTGCTTTCCAGATCGTCTTCGCCATCATGTTGATTGTTATGTGTTTCTTCCTACCTGGTAAGGTTGACCGCGCCCCTGTCATAGATTATCGACAAGCTAACTCCTTCCTGCAGAAAGTCCCAGATGGCTCGCAAGCCACGGCCGCGAACAAGAAGCGCTTGAAGTTGTCTGTCTTCTCCGGGACGGCAACCCCGAGGACGAAAACATCCGCGCTGAAATGGCTGAAATCAAAGACGCCATCGCTCTCGAGGAAGAAGCAGCTGGCGGCTGGAAGGACTGTTTCCGTGACGGAGGTGTCATGGGCTGGCAGCGTGTTGCTATTGCATGCTCGGCACAAGCTCTGCAGGAATTTACGGGAACCAACATCATTACTTACTATGCTCCGTATGTGATGGTGAACAGTGTTGGTCTTAATTCACACCAATCCCTGTTGTTGTCTGGTGGTCTTCAGCTATGGTTTCTTGTTGCGTCTATTCTGCCTTGGTATGTCTTCTCTCCTAGCCTCGCTTGAATTCAGTGTCAATGACTGACTGTTACGACCAGGTTCTTCCTCGATAAGATTGGACGTCGTAAGCTCTTCTTTCTCGGCAGTGCTGGTATGGGTGCTTGCATGTTGATCTCTGGCTTGACTATCAGAGCCAATACACACAACACTGGTATTGGCGCCGTGGTCGCTCTCTACATGTTCCAAGCATTCTTCACCTGGGGCTGGATGTCCAACATGTGGGCCTACCCAAGTGAAATCCTCCCCATCCGTCTCCGACAAACCGGTTCAGCCTTATCCGTTGTTTGGCAATGGCTCATCACCTTCCTCGTCGTCGAAATCACGCCTGTCGGTATTCAGAATATCGGCTGGAAACTCTACATTGTCTTTTGCATCCTCAACTGGGCATCTATCGTCATCGTCTACTTCTTCTATCCTGAGACGGCGGGCAAGTCGTTGGAACAGATTGAATTCTTGTTCGCCAGTCAATCGAGTTTGAGACAGGTGGTCAAGCTGAGTCAAAGAAAGGATTTGGATGAGATGGCTGTTATTCGGGAAACGCAGGCGCAGGCGCACCAGCAAAAGTCGGATACGAAGCAGGTCGAGGATACTGATGCTGGGGAGACTGTTGAGTAGATACATTGCAGGTTTATGCAGCGGAGGCTCTGTCCGTTTATGCAAGTCTATTTAAACTCCGTATACAGTGAATCTCTATATACGAGATTTCACCGAAAAATAAGAATCTGTGCCAATAGACAAATTCAACTATGGTTTGAACATTGCACGTCATTTTCCTTTATGAGCCGGAATCGATCACATCCCTCTATCTATAGACACCAATGTCAAGGCCAAGCAGTTGCTTTTAAATCTATACTAGCAAAGTCATTAAACAAATTGAGAGCTCATTCTGAGGAGCAAAGTGGCAGGACTGAGCTGATTTCCTATATAGGTAACAGTTGCCCAAACGAGAAGTCACAGGCCCAGAACCAGATATCCAGCACGAAGTACATATGCAAATGGCACAGCCATCGATTTCCATCCAAAAAAAATATGTTCCCATCTATTGGGTTTCATTCGTGTACAATAACTTTCACCTATAACTCAGAACCATACAGGCTACTTGGGTACCGAGAATGTGGTACCGAGGTAATCCCATAATGATCATATTAATCAAAGCGTCATGTGGCTTGTATTTTGTGGTAGATTTAATACCTATGATGGCCAAAGATGACTTGTACTACGTACTTAGGTATGTGTAAGCTTCTCAGATTTGTCTGCCTCTCTGACAAGATAAAATGCGATGACAAGAGTGCACGAACCCCAGAATTGGTGTAAACCTTCCCCAGTTTTCCCCAGTCATACAGAACATCTTTTTGGATCGCAATGAACAAACCTCAAAGAAAAGCCTGAGATGAGTGATGTCGGTGGCTGCCTGGTTCTCATAAAATCCTTTCCTAAGGACATGGAGTTTGTGAACGAATTGGGTTGTAAGTGTTGGTGGCTGGGCTAGGCTGGCCTGGGTTGTGTATGACTCAATTCGTCCATCTCGTGTGCCAAAAAACAAGGAAATGTTTTAGGGCGCTGGGCTTGATATTAGCGTATTATTTAGTGTCTTTGGGCTTGATTGCGGACATTCAATTGGATTAGCCGTTGTTAGTATGTAAGTTACGTAGTTAGCTAAATTAGCTTAGTAACGTGTGAAATATGACCCGTGAGAATCATGCTTGTTTCCTCTTGAAGTTACCTCGGGAGAGGAGTTTCTTTTGCTACAGAGGACGGACGATGGGGTCTTGTTCATGTATTAGCATATATGACAATAGGAACGGAGACGGAGTACAGTATCACTACACCATGTTATAGCGATCACCTTTCATTAGAGTGAATGTTTTATTCCGGGGAGGCATGTACCATTTTTGTGCTTTGAAGGAGGCCGTTCCTTTATATCGGAGGACACTGCTTGAATAGGATATAATCATCATTAAAGGTTGTCGATGAATTGTAATTGACAGTTTAAATTGGACAATTCGTAAACTTTGTCGAGTACGTAGTTACGGGGTTTCAAGGTGAAAGGTAAAGAACAGCGGGGGCGGGATGACCCCGTGGGACAAAAAGTCAAAGTAAAGTTGAATTGTCCACTGAAATACCGGTAGGCCTCAACTCTGCGATATTGTTTCTATCACTTCTCAGTTTTTCGTCTTCTCTTTGGAGGATCTACATCAACATGCAGGCAGTACCCAGTTTCTGTAGTCTCCCGTCCTCCGTCGGCCATTAGTTCAAGATCTGGACAAGATCTTCACATAAACCTGTCTATGGTCAGTCTGTCAGATAAAATAGAGTTGGAAAGCTGCAAAACGGTTATGCTATGCAGTTGTTGCACCAGTCCCACGACCTCATCTCCGTAAAATCATCGTCGTTACGTCTGCGATGATATATCGACTTCGGACATTGATCTTGCCCATGCGTGTTGATGTGTATTCGCCCTAAGGGAGTCGCCGAGGATAAACTAGAACAGAAGCAAATCCTACCAAATCCGGTAACTATGCCGTGAGAACGGTCCCGTGCTCATCGCTCAACGCGTGCTCAAAAAGTCAATTCCCTTGTGAGTCTCGGCTGAGCAGCAATGCACCCCTCGTGTGGCGAGAATGTTCCTTGGATTTGGATCTGGATCTGATTCTCAGATCCAACACTCTCGTTGCAGTCAATTTGCGCATTAAAAAAAATACCTGCACTGTGCTGTGTATACATCCCCATATACTGCTCCAAATGAAATCATCCGTACCCTCGCTCCAAGCTCGCTATCATACAGTTACATCCGGCTTCGAAGATCCGCGAAGAAGGCACAGTCGGGATCGCGGTTTGACGTAATTCGAGTTCACCAATTCAGGCCTCGTTCATAGGGGGAGCATCTCAATGCTGCTGATCTAAATCTTAGAGGCGGGCGCGAGCCCAGACATCGGTGATCGTACAATCGTTCAGCCACGATGAGAGACAGCTGTGGAAGCTAGTCGTAATAAACAACTTCCTGAGATGATTATGAACCTACGAAAATATGCTCAAGCGTAGTGGTTGTCGCTAAACCAATGAGCAAATTCGTAATTGAAAGTTCGCGGTAAGATCCAGTTGCCCGTCACTGCGTACGTATAATATTCCTCGGCTTGTCCGTAATAGGCCAAGGGCATGTCCGGGGATGCTGAAGGCTAACTGCAGACTGGAGAGCCCTAAGACTAGAGCTCGAGCCAATTTAAGCCGCCTCCACCAGGGTTGCAGCACGAGTTCACATGCTGTCCCGAGAAGTTCACCCTGAGCCACCAGTTCAAGAAGGCTCTAGAGGGGCAAGCCAGCGAAAATGCCGAAACTAGGAAAGGTCTCATAACGATCAGCATCGTTTACCCCACTTGGGAGGATTTTTCAGTAGACTAGCAAGCACGATGCCAGTCCAGATCTTCATGAGGGTTTTCTTTCGGTGTACGAGATACGTACCTCCACTTGGTCAAGGAGAATTTTCCAAATCCGTGGACAAGCGTGAGCACAGATGCAGTCACGAGTGCACAAGTTTGACCGATCAGCACTAGACGGGGTGGTTGGCTGTAGGATGGAGAGACTATTCCTGGTAGAGACAATTGGTGAGGTACGTAGAAGTAGAGTAATGAGAAGGAGGAACTGGAGTTCGTACGGGGAAAGCGCCTTCCCCATGGAGAGGGTGGCGCTGCCGCGGAAGGAGCCATCTCCAACTTCTTCTCTGTAGAGCAACACCCGGGACTCACACAATCTTTCTCCGAACACACTACGAAGTATCGGAACCAACCCGTTACCAGGGTGTGCGTACTACCACAATTCAATCCCTGTCTACGGACTACACCCGGCTTAACCGGAGACTGATAGACTACGAACTCACCTGGATATCCTGAGCCCTCTACTAGCCGACAAAGTCTTTGACCCCCGCAATCATCATCCCGTGCAAGACTAAAAGCACCAACTCTCTCCACTTTTTCTCGCACTAACTCCTTCGATCAMCCTCAACAAGTTGGATTGGCGCAGCTMCCCCTGCCAGTCTGCCGGTACCTTCAGATTCCGCACTGACAAGCCTTCCGTACATCGGGCAACTGACGCGAATAAACCCGTTCAATATAGATGCCCAGGATATCAAATCGAGAGATATCCGATGAGACTGCAGGCCGTTAATTGACTTAATCTTCGTACGAATCGCGTGGACAAATTGGCATCTGCGATCAGTGTCCTATGTGCCCAATTCCCCATACCTCGGAACTAGGCCAGCCTAGCAAGAACCGGGCTGCGCACTAGTTGAAACAACAGCCCAGTTAGAGTCTGCGGTACTGTTGATCTTACCAAAAACTCTGTGATAGCAGAGTTGCGCTATGCATATGGCGGATAATAGTGTATACTGCCCGAGAGGGGAAATTTGAGGGCCCATTGCTGCCGCTAAGCTCAAAGTTTGCTTTTGCGCGTTGACATCATCTCCATAATTCTGGAGACTCCTTCAGGAAGGAGAGATAAATCAACAAAGGCCATCACATGTGCGATGCGGGTCAATGGCTCCCTCGGCCTGGTCTAGGGTGCCCCCAGAAAGCTCCCCATGTGGGCATCTGGGGGAGAGATGAAGCTAATTTCCCTGCTTGTAGCTGAGCTGTGCTAATGTCCGAGACATAAAAGGAGAGATTCCTAGCTTGACTCAGGTTAGAGTCTTTTTTTGGTTCTCTCCGCTCGTCTTTTACTCGACGAATTCGACAATTGGAGGCGGCAGCTGAAAGTAAAGGGTCTTTGTACGCGTGTGGATAACCTCAACAATCACAATGCGCGTTTTTACGACAATTGCTACAGCGGCAGCGCTGGCCAACTTGGCTGTTGGTTCGCCGGCTGGAAATGGCTCATCCTCTGGCATTGTCCAAGGTGCTGCCGCTGGCATCGTCTCGACCAGCGTAGCCAGCACCACCACAGCAGCAGCAGACGCGCCCAATGAAGCCGTTGCATCAACCGCACCTGCTGCTGCTTCCACTACAGCCCCCGCCGCCGACACATCCGCCGCAGGTTCAGACACAGGGGCCGCCAACGCCGATTCAGCTACTTCTACCCCCATCGTCTCTGTTTCCGTGCCTGCGGCAGCAGATAGCACTGCAGCTGCTTCTACTGCCCCGGCTGCGGCTGCCAGCAGCGTATCTGATGCTGCTACCGGCGTCGCCAGCTCTGTCGCAGCGGCCGCCACTTCCACGACCTCACCATCCGGCACCACCGGCGCCTCTGACGCCTCAAGCACCACGTCCAGCACTTCTTCGAGCACTACAACATCTGCCAGTGCTGGTGACCTTGCAAGTTTACTCAGCGGTTTGTTGGGTGGAAGCAGCAGCACCTCGAGTGGCTTAGGAAGTCTGATCACGGATCTCGAGAACTATCTGAGCGGTATCACTGGCTTGCTTAGCCCGACATTCTTGAAGAATCTCGAGTCCTTCGTCAACAATCTTGCCCTCCTTCTTGATGCGCCAACCACTCAACAGACGAAAGAGGTTCTCTCTGTCGTCCATACACTTGTCAACAACGGCACTGCTTCATCGCTCGTAAGCTTGCTGTCGTCCGCTGAGCAGCTCTTGACGCCAACATTTGTCAACGAAACAAGCAACTTGATTAGCAAGGTCTCGCCGTTGATCGATGAATTGAGTCCCTTGTTGACCGGAGACACTGTCACCAACATCGAGAGTCTATTGACGAATGGTGCCGCATTGTTGACGCCAACCTTCGTCAAGGACACTCAAGCCCTTATCACGGACGTCGCACCAATCTTGGATGATCTCAAGCCACTATTGAGCAACCAGACTATTTCCGAACTCGAGGATCTGCTCACCAACGCTAATGGCTTGTTGACCGCCTCGAACACTAAGGCTATCGAGGACTTGCTCACCAACGCCAACACGTTGTTGACGGCCGATAACACGAAGGCGATTGGATCATTGCTCACTAATGCTAATGATTTGTTGACGCCAGAATTCGTCAAGGATACCCAGTCTCTTATCACTGATGTCGCACCAATTTTGGATGATCTCAAACCGCTCTTGAGCAACGAGACCATCTCTGAACTGGAGAGTCTCCTCGTAAATGCCAATGGCCTGTTGACCACTAAGAACACACAGGCTATCGAGACATTGCTCACCAACGCCAATACGTTGTTGACTGCTGATAATACCAAGGAGATTGAAGCATTGTTGTCTAACGCCAACAGCTTGTTGACTGCCGATAACACTAAGGAGATTGAAGCATTGTTGTCTAATGCCAACGGCTTGTTGACACCTGATAATACTAAGGCCATCGAGTCACTGCTCACCAACGCCAATACTTTGTTGACTGCTGATAATACCAAGGAGATTGAAGCACTGTTGTCTAACGCCAACAGCTTGTTGACTGCCGATAACACTAAGGAGATTGAAGCATTGTTGTCTAATGCCAATAGCCTGCTGACACCTGACTTTGTCAACGAGACCAAGAGCTTGATCGGCGATGTTGCACCACTTCTCGGCGATCTTGGCCCTGTTCTCGCAGCCGCCGCACCTTTGTTGACCACTAAGAGTATCGACAACATTGAGACTCTGTTGACCAATGCGGGCAGCTTGTTGAGTACTTCCAACACTCAAGAAATTGAGAACTTGCTTTCGACCGCCAGCGGTCTGCTCACTCCTGAAAACACCCAAGATATTGAGTACTTGGTCACCAACGCTACAAAGCTGTTGACACCAAGCTTCGTCTCGGAGACAAGCGGTTTGATTGGAGACGCTGCTCCTCTGCTCAGCGAAGTCGGCCCGATCTTGACMCTCGTCAAGCCACTATTGACCAATACCACCATCGCAGAACTCGAGGGTCTGCTCAGCGGTGCTGTAAGTCTGTTGACACCCAAGTTCATCAACGAGACCAGGGATCTTATCGACGAGGTTGGACCCATCCTTTCAACCGTTTCGCCATTGATCACACCCGACTATATTGAAGAGCTCGGATGGCTGTTGACCAACGCCAGCAACTTGTTGACACCAACATTCGTCAACGAGACCAGTGGCTTGATTGGTGATGCAGCTCCTCTGCTCAGCGAAGTCGGCCCGATCTTGACTCTCGTCAAGCCGTTGTTGAGCAAGGATAACATCGACGATATCGAATATCTCCTCACCAATGCCAGCAACCTTCTTACACCCACGTTTGTCAATGACACTCGTGGCCTCATCACTGAAGTCGCTCCAGTCATCACACCAGATCTCTTGGCCCAGGTCGGCGGCTTGCTAATCAACGCTGACAACCTCTTGACGCCTACATTCGTCAACGAAACGGGCTCGCTGATTGGTGATGTCTACCAGGTAAGATTTCCCCTTCGTCAACCATAACTTCTTGAATAAATGTTTGCTGACCATCTTTTAGCTTCTGCCATTGTTGAGCAGTCTTATAAACGCTTTGTAAGAAGGAGTTTGGGAAGGTTAACATATCCTTGATTGCATTATCCTGGTGGTTTTGATTGTTTTTTTTTTCTTTCTTTCTTCCCACGACATACAACCCTCGTGAGAAGTTCATGACATGCGTCGATGATTATGAAAGACCAATGCTCGTATGAAAAGCACATTGAGAAAACCCATAAATGACGTTTGAGTTTTTTGTTCCGGCATCCATGGATGTTTCGTCTCTGTTTTTGCGGATTTATGATATCCTGCAATGTCCTATTTGGAACATTGTTTTGTTAATATGCATAATGATATAATGTGAATGGCACATATACATACTTATATAAATTCCTATGAGGTTGTATATATCGAACATCTTTTCCATCGTCTTCAAAGTAATCAGTATCTGGTAGATGCATTGTAGAAGTGGGATAGGAGAGCTTGACTTGTATGAAAAGAAAACAAGGCAGCTCGGCAGCTGGCCGGAGCTTACCTCGCCTTGGACCGCATCATGCCTTCGGTCCGATTTTAGCGTGTCCATTGCCATCAAGAGTACACAATGACGTGACAAGAATGAGCGAATGCGAGGGAGGAAAAAATAGATATTTAGTCTATCCTGAATAGCAAAATTGATTTCTAGATTATTTACACCAAGTCGTTCATCGAATCTCTTTATATCTCCTTCTAATCCGTAGGCAGAAACAAGTTAGTTCAATCGACTCCCGAAGACCGAGTCGACTCCCGAAAATCTGTTCTAGCTAGTAGGCTACGGCCGAATCAACAATAATTCACTGGGCCTGTACGGCTGCGAGCTTGCGAGTGTTGACTCAAGTGTCGATCCCTCTATCCACATTCATAGTTGTAGAGCATAGTATGGACCGTTCCTGACTACTGGCTGGTATTCGTCGCGTCTCTGACATGTGATTGCGATCCTTATCTGTGGGAACGAGAGTCTACTATATCTAACCCATACAGGACACGAGTAAAGACGAGCTCTTTCAAGCTATGCTGTCATTGGGAAATGGATGAGCTTGTGGGTCGGTGAAAGAGTCAAATTGCACATGCGATTCTCTTTGTGGTTGTAGACGTACGCTGGAATTAGGCAGCTGAATTTTTCGTGACGTACCGTTCATGCAGCTCAGTTGATCCTTTTGATGTGGTTCGTCGCAGACTCATTGATCATGATATTGTATCATACCGAGGGTTGGCTGGTCCTCGTGAGACTTCGCGCGTTATCACGACATCCTTGACACAGTCTGAAGTACTGCTATTTGTGATGCGACCGTTCAATCACATGCACAAAAACATGATCGAGATCGTTGTAGAATAATTCCAAGCAGCCCATAGAATAGTGCTGTGAAAGAAGGATCGAAGCGTAGGCATCTAGCTCTTCGAAGCCTGATACTTCGTTAAGACTTTGTACTCCACCTCCCACTCCTTAGCCTTTGCATCCAGCGCCTTCTGAGCCGCATCTCTCTTCTTGTCTTTCTCATCCAATTTCTGCCTGATCTCTTTCACGGCGTCCTCCTGCGCTTTGAGCATGGCCGTTTTCGACGGGTGCTCTTTGCGTAGATGCTGGAGATGAGGTTGGATCTCTTCGATGTTGAGTAATTCGCATGTGACTGGGTGGTAGTGTGTGGATGGTACCGTGTCGTTTTGGGGGACGCGAATCTCTGGGAGTTGTTCATGAATAGGTGTTGTGCGTATGGAGGAGTCGAGTGGGACGGGTTCGAAGGCGCGAGACTGGCGTCGGGCGTTTTCCTCCTCAGATGGAGGGGATGGTAGCCTGCTCATCGTATGTTCTGTATTCTCTGTGAAGTCCTCTTTAATGTTCATGTAATGTGATTGTTTGAGCGGGTGTGTAAAGCCAAAAAATAGTGTGGTGGAGAACTGACGTCTTTGCTTTTCTGCCGCTCCATTCAGGCACAACAGCCATACCGCCTTCATTATCATCTCCCTTTGCGTCACATTTCCATTCATTGTTGCTCTACATAGTAACAAGTCATAGAATTTTAAAAGACATTGAACTACTGAATAAAACTAAAAATGCAGGCTTTTGGTAGGGACCTCCACATCTTTGTCGTTTTTTTTAGAAGTGCGCTTACACACAATAGTGCCGAAGAACAGAAGAGTGAGCGGAGATGTCCATGTTAAATACACTTGGCCTCGAACTAATAAGTAGAAAATAGACCAAATTCGAGCTCAAACTAAGAGTAGGACCTACACCCATTCTTTCATATATCTAGACTAACAATCATTTTAGATACTCGATCTCAATAACATCCCACTGGTTGCCGGGACGTCATATGTGAAATGGCATCTCCCATCCTCCATAGCCGCCGAGCACCGCGGCCATACAGATCGAGCCGTAATCCAAGATCATCGTGCCTCATGGGACTATGAGAAAGAGTTACCCGTCAAACTCACAATAGATCGAAACCACATGCTTCAGGAATGTGACATTTCATTCGAGATATTTCAAGAGTTCTCCTCCGGAAGTCGAGGGGATCGTATAACGCTGGGCAATATCAAGCTCAATCTTGCGGAGTATGTTGATCGAAGTGAGGACGACAATGGCATTGTAAGGAGATATTTGATGCAGGATAGTAAGATCAATAGTACGCTCAAAGTGGGCATATTGATGCGGCAGGTTGAAGGGGATAAGAATTATATCACGTCAGCACCTCATCCCATTTACCTGGAAGGGTTTGAAGAGTCATTGCTAAGATTACGCAGACCTCCCTTAAAATCGGCCATGGTATTCGGTGGCATAGCTGGCATCCTACCACACGAACACGGCGAAACCGAGGAACCAGGCAGCCTACCCTCAATCAATGTCAGCCGCGAAACCGGCGATTTGCAAGACATGTACCGTCGCACATTAGCCGCATCCTGGACCGCACAAAGCGACGAGCTTCTCCCAGACCAATTAATCGAAGACCTATTCGCTGGCGGTCGCGGCGTCCGATCTGCTACACGGTCAGGAGCCCGATCAGAGCGCGCGGATGATGATGACGGTAATATAAGCGACACTGGTTCTCGGACAACAGTTCAAGAGAGTCGATCGGATAACAAACGACCGAAAAGTGCATTGAGTAGTCGATCAAGAACGGATTTGAGAGATACAGATAGTACGATGAGTGGACGGGGTAGTCTCGAGAGCTCGTTTCAGGATACCAAAGAAAAGGCTTGGAAGAGTTCCAAAGCTAGTCATGAGGTATCAGAATTTGACATTCGGGATGATCTTAGAACGTGGGAGATTACTGTGAATGATTGATTTTGAAATAACAGTGGTCAGGAAAATTTGATTTTTGATATTAAAATTAAATATGTCTATAACATGTACATACATCAACCTTGCTCCGTGATCCCCATTTACCCCTAGCCGTTTATGACATTATGCAAATCAAAAGAGAATAAACTTTTGAAAGTCCAGTGGCATCTAGTAGATACCCGGGATAATCTTACTGCGCACCAATGAAGTATACTTTTCCCAATCCTTTCCGTACTTACGATGGCACTTCTCCTCATCTCGTCCTTCGCGGTGAATGAGCAGAATACCAAAGTAGAGGATGTAAAAGTACGTAAAGATGGAACCCCAACCTCGAGATTCAGGTGTCTGCACGGCATGCTTCTCTAGCTCTCCCGTAGTTGAGTTGATAGCTTCGATAATGGTATAGCCAGCGAACCCAGTAGGAAGACAATAAGCCCAAGACATGAGCCAGTCACCGAGGTAGTTGATATGACGCGCAGTTCCCCACCAGCCAGAGATGAGTAATTTGGATCCAGATTTTGTCTCCATGTATTTGAGGTGTTTGATGCGCGGATCGTTGGGGTCTGTTCGGAAGCGGTTTTTCTCGTTATTCGCGCTGCGGAATATGTAATACCCCAAGCCAACAACGGCAAGAGAGAGTGCAATGCCCTGAAGACCCATTTTAACCGGGAAGATTGCGAGGTATCTTGTCTGAGTCGAATACAAGAATGGGACCCATACGAGGTCACCGAAGCAGAGCATAAAACCAAAGCCATCCATGATGATATCCATGGTGGTAAGAATGGCAGGTTCCATGTAAGAACTATCCAAGACATAGAAAGATTGCGCAATAGTAATCAAAATGATCGAATCAGTAACGTAGCCGTGGGTGCGGTACTGGCGCGCGACATTCGATAGGTTGAGGATGATATAGCCAATAAGACCTGGTCTCATCTCGCAAAAGACACCGATGTCAATCGTTCGGGCTGTTTCACTGACAAATGGTACAGGCAAAGTCACACGAGAGTTGAGTTCCCGGCCAATGAAGAAGTCATAAATGACATTGCCGGTCCAGCCACCAGGTGCCAATTCGCGGAGGTCGGGGTTTGGTCGTCCAGGCTCCGGGATGGAGAAGCTTCGAGCATATACCCAGACTGAGATGACGATGGTAATGAGAAGATTTGCGGTAAGCACCTGCACGTAATTGTCCCAGAGGAAAGTCCAAACAGCGAATTCAGCTCCGTAAACAAAGGTTCCCGCGGCTAGGCCACCTAGAATCAACATGGTAGAGCGGAATGCTTGATTTTTATCAGCCCCTGATTCTTGTCCTCCTGAAAAGGATAATCTTACTGTTGAATTTGTACTTGTGTCGTCCACCGCATGCTAATTCGACTCCTTCCACCTCCTCGCCGGGGAGGAAGATCTGCAGAAAGAGGAGAAGGGCATAATATGACAAAACCCACAGCGTCACCTCTGTATCATAAAGACCAATGATTCCATTCTCAGGCCAACCAATTTCACTTTTCAATTTATCCCAGGTCAACGTTGACGGGTGAAGGAGAGACGGCGCGGGACAGCCGGAGACGTCATTGCAGAAGAAGGCGAAGCAGTAGACGAGGATAGGTAGACCGAAAACAATTCCTGTAGCTCCTAGTCTGTTCACTGATCAGTACATATCCAAAAGATAAATCGGGATGTAACGACGAACGGTCCACCGAATTCATAGCCCCTTTTCTCCGGAGCGATCTGTACAGGCACAGTAGCTTTTGGTCCTTTCTTGGGTCCCATTGTGAATATCGTCGGCAGTCGAATCAGTCCTAATAATCCAGAGCAATATCTCTTACTTCAACTGTTGAAAAGAACAGGAGAAGTGCGTGGGGCGCCAAAGATTAAGGGCTTGCGGCGATCGCTCAAGCCCTTAAATACGCGATCTAGAGCTCGGCACGCCACGTTCCGTATAAGACGATGCGATCGAGGGTTGCGTATAGCTCGTATGGGTTTGGTTGCATCGGGATCGAGGACTGCGCCACGATGGAATTGTATTCTAGTACGCCGCAGTTGACAATGAATTGTGATTGACTAGATCGTGGAGCAGTAGGAGCTATCGCAAATGTTTTTTATCGTTGGTGCTTTCGTCACTTTCATAAAAGCTAAGGGCGCCTTACCTGAAGCAGGCTAGGGCCATCTCCAACTCCGCATTGAGACGCCGAGGGCCAGTGAAACGCCAGACTGGTGCCTTGTGTTCCTGGCTGTATCAGGTCTCACGTCAGTCAACCTCATCTCTACCAGGGTTCATGCTGCAACAGTCAGTGAACCATCCGGATAACATCGCTCATTACCAGACTTGATTACTATTCGATTCTCAACCGAATCCAACGCTATACCGACCATCTGCAATCAACGCAGATAATCAGCCATGAAGATGCTGACGCGGCCAACCCTACTGGCCACCTTTAATGTCCTCCTTCTCCTGCCCTTCTCACAGACCATCGAGGCAGCTTCAGACACGCCTAAGAAAGATGTGAATCCCCCCTGCACCGTCCAGTCCGTAACGACAGGCGCATTCTTCGATCTAAGCACAATCTCCCTATCGCCGCCGGAATTGAAGGATGGCAGGAAAGTACACAAGAACGACCGAGATGAAAGCTGGGAAGCTCGGGGACATGATTATGGAACGAATTTTACAATAAATATATGTGCGCCGGTCATTGAGAGTGTGGTGGATGTTGTGGGGGTAGATAAGGCGAGATGGCAGAATGTCAGTGCCTACTATGAGCAGAAGGGGAAGGTTTATTCTCTCGGGTTGGTACTTGCCTATGATTTACGGATGACCAGGCTAGCTAATTGACGATTTTCCAGGGAGCAAAACTCCGAACCTATATTTCGAGGCAAACGACTCGTATTAAACTATACCAATGGATCACCCTGTCCGAGCTCCGATGCCTCCTACCTCAACTCGAGATATTATTCAGACGACGATGACGACAACGACGATTACGCCGCAGCACAAACCTACAAGAACCGAAAAACCGCCGTTGCTACCACCGCGGCAAGTGATAGTAAGACGACCAGGCGGAAGTCGACAATCATGTCGTTCCTCTGTGACCGGGAAGCTGCTGCGTCCCAGGCCACGGTTTCTTTTGTTGGTACGATGGATTCGTGCACGTACTTTTTCGAAGTAAGAAGCTTTGCGGCTTGTGGTGGTGTGGCTGCGGCTCCAGAGGGTGGGCTTGGGCCTGCCGGTGTCTTTGGTGTGATGTAAGTTCTCCTGATTTCTTCGGTCGTTCTCGATTGACTGATTTGCGCCAGCGCTCTGATCGCTATCGTTGTATATCTCGTCGGAGGTTGCGCATATCAGCGTTCAGTGATGCACCAACGTGGTTGGAGACAATGCCCCAATTATAGCATGTGGTCGGATTTGCTCGGGTTCTTCAAGGTAAGATTCTTCCGGTATCGTTCTTAATCAGAATATCAGGCTAATCTCGGGTCGTAGGACTTCGCCATCATCATCTTCTCCTCTTTAACCCGCTGCTTCACGAGAAAGGGGTCTCCCTCCTCAGCAGGCTATTCGCGCGCCAACGGCCAAAGTGGCCTAATTGGTGCCATCGGTGGCCGACGAGGTGACCGAGGCGGTCGAGGGGACGTCGATGCTGAGAATCGCTTAATAGACCAGTTGGATGAAGAGTGGAACGATTGATTGTTGTTCTTTTTACGCTGTGCTTGACATTTTATTCTCTTTGTCTTCCAATTATATGCTATTCCGGTGCTTGAAATGCTATGTATAACAGCTACAATTCCATGACGTCTATGATTCACTATCTCAAAGGGTACACAAAAACAGGGAAACCAAAATAAATAGATATTGTGGAGGAGAAAATTGGAAAAAATATATGCAATGCATCATCCGTGAATCGAACACGGGCCTCATCGATGGCAACGATGAATTCTACCACTAGACCAATGATGCTTGTTCATGTAAAAGCCAACGAAAATATGCAATATATTCTATGCCAAAAATTGCATTGAAACAGAACAGTAGATGAAATAATTATATTATCGATTACTTTTGCAGGATGCTAATACATTATGCTTAGGATGATAAGGTGTAGGATGAGAGGATACTAGAAAAGCAGAAAGCGACCATACTGTTATGAACTCAGGTCGTTACCTTGTCTACATCGCTCCATCAACAAGAAGAAAAGATTTCGACGTTCGTATGTCAGTGGTAGACTCAGAGTCCATCTGTTACCTTCCTATGAGCTGATAGAGTATCATAAGTGAGGTAGAGATCCCTTTTCTCTCGTGTCATCGAGGAGGATTGCTGGGTGTAGGCACTAGGTGGACATTTCGAATTTCTTTCATTGATCCGAAAAGAAAAATCCAATGGATACAGTACAGGCAGTCAATATATACATTTTCACTAAGTAAACCCATACGATAAATCATTGGCACCATTCATGCTCTCAGCGGCATTACTCGCACCAGAAATATCGGCATGTCCCACTTCTGCTGCACTGGCAGTACTATCGCCCAGCATACCCGTCGAAAAAGGATCAAGATTAAAAGGTAGAAACCATGCACTTGGTTGATGAAACTCGCCTGTCCCTGACGGCGTAAAGGCATCTGTCCATATCGCTGTTGATACACTATTATTGTTGGTCGCGTTGTTATTATTGTTGTTTTCGGGAATGTTGTTGCCGAGTTGGTTGGTGTCGTTCTGGGCTCCCAAGAAGTTGAGTTCGCCCGAGGCGAGACTAGATAAGTCTGTGCCTGTATAGGCGCCATGAACGAAGTGTCTGTCGAGTTGTGGCAGGAAGTCCGGCATCATGCCATAGTCAAAGTCTGGTAGACCAAAGTTTTGAGGAGGGGCTGCAAACAGGTTCTGGCTGTTGAAGTCGGGGTATGTGGGCTCAGTATCCATGACCGTGGTTGGTGTGCTTCCTATAGGAGCAGCACTATCAAGAGGCGATAACTGCTGTTGCTGCTGCTGTGGTTGCCTGGAGGTCATGGATTGCTGATTGATGTCCGCAGATGGCTGCGACGGTGCCTGAGCTGAGACTTGCTTCGAGCTCCTCCTTGCTAGTCTCTGATGTTTTCGCGGCTCAGTGGTCGACTGGCTGGGAGACAGGCTGGCAAAGAAATCCTCCACACTCTGCAGATCAGGTCGCTGTCCCATGACTGCATCGTCGCCGATTTCTCTCCTCTTGTCGGCTTCTGGACCCTCCCAGTGCATACTAGACACGCCGTGTGGATATTTGTCAAACCAGTCTCCATATTGAAACATCGAGGGTGCCTCCTCCGTCGCATTCTGCTGTGCAGGCAGCCCTCGAATAGCTGCGTCCGCGAACTGGCGATATCGATCTTTGGCACTTTCCACCATGTAGTGGAACATGCCCCAATATCTTTTCATTTTATTGAGATAGCGGTATGTGTGTCTCAAATTTTCCTTTGATCGTGCTTCTAGTTGCGCATTCTTGGAGAAGATTCCCCATATGTGCACTGTGCTAGCCGAGTAAGCACAATATCCCGCAAATGGCACCGTCAAAGAGTAGCCGCTTGCCTGATCTATCAGCATGGAAATATGATGCGCTGCCTCTACAGCGGCTCGACCTGCATCACTCAAAAACGACTTTGGCATACCCTTTGGTGGCCTACCTCCCGGTGTCAAGGGAATGGCGAATTGGTTGAGAAAGAGCATATTTTGATGTATGATAATATGGAGGAAGATGAACTGGTTGGCGATCCTCTCCGCAGCATGGATCTGCAAGTTCTCAGGGTTGAATACAAGCGAGCTCGGTAGAGATGAAGCAAAATTGTCAATTTCTTGCCTGAGCCTTGTATATCCTGAGTTCGGATCCCATAAAGGAACGAGTTCCTTTTTCTTTCCTCCAAGATTCAGATAATCGACAATATGACCCCACACAACAATCGCACGGATTATGTATGCAGAAACACCCATATTTGCTCTTGGATCAGAAACCTGGCCTTGGCCCCTTGGAACTGGGTTGGGTACGTCCCCATACAAATCCTCAGTCGGGCCAGGAATCTCCATTAAAAAGTGAGACTCCTTCACTGGGAGCTGAATCTGTATGAATTTCTCATTGCCGATAGGCGGGCGCTGGCTTCCGGAAGAATTGTACCTGTCCATCAAGAAGGATGCCCACATCGTGCGTCTTCGAATTTCTCTATCCGTAAAACTTAGGTCTGACAATTTGCTCTTTTTGCCAAGATGATCATGATCGACTTCTTGATGTAATTGCAAAGCGTATGCCATCCTCAAGGCTTGCCCTCCGAAAGACCAACTTCGTCCGCCATGGCACGTACCGAACTCATGAAGGCCGAGAAGAAGGAATACGGTCAGAATGGTAATATTGGGCTCATCATGACGACTCAGAGCTATTCTAGCTGCCGGTCTAGCCCAGTTTTCACCTCTGAGAAAGGCCGGCTCTGTGTTGATTTGCGGGTGGGTTGAGAATCGAGCAGACACAGCACAAACAGCTAAAATTAAAACGGGAGGAACCGTGCCCGCTCGCAAGCGTCGCATAAAGCTTGATCGATGTAGCAGGAGATACGATTGGCCATATACGCAGTCAAAGAAAACTTCGGATAAATGTTCTTGTATTTCCATCGGAGGAAGAAATTCGGCGCCTTCAGTCAACAGCTCAGTACCTTCGTGAGACTTTGCTTCTCGAGTCATCGGGAAAAGGTGGTCAGCGGCAGAAGCTTGCTTAGGGTTTACCCAAGCATCAAGCTTCGATGCAAAAGCTTCATCCGCCGTGCGCTTCTTTTGTTGGGCGGCCTTTGGCTGCTTTGAGGTCTGGCCTGGGGGGGTGGGTTTAACCTGACTCCGTCCTATTGTAGGCATGTCCCTCGTTTCGCCGGCTGGTATGATCTTGATGACACGTTCCTCCATGCGCTTAAGTCGCTTGTCCAGCATCGCCATGTAATCCGTCCGAGGCTGTGCCTTGCGCGTCGTGACCTTGTACACGCAAGGAATGCGCGACTTTTGGCAATGTTTGCAAGATGGTTTTTCTCCAGAACATCGGATCTTCTTCCTCCGACAAGCAATACATGCGAGTGGCAGTCGTTTTCTTTCCTTTCCAGCCTTTGTCTTCAATTCTGTCCATGCTGGCTTTTCCGACTCATCCTCCCCTTGAGCGGCACCGGTTGCGCCGTTGCTATTCTGGCCTCTGCCGGGAGCGCCTTCTTCGGTCTGTCCGTAGTCATTCCTATCGTCCTGATCGCGATCGGGGGTACTCGTGTCGCTCATATTATCGTCATGATTCTCTGTCATCGAGTTTTGTCGGCCGTTAGCCGGTCTTTCAGTCGCCATCGGGCCGACMCCCGCAGGTCCCGCCACATACGAAGGGTTGTAATTCGCAAATGATGAAGGGAGAAATACGTCGCTTAGGTTTCACGGAATACTCAGTCGGGCGATCGATGTTATAACGTTGGGCGAGAGGGGGAGTAAGTCAGTCGTGTTGAAGCGAAGAAGAAAATGGAGATGGGAGGGCGGAGCGAGTATGGGGTAAGACCGTTGCTCGGCGGCTCGGCATGCATACATAGTATGCAATCGCAGCCATCCTTTTTTTCCTTTACCAGTTTTTACTCTACTCTGTAATTAAGTGTATCTGCTCGGATTTTCACTTTAATACAGTCATCTGCTATGGAATGCTGGCCTGCAGCTTATCGACGGATCTTCTTGTCATCCAGCAATCAGAGCCAATCCCGGTTCCCCAATTGGTAAGCTCGATCCGACTCGATTGTCGGATCGATGCATGCGGGGATTCGTCTGATGGTTAGTTGATTGGACGAACTACACATACGTAGTGTCTAGGATGCTACAAGTGCAGATTATGATCATACGTACACAGGTATCTGGTGTTGTCTGATTTCGAATCACCTTTCAGCTCAGTTCCTGGACCAAGTTCATTCACGGATGATTAGGTGGCACAGACATTTGTGTATATATGTATATTCATTTTTGAACTGAGACTTTACTTGACATCCGAATGCACTAATACATATACACGCACAATTGGGTTCTAATGAGGAAAGATACCTAGGTAACACCGAAATTCTATGCTAGAGAATCATGACTCTTGAAATACGTACCCAGAAAGACGTGGATCTACCGAATATAGGCGGCTATATAGCGGGCTGGTCTATTCCACAGCAGTCCTCCTCCACACCACTTATACAAAGTAGGCAACCTACGGCTAGTCAATAAGGGTGGGATTTACAGATGTCCCTAACTACGTACTGCTATGTTGTTAGCGTTGACTTGGTTGGTATTCTCAGACTTGAGTGACAACTCAAACCCTTAACTCCAGATAAACTCCGGTTTATGTCCGGAAACCACTCAAGACAGGATGGCCAGTGAATATATTTAACTGAGATAGAAGTACTCTAGAGTCTAAGAATGACTCAAACAAAACATCGAACAGATCTAACCACAAGAAAGAACCGCACACGCAGACTAAACATGACTGCAAAACAGATCATCACTCTCATCACCGGTACGAAGCATCTCATTCATCCGAATATTTTTTGACTGAAAGTAAATAGGTGCAAACCAAGGTCTTGGCTGGGAAGTCGCCAAAAACCTCATCCTCAGTTCAGCATCCTACCATGTCGTAATCGGCAGCCGTGACCCTAGCAAAGGCGCCAAAGCCGTCGCCGACCTCCAAGCCCTCCCAGACATCAAGGGAACACTTGACACACTCGAAATTGAGGTGACAGATGACAAATCAGTCGACGCGGCAGCAGAGACATTTGCGGCGAAATACGGCCGTCTTGACGTCCTTGTCAACAATGCCGGTATTGCCGGTATTCTCGGTATCCCCAGAGAGCTCGCGGCAGTAAGACGAGACAATCTCCGCGAAGTGTTGAACGTCAATGTCATCGGCGCAGCAAGCGTGACTGAGGCATTTCTGCCCCTGCTACGAAAATCAGATGAGCCGCGATTGATCTTTGTCGGTTCGAGTATGGGATCTATCATTGGGGCTTCAGACCCAAATTCGCCATATTATCGACCCTCAGCGACTGAATATCGTGCTAGCAAGGCAGCGTTGAATATGTTGATGGTGCAGTATCATCACATTCTGGGGCTGGAGGACAAGAAGTGGAAGGTTCTCACAGTTGATCCTGGTGTTAATGCCACGAACTTTGTGGGTGACGTGGAGGCTCTCAGGGCTAGAGGAGCCCCGGAACCTCATGTTGGTGGTGCGGTCATTGCTGCTGCTGTCAAGGGGGAACGTGACGCAGATGTTGGAAAGATGGTTGGAAAGTATGGCGTGTCGCCTTGGTAATGAGGTGTAATTTTGTCATCTAGCTAGTTACAGTGTAGAAATAGTCAAATTGTGTTATGTTCCTTGTTGTTCAAAGAAAACATTTGGAGATGAGCTCAGGTCGAATCTATGTACTGACGTCACCATGGTTGTAGAATCAGGGGCTATTGACGAATGTCATCAAGTCTATAGCAAGAAGCCTTTTGCTTGAATCGTAGAGCATATCTACGACGGTGCTGTTCAAGCTTACTGACTCTTGGGACGTCCTGCTTTTAGCGGTCGCGGAGTCGAAGTCTCCAGTGCATACAGAATTTCGCCTCCAAACACGTAGATCATATACGCTGGGAAGATGAGCCATAAACCGCTGATAATGTTAGAACTGCTGCGATTATGGATGTCGTCTTTTTAATAGCTTACTTTGGAAGAATCCACAAAAAAATCAAATCAAACAGTCTGTTGTGACCAATATTGGCGAATCCAGAAAACAGTTCATTGCACCCTAGCCATCATGTCAGCACCAAAAAAAAAATGTTTATGTAAACTTTTTATAAGGATACTATTCTCGAGGGTACTTACAATATAGAACCGTCTTGCTGAAAGTAGCGACGCTACTGCTAAACGCAATGAGAAGCGCGAGAGATCCAACGCGCCCCGGAACCACTTTCTCCTCGAACAAGAACCAGGGTAGACTCTTGGTGATCTTCTTTGTTGAGGCGCGACCGGAACTAGTCGCTGTGGTGCCGTAGAAATAGACAACCGCAAGGTATAGAATATAAGCAGCAGTCTCGAACAGATTCAACAATCCCTGGGCAGCGGTGAACCCATTCCGCGCATCAAAGGCAGGCCAGCCATAGATGTAGTCGATAGTTCCGTACAGCGCATAGGGGGTCCAGATAGGCGAATGGAACTTCCCACCTGGCATACTATGCGGTCGCAATAGCACATAACCGGTATCCCAAATGACTAGCGGCACGGAAATTATGAGCCAGGCCAAAACGATAATGGACGGAGTGTGGACGCCTTTGCGAGAAGCGTGTGCGGGGGCAGATGGCGAGTGCACGACATATTTGGTGCTGTCGCTTGCGCTCGACGGCGTCGCAGGTGGAGGAAAGTCTTTTGGGTGGTGTCTCGTGCTTACCATGATGGAGGTGGCTCTGAATTAATTAGTTGCGTTGGGAGAAGTAGCGATCTGGAAGTGATAGCAGGAAGAAGATGAGCATAAAGCGATGCTTTACAGAGGGTAGTTCTCTAGCGAGTGGGTTGAACCTAGTCAGATACGCGGCGAATCCGGGGTGGCTCAATACGCTCTTTCGGCATGGCGGGKGTGACGTCGGCGCATGCGGAGGCGATCCTTCTCGATGCGGTGACACTGCATTGCCTGATACGGTAGGAGTCTCAGGCTTGTTTTCGGAAGCTGTGTGCCATCGGCCTATCTAGATAGTAAGTAAATCTGTACTCTGCCGTCAATTGGACATCGAATACTGAGATGTTCTGAACGATGTTCTGGATGAATGACTCAAAGAAGGAAAGGCTACTATGTAATAACAAAAAGCAATGGCCAAATTGAGGCACGTGATTATCCCAGCTAATCAGCACTAGCGCGGAACATGGGGCAGATAGTGTCTGTGATTGGCCAACAGACCGATAGGCACCTTCCCTGGCGGTTCTCCAAAATCACGAGCAAACGCCAACCCCAACGACGTGCTCTTCTTCTTAATGGATAACTGACTCAGGAACATAAAGTTGGACTTCAAGATGAGCTGCAAGTACGAGGATGCCGATGAGGTGAATATTTCTCCTTTTGGTCCAATTTGACACACTTGAAATAGACTAACATGCTTAAAGAGGCTGAATCGCCTCGCCAGAGTGCGAGAGAATCAACGCAAAAGTCGGGCCCGAAGACAACAGTACATCGAGGAACTCGAGCAGAAAGTCGCCGTATGCAATGCGCAAGCCCAGCAGAGGGAAATCGAGCACTTGATCGCGCTCCAGAAATTGGAAGCTGAAAATGCCAAACTACGTGCGCTACTACAACGAGCGGGACTTGCTCCTGGTCTAGTGGAGGATTTTTTAAGAGACGTGTCGCAGCCCACTGTGTCGGAGAAGATAGCAATTCCACGACTCAAGGCGCCAATATCGCCGCAATCTACTTCAAGCCATCACTCTATACCTTCGATCAAGACTGATGAGCCATATACACCGGCCTCTTCGGCAGGTGTCGCTACAGCTTGCAATAACAATGCCACTTCTGCTTCAGCAATCCATTATCCTGTCGCTATGCAGAAATCCGCCGGATGTTGTGGCCCGGCTTCCTCAACAAATGTTAACGCAGTCTACAATATCAATAACTCGTCGCAGAAACCCGCCGGATGTTGTGGCCCAGCTTCTTCAACAAATGTTAATGCAGTCTACAATAACAATAACCCGTGTGCACCACCGAGCCAGTACGCTCCCACTGTGCAAAGGGTTGAGGAGCCATACCCGCCAACCTTAGCAAACTTTGATATAGTTTGCAATGACAATATCTCCTGTACTCAGGCTTCCGAGTGCCAGGACAATTGCACGACCTCCAAGCCTCTCGAGCCACCCGCGGTAGCTCCCGCAGACCCTGTGCCGACTCAACAACAGCAAAACATCAAATTACCGTCGATTGCATCTCTGTGTGACTGCGGGCCAGGGTCAGCATCCAGTTGGCCAAGGCTTACTACTCCTGTCAATACTACTCTCTGCGATGTTGCACAGGACTTGATCGATCAGTATAATACGAAAGGCGTGGATCTCAATGTCATAAGGCAGAGACTTCGGGCTGGTTTCCGCAACGATGATGCCAATGGTTGTCGGGTACAGAATAATGTGCTATTTGAGGTTTTGGATGAGATTAGTGGGGATGCGCCCTCGTCTGGTGGTACTTGAGCTAGTTACGTCTTGATGGGTGATGGATCACAATCTTGTTTAGACGTTGCCTTGGCCTTTTAGCATTGACTAAGTCAGGTTCGGGGTCCATCTTGCAGAACGCCGCGAGTCATTATCCCGGAAACCACAGTCCGTTATATGATTTTCACCATGTGTCTCGATTGTCGAGAGAAGAACAACCAGGATCACGCAGCCAAGTACGCTACAGAGCTCGAAAGTAGCTTCTCTCGATATCGCTTATCGTGCATGCATTGCATCCGAGCTTATTATCTGGCATCCCGCTTCGCTTGTCGGTGATGGGCTTTACGATAGAAACATTCCATTCGCTGGGAAATCATGGACTGGTCAACGGTCAAAGTCGGAAATGAGCGACCTTCGAAGTGGTCACCACACATAACTGACCACTGACTACTCAAAGTCACGACCGTTGATACCGGCCCAGTCTCGGAATACCCGCTACGTTGGAGATGACGATATAGACGTTTAGTGGGTTGTCATAAATGGCACATACTATAGATACATACATAGAGGGTTATATACACGAATGAGTCAATCTGAATCATTTCTTCATCATTAAAGTTACGTAACACGAGTCCGTTAGCTCTTCGGAAACGCAGCAATATGCGCTGTGCCCCAGTGCGGCCCGTCTATACCGATCCGCATCCACCCGTCTACCGATTAGGCGAGTCATTTACTGTCTTAATCTTTTTGGGATATGTATCTTAATTTCACGCTGCATTAGTTGTTGGTAGCCTTCCAAACCAAGGGCCAGTAGGCCAGCCAAATGTTATTTTTCTTAGCAGGGCGCGTTAAGGCTTCCCCTCAGCAGGGATAATTACCAAAAGAGGAAAGTAGATCGAGAAGACTAGCGCATACAAAAAGGCAAGAGGTATATACTCTGAGTGTGAGGAACGCCTTGGACACTTGAGACAGATCTTTCGATATTTGAAACCAACAAACAGTTTCCGCGTAGAATAATATCAAAATGTGGCGCCTACTCGGCTTCAGCAACAACAACCAAACACAAAACAACCAGAGCAATGACAAACCGGTCTCACTCCCCGCATCCTGGTACCATTCCAGTCAAATGTACCAACTTGAACGGCGTGCCATATTCTCCCGCCACTGGATTCTTCTCACCCATCGCATCCGCTTCCAAAAGACCGGCGACTACCAATCCTTCGACATTGCGAATTTCCCAATCTTCCTTGTTCGTGATCACCAAGGACGAATCAATGGGTTTCACAACGCTTGTCGCCACCGGGCATTCCCCATTGTTCAGCAAGGTTCCAGTGGGACGGCGAGTATACTATCTTGTAAATATCACGGATGGTCCTACGGCCTCAAAGGGAATCTAGCGAAAGCGCCTCGTTTCGAGACCGTGTCGACGTTTGATAAGACCCAACACAGTCTGTATCCGGTGCATGTCCACGTCGACAAAGCCGGGTTTGTATGGGTCAATTTATCAGCTGAAAACGACACAGACTGGAAGAGCAAATGGGAAGAGCAATACAAATCCGCCGTCGACGACAACCCGCGTCTTCAAATGTTTGATTTCGATGACGAATTCAGATTCGATCATGCATGGGACATGACGGTAGACGCGAATTGGAAGACGCTCATCGATAACTACAATGAATGCTATCATTGTCCGACGTCGCACCCACTGATTGCGCGTGTGACGGATCTGAATCAGTATCGGGTTGAGCCAAATGAGAAGTGCGCTGCGTGTTTGGAACATACGATTATCAATAAAGTGGAGGAGAGGGAGGGTCAGTTCAGACGGTCTATTACGTACTTTTTCCCGACTACCAGTGTTACTATAACGTGAGTCCTGTCACCTGCTGGTTTTTTCGCTCATCTGTCTAACAGTGGAATAGGGACAATTTCTTCTATATCCAGCGCATGATACCTCTCTCGCCTACGAAGAGCATTATTGAGAATGAAGTCTATCGACACAAAAACGCAGGTGATGAGGAGTTTGACAACATCACTGCCTTCTATAGACAGGTTCTTGAGGAGGACAAGCAGTTATGCGACGGAACACAGGTCAATCTGAATGCAGGTGTATACACTAGTGGGATGTTACATTCAGACAAAGAGAAGGTTTATTGGCCTCTTCCGTAGTCGAATCTCCGCTAATGTATTTGAAGGGTCCTATACATTTCCAACACACAGTGAGAGATATTGTGATGCAGCACCGACAGGCCGAGAAGCAGGAAAAGACAGAGATATGGCCTGCTACGCCGAAGCGTACAGCAGGTGCCGCCACGACGAAGCTGGCTGAAGAGGAAGAATTCTGTGCAAGTCTGAACTCTGGGCTTTGTGGAAGTCGAGAATTAGAGTGGTAAAGGTTCCATGTCTAGGTAATATTCTAACTCTAAGCGGCATCGTGAGCTACGTTCAATGAGGTCTGAATGTCTCTATTGATTCAACGATCCAAAGAAACAAACCATTCTCTATTTTCGAATGTATTCATCATGTCAAATTAGGTAATGATTTTTCAATATTGAGATCCATCGACACTAGTAAACATCCTATGAACATTGACAGGTTTCAAGGAAAGATGATTTGAAGGCAAGATAATTTGCACTCGGGTTTTCCGCCTCTTGTGTACTTCCGCCGTACTACATAAGGTGGACAAATCGAGAGTGGAACATCAGATAGAGGCATGGCCATGAGTTTCATATGGTAATCCAAAACATAACACCCCAACAACTATCCACAAAGCAGCACTGACATAGATAGGAGTCACGGTATATCCACCATAAGTCGAAATGAGAGATGCTACCAAACCGCCTGTACGCTGCAGAGTCGCTGCTACACCTGTCCCGGTTCCGCGTACAGGCCCGGGGAATGATTCTGGAGTGAAGGCGAACATGACCGCATATTCTATTTCTTGTCAGTAAATTGACTGGCTTTCACAATGAAAGAGTGGGAGGAGATGTTTACCAAAGTTACCCAAAATTCCAGTTGCGCACTGAAATCCTACATCAGCCGTCTGCGTCTTCGCCGCCGTGTACGCAAAGAGGAAAACACCCGTCAATACAGCAGACAAGCCCATCATCCATCGCCGACCAAAGCGAGATTCGACCAAGAATGCAGCAGCGATAGGACCAATGATACCCACCGCCGAAACAATACAGTAGATCTTATAAGTGTAGCTGAGCGACGAATCGGTCTGGTATGACGACTTCGTCTCGAGGTACGAAGTGATAAACGCAAAGTATAAGGGGTAACCAATTCCGACGGTTAGCCAGATGAGGAAGATGACAACGCTATGCTGTGCCATGGTGCGTCCCTTGAAGAGTTTACGGTATTTGTCGGCGGTGAAGTCGCTAAAGCTTTCTTTCAGAATGTCTGTCAAGGACTGTTTGGTGGTTTCTGTTGGTGAGATCTTAGCGTCGGGGTTGTTGACGCTGACTTGTCGGTCGATATCTTCTAGCATGGCGAGGGTCAGCGTCTCGGGCTTTCCGTTATAGCGAGCAATGTAATTGACCGCTTCGACGGCTTCGGCGTCTCGACCTCTGGAGAGAAGGTAGCGTGGTGATTCGGGGATCTTGAAGATGAATATACGAATCAGGCCAAACGCAATAGCAATTGCGCCGAGGGTGATCATGTTGTATCTCCTGAATGAAGTTAAAAAGAGAAGATGTGATGTGATGTGGGCAAACTCTCACCATCCCATGTTATCTGACCTTGGACAAGGAGCCTCATCACTGTCACACGCATAATTGGCCAGAAACACCCAAGCCAGAAGTGACACAATCAGCTGTCCCAGATTCCACCATCCAGACAACCCGACGAGCAACCATTGATAATCTTTTGGAATGAACTCGAGGAAAATGATACTGTCGACAGGTACATTCCCTCCGGCAGCAGTACCAATGACAGCCCACAGAGCGCAAAATGTAACAAAGTTTTGAGATCCGGCTACGGCGCATGCAAAGATGCCGCCGAGGAAGATGGTTGTGTTGAAAGCGGGTTTGCGACCGATGATATCGGCCGTTGTGCCCCAGAAGGTTGCGCCGATGATTAGACCGACGTAGTAGGCGACGGAACTGAAACTGAGGCGCGAGATGTCGGTGAATTCATTGGAGACGGGGGGTCGGACGGCGGAGATTCCTTGGGACCAGAAGTTGTCTACTATCCAGCCGAAGCCGGTTACGATGAAGAGGAGGTATTGGAATCTTCATAGTCAGGTTTCTATTATCCAAGGGGGAAGTGAAGTTCTATACTTACTTTCCCATGCCAATCTTGGCTAAATGCTCTGCAACAAGTTCTGACTTGAGACGATAAGACTGGGATATCGCGCTGCCATAAAAATCGCGAATGGCAGAATCCTCGTCCGCCAGCTGAATAGACGCAGGCGAAGAGTCTGATTTGGGCCCTGTCGAATCCATTTTCAAATTATGTTCTAGGGCTTTTTCCACTGACATGTTTGATATTCTCGCCACAAGCGAATTGGTTAAGAATAAGTCTTGCAAAGATGCTCATACTTGTTCTATTCCCCTCTTAGGGCTTTAGAATGACTAAATATGTACAAGCACGTGAAGAATCGAATCAAGACCCACTTACGCCCTTATCAAGGCGCATATCATGATGGATATATGAGGATACGGACTTGCCTCATCGTCTCCCCCCACCCTATTCTCACTTATCATAGGATGGGGTGAGACGACGACAAACTTTTTAAGGGTGGGGGACGTCATATCATAGCACGCAAAAGTTAATCTCTTACCTAAATCCAAGATATTTAAAGTGATTTCGGGCCGCTGATGCATATCTAGGGTGATAATACTTCTATGTATAAGTAGCTAGTTTTGCTCCTAGAAGGCTGGAATAGGAGCCATAAGTTTATCCACGTGGACGCCTTCGAGAGCTGGATAATATACGGGATGGCAGCCGTGAGGCAAAGGAGCGTCAGGGCTGCATTTGTGCTGACGTTTGGAGCTACCTAGGTAGGGGTGTACTTTAAGGTTATCTGGCTGGATAATCTTAAATGCACTTTCCACGATCAGGGCTTTTTTATCCAATCGAATGTTCATCTTTGCCTGAAGCCATTGTGCCCAAGATCTATGAATTAGAGAATGGAGGGTCATGTTGTCATGACTCATTGAAATGACCTTTTTTCAGCTCCGTCTAGATTCTGTTTCACCTCGTATTCCCTACACTTATTGGAGTGCTATCCTCTTGGCCTCGACCTGGATTCTCTGATCTTAATTAGCCAAGCGGTAGGATGCGCTTTTAAACGGACAGAATTCCTACATGTGTGCTAGAAGAACTGCAGCTAACCGTTGCGCCCTTGTTTGGTGTGTTATTGCCTAATCGGGCAATGAGTTGGGTTTTGAAAAGTCACGTGATGATTTTCGTCCATCTAAGTGAGATGCCAAGTATTTCTCTGCGAAGTCTGACAGTGTAAAAGCTGAAAAGAATTCAGACAAGCTAATTTTAGTCTCACAGGGATCGGAAATCTCGACCTCAAGGATACACGTGGTGGTACATTCCTGTCCATTAAAATGAGTCCCCGACAACCCTCACTGCAGTCTTCCCCTTGATTGTTTGATTTCCGTCTGTAAATTCAAAGCGTACTGTGCTGTATTTAGCAGCTCATATATGAAAATGTTGGCGTAGTGATATGTCATTACAAATTCACGATCTGTGCGTGTTTCGTGGTGAAGCCCTAACCCTGTCCAGATGCTTGTCACGCATCCATATCCCGGTACTGTTCGTCTGGTCGGCTTATGCACGAACAAAAGATCGTGTCTGGCTACTCTGTACTGATAACCCTTCATTCCTTGTCACTTTCAGCCATCAATGACAAATGCACTTATCATCCATGTGGCATAGACTATCTGTAAACTCTAAAGACAAAAAGGATCGATTTAGGAATTTTCTAGATCCCGTCGCTGCTTGAAAGATTTGCTGCAGCCTACTCGCCTCATGGTTCGTTCCCTCTAGATGTTGCCGATCTTTCGTCTCCCTGATCAAAGGATCGACAGGGGTTGTGTTATTTTGGCCTTGTACGAAGATTTCACAAGTGCCTGGGTACATAGTATACAGATAGATTCCCAGCAAAGTCTTGTCCAAACATGACTACTCCTTTGGAAGGACACATCGAGAGCTAAAGAGCTCAGGCAATTCCGCGGATAAATTTTTACGCTGGGTTGAAAGAGGAGTTTCTGCTTTGAGCAGGAGACAAAGCTGGATGCCTGATCAGGCAGGTGAAGTCGCCGATCTCCCCACGGGAAATATGTGGAGAAATGACTAGCCCTAAGAGAGTAAAGCGTCAATTACGGTCTGGACGAGTAGATGAAAGTTGTTTCTACTACGTAGTAATCAAGACTGTCAAGCGTTGTCATATGATGCTCTTAGATCTCGAATTATGATTCATGAATCGCCAAGACCCCTCCTACCAAGATTATGGATGAGTTTTTGTTCTCGAGGGAGTCGAATTACATGCAAGCCAGCCTTGGAAGAATAACAAATTACAGACTAATACGTAGGGTAAATAGGCGGCTAACTTAGGGTGGCCTGGTGCACCGGGGCCCCATCTGGAGTCCGAGACGGCCGTAATCTGGATACGCAAGGGTACGGATAACACGGAAACAATGTATTTATGGGGTTGCGGGATCCGGACAAAGATAGCTACTTTGTACAACAGGGCACTTGAATACCCGAATATCAGGAAGCACCAAAAGCACTAAAAATGTAGTAGTCACGCTGACTGGAGTCACTTGAATGATGTATGTAAAATGGGCAAGTAAATCAAAGTTTCGGTCCTGAACTCTACGTCGACGATCCGAATACGGGATACAATCCACAATGTCGAGTCTAATCACCGACGCGGAGAATTACAATTTCCAACGGCACAGAAGGCCCTAGCCCTTAGATGCGTGGTTGTTACGGGGTCAGAGTGAGATCATTCAATATAAAAACAAGATCGAAAGAAACACGTGAGGTGAAAATTCAGCATACCGGCCCTTGAGAAGGGTTAGCTGCTGGGATGTTGTGTCCATGGTACGGCCCGGATCTGTAGGACGTGGGGAAATAGCAACGCCACACAACGGATATACTTCAACTACTGTATATGTATATTAAAGTAGCACGCCTAGATAGACCCGAATGCTACATCGGAATACCGTTACAGCAGCTTATTCCAACATATGCCAAGTAAGTGAAACAACATCTGGGGAACAATTATTGATGCACTTCCTTAAAGTGCACGCTAAAAGCTGACATTCTGGTAGAAAACGCCAAAATATGCCTGGCCAGCAAGGACCGGTCAATAAACTCGAGTATTGACAATGGATTGAGCGCGTAAAGTACAAAACATACATAATAGTCTGGCCGAATATTGGTACAACGGTAGCTCTATTACACCGCCATTACCATAGTGTTTGTTTATACAGCTCCACTTTGGGCGCAAACTAGATGGCCCGTATTGTAATTTTGGTATCGATGGCTTTGTTGATCATCTTGCTAACTGGATCCCGGCAAGCCGCCTGCTCAGCCTTGACCTCATCAACTGCCGAGTCAGACGCTCTGCTCCTGCCTTTGCCAGTTGCCAGGCTTGCTTCCCCAGAAGCTAGAGCTCTAGCTTGTATGCACCTGTGCACTGTCTACTCTCCACCTTTACTCATCATCATGTTTTCCTTGCTCCTCCTCGGCGCATTTCCCCTCCTTGTACTCATCCCATTTGTCTACTTATAAAGACGCTGATACCCCCTCTTTTTGCCTTTGGTTGCTGAAGCTTTATTATAACCAATTGTATTGCTACGGCTGTCGAGCCTTACGTCGTCTGTAGATGATCGCAATGCGGAACAGTTTATTGATTTCGCTTGCTGCGGCAGCACTTGCCGAGGGCAAGGTGAGTACCTTCATCAATTGACTCTTTCCTATACTAAGACCTGAACTAACGTTTTATTCCTACACCAGGCCTACTCTCCTCCAGCTTACCCTGCTCCCTGGGCCAGTGGCGCCGGGGAATGGGCTCAAGCTCATGACAGAGCAGTCGAGTTCGTTTCGCAATTGACCTTGGCCGAGAAGATAAACCTGACGACTGGTGTTGGGTACGTTGTGATACCGTTGAGCAAAATAAAGACATGGGACTGACAATTGGTAGATGGGAGGGTGGACAATGTGTCGGTAACACTGGAAGCATTCCCCGCCTGGGATTCCGCAGCCTCTGTATGCAGGATTCACCGCTCGGCGTGAGAGACAGTATGTCGTGCCCTGTAGTCTCTTGCCTCTTACTTCTTACCGTCCAAATACAAAAAGAGAAAAAAAAAAAGGTTGAATTATATAGCTAACAGTTTTATGTTTCTAGCTGACTACAATACTGCCTTCCCTGCTGGCGTCAATGTCGCCGCTACCTGGGATCTCGATCTTGCATACCGGCGCGGTGTAGCCATGGCTGAGGAACACCGTGGCAAAGGTGTGGATGTTCAGCTTGGACCCGTTGCTGGTCCGCTAGGAAGAGCACCAGAGGGTGGCCGTAATTGGGAAGGCTTTGCACCCGACCCCGTTTTGACTGGTCAGATGATGGCAAGCACTATTGAAGGAATGCAGGATACCGGTGTGATTGCTTGTGCAAAGCACTATATCGGTAATGAGCAAGAGCACTTTCGTCAGGGCTCCCAGGAAAATTATACAGTCGCTGATGCTATCAGCTCGAACATCGACGATGTTACTTTGCACGAGTTGTACCTGTGGCCGTTTGCCGATGCGGTTAGGGCAGGTGTTGGTTCCGTCATGTGTTCTTACAATCAATTGAACAACAGTTATTCCTGCGGCAACAGCTACAGTTTGAACCACATTCTTAAGGGAGAACTCGACTTTCAAGGATTCGTCATGACCGACTGGGGTGCTCAGCATTCTGGTGTGGGCGATGCTTTGGCCGGTGCGGATATGGATATGCCTGGTGATGTGGCTTTCGACAGTGGAACTGCTTTCTGGGGTACTAACTTGACAATTGCCGTGCTCAATGGAACTGTTCCTGAATGGCGTATTGACGACATGGCCGTTCGTATCATGTCTGCATTCTATAAGGTTGGTCGTGATCGTACCCAGGTCCCCATCAACTTTGCTAGCTGGACTCTGGATACCTATGGCAATGAATACTACTACGCCGGCGAGGGCTACAAGGAAATCAACCAGCACGTTGATGTACGTGGTGACCACGCCAAAGTTGTCCGTGAAATCGGCAGTGCCAGCATTGTTCTCCTCAAGAATGTTGACGGCGCTCTTCCGTTGACTGGCTCCGAGAGGTTTGTCGCAGTTTTCGGAGAGGATGCTGGCTCCAATCCTGATGGTGTCAATGGTTGCTCTGACCGTAACTGTGATAACGGTACCTTGGCTATGGGATGGGGTAGTGGTACTGCCAACTTCCCTTACCTAGTTACTCCTGAACAAGCTATCCAAGCCGAGGTCTTGAAGAATGGCGGAATATTTACTGCTATTACCGACAGCGGCGCCACCAATACTACAGCCACGACCGTGGCTGCTCAAGCCTCGTAAGTACTGGTCGTAAGTAGAACATAGCAATGGCTCAGATTACTGACTTTGTTTTAATTAGGGCTTGCCTAGTGTTTGCCAATGCAGACTCCGGCGAGGGATACATCACCGTTGACGGAAACGTGGGAGATCGTAAGAATTTGACATTATGGCAGAACAGTGAAGCTATGATCTCGGCCGTTGCAGGTAACTGTAACAACACCATAGTAGTTCTTCATACTGTTGGACCTGTTCTCGTTGAGGACTGGGTCAACCATCCCAACATCACTGCTGTTTTGTGGGCAGGTTTGCCTGGAGAGCAGAGCGGAAACTCTTTGGTTGATGTTCTTTACGGCAGCGTCAACCCCGGAGGCAAGACTCCTTTCACTTGGGGCAAGCAACGTTCTGACTGGGGAACCGATATCATCTACGAACCCAACAACGGAGATGGTGCTCCTCAGCAGGACTTCACCGAGGGTATCTTCATTGACTACCGACACTTTGATAAATACAATATTACTCCCACTTACGAGTTTGGTTATGGTCTCAGTTACAGCACCTTCTCTTTCTCAAATCTCCAGGTGACTCCTCTCGCTGCTTCGCCTTACAAACCAGCCACAGGTCACAGCGGTCCCGCACCTGTCCTGGGCAAGGTTTTGAACGCCACGGCTTATCTTTTCCCTAACTACATCAAACGCATTGAAGCTTTCATTTACCCATGGCTTAACTCCACTGATCTGAGGACTTCCTCTGGTGATCCAAATTACGGTTGGTCTACTTCCAAATACGTGCCTGACGGTGCTCAAGACGGATCTCCGCAACCTGTCAACCCCGCTGGTGGTGCCCCTGGTGGCAACCCTGCGCTGTATGACCCTGTTGCCGAAATCAGAGTGACTGTCAAGAACACCGGAAAGGTCGCTGGTGTTGAAGTGCCTCAGCTCTATGTCTCGCTCGGTGGCCCCTCCGATGCGCCTAAGGTTCTTCGTGGCTTTGGCCGCCTTTCTCTCGGTGCTGGCGAGGAGGCTCAGTGGACTGCCACTTTGACCCGACGTGACGTTTCTAATTGGGACACTGTCAGCCAGAACTGGGTTGTCTCAAACTACACCAAGACTGTCTATGTCGGCAACTCTTCTCGCAACTTGCCGCTCCAGCAGACTTTGGCTTTGAAGATTGGGCATTAATTCAATGTTTCATATGGCGATTATTTTCCTGTATAAAATTTGATAGGCTTCGAGCCTTTTTATGAGCAAGAAAGACAGTAAAGGGTTGGAGGATCTTATGTATTGAATGCTTGCATAGCTCTCCGACATCAATAAAAAGTCTTAATTTCAAATTTCAAATTTACAGTTGAGTAAAATAAAAGAAGGAAGCGATGGCCTAGATTCTTGTAGACGATATCACATGACTAAAGCAGAGGAAATTGACAGCCGACGTCATTCCTGGATTAGTTGGCTTGACCGCGAACAATTTCATCATTCACCTTCCCACTCGGTAACCTGGACATTATACCTCTGAATTATCTCCAACAAGCTTCATGTCTTCATTCAGCATAATTTGCTAACAGTCGCTCCTGTCCATATTTGCTCTGGTGAATGAGTGGTGCTTCTTGACACTTTTTCTATATTGTTTTCTCCCATCATGGCAACATCCACAGCCTATCCACGCAGTGGCTCTCCGTCACAACTCAAACGAACCAACACGAATACAAGGACACATCCTCCCGTGACCGTCTTAGCTGTATACCCTCTCACCTTACTTCTCGGATCGATATATTCAGTCATCTCCCCCACGGCGCGCTCGTCGCAAAACTTTGGGTCCGCCGCTCCCTTAACACCCACCATAGCAACGGACATCAACCTCCCAGCCGAACACCGTCCGAACCCTGTCAACTATTTCGCACGCAAAAATAATATATTCAACCTGTATTTTGTCAAGATTGGATGGGTGTGGATTACACTCGCATTCTTGGCCTTGCTCCTGACGCGACCGTACTACACCAAAGCGCCGGGAAACTTGCGCGGGAAAAGATCGGTTCAGGGACTATTTCGGTATGCGATTGCCACGTTTGCCTGGATTCTGACGACACAGTGGTTTTTTGGTCCTGCGATTATCGATCGCACGTTTGTGATTACAGGCGGGAAATGTGAGCGATTACCAGCCGTGACGCCGGATGATACCTGGGAAGAGTTCAAGGTTGCTCTTACGGGGGCAGCTTGTAAAGCTTCCGGGGGGCTGTGGAGGGGCGGACATGATGTGAGCGGTCATGTCTTTATGCTGGTACTAGGAAGTGCATTTTTGGCTTTGGAGGCGCTAGGGACGTCGCCATCTCACACACCAGAGACTAGTCAAGTTCATGATAAAGATGATTTGGATGGAGAACATACAGCTGCAAGCGATCCTGTTACGAAATATTCTACCAAGTTCGTCTGGATTGTAATTGGGTTGAGCTGGTGGATGCTCTTCATGACTGCGATATGGTTCCATACATGGTTGGAGAAGGTGATTCTCCCTTGCATCTTTACTCTTTTCCTGTCAAATTTGGCTAATCGTGGTTATTCTTCTAGCTATCCGGCCTACTGATATCCCTCTCCGTTGTGTACATCACATACTTTCTACCTCGAAGCCTCACCCAATGGGCTGATATAATCGGTATCCCTGGCTATGAGCCGGCCGTGCGTATTAAATAAGCAGTTGCAAGTGATAGTATAGCATTTGTCTCCAGCGGTTTCTCTTTGTTTGGCTGCATATTGATCTAATGGTGTGTATTTTATAGCTGGATGTACATACCTCCTAGCCTGTAAGTAATCGATTGCGAACTTGGGCATTTAATAGTAATAGACTATGGATAATCGATTCAAAGAAATGTTCAAAAAGTCTCTTTGCCGAGTATCATACGTATAGATCGGAGCTTAATCGTAAAATACCTCAGATACGTATTATTACGTTCCGTTCAAACCGCTCGGATTTAATGTAGGCTTTCTCCTTGTTAAATCCACCTTAAGAGCAGACAAGATCATGACATTCTCATTGTGTCAATTTCTCCAATTACCTCACATTAATTGCAGGTCTGTTGCTTTCATGATTGTCTCGCTTTCGAGATCACCTCCTCTGATTATTCATATTGATTTTGATACAGACCACGACGGCGGTGTTGCACTTTAGACAACATCAATGGATTCTCTGGGCTATAATGAAACGCCTGAGTCAGGGACTGGCATCAAGAGGAGGAACCGGAAACCAGTCTCCTGTACGCCTTGCAGACAACGAAAGTAAGTTTGTATCTGGTCAGCGTATTAAGGGATAGGGCAAAGTAGCTCACCATCGACAGACTTCGATGTGACCAGGCATTGCCGGTTTGCAACAGTTGTGTCCGCCGAGGCGACATGATGTCGTGCTCTTATCAGCACCGTCGAGCGGGACTTCAGAGACACTGGCCGTCATCGCATAGCAACTCTAGCAGTGTGCAAAGCCGTATGGATCGGCTGGAACAATTGATTGTGACGATGATGAGTGGGAAAGAAGCTTCAGCTGCAGATGCATCGAATGATAGGGTTGTTGCGTACCGAAATGGTCAAGTTCCGCGACATGAAGCTTCGAAAGAGGAGCTTTCGAGACCCATTGACTTCGTGAAGAGTCGGATGTTACGTATTGACGCTGACTATGGGAATTCTTACACTGTTGGAGAGGCTCACTGGGCTGCTCTACTGAACGAGGTAAATATAACACGTTTCCCCGATTCTCGCACTATGCTAAAAAGGTCTGATAGATTCACGAGGTACGATGTTACCTTCAAACACAACAGAAACAATATGAGGACCAGTCACAAAAGATCTCTCGGCTGTTGAAGAAGGCACCGGACGATCCAGGTCCGACTCTACTTTTTGGGACCTCACAGTTATTGGGTCGTGGTGAAATACTCGCACACATTCCGTCCCGATATACATGTGACATGTTTGTGGAACGATACTTTAAGACCTTGGATCCTGCAATTCGTAAGTAGAAGCTCTGAAAAACATTGAAGATGTCACTTGAAGCGGTCTGACATTCAGCAGATATCATTCACCCGCCTACCTTTCAAAAACAGGTGTGTACAGTTCTCGGAATTTGCTGGCATTTTCGGATCGATAATAAACCTAACATCTAGACAGTATGAGGAACACTGGGAAGACCCTGGTCGAACACCTCTTGTATGGATCGGCCTACTATTCGCCATGATGCGCATCGCCGCAATCTCGTGGAATCGTGATGGCGATGAACCATTAGAGTTTCAAGGGAAGTCACAGGATCTGAGTAGATCCTACAGGACACGAGTAGCAGACTGCATATTACTTGCTGACTACACGAAGCCACACGAGTTTTTGATTGAAACATTGGTTCTTCACCTATTCGGAGAATATTCAAGCGTTAAAGATGCCAATTCTAGTGCTTGGGTTCTCCTCGCTACCATCATCCGCCTGGCGATGCGAATGGGATATCATCGGGATCCGGATCGCCTACCGTCTCTGAGTCCATTTCAGGTAGGTTGTATAGTCTTGCTAAAAAAACATTACCGCTAAGTCTAGTAGGCAGAAATGCGACGCCGCGTGTGGACATTTATCTGGCAGGCGGACATCTTCTTTTCATTTCAAAATGGATTTCCTTCCATGGTCAGGATCGAGCCCCCAGAAAATATTCTACCACGAAATATCTACGACGAAAGTTTTGGACCTCATTGTGTCGAGTTACCTGCCTCATTCCCACCTTCAGAACCAACTCAAATCTCATATCTAATTTGCAAAGCTCGGTTAGCTCTGGGTTTGGCTCGTGCTTTGAAAGAACTCAATCGTGAAGATACACCCCCTTCATACGAAAAGGTATTAGAGATCGATCGCAGCATCCGAGAAACATACGCTGCAGCACCCGAATACTTCCAACTACGATCTATGGCCGAGCAGCAGCATGATCAAGTGTGCTTGATTTACGCTCGATTTGCGCTTGCAAGCATACACCACAGGGCGATATGTGTGGTCCACAGTCGTTTCCTAGAGGCTGCTCGAATGGAGCCCCTGTTCGTTAACTCACGGCGCACCTGTCTTGAATCTGCCATGGCATTGCTGAGTCTGCAGGCAATACAACATCAAGAGGTCGGAGCTGACGGACAGACGAGAAAGTTAACAAAATACGTAAATTCTCTCGTTACTCACGACTTTCTACTCGCGGCCACAGTTCTTTGCACGGAGCTTTCTATCGATCACGGTAGGGATCCGTTCCCCTTTCCCGTCACCGGTCCTACACGAGCCGAGATGATTGAGTCGTTGGACCGGAGTGCGGATATATGGAGCCAGATGCGTGACGAAAGTATTGAAGCTTACAAAGCCAGTGATGTGCTTGGTATGCTACTGAAGAAATTGCGACATCCAAACGAGAACATGCAGGACGCTCAGCCACGCAATTACCCAGCACCTACTTCTATGTCACTAGAGGCTGGGCCCGTGCCGAATTCGACACAGAAGGATCTAGGCGCTGCTGTAAATACTGGTACGTTGGGACTTCCCTCACCTCAGCGATATGGGTCAAGGGATATATTTCCCACCGGATACGGGTATACTGTGCCGATGAATGTTTCCAGCGCACGGCATCCTAGTCACCAAGATCCTGTAAGACTCCCCAGCTATCTTTGCTAAAGAAAGACTTAATTGACCAATTTCTGTCGTAGACTACAACGTGGGGACAGCTCACTGCACCGATAGACTTTTCCGATCCTGTATCAGCATTATGGGCCCTGGACCTGAGCCGAAGGGGGTTATAGTAAATAGTAGTTCCGCGACTGTATTTATACTTGAAATTTGATATGATATACTGTGTTCTGAGTGTTCTTCACTTGTCCGAGACGATGAACATTCTTTGTAGTATCTCTTAGTCGAGTAGAAAGATGCTGAGTCTTCCACACCTGTTTCAATGTTTCAAATGTAGGATGATATTGATAATACGTACATTACATACCATACGTGCGAACCCTAAACTCCGAGAAGTGGGGTGTTTGAGGAGCAGACGGCGATAGCGGAAACTCGCAAAGTCCATTTCTGGCTTGTACTATTTGTTGTATTGGTAATTATTCCTATCTTATATATTACTACTACTCCATGCACAAACGCAAATAGAACCATACTGGTTACGCCTGGGACCAGTGGCTTGATTGCTCGTCTGTGGGGTTTATACATGGGAGCCAGATCTACCAACCTGCTGTGGTGTGTGCAATCAAACAGTGTGTTATCATGAATAGTTGTTGATATTGAGAAACAGGGGTCAGATGTATGGCCAGTTCAATTTCAAATACATCTACATCATTACTCAAGCAATGGGCAAGTCTTATTTTCTGGTGATCACCTCTACTGCCCTTAGTCTGGTTCTTTCCACTATTCTAGTTACTCGAAAATTCGCGGAACGAAAGAAGAGCAAGACAACGGGTGATGATTCTATCTAGCCGGATCTGAATTGATGAAAAGTCCGGTCCAATACTCATAGAATCATAAGACAGCATGTCGGTTGCCGCGTGGGGGATGGTTGTTCTAGATGTCCACGCTAGAAAAACGAAGAAATTACTTTCAAATTGCCTCAAATCCTAACTCATAGTATTGTTTTCGGCTCCGGTCCAAGGTATCCAGTCCGAAAAGCTACCATCACTCAGTACTAGAGTTGCAGTGAAAGTGGAATCCATTCAAAAAAGTATAAGGGATACTCACCACCAGGAATCAAAGCCGAAGAATACATCACTCTCGTAATAGGCCGTAGATCATCTGCTAACAAATCACTATCACCCCGTAGCGATAACGCCATGTAGGGTTCCCAAGACTCTATGATAGAATCCGAATAAGTCCTGAGATCAATGGATCGTTCACGTTCTCCTGATTTACCATAGTGGCAGCCGATGCCTAGACTGGTGCCGAATTCGCGGAAAGCGAGGCGGTATTTGATGTTGCGCGCTAGATAGCGGTCTATTTCGAAAAGTTCATCTATTGACCCTTTAGCAGTGGTTCGCCATAAAATGGAGCAAAAGGAGGAGAATGAATACATATTTGCTGAAAGCATCTTTCAGCCAACTTTGAAGCCCATTTCTCCTTATCCGAAAACCAATGACATGTCCATAGAGTCATGCCCAAATCTAATGTATCAGAAGAAACAAAATGCTCGCCCTTCCGTTCCATGACACGCTTATAATCCGTAATCTCTTCATCCAGTACTCTAGGCTTGTCACTGCCCACATTACTACCCTCACCACCACCAACCATTGCCATGGCTGATGCTTGCAACAGTCGGTATACGACATAGCCATCGATAGGATCAAGATTTCCTTCTGAGGGAACAAGTGGTGTTGCTAAGTCTATACTCATTTTCCACACCATGCGTGGCCGAGTAGAGGTTCTATTGACAAAGAATCGTGGATGAATTGCTTGCGCTAGAGCGACTGCTTGTCTGTTAAAGAGTGGATCTCCCGTTGCTAGCGACATACGATTGAGCGCAAACATCCATAGGGTCAGATAATGATGGTATTGCCCATCTCCGTCAACGCCGGTTTCATCTAGTTTGCCGATACGTAGACCTCCTCCTAAAGGGTTTTCGTCCGTGGCGCCGGGTAAGCGTGTCTTTCCATCTCGAGTGCGACCGAGTACATCATGCACAGAGCCGACTAGCCGACGAGCGAGAATCAAATACTTGTCTGCGGTGTTGATGCCAGGTGCGGAACCAGATCCCGAAACTGATGCCGAACCTGCAGCAGCAGCTATTTTGGCATGTTCCTGATGCAGAGTCAAGAAATTCACAACTCCAAAGGCATCGGTCCAGAGATACCGACCGCGATGACCTCCAGAGTTGGTTGGTGGTGTCCATTGTTCTGGGTCTTTGATATTGGAAAAGCTGCCATACAGCGATTCCATCGATTTCTCAAACTGGTTGAGTCGTGATGTTGACAATGCTTCCATGCTGTATAGCCTACGAATGAATCTTGAAGTCAACGCTATTGTTGTAAACTCAATATCGATAGATATGCAAGTTGCTGTTCGCTTCACGGCCGGAACTATCGCGGCCCTCAGCATTCGGTCGTTAGGCAAGCATACCCTAGTTGAGCCTATTGAGCAGTAACAAAACATACAACTCAACGAGGCGGATGTTTACTTTCCTTGTTGAAGTCATAATGATTTTTCTTCCATGGCATTTGAGTGGTGGCAGTTTGTGGCTCTTGACGGATGGATGATCTCATGGTCAGCCGTGAATGGTCGGATTTGAAGAGGCAGAGGCAAACCATACGGAAATGCCAGCTAGAAGTTAACTTAGGGAGGAGAAGTGTAGGACAGAATTTATATCTTTTCACCTTTTAACCACTTGAATTGCAACGATCGCACGTATTGTTCATCGGCAAAATGCCAGGACAATTGACTCAACTCGTGCAGGCAGCGGCCAAGCCGTTACCAGATATCAGAGATCCATTGTTTGGCCAAATGTTTGACACATTCCGCAACTATAAAGTCGTTCTTCTAGGCGATGGTAGTCATGGTACGTCCGAGTTCTACAGTGCTCGAGCAGAAATTACAAAACACTTGGTTGACTTTCATGGCTTCAACATGATTGCGCTGGAGGCCGATTGGCCCGATGCCGAAGCCATCGACCGCTACGTACGTCTCCGGCCTGGACCTAAAGGACGTATAGGAGGTAGAAGCAAGATTGAGCCTTTCAAGCGATTTCCGACATGGATGTGGAGAAACCGAGAAATGCAGGATCTTGTTGAATGGATGCGTGATAGGAACGCCAAGGTTCGACCCGAGGAAAGAGCTGGGTTCTATGGTTTAGATCTCTATAGTATGGGGGAATCGATCAAATCAGTCGTTGATTATCTCGATCGCGTTGATCCAGAGCTTGGCAAGAACGCCCGTAAACGATATGGCTGTCTGAATCCTTGGGTTGACGATCCGGCTTCCTATGGACTCGCAGCATTGCAAGGAATGGAGAACTGCGAGAGCAAAGTTGTCCAGATACTTAAGGACCTCCTCCAGAAGCGACTGGAGTATAGCGCATCTGCACATGACGGGGAGGCCTTACATAGTGCTGAGCAGAACGCTCATGTGGTACACGACGCAGAAAAGTACTACAAAGCCATGTACTATAGCTCGGCGAGCTCGTGGACACTACGTGACACGCACATGTTTGATACCCTGGACCGAATGTTCCAGTTCAAGCCTCCAGGCAGCAAGGCCATAGTCTGGGCGCATAACTCGCATGTTGGAGATGCTCGCTTCACCAGTATGGGCCAACGACGCAAAGAGATCAATATTGGCCAACTCTGCCGAGAAAGATATGGTCGCGACAATGTGGCAATTATCGGATGTGGAACACACACGGGGACGGTTGCGGCAGCACACGAATGGGATGAGGATATGGAAGTAATGCGCGTCAATCCATCACGAACAGACAGTTGGGAATACGTTGCACACAGCACTGGTATTCCAAACTTCCTACTCGACCTGCGTCCAGATTTCGCGAGCTCACAGCTTCGAGAGGCCTTTGCTCAGGAGCCACCAAAGTTGGAGCGTTTCATCGGCGTCATTTACCGGCCAGACACGGAGCGGGTCTCACATTATTCGCAGGCGTATCTACACAACCAGCTGGATGCGTATGTCTGGTTTGATCGAAGCTCGGCTGTGAACCCGCTTGAAAGAGTACAGCCCCGGACAGCTCTGGGTAAGGAAGAGACGTATCCATTTGGACTGTAGAGGAAAGAAGAAATAGCGAATAATGAAATTGATTCGATGAGGTAGAAATAAAGTGACAGCTGGAGTTAAGCCGTAAGCAGACTAGCGCGCTTTCTATTTGTTTTGGTCGGAGCAGCCCAGCAACGTCACCGCTTCCTCCTCGTCACGCTTCCCCTCGATATTTGTGCTCGTTATCCACTTCAACCACTATTGCTTGTATTTGTGTGGGAAAACGAATTCGATAAACGCCCAGAAATTAGACGATTTTGACGCCCGAACAATACAATCACTCGAGCCAAAATGGCACCGCGTCGCTCAGCTCGCCTGAGAGGCAACACCCCGGTCACAGAGGTAATTCAATTCAACCCACCAGTTCTTGAACATTCTTGAGCTTATGCACTTCGAATACTGATTATCTACTTCGTACAGGACCAGTTTCCCGCTGTGCCCACCACCACTCCCGCAAAACTCGCGCCTGTGGTTGAAAACAACGCGACACAAACCAAAGACAATGCCGCCAAAACAATCACCACCCCAAAGAGCCAGCCTTCGGTGAAAAAATCCATACTGTCGCCTATTGAGAAACCATCTATGAAAACACCTTCAACGATTGGTAGTGCGCGCCCACCTCGTGAAGAAATGCACCCTAGCAAAGCACAGAAGAGCACAACTAAAAAGCTTGACTCTGGCCTTATCCTTGGGTTTCAGCCGGTTCAACGCGACTCAAGCGGAAACGTCATCAAAGAAACCTTGACTTCCAACACACCCTCGAAAGTCCTGTCATCCCCTCCCAGCAACCTGGGTACTCCTTCCAAGTTCGGCTTTAAATTTTCAAGCGACGATGCCGAACTCAGCGAAGATGCTAGAAAGTTGATGGAGAGCGTTCGCGAGGATGTAGCTAGAATTAAGGCACAGATGATACTCGATCGAGGCGAACAAAAGCGCAAGGCAGAAGCTGGGGAGCAGACACTCGAGGGAAGGAGAATTGCCAAGCCCAAAGGCAAGGCAGGACGCTACAGCGATGCTCACATGGCAGAGTTCAAGAAGATGGACTCTATTGCTGGGCATCCTTCCGCTTTCCGAGCAGAGTCAGCTCGCTTCACTCCTGTCACCAAATCATTGAAACGAAAGAACTCGAAGGCATCGCTTGACGAGCCAGAGACCCAACCATCACCTTCAAAGTCTCCTCTCATTGAAGCCAAACGTGTGAAACGCACCGAAATCAAGACGACTACCACTACTCGTCAGCTAGGAAACATTGGTACCCCATGCAAAATGGCTATTCCCCAACCGTCCAGATCGACATTCCGTAGCAGCTCTTTGATGACTCCTACGAGATCCTCGGCTGCCCGTTTTGCATCGGCACGGCCTATGAAGACTTCTATGATTCCTTCTCTGGCTGATTCTTTAGTGTCTCGTCAGGCTCTACCCCAAACTCCAAAAACCGAGTTCAACCCTAGACTCAAAAAATCGCTACCAAGTCTCGGAAATTTAAAGTCAATCTTGAGGCGTCGTCAGCCACTGTTTTCAGATGACCCTGCAAAGATAGCTGCAGGAACGCACATTACAGCTCCGAATTTCAATCCTGACATCAACTTGAAGGATCTCCCAACAGCAAACTTCAGTGGTATCGAACAGACACCATCTCCTAAGAAGCGTGTGGAATTCACATCAAGCACAAAGTCTCGCCGTGAGTCAGTTCTTGCTACACCGACTGCAATTGAGTTTCCACCTGAAGCTATCGCTGCCTCCACGTCCGATATTGTGTATCCGGTTCTTCCAGAAACAATGACACCCGAAAAGGAAGTCATCGACACGCCCACCATCCGACGTGTTCGTGAATCAATTCCTGCTGCTCCTTATAGTCCTCTTTCGACAATTCCTGCTATACCTCATGGTATTCCGAATAAAGAGCGTAAGCATGACAGCAAGAAAGAACAGGCTGTCAATTTCTCCTCGCCAGCCCTCAAAACAGCTTTCTCGGTCCCTTCCGCAGCCAGTCCTTTCCCTCAAATGCCGACAGTGCCACATGGAATCTCGAACGAAAAGCGCTCACGTGAGGAGCATGGCAAGAAGCTAGAGGCTAAATCGACTCCAATTTTGAAGACGACGTCGTCACCTTTGAAGGCAAAGAGTCCATCCGCTAGTTTACTCGCAATGCCTCATGGTATCAAAAACAAGAAACGCCAGCGTGCAGACATGAGCGATGATGAGGACACCGAGAACATTCCACCTACTGCAAACTCTGTTGCTGAACGCAATGCCAAACGTTTGAAAGTCAGCCCAATGAAGTTGAATCCAGTCAGTCCCAGCCCTATCAAGAACCGCTCCATCATTACTCCTGGGCGCATGACAGGCAACAAGGGCCGAGTTAGCACTCCGGGCACTGCATCGAAGAAAGGCGTTCTTAGCTTGAGCCGCTTGAATATGCTGTCTAAGCCAAAGTTGCGTTCTTAGAAGATCCGGTAGAAGGATTTTGGTTGTGTTCTATCCTCCATCATTGCTTATCACAAATCACGACCCATCATGACTCAATAGGCGTTCTGCATGCAGTCAAGAGACCCGGCGTTACTGGGTAATTCAAAGAAAGACTGTGACTTTTTTCTATGGAAGGCGTTTACCTGAAAGGCGGCGATTCTGATATGACTTTTCTTCTTTTTTTTTTTGTATAATATGAACTTCTCTTTCAGACTGGCTACATTTTCGATTTTTCATGTAATTTTGTTTTTACGACATACGAAAAGGGGATGAGAGGGGACGACAGCATCTATCGAAGGTTGTATTTTCCATGTGTTTGCGTGTGAGTGAGTACAAATCATGACATGGTGTTGTGCTATGCTTGTTTCCTTCTCTTTTAAATAGTTTGCGTAGGTAGAAGTATTCGGTTCTGGGATGATAACAATTATGAGTTTCTATGTACTTTTATCAGTAAAAGGGGCCTTCGGAGTGATCGAAGCTCAGGTGCGATTACCTAGCTAGGTGATTAACGGTCCAAAACAGTCCCTTCGGCCCGTCTGCGTTTCTCACTGCATGAGAAAAGACAGTGGCTTATTAGGACGAATGAATTGTGATAATGACTAAAAATACATGAATGCCCTCCCATCTTCAAGAAGATGGGAAAGAAACCAAAAATTTGACCACCCAATGCCAAACCTAATATCAGCAACTCAGAAAAACTCCTCATCGAAACCTCTCCCCAAAGGAGAATCGCATCAAAAACTCCATGCAAAAGCCCAGATATCTTCTCTAAATACGTCTTGATTTTTTCAATTACCGTCTTCCTATCATCCTTTCATGGTCGCCAAGAAAGAATCTAGATTATACTCCTCCTGATACTGGCGATCATCCCACAACTCGCCCAAATCATCTAACCATCCCTTCTTGCCCTTCTCTTTGACTTCGCCATCTATATCAACCATGTCTGCCTCGTTGCCAGCGGCGCTTTCGGGAACCGGTTTTTCTGCTCCTTCTGCTGTTTCGCCGAGATTGAAGAGGTCGAGAAGTTGGTCAGTGTCCATTGTGTTGAGGCCCGCGTTTTGTTGGTTGACCACCGTTGATGCTACGTCGATTTTGAAACGTTGTAGACTTGAAAAGTGTTAGCATGTTATATCTATGAATAGATGTAAAAGGGTGGCTTACCTCAAAATCTTCTCCTCCAAAGTACCCCTCGTGATCAAACGGTAGACATTGACAACCTTCTTCTGGCCGATACGATGCGCGCGGTCCATGGCTTGAATATCCTTCTGAGGGTTCCAGTCATGCTCGACGAAAATGACTGTGTCGGCACCAGTAAGGTTGAGACCCAATCCACCAACACTCGTGGTGAGTAGCAACACATCGTAGCTAGGATCGGTGTTGAATTGATTGACGATATTCTGACGTTTCGTGGCTTCGACGCTTCCATCCAATCGTAGATACTGAACAGAAGGAAGCATCTTCTTCAACACATCTTCTTGGACGATATCAAGCATCTCTTTCATCTGGCAGAAGACAAGTGCACGGTGAGGACTGACGTAGCTTGCCCCCGTGTCTAATTCGCCCTCTGTGTTAGGATCAACGCCAATGCCACAGTCAACCAACAAATCGCGGAGAGCTGTCAGTTTGGGTGCGTGAGAGATATCTCGAATATGCGAATTCTTTGTGCTTAGATATTTCTGCACATCGTCATATTGTTTATGGCCCTCTTTGATGACCAAGGCCGGAGAATTGCAGAGACGGCGCATGTACTGAAGAGCTTGGAAGATATGTTCTTTAGCTGATTTTTCCGTACTACCCATCTTATTTTGGAGATCCTTTTGCTCTTTCTTCGAAAAGTCCTCAAACAACTTCCGTTGCAGATCACTTGGGTCGCAATAGTAGTTCTGCAGAATCTTGGGTGGCAAGTCGTTCAGGACTTCCTCCTTCAAACGACGTAACAGGAATGGAAGTACCTGCTTGTGAAGAGCTTCAATTGCCAAAGCACCGGCCTCTTGTTCCTTTGATGATGACTTGCTGAAGCGGCTTGCGGCAATAGGCTTGGCGAATCGATCTAAGAAGACTTTTTCTGTACCCAAAAATCCAGGCATCAAGAAGTCGAACAATGACCAGAGTTCCAAGACGTTGTTCTGAATAGGCGTGCCAGATAGAATCAGACGATGGTTGCTAATGAGTTGCTTCACAGCGAGAGTAATCTTTGCTTTGGGGTTCTTGATAAGATGGCCCTCGTCCAGGACGCAATAGTTCCAGTTGATAGGTGTGAAGATCTGAGTGTCGTTTCTGCAGATGTCATACGATGTAATGACAATATCGGCCTTTTCCAACTCGCCACGAAGCTGCGAGCGTTGAGATGGAGGGCCGACGTAAGCCACACAATTGAGGAAAGGAGCGTATTGTTTAATCTCTTGTTGCCAATGGCCTGATAAAGTAGGTGGACAGACAATCAACGAAGGAAGCTTGCGGAGCTCGGGCTTTTGCGTACGAGCATATTCTTCTGCCCGCATGTGGTGGTCACTCGCGACAATGCATAGAGTTTGCAGCGTTTTCCCAAGACCCATATCATCACACAAAATGCCGTGCAAGTGGTAACGGTTGAGGAAGGCTAGCCAGTTGACACCCTCTTGTTGGTATGAACGCAATTCTGCTTTGATCGCAACGGGAATCTCAAAAGGCTCGATCTTTCGGGGATCTAGCATCTGTGACATAAACTTCCTTTCACGGTCACGACCTTGTAAAAGCTCTTCTGACAGACCTGGTGGGTCTGGAATGCCTGCTTCCAGAGGAACAAGTTTGACCAACGTTGCGAAAGAAGTTGTGGAAAGCAGCCGGACGTCGTTGTCGGAGTCGCTCATACGCCCAAGCACGGGTACTATGAGGAAAATGACGTACGGTAGGATTCCTTCTTCCATGACGTGGATGAGATGATAGATGCATTCAACAGCACCTTGACGATGATGCACATCCAATGCATTGTTGACGGTAGGCAACACATTCTCGACTAACATAGTCATGCCCTCTACGGTGATGACGCTGCAAATTGTCGCGAAACATTTGGCAGCTGCGTATCGAATAACAGAAAGCTCGCATTGCAGTGACTTTGCTATGACTGGCATGAGTTTGATGACCCATGAGTGCAGGCCAGGGTGGAATTTCGGCAAAAGCGCTCTGAGTGTTGAGAGCCCATCGACAGCTTCCTGACCGAGTTCGTTATCGGGTTCCCGAATGTTAGCTGGTAGGTCGCCCTCAAGTGCTTCCCGAAGTGGCCGTTCAATTAGAGCAGCAAGGTTGGGTATCTTTTCTAGCAGTTCACTGCCGAATTTTGTGGCTAACTGCTCAAGTGCTTCCTTGGCTCCTCGTCGCATGATTCTAGCCGCCCGAGCTTCACGCTCAAACTTGGCTGCGTCGACATGATCTCTGCGGTCTTCCTCTTTCCTGAGCGAGAGGATGAATTTCTCAAGATGAACGTTATGGTGGAATTCCGGTGTTTCCGATGTATCAACACAACAATATTTGACTAGGTTACCAATGACCTTGTCAACCGGGCCCCTCTTGGTAGCTGTCGTGTAGTAATTGATAAGATTGACGATTGCCAAAGCCGACCGCTGTTGTAGTTCGCTATTTTCCTCATTCTTGATGCTATCCATCATTCCTTTGATTATATGGCTCGGCTTCTTTGGTATGTCTTGTAGTGCAACCAAGGCCCCAGCCGTCGCGGCGCGAATGCGCAGATCTCTCTGATCCTTGATGTACTTTGCCTCCTCAATTGAAGTCTCAGCACTTGATCTTGTATCGTTCAAGACCTGGAGTGCGGTAACACGCTGAGCTGGCGTCAAACTCTTCTTCAAACGTTCAAAATCTGGACCAACAACCTTTTCGGCATCATTGATGGAAAATGCGTTTGGTCCGGCTTCAGGATCGCCTTGGACGACGACGGCTAATGTTGGCAGCCTTCCAGAAGGCACATGCGCGTGGTCTCTGAAAGCGTTGAGCAGAGAATGACATTGTGCCCGGGTGATTTGTAGGTAAGAAACTATATCACTGTACCAGCCAGGGCGATCAGTCTCGATAATAGGACGTAAGTTCTCGCACAGCAATGAAGTATAATTCCCGGTTGCACCTGCCCGTTTAGCGTACTCTTCAATGATCATTGCAGCCGCTAGTTGTGAAGAAGACCCAGATAAGGTAAGTCCACTAACAATAGACTCCCACAGCGAAGGCAAATCTTTTGAGTCCCACATGAACAAAAATTGGCCCAAGGCCTGAGCGGCAAAAATCTTAGATCGTACCATAGTATCCAACCCGACCAAGTCAATATCGCCTGATAACATATGTCCATCGACGTTATGCGCAGAGGGAGGCGGGACCTCCTTCTTCTCAGACTTTCGGCGCCGAATTTTACCTGACTCTGGTGCGTTCACTGGGCTAGACTTTCTGCCCGGCGTTTGAGGATGAGAGAATGCATACGCTACACCAGAAGGCTTGATGAATAAGGAGGCATTCATCGGGATGGGGTAACGAGGGACACCAAATGGACCCATGGCTAGTGTGATTAGAGGCTGAACGGACGAGCTCAACGTCTCAGCGGTAAAGAGATTGCGAGCATCCAAGGCCTTTATCAAATCATACCAAACTTCGAGTGAGAGCTTTAGTACACCCTCGTTCCGTTCAACTAGCAGGTTTTGGAAGATCAAGCGCATAGCTTTACCGTCAACCCAAGCGTTTGAATCTTGGTCCTCAAGACGTAGGAATGTGGTGAGTGCCCGGAGAGCGGCCAGTCGGACGCTAGTGATTGTATGCCGCAAGAAGGGATATAGGCGTGGCACAAGATTCGCGAAGGACGCTTCAGGGTCGTCGGCAGCATTGGCCTTCATGGCGTCTAAGACCTCTGGGAACGTGCACAGTTTGGCTAGCAGGTCCATGACGGATCCAGTACTGGCACTTAGATCGTCTTGCAAGTTCGACAGACAGTCCCATACGATATTTATCAGAGCACTCAAGGAGCCTTGACGAGAGGCGACGAGCTCTTCAGCGATAGGTATCAGGGTGGCGGCACTAACGGCTCGTACATCGTCATCGAAATCTGCCAGCCCTTTCATAACTGCCTCTAGAACACCGTCCATCATTTTTGCGTCTTTGATCAAAAGCTCCTTTCGGACAGCTACCAAATACCTCAATCCAATCATACCACCATGGCAGACTTCCCAGATAGGCCTCTCAAGTCCGAGTTCCCTCAGCATGATGATACGATGAAGAATTCGATATACTTGGATAACAGACTTTGATGGCAAATGTGAAAGAACGGCACCTAAAGTCTGGCCAACTGTTTCTCGAATGGGAGCAACAACGTTATCAGAGATGTAATCACCGAAGCGGTCGAGCATAAACACGCAGAGTAAACGGCATGCCAAATCATCAAGCCACTGCCGGTTCAACAAGTCGTTCTCTTTCCTGGATTTGCCCAGAAGACGGCCAGCGCCAGACCCTTGGACTCGAATCACTTCTCGCAGGCCCATTGCAGCTCCGTGTCGAATCTCCCAATTTGGGTCGAAGAGGTCTACCTCGAGAAATTCGCACATGCGTTCATAAGGCCACTCCTTGCCTTGCTCCTCAGCTTCGGTTTGTATGAGCGGTTTCTCTGGAACGATTGGTCCTTTGAACTCCGAGACGATTTTGCTATCATCGTCGGCACTTGATCGGTCGAGAGAGAAATAATCCGGCTTCTTTTCGTTTTCTTCTTCTCCAATTTCTGACTTTATCGGATATGGAGTTGCTACAGACGGCGTCGGCATACTGTCTGACGGCTTTCGAGAAGAAAGGTCGACGACTCTGACTTTGTTGGCTCCAAGCTTGGCATTTTGTTTGTTCTTGCGCTTCAGCTGGTTCAATTGACGTTTGCTCAACCCTGATTCCTCTCCATTCTGCGGCTCGTTGGACGATCCGTTGATTACACTATTCTGTCGAGATGGAACCGGAACAGGCTTCTCGATTTTGGCAGTCGACGTAAAATCGGCCTCGTCGACTAAGTCGTCTTCAAGGTACTCTCCAGCCAGGCCAAGACGTGCCGTCAAAGTTTTCTTCTGATGTTGCAACCTTGCGGCTGGATCCATGCCACCGATAGTATACTCATATTCTTTGCCTGCACTGCCGAGTAGTTTCCTACCGAATTTCAGAATAGACCCAACGTCGAGTGTTTCCAAACGCAGCAAGTCTTCCGCGAGAGGTATTGAGTCCTCGGATTTGACTTCTGTTTTGATTTCCACATCGTCATCATCACCATCTGGTTTCTTGATTGTCAAGCCGTCATCTTCATTTGGATCGTAAAGCTCAGCATTGGCCGCTACAAGACCTATAGCTTTGGCAGCAGCTGTGCGGGTGTCCCATGACTTGGATCTGAGATACGGGACAATGCGGCCTAGTAAATTAAACAACTCATCTGGGTGTTGCTTTTGCACATCAGCCAGTTGCTGGGCTGCAGTATTTCGAATCAACTGAGTGCTGCCAGTCTCCAGAAGCCTGTACGTAATATCATTGGTCAGCCTGTATTAAGCATTTGAGGGAAAGGGAAAGGGAAAGAAAGGCTCACGTGACAAGCCGGTCAAGCCTAGTACGAGAAAGGTTAGCGGATCGCCCAAGTCCCAATGTAGAATAGCGGAGTATGGTGTCAGATAGAACTCACCTGGAAGCCATGGCGATGTCAACGCTGCTTGGTGCAACGTCAGAACTCCAGACCCGAGTGTCTCAGAGATAAGTCGCAGCTCAGCTCAATGCACACAGACTCTTGCTGTCTCCATAGAAAGCACAAGAAGATCAAGGGGTGGTGAAGTAGCCAGATGGTGGGATCTCATTGGACGGGAGAGCCCAGCCTGAGAAGAATCGCACTAAAATCTGCTATGACTAACTGATCGCTTTATTGGATGAGAGCCACCACCGCGCACAATTTTTGAGTGTCGACTTCTGAAGTTGCAACAGAGATTCTTCATCAAAAAGAAAGATATAATCAGATAAATATATCAAAAGGAGAGACTAGAGAAAAGAAATAATAAAAAAGTGAGGTTGCTGGGGGGAGACGCGAAAAGCAGTCTGGGGACACCAAATAGGGAAGAGCGCCGCAGAGATGCGTGGCCAGCAGGAAGGGACGTGTGGACGGGTACATCTTGTCGAGGTTGCGCCGGGCTGTTTATGCTGTTTATATCATCGATCCGTTCGCTGAGCCCGGCGCGTTTGCTGGGCACCGCGGTTAGCGCTAAGCCCAAACGGGGCTTAGCGCTCCCCCTCGCGCCGCATAGCTTTTTCTTTCGGTCACGTGAGTATCCGGTCAGCTCCTACGTTAGATTCGACTCTCTAAGTCTTGTAAGTAGGTAAAATAGATGGTCAGTACACATTTATATTAGGCTGCTGGCTGTATTCCGGACTCGTATGGGTACTACTGAAGAACTGGTTTACTATTACTGGTCTCTTTCCATTGCCACAATATGTGCAACTGCTGCCTTGAACTGGATTGATGACAAGCGATTCCGTCAAATCAATAATAGAGATATTGCGTAAGAAGTCTGCCAGGTACTTGAAGTCCGCTATCTGACCAGAAAGGCTGATTGTGGTAGTAAATGTCTCTCCATAGTTGCATAGTTGCCATACGCGGCACAACGTCATTGCACCTTCCTTATACGTACAATCCACTAAGAATGTAGCAGACTAGAGTATCGTTTCAAGCAATATGCCCAGATTCACCTCGTGCAGACAATGCACGCGTCAGACAGTCAGTATTGAATGAACTGAATGAATTTGAAGATCAGAATCAAGTATATTGCGATTGCGAGTTTATCCTGTACAAAATGGCCATTTCGCTAAGACCATCATAAAAACACACATAGTGACAGTTGCTTTCTTCGCCACACAAGTCGTACGATTCTATTCCAATCCCAGAACCTTGGCCGACTGGCTCTCCTTGCCCAGTAATCCCAGACCTCGAATATCTTCCGCTTTCGGTGCGTTTTCTCGGGGGAAGGTGGCTTCGGCTTTGCGATAGGCTGCTTGGAGTCGCTTTGCTCGAACGATCTAATGCCAGATTAGTTTCAGTGTCTTGAAAAATAGCAGCGAAAATGCCCATGGTCGAATGGCCATCATGTCCAACGCTTTGTGAGCGGGCGTACCTCTTTGCTGTGGTGCAGGCACTCGTTGTAATCTTCCAGAGCGAAGAGACATTTCTTCTTTCCCTCGACACCTTCCGACCCGTTTACGACGTAGCATCCGAGGAGTTCTTGCCAGAAGGCGAAGCAGCGCGAGGGGCCTGTGTCGGGTTAGATTAGCTCATCATAGCCACCAGTCAGAGGGATGGGTCAATTGAGCTGCGGTAACGCAAGACAGCAATTCTGATCAGGACTTACCGCCGTTGAGACCGAAACCAGAAGCCATGGTTGAGGGTGAGTGTGATATGATAGAGCAATGAGGGCTTGTGATAGAATCGAATGAGTGGAGGTTTGAGTCTGAGTTGACGCTCCGCCTGGAACGGCAATGTGGATCGGTTTGAGCATATTCTATTGGTCAGCAGTGCTCAACGTGGATTCCGCCGCAACATACACCACGACAACCACCGAGCTCATTGCAGGACCCAGGACAGCCGTTCTACACGGTGGACTGCAATCCAGAATGACGAATCTCGACAGCTTGTCAGATGTTCAGGCTATTCTTCTTGCCTGTGAGCTGTGCGCTGCCAGTAACGTAGCTGCATTGCCTCACCTGCAACAACATTTCCCTACGTCACTAACTGCAGTACGCCTATTCCGCATCTTGCTGTCCTTTTTACCAGAGACTACACCTCCGCAGCAATACACGACAGTGTTGGATGAGATCGACCGAGGGACATCTCTTACGCCAAATACCGGGGATATTGATATAACGAATGTTAAGAACATTGAAGAGTCGGTCGCGTGGAAGCGTGTCCGGCGGTTGAGACTGCTTCCTCTCAAATACCCACAGGCCAACAAGACGACTGAAACCACAGATCCTTTGACGGAATTTCTCATCCATCGAGCTCATAGAATCGACGCCGAAACCGGCTTACAGACCTATATCCTCGAGTTGATACTACCGTTCTATGAACGCTCAGAATCATTGCGACAATGGCTCGTCTCGAAGATTCTGCCGCTTTTGCGGTCGAATTACGAATACTATCCGGACAAGGAAGATACAATCTCACTTTCTGTACTCGAGTCGATGGACCAAACCACGGGAATCAATGTGCTGTTGTCTATGACGGGGAATACTGCATCCGCGACAGATCTAACGCGAAACCTGAGAGGGTTGGTAGGCCCGTGGATGTGCGGAGCTGGGCAAACTAAGAGGCGGAGATTGAATCATGATCTCGAGACGAACAATGCGACTGACGAGGCAACTACGGCCAATTGGGACGATGTCAATGACTGGCTGCTGTCACGAAGCTTGGTGGAATTTGATAGTGTTGCCAGTGCGCTTGATAATTGGGACGGGCCGGAAGATGTCGATTTGGGTGGATATATGGATGTGGATTTCTCAGAGTCTGAACGACTACGAAAATCTTATGGGCAAGCAGGTCTTGCTATAATATATGCGTCCGATCCTGCGAGGGGCTCGCTTGAGAGGTTATATCAGATTACAACGAAGATAGCAAGACTGCTGCAAATCGACACTGCCACGGATATGAACTTAGATGACCCTTCATTGAGCGCGCTTGATTTGACTCTCACTGCTATCTCGACTGCATCCAAGGCATCGTTGTTACAAAACGGACTTCTCAGGGGCGACAACGCTTTAACTGCTCCATCTCGACATTCGATAAGTTTCTTGCAGGCAATTCTAATATCTGCGCGCATTCTGCGCGACTATGGGTATATTACTTCGTGTCGATCAGCGGCATCTGTGTGTCTACATGGCAATGCAGAGACGCAATCCTGGGAAGTTAATGCAGTTTTGGATATGATTGTCAAGCAGCCAAAGCCAGGACAAGAATGGAAGAAGATCCGCGAGCAGATTCTCTGGCTGCGGGACTGGAGAGGCTCATTAAATACATCTGAAAAGGCAAACGAATGCCATGGTCTTTTCTGGAGGGTGTCTAGAGTCAGAGTTGAAATAGAAATTCTCAAAGCCATGGTGACCACTGGCGGTATGTACTTGTCCCTCATTTTCCTTCTTCCGTTCTAACGCGAAACTAACGCGAAGCAGAATATCGATTGGCAACGGACATTTATACACAGTCAAGCTCTCCTCTAGATTCGACACAAGTTGAGACTGCTGTGGTGGACACGATCATATCGTTTTACGATACTGCTAGCAATGGGAACAAGACTAGAGGCAAGATGAAAAAAGCTGTTGAGATGTAAGTCACTCACTTACGTTTTTAGAGGCATACTAACACAAACCATGACAGTCTCAACGCCTTCCAGCCTCGATTCACAAATTCTAAGCGATTCAAAGAATTGACAGCTCTCATTGCCGCGACCCATGCTCTTTCCTTTTACTCATTGACCCTACAACATGGAGTTCCATTCCAACCGGTCAGCATCAGGGTCCATGAAGATCCTCTAGCATTGATTGAGAAAGTGCTCGATCAAAATCCTAAAAGCTATACAAAGTTGGACGATTTAATATCCATCGGAAGAAACTTTGTCACCGCCGGCCTCTTACCCAATCTTTCGGAAGACACAGAGCAAAGCTCTTTAGTCATAGCCGAACGAAGAATAATCTCCATGGCAGTCTCATCAGCCCTTGCATCTGACGACTTTGGCACCGCCTACTCCTACATCCTAACTCGACTAACCCCTTCCTCACTCCTCCCATCCTCCACCTCAGATACGATAACGACTACCTCCCCTGTCGAAGAAGACATCTCCTGGCGCGCCGCCTACAACGCTGGCCGCTACCGCTCCCCAACGACTTCCACGGAAGCCGATTTAACCTCTCAAATCAACAACCTCTCCCAACGCATGGAACTCCTCTCCTTGGCCCTCATCCTCGCCCCGTCCGCAGACCCCCTACCAGAGGTTCTAGGCGCCTGGCGCCGCTGCGACGAAGAAATGAGCATCCTCCGCAACCGCGAATTTCAAGAAGCCGAAGAATGGGACCAACGCGGCGATCTTCAGTCCGCCGGTGCTAGTGCTGGTGGTCCTGCAACGGTACCAGGCGGCTTTGGCCCGACCGATCGCGAACTAGACGCCTACGAAAACGCGCAACGACAACAACGCAAGAGTCGCGCTTCCTACTATGACGGTGCCAATAACAGAGCGAGGGATGGCGCAGAAGCGCCCATGGGATTATTCGATGTTGCGCGCGGAGCGGCCAGGGCGTTTAGCAAGAATCTTACGCCGTTGCAGCAGTTGCAGCAGCAGCAACAACGACAACAAAGACAGCAATTAGCCACTGAAGAAGTGGAAGGAGAGGAAGGAGAGTTGAGTAGGTCGACAGAATCCCTTGAACGAGTTCGCAAACGTGATGTCGTCTCGAATATGGTTACGGGCGGCTTGGCGAGTGGGATTGGATGGGTGTTGGGTGCTCAACCTGTCAATAATCGATAGCCCCTATAACTATAGCATGAATATGAATGAGATGTATAATGGTGTCATGAATGTGTATTGATATTTGTTTTGAGAAAGAATTTAACAAATCAACCACTAAAAAAATAATTCAAACACCAAAACGAGAACGCCCAAATATGAGAAGAGAAAAGAACAGAACGACATTCCGAAAGAACGTGTTTGGCTCGTACATCAATAACAACAACAGACATGAACTGCAAGTATAGTCTCATCATGCGGCGATGCATGTCATCAATGGGTCGTGACATCACTCGAAGATATTCCTCAAGTGCTGTAAGATGGGGGGATAGGGCACAGCCCGAGTAGTTGATAATTCTGATTTGGAAATGTACGTTTGCATGGGTATGATAGCAACACAAGCAGAGGTCTAATCGGTCCAGCCCCATACTTGTTTGATGAAGTTGGCCATGTTGACCTTTTTGTTCTTGATGTCCTGCATCCATGGATGGTCCAGCATCCGCCACGGCGTGGCTCTTCGGGGAGGGTCTTTTTCGAGGCTAGACAAGTAGTCAGTAAGAAGAGAGAGCACAGAATATTGACTTCTGACATACCAGCACTCAATAAAGTATTTGAAATTATCAGACCAGCTAATGTTGTTTTCTGGCTCGTCTTTCAATGTCGGAATGGGCTGGCGGACGATATATGTCAATAGATCAATGAGACCAGCTCGAGGCTGCATCTCTGTGCCGTCTGCAGGGAATGGGAAGCGGTGTTGAGCGACTTCGAGTAATGTGACGCCCAATGACCAGACATCCGAAGTGATGGTGTAAGATTGGCCCGTGATTCTCTCAGGAGCCATGTAGTATGATGTTCCAATAAAGGTATTGGCGTCTCCTTTGGTGCCGAATTCTCCACTGACACCGAAATCGCAAAGCTTGACTTGTCCGTTTCGACATAGGAGGATGTTGGACGGTTTGATATCTAATCTCATTAGTTCTTGCTACCGTAAGGGCACCTAGAAAGCATACCTCTGTGAATAATCTTTCGGCTGTGAAGGTAGGTCAATCCGTTGAGAACGCCTTCGGCAACTTTGCCCAGCACTTTCTCCCCTGTTCGTCCGCCAAGTTTCCTGACCTCACGGTAGATGCTGTCTAGACTTCCTCCCTCGCAAAACTCCATAGCAATAGAAATAGTGCCCGAGGTTTTATCCATGAATGCACCATAGTATCGACAAATATGCTCAGATGCGCAGTCTTTGTTGAAGTTTAACTCTCGAATGATCTGTTTCTTGACGTCGGGATTCGGGTCGGTGGTGATGATCTATCCTAATTAGTGCCCATGCTTGATTCAATGAAAGGTAAACTTACCTTCAGAGCAAAAACAGTATTCCCTTCCTTCAGTTTACATCGCGTCACCGCACCACCCGCACCTTCGCCTAGGCTACCAAGTTCGACGATTTTCTTCTGTTCACTAGCCGCCAACCAACCTTCATCATCCAAATCCTCGACATCCAGCGGTCGGCCTTTATCCAAACTCAATTTGTCAAGATCGGGCAATAAACTGTTAACGCTGTTCTCTCTCTCCATGGATACCCCGCCGTCTCGGTCCGAGTAAACAGAGCTGATGGCTGAAGACGGATCCGGAGTGCCAACGGTCGGCTGACGCAGCCCCATAGCAAATGATAGAGTCGAGTATGACGAGGACGAGGCACTGCCGGGACCGCTAGCCTTGCCGTCAAGGTGTGTGGTGGACGTGGATAAACCGTTACTAGCATCACTGAGGCTATTGCTGCTGGTTGATATACTGCTCAAGTATGGAGTGGGTCTTCCACTTTCATGAGATTGGTGATTGCTGCCGCCCATAGGAGTCGCTAATCGAAGCTGAGGGGGTGCCGGACGACTGGATGCTTGAGGTAGGGGGATGTCTGATATTCGTGGATCTTCGCTGGGAGGATTGACGGGTTTCATGCTGGGAGACGGAGGAATGCCGAGGGTGAGACGAGGTGTGCGGGCACCATTGCCATTGCGACCGCCGGGCACTGGAGGACGAAGGAGAGGTGCTGGAGACGACATGTTGGGATTGACGCTGTTGTTTGTGTTAGTGGATTCGTCGGGAGCGTATGGCCTCGGGTGAGGCAACCCCGGATTCAAAGGATGTGCCAGGATGTTGATATGACGGTGAGTAGACAAAATAATGCAGTMAAGCCGGTCTCGTGACTCAATAAATGCTGTCTATGGTTCTTCGAGCTGAGAGCGATCTGGTGTCTCAGGCTGGGAGCGAGGTGAGGTGGAGGGGATTAGGCGCTAGCGGTCCAGTAAGAGGGGAAGCGGCGCAGTCAGCCAGCTAGGTCAATAAGGCTATGTATTATAACGAGTGTCGGGACAGTAAGACAGCTGAAAAAATAATGTTCAATCGAGAAAACAGGACGAGGGAGAGAGTTCAGAATTCTTGAAAGGAAATGATGGATGGAGAGTTGTCGGTGGTAAGGTTGAAACATGAATGAACGTGAGCGATATGAAAGGTGGGCTGGGCTGGACCCACGGCGTAGCGCCAGACTCGCAAATGACAGACACGTACGACGATGCACCAGAAGTCAGAACGGTATCCTGATTGATTGATGGATTGATTATTGTATGTCAAGAGCAGTATACGATGGATGTTCAATCTGGCCTTTCATATCGTCAATTATGTAAAAAGGTCTTCGTGTGCTCTCGTCTCCGCTATCCGTTCGACCTCCATGTCTATACCGAGTAAGCCCAGTACAACTGCTACAGACGTAACTACTCATCACGACGCAATCCACACGGCAGTAACCTGTCAAGAGACTCGGATACCTACTCCAGAACAGCTCGTTGCATAACCCAGGAGTCAGGGTCAAGCTTGATCGCTGAGAGGCTGAAGCGAGCTGCGGGGGCGTTGGATTCAGGCCAGTCAGGCTCAGTCGCAGCCGCTGCTAAAATCAGCCACTGCCATGAACAGGTCGACTGGCGGCTAATTCGCGAGCATGATATTGGCTTGGTGTGGATGAAAAGAGGTAGCTATAAGAGGTAGCTGTGTGCGGTGCACTTCTCGAAAGTAATCGGCTAACTTCTTCGGTCTGGAAGATCGATCCTGGCGCGAGTCTTCGGGAAAGGAATGGAAAGTTCATTGAGCCTGAGGCACCGGCGTCTAGCACGTGAGTCTGCTCTTCGTCGACGGCAATTACATCGTAGGGAAGAACAAATGACGAGCAAACACGCTCCAGATCGAGTGAATCATCCACTCCCGACTTTCAACTCCGTCGCAACGTAAAGTTGTAACGGAGTTCGTCTAGAACACGCTCTGTCCTCTAGTCTTGATGTTATAGTCTACTACTACTTAGTCTTGAGTCCACGACGATAGTCCCAACTCAAGCGCAACAGCGACGACGGACAAACAAGCTTCATCCAGTGACATCCACAGTGGATTCTGGACCCTCTCGTCATGGGCAGTCTTGTGCGCTTTGAGGTATTCCCCTGAACATGTTCCCAGATCCGGCGTCTGATTGGCCGATTCAGTGGGGGTGTCTGCTAGAGGGAAGATTGAACAATGAAGACTGAAGAGTTGGGAAGTGAGGAGGCGCCAAGGATCAGACCGCTTCCACATCGTATTATTATCCATGTGTGCTTCCATCGCTGTTGGTGCGATTCGAAGAACGTGGACGCAGTCTTTGTGAGCTACGTATCATATGACAATCCGGTTGGGTGTCTACTGGTAATTACTCTGTACACCTCGCTACATCTGCCAACAGTGTACTACGCAAGTACTACTATGAGTAGCCAGATGTACTTTGGCTAACAATTGTCGAGGAGCGGTACATTGCAATAGGAGAGAGGGAGCATCGCCACACTCCCATCTGAAACTCTAAGGCGGCTTAATCTCGGTGGCAGCCAATCAGAGAAATCAAGCGGCAGAGGGAGTGGAGTTGAACCCCTGACTAACGCGCACTAGCGGCATCTCTCAGCCAATGGTAGCATCCGTGTCTGGGTCCTGAGGGGCACTGACGTTGCCTCCACAAACCAGGATGTCACTCAAAGCCCATCAGCCATACTGCGTACAATATGACTACTATACTACGTATAGTTACTACGCATAGTACAGCAACAGCGCCACGGGTGTCAGACAGCGAGTCAGTGCTGCTCTTGCGCGAGGACTCGGTAGACAGTACGTACTATGTACTGTCACCTGGGTTCACATTGAGTACACTTCCACAGACAGATCCAAGGCGGTTACTGCTTGGTACTACATAGTACTATGTAAGTAACTACTGAGTGGTACTTAATATTGGCTAAACAATAAACACGGCCGCCATTGGCTGTTTCGAAACACAATCAATTTGAATCAATTGCAGGACTGCCCCTGAGTGGTTGTGGGCAATAAACACTAACAGCTTAGACTCAGCTAGGCTCTCACCAAGTGGAGCGTCGTTCCTGCAGCAAACCCCCCGGCTGCTGCGATCTTCCATGGCTAATTTCCCTCCCAACTACAAAGACCCCAACTGTCCTCGCTCGCTGTCTGTTCATCTTTCTTCCTTCCCTCTCACACACACACTCAGACTTCTCTGTTGCCAACTTCGACCTCGGTCACCCACACTCTTTTCAACCCAACTACCAACGCTCTTTCAGCAACCCACCAACTCTTCAACTCTTCTCAGCTTCCTTGACGGAAATTTTCTACCATCCAACCAAAAAACCAACCATCAAAATGCGTTTCTCCATCGCTGCTCTTGCTCTCTTCGCTGGTGCCTCCGTTGCCCAGATCACCGTCACCAGCGTTGACGTCGAGACCATCACCTCTTGCGCTCCCTCGGTGACCAACTGCCCTGCTCGCTCGTCCGCCACCGCTCCCGCCGCCGTCAGCTCTGGTGTCTCTCCCGTCTCGGTCGCTCCTGCTCCCAGCAAGGCCGTGACCTCCTCTGCTCCCGCCGTGCCTGCTCCCGTCAGCACCAGCACCACCCTCAGCCCTGTTGCTCCCTACCCCGTCTCCTCGGCTTCCTTGAGCACCTCCGTCATCACCGTGACCACCTGCGTGCCCACCACCAGCCTCTCCACCATCACCTTCACCGCCACCCCCACTCCTGTCGTCCCCGTCGGCACTGGCTCTCCTAAGCCCGTCAGCTCCAGCACCGCTGTTCCTGGAAAGTCCACCACCACGTGAGTCTCTTCGTCTTCTAGCTCTCAAAGGTCCATGCTAATCCCTCGCAGTCCCAGCTCCCCCAAGTACACTGGTGCTGCCAACGCTGTCAGCGGCTCCATCATGATGGCCGGTGCCGCCGCCGTCGTCGCCGCCGCCGTCTTCTTGGCTTAAATCTCGTGACGACAATCTGCAGCCAGGTGGTGGACGTGGTGAACGTTGGATCTGTCTGGGCCCGTTACGTGATGTCTTATTCAAGCCGTTGAATTCAATTTTATTTCTTCTCCCAGCGAGAGAGTTTTTGTGATTTTTTGACTTCTCGATATATCCTTTTTATGGGAATTAACGGATAGAGAGTTATAATGTGGTGTTTCTTCCGTTTTACTGTACATTTTGAAGAATCCAGTCAACACGAACCTTTTATTCTTACTATCCGATCCCTAACAATTTATTACCTTGACCTGTGTCGTGTATCAATGTGCTATTATGGTCTGAAGTAGTGTATGACTTGCATATGCAGGTACAGTGAAATATTCCGAGTCCGTAGAGCCGTTCAGAGGATCAAGCCGTTGGTGGCTGCAAAAGGGATTGTTTAATTTAAAGGTGAAACAGCGGGCTCTTTTAGCCTTTGTCTACTATGTAAGCTCGATACTACTCATAGCACATTGTACGGAGTAATCTTGGCATCAATCAATCAGCCTATTCTCACTCGGTACTGGTGATAGGGTATCCTGGTATGATATACTATGTAGACATTATCGATTGCGACAATGGACTTTTTTGTGTAGTAGCACTGTTGAGATGGTTTGCAACGTTGGATTGATCTGTTGTGGAATACAGGTTCGAGAATGCATCGAAACCTAGATAGATGAGAAATCGCCTACCAATTGGTTGTCTTTACGCCTGCCAACAAATACGTGCACGCGACTCGTAAGCATTGCCAGTGAAAACCGATCCGACGACATCAAAGCACCTTCACGTACGTAGACAGTGATACACCGCTCACGAAGAGCAGAAGTAAGCGTCCTATATACAGCAAAGTACGGAGGGGGCTCCATAATTGCGGTGGATCATGATACTTTTTATAGAACTCTGAGATTGGGCTTGGGGCGGGATATTTGCACGCACTTTACTCGTTCGGGCATTCTATACAACACTTCCACCAAACGCGACGAGGGACCAACAACTACGAAGTTGGTCATGATTCTCATGAATAGGAGACTATGTCTATGTTCGTTCAGGAGTACTCGTACGGTTCATCCTGCAGGATATCTAGTCTGGATAGCGCCCGTTGATTGCGTACCGTCGCTGATCAGTTGCACGAGTACGCAAACCTCCAGTTTTGGAGGATTTACTTTGAAAATAACACCAACGCTTCTCTTTACCTAGGTCATAGCAAGTACCGTGCAAATCTAAAATAGACGGCTGATACTGCGGACTGGGCTCCATGTCAGTAACCTAGTTAACTAACAGAAACTAACAAACTGAGTCGCACTGACTAAGACCCCGCCACATGATCCATGTCCCAATCGGTCCATCCATGATCCACGAAGTCGCCGCCTCGCTAGCCTACAACGTAACATTCTCTTTCCACTTGCAAAAGTGGTCAACAACTAACATTCTCCGTACTGATATCGGATTTGTACGTACCACGTACTAGTAGCTAGTAAGTGCCACGCACAGATCAGTCTTGTAACCTGGGTCATATTGCTAATCTTAGACCCAGTTCCCAGCTGTGTTCTGTTTCTTCCAGGACGCTGAGACGTGTGATGAGATTTCTGTCTTGCAGCTACTTCAGTTGACGCGCTTCGTCAACTGTGTCTCTGGCTCTCTCTGAGAGCTGTGATATTCTCAACTTTGGTAAACCAAGAGAACACGCCAAAGATCACATCATAGTGATCATCGAATATAACAACATGGAGGACCTATCCTCCCTGGAAGGCCCGCCAATCCAAGATGGTCGCTTCACGCCTATTTCATTCCCAATGTCACCGGTCTCGCCAGAGAATACCTACATTGCCTACAACCCACTGCGAGACGTTCCTCAAGGCTCCGTATCGCCACTGTCATCCGCGCGATCTGCCTACGCCAGGAGCTCTATATCCAGCGTACAAGTGCGCTTTTCTGAATTCTACGTGCTTGAACATGACTAACCGACTACCAGGGCTCTAATCAAGTTCCACCTTTACGAAACTCACGAAGTCACTCTGCCCTGCGTGACACAACAGACGTCCCTCCCCGCCCAGCAAGCACAGACAACAGCAACAGCAACACCAGCGCGCCCTTCTGGCTCTTAGTAAATGGGCGCCTCGTCTGGATTGAAGACCTGCAATTATGGGTCCTATGGGATGATGTAGTCGCCTCTCAAAATCTAGGTGAATATTACACGCAACAACAGCAACGAGGCCAGCAGCAGCAGCAGCAGCAGCAGCAACAGAGTGGCCGAGGAATCAGAACATGGAAGAGTCTACCGCCATTACCGCATGAGATTCATCATCTGTTACCCATGCCGATGGATATAGGGCCGAGTTTCGACCCAAACGATCGCATACAGCGACGCGATCATTACTATTCGCAGACCAGTCCGACGAATGCGCGGATTCAGTTGCAGTGGGCCAGTTTGGCCGGTCAATTAGGTTGGTCTCGTTTTGCGTGCATGCATCTAGAAACGAAAGGATTTAGCTGATTGTTCAAGCTCCTCATATGTCATCCGCAGATCGAGCGCCATCGCGTCCTGTGCCACAGCACTCGCAGTCGTATCCGCAGTCATTACAGCCGGCGCAGCCATCGCAGTCGTACGTTCAACCAGTCCAAGGCAGTTATCATTACTATTCTTGACATTACAACGTGTCGATGCATCGACATAATAACCAAATCGACGTACTGTACAATATGCATACTACGGTCTAGGAGTTTCATTTGTTTCTTTGCATTTCTGCGTTTACTAGCATGGTGTTCTGGGTAGGTTACAGACTCAGAGGCATCGCATCCAGTCGCTTCTTTCTTTCTTTGCTTCTATTTATATCGTCAGACCCTTGAAGGGCTGCTATTTAATGCAGCAAATTCTGCGATTACATTCCTATGATCTGTACATTCTCTTTTCGAGGAGTCAAGTCAGAACAGCCTGTTGGTCAGAACTGCACGAGCAGTCAGCACCCACCCCTTGTTCTGATGCAAGATCAGCAAGTTATAATTAACTATATTATATTATTCAATGATTGACGTATTCGATCCTCTCAAGGCTGATTTAAATGACATAATACAAGAACTCACGGACTGCGTTCGTATGTCCTGCCATTGACGTACTACCCAAATAGACCATTCGATCAAGATGCACACGATCAAATTAGCCGACAGACATACGTACGATGAGCCCAGTTTCAGCCTTGCGATCGCCCTGTCTCAGATTGTGCTTAATTACCCACGTTTGAGGATTTTTGCGCTTTTCGTTATTTCCTAATATCTGAAACCGTTGAGGGTGTTTTGAAGTGTCTGTAACCCCTGGCCGGCTACCTACTACAACCACCAGCACATCGCAATGATGCTTCGACATGGACCTTCTCGTATACCTAAGAAAAATTTCATGTGAGCAAAAGAATAGAAATTGAAGCTGACTCGTAAAGTATCAGCCTCTTTTAACTCATCTTTTACTCAATTGAGTCAATCAATTCATGCCAGCCGAGTTTGTTGTGTTGTCCCGGAAGAGTGTACCGCACTATCGAAATGTGATACACTGGTGCAGATTAGCCCTAATCCCTTGCCAAGCCGTCGCATACCAAATATCTGTAGTTGATTTGTATGTACGTGAGTAGGAATCTTGCGTTGCCAATCGATTTTGATTTTGTGTATTGGCTGGAGATTATCTTTCAATGAGAAGATGTTGATTCGTATAGATCGACTCTTGGTCGATCCTATTCTTGGATCTGATCGAGATTCATGTCATGGGTATAGAGTGAACGAATCGTTCGTCCACATCACTCGATCAGGGAAATGATAGCAGGTTCGACATCTAATATCCATCTAAATTAGTCGTATATGTGGACCCTCGCCTGTCAAAGAGTCATAGTCGAATGTGGACGATCATCCCAGACAGTTACAGTTCGTCCAAGTCGAACCCCCCGTGGCGGAGGAGTTCGTGGCATGTGCCTCACTAAACCATATTCGAGCTTAAGACCAAGATGGATATACTATACTAGCTACGTATATTTCCGATGTCTGGTGTCTGGAGGGGTACAGCACATGAGACGCGTGCACATGTCCTGGTTCACGGGGTTTGTTGTCTGTCTATCGTAGAAGATTTGATTAGATTGATACTTACACCCGCTGTTCTCTTTCTCTTTTCCATTTTCCTTTTAATGTTACTCTTTTCTGGTTTATTTTCTTGCGTCTTTTTATATTCGATTCTCAGGAGCTGGCTCCGCTTATTCCTTTTAACGACGTACCTTTTAATTATTAATATTTGACGACACTCACTTATCTTGGATATGTCACAATAGCGAATTTGGCAGCTATAATCGAGATGAATAACCATACTTACCGACAGTACGTAGGCCCTCATATTACGATGACAATGCTGATATGTCGCCTAGAGAACACTCGCAGTCACCAGCGCAATTGGAACCGGCAGGAACCGTACCAAGACAATCTCAACCTCAGCCTCAACACCAACCTCAATACCAACCTCAGCACCAACCTCAACACCAGCCTCAACACCAACCTCAACACCAACCTCAACACCAACCTCAACACCAACCTCAATACCAACCTCAATACCAACCTCAATACCAACCTCAACATCAGCCTCAACACCAACATCATCCGCACCAACACCAACCTCAACATCAACAACAGTATCACAATCCCCTAAATGCAGTCAGAAAAACAATGTCGACAATGGAAACACTCGGCATCCGGTTACCGCCTCCTGGCTTTCGCGCACAAGACGCTCCTCAGCCGACAACAACATACCAGCAACCATGGCGACATGACGTGCCGAATGTACATATAACTCCTCCAAATCCAGTCAATCAATCAACAACTCAGCCATATGAGCAAACATATGACTCGCTCAGCGCAAGTTATGCGCAGTTCCAGCCGGATCCTGATCATCTCGAAGAATGTGGGTTATCATATACTCCTTCGTTGAGTGGACGTATGTATTCCTTCCATCACCTCGTTATTCCTTCGACTGAGTGGACAAAGGTGACGATGACCTGTTAGACGACCTTGCCGAAGGCGAATCCCATCTATCCACCTATTCAAGCACCATGCCCGGTCAAGATGAGCATTACCCTGCCATTTCCGGTTACATGAGATACCCAGAAATAGACCCCGAAGCTTTGTATCCGTTCGATTACAATAATTTGATCCCACACTCTTCATCTCTCTCCGACCCCGATCCGACAATGATACGACCTTTAACTGCGGAAGAGTTGAATTTGCCCGGATTCTCAATGACTTCATTCTGCGATCCGCCTTATCAAGGTACTTTGGGCGACTTTTTCATACCCACCTCTGCTCCCTCAGTGCAGCCTATCCCTCCTTTGCATGTGCAGCGGCCACCGTATGATATGACCAAAGATTTTCGCCAATATCACGAATCTCATCATGCTCCCAGTAACAAGCGAGCGGCGACTGACAGTCCTTTAATGGAGTCGCACGTATCAAAGAAACCGAGAATGATTCTGACACCCACGCTGAGAACTCCTTCTGGACGTATCCAGAAACCAGCATCCGTCCAACAATCCGTACGCGCAGTCCAGACACAAAACGAGACGCTGTCGAAATTGATTATCCCCCCAACCACCGCTGCTGGTAGACCGTCAATATCACCGCCATTACCGCTACCACCACAGTACCAACAATATCAACAAACCCATCAAGTTGCGCCGCCTTTCCTATTACCGTCAAACGCAGATAGCAGCGGCATACTAATGAAGCCAACTCACCCGTCAATGCGAAGAACAGTCTCAACCTCTTCGAGCGAGAGTCACAGCAGGAATGCCGAAAGCAACAAAAAGCTTTACGCAAATCCCTTGAAACCTCCTGATCTACTGGGGCCTCTGTATGAAGAGCAAGAATCACCGCCAATCAAGGACATGACTCCCGACGATCCGGAGATGATTCCGCATAAACAAAACCTACGGTTCGAGAACGACCTATACACACCTAGGTGGGTGCGCGGTCATGGCAATAAGCGTGAAGGATGGTGCGGAATTTGCAAACCGGGGCGATGGCTTGTCCTTAAGAATTCTGCATATTGGTACGACAAGAGCTTTTCGCATGGGGTTAGTGCTGTGACGGGTAAAGCTTTTGAAGGTCCAAGGGAGATTCGGAGAATCAAGAGGATGAGGAATGAAGATATTGGTAATAACGGGGGCGCGGGTGAAGCTGCTAGTGAAAGTGGTCAAGTCTTGACGCAGAGATTTGGTGGTAAAACAACTACCACCTGGGAAGGACTCTGTGGCAGTTGCAACGAGTGGATTCCTCTAGTCAGCAGCAAGAAGAAAGGGACCACGTGGTTCCGGCATGCGTACAAGGTTCGTCTATTACTTTCCCTGGAAGATAAAATCAGTTTTCTAACACGATGGCAGTGCCAAAGTCAGTTCAAAGCCAGGGAGAGAGAGGCAGGCAGAGATAGTAGGAGTACTTTTTCGGCATCTCCCTTGCCATCTGGGACTGTTTGATTCTAAGGACATGATGAACGGCCTTTAGATCTGATGTAACTTTGTCTGTACATGATTATGATATGAGTGTAATGATACATCCTTGAGACAATGATTCAGTAGACGAGACTGTTGAAGAAGAGATAGCATGAAGTCGACGAGGTGAAGTCGACGAGGTGAAGGCAAAGAACGAAGGAGACGATATCACCGATCCAATCGAGATTAGTGTTAACTCTCCCAGGCCACGGCTCCGATTGGTCAAAATATTTTTATCATTTGCCATATCACATCTTCGGATTCTTTCGTGAATGCCCCCAATTGTCTCGATGCATTCCTGTCCTAACTCTATGCGAGTGGAATTTCTTCAATTCACCGAGATCAGCATAGTCATGGAAAATACAGTCATTGATCAACATGATTGTCGGTGATTGACAGCCACGCCCTGGGAAAGAATGTTCATCTTCCAATCAGAGCACAGTCCTCAATCTCTACATAACCTAGAGCCTACAAAGTACTACTACGCAGTATGATGCGTTATCGTTGTGCTCAGCCATTCGACGGTCTAAATGACACACTTTGCCACACATAGCTTCGAGCATTGGCAGTGAGCAATATTAGGCCATCCGACTGCTCACAGGCCAAGTGGAGCAAAAAAAAAAAAGCAAAGACTTGATTCGAGTGGCCGGTGAAATCACAACAAACAAACTGACGGACGTATATGAAAAAAATGAATATGATAGAACGAGGATATAGTTAGGCTAGATGATTGCTTACTCGGTCAAGATACAGTAAATAGTGTACTCACTATTACTCCGTAGCAGAGGTGGAGACTGTCACTCTGAGATTCTCATCACAGCGGATTCCATCATAATAGTCAACGTTATATCCCCTGCCACTAAACTTAGTTGAGCACCGATATTTCTTTGTCAACGGACTTCTCCTTTTTAGCTGTAGCCTAGCCTGTCTGTCGGTATCGATTCGATTCTATTGAGCTCTGCAGAAATCCCCAGAGCTGTGAGTGGTGGCATACGTACGCTAAGTCAGCAGCTGCATCCATCGATGCTCCATCTACTCCATCGACACCCACCAGCCAAACAAGATCTTGAGTCATCTGCAGTCACATTGCTAAACAAGCGATCATTTGTATTCCCAGTCAAGTTGATTGAGTTCGCATGACCAAGACTGTTCCGACAGACAAAAGTTGTCGTGGGCATATGTCACGAATATATGTCGGTTGGGAATATTGAGCCAGCCGGCCTGATACTCATTTTTTATCAAATTCGAAAACCCTCAACCAGTCCGGTCTGTTTATTCTCTAAACGCTGCGGCATTGATGCAACCATTTCCTCGGATTGGGCGCTTCGAAGATTCTGGAGTGACAAGTCCCCGAAGCAGCAGGCTGATTGATTGACTGAATAATCACCGTGGCTGGGGGGACAACGCTCGACAGACAGACAGGACTCCACAGTGCACACACCACAGGAAGTCCAGCGCATCTGCTGGCCAATGCCGAGTATCTAAGCAGAGAACTATTGGCTTTTGTTTTCTTCCATCAGGTTGTGTATTCTATTTTCCCTTTTCCATGCCCCGCGTGATCGTGCTTTGCTAGTTTTGTTGCTTTGCATATTACTGGGGCCGGATCCTTTCGATTGTCAACAGCGCTTTCTTCTTATTGTTTTTCAGCGTCGGTTCTTTCAGCACAAAACCGCAAGAGATTGAACTGAGGAGAGAAGAAGGAGAAGAAGAGGGAAGAAAGATTCTACCGCTTTCGTCGTAGTTCGATCCCGCTTCCCGCCCGCCGAGCCATACAAAATATTCTTACCTCTTGCCCAATGGTGCTCCATCAACTCTTTTCCAAATCAGCGTCGCCCGACAAGGACAAGGAGAAAAAGAAAGACAAAGAGCGCAAGGTCAAATCCAGAGAAGACTCTTCGCCCAAACGAAAAGACACAAAATCGAGAGGCCGCCCCCAGAGCAGTGACCTCAGCTTGGACCTGGACAGCATCACCATTCCTGCTCCAGACTCTCCTCCGCCGACCTTTTCACCTTCTTCTCTCTCTAGTTCTCCGCAGAAATCTGCTTCGTCCTCGCCTCGCAAATCCTCTCCTACCAAAACCACTCTTTCCTTCCCAAACTTACGACCGCCACACAGTCGTTCCTCTTCCACAACTACATCGAAGCCCGCATTTTTTTCTTCCAACCGCAACTCGCGCAGCGAAGACTCGCATCCGTTGAATCTTCCGCCAGACGAGCTCCGTCGACATCTTTCCGCCATGGCTGCTGCTAGGGATGACAGCATGCGGAGCTCCATGGACATAGACCGGGACACCACAGCATCTCCTCAACCAGAGGCCACTCCCATGAGCACAAATGGAACTCAAAACGGCGACACTGATCGCAGTCCTACCCCGCCTCCCCATCGCTCTCCTCCTCCTAACAGTGATGGTGGAGAGTCGCACAAATTAGCCGGAAATAAGTTTTATAAGCAAGGAGACTACGAGCGAGCCATACAAGAATACAATAAAGGTTAGTATCCGGGTTTGCCTCCAGGTGAAAAATACGCACGTGCTAAAATTTTCTGTACGGTTCTCAGCTCTCGAAGTCAACCCAAACTCTTCAGTCTTCCTTTCCAACCGTGCCGCAGCGTTTCTCTCTGCCAATCGATTCATCGAAGCCTTGGATGATGCACAGCGTGCGTTGGATCTCGACCCGGAGAATTCCAAAATCATGCATCGGCTGGCCCGTATCCTGACAAGCCTGGGTCGTCCGGCAGACGCTCTCGATGTGCTGTCGAAAGTCCAACCCCCCGCATCCGCTAAAGACCGTGCCAATGCCGAGACAATGCTGCGACACATCACTCAAGCCGAGGATTCTTTGAAAAATGGCAAGGGTGGGTCATTGGTGGTCTTTGCCATCGAGCAAGCCCGACAGATGCTTGGCCCGGGTGTGAAGACCCCGCGTAAGTGGCAGCTCATGGCTGGGGAGGCCCAATTGAAGATCGGAAATGATAATGGMTTTGGTAAAGCGCATGATGTGGCCATATCGCTCCTCCGGGAGAACAACCAAGACCCCGATGCTTTGTTGCTCCGTGCGAAAGCATACTACGGCCAGGGCGACAACGAGCAGGCAGTGAAATATACACGGATGAGTCTTCAACTCGACCCAGACAATAAGAAGGCCTTCACCTTGCTGCGACTGGTGCAAAAGCTGGTCCGCACCAAGGAGGAAGGTAACGCGGCTTTCAAAGCCAAGGACTACAAACGAGCCGTAGAACTGTACACTCAAGGTCTTGAAATCGACCCGACCAACAAGGACACCAACTCCAAATTACTTCAGAACCGTGCACAGGCTCATATAGCGTTGAAGGAATACGAGAAAGCAATAGAAGATTGCACTGAAGCCCTTCGCCTCGACCCGGGGTACACCAAAGCACAGAAAATCCGTGCCAAAGCCCACGGCGCCGCAGGAAACTGGCAAGAGGCTATCAAGGACTATAAAAATGTTGCCGAAGTCAACCCCAGCGAGAAGGGTATCCAGGAAGATATTCGCCACGCCGAATTTGAGCTCAAGAAGAGCCAGCGAAAAGATTATTACAAGATTCTCGGTGTTGAGAAGGATGCTTCAGATGGTGACATCAAAAAGGCATACAAGAAGATGGCTATTCTGCACCATCCTGACAAGAATCCGAACTCGAGTGATGAGAAGTTCAAGGAGCTTGGTGAGGCGTATGAGACCTTGATTGATCCTCAGTAAGTTTCTTCTATGATGATTATTAATACGCTGCTGACGAAGTTTAGGAAACGTGCCGCATATGACAATGGCGATGACCTTATTGATCCTTCCGAGATGTTTGGACGCGGTGGTTCACCTTTTGGCGGCATGGGTGGCATGGGAGGTATGGGCGGTATGGGAGGAATGGGTGGTATGCACGGCGTCAACATCGACCCCAACATTCTCTTCAACATGATGAATGGCGGAGGAGGGGGKGGTGGATTCGCTCATGCTGGCGGCAATCCATTCGCTGGCGCCCAGGGTCGTGGTGGCGGCTTCCAAGGATTCCAATTCTAAATGACTCGATAAAGTCTACACCTGCTGGTGTCTATGGACCAAAACGCCTTACGAAAATGTATAGAAGTGAACTGCACGCTGCAGACAATGTCTAGTAGCTATGAAATTTCTTTTTCAACCCATCGACAGAAATCTCGCCATCTATTCCCTGGTCCGAGCGAGTCATTAAAACAGCTTTTGGATATAGGACCTTTTTCTTTCGACTTATTCAGCACGAAACGACCGATAGATTGTCATCTCTTGTCATCATGTCTGTGCTTGTAGGTATGATGTGCTTTTCTTCTCGGGATATTCTCCAACATATTCTCCAACATATTATCCGGCATATCATCCGGCATGTGGCGCAACTGTTCACCCGATCCTTGAAAACTTCTTGTTGTTTTATTCTATTTCTTGCATGAGAAACATAGATTGGCGTTTCTTTTCTTCATCTTGAAATGTTTATCGTTTATGGTCATGTCATGTGTCATATGTTCTTAGTGGTACATAATTGATTAGATTCAGCTTTACAATTAGAATATGAGATTCTATGAGGTTGACAGTGAATATAATGACAGTAAACACTGGATATCTCTTAGTCGTTTTGGCAGAGCTGTAGGTCACGAAGCTCAGCGAATAACATCTCATACCTAGCAGATGCAAACTCGGATTTTCCTTCGTTTGTCTTTGTAATGGCGGCTAGATGACCAGTTCATTCTCTATTCATCAACAGAGAGCTTTAGATTGACTCGTTTCTTGTGTTCAATGAATTCTGATTTTGCATGAGTACTCATACACGCCTAACAACAAAAAGACTCGGCGCCTTGACCACAGATTCTGTCATATTCCTTCAGCCGGAGGATGTGGAAACGTGCCTCGACAAGATCATATCTATATGGTTGTTGTAAGCGTGGCGCTTGAATATGATGTTGCACCTTGGCAAATGCAGGGATCCTGTTTCTGAGATGCCAGAGGCGAGAGCAACTTATCATTAAACAGAAAATCTCTGCAATGAGAAGATATTCACAGATCTCGCAGGTTAACTTGGCAGGGAGACGGTGTAGAGATGCCAGATTTTGCGTATTGTTTCGTACTGAGCTGGCAATGCTCATTAATGTCCTATGCGGTCTCCTGAAGAGAAACATTGTGTAAGCGATTGTAATTACAGTCCTGTAAAGCCATTGTCAAACAGATTCCGATGTTCGTTTTCCACTAGTCACTTATATTGCAAACTGTGAAGTCATATAGGCAGACACCTGTATAGCGAGCATACCTAGGCTACCAGCCCTAACCTTGAATACTAAAGCTCGCATTTCTATATGTAAGAAAGCCCTTAAGTTCACGACTCTTTCAAAATTTTCGCAGAAGCAGATGTTGTCGCCCTGCGATATTTTTCATGCTGCTCAAGCTGTGCCTGTATATATTCGTATCTTTACAAATATTTTGCAGAGACGATAAAAGAACTGGAGAGTTCGAGTAAACTCCCCCACCATAAGTCGCTGTACAACGAAGGACCAAACTACACTAGCGGCATAATTTTATACCTGTTTAATTGTAGTCTACTCAGTTATACTTGATGCGTAAAATCAACGAGGGCATAGGACTCTATGAAAAGGGACAATCAAACCAAAAGAAGTAGATGTTCGGAGACATATTCACATTTCCTCTTATTGATGAGCCTACCATTGTGTCCCAATAAACACTACGTATCATATCAAGAACTCCTTGAGATCAGCTCTTTCCATCATGGATTATGAGCAATACTGCACGCCTCAGGATGACGATCTAGGGTTCATAATTGACACCAAAGGGAACCGCCTATACGAAATCGGGTATGGAGGTCTCCTGGGCGAGATCATACGTCTCAACGACACGCCAACTGAAACTGCTGCATAGATCAGCGAGGGCGGAAAAGCGTCCTTGTTGAGGGCGAAACTCCTATGTACGACCCCATTCGGATTGCTGCAGCACATGGTAGCACTGAAGTTCTCCGGACACTTCTTGATACGTACGAAGCCGAACGGACGCAGACCATCCCACTGGAAAATAGAAGGTTTTCAATACTGAATACAGCCTGTCAACACGGTCAACTAAAGACAGTGAAATTCTTGCTTGATCGCGACCCCCCGCTTGGGGCAGCCTACGCCACGGACTGCAATGGAAGGATGGCGCTGGTGTGTGCAGGGAACGCTCTTGCTGGCCATAGGGACTTGCCTTCCTCTAAGAGGTAACAGAGCTATTACTACTATGAAGATGCGCACGAATTCAGTGATTATATCACTAAATGTGAAGATATGATTAAATTTCTCCTCGACAGGGGCGCTTCTGTTCAAGATGAGATTTCTCCATGTTACGATGGAGATGGAGATGGAATGCAACAAGATCAGCCACGAACTCAGCAATACACTGAAACTGTTCTCGGTCAAGCAGCTTCCAGGGCTAGCTATAATCTAGTAACCCGCCTGATAACCGCACACGCAGACATCCATGAACGACAAGGATTTGATCCTTACTACAACCATCGAAATGTCACTGCTATGCATATAGCAAGTGAGTATTGCAATGTTGCCGGCATTCAAGCACTGCTCGACAACTGCAGCGGCAGTGAAAAGAGAGATACCAATTCGGTTTGGGAGATGTTGTTTGTTCGTGACAGCGATGGTCGTCTTCCGATACACTGGGCAGCCATGAGCCCTACGATAGGCCATGAGTACATTTACCCCGAACAAGAAGAAGAAAGGTCTTCTCGAATAATTAATACATTCAAATTGCTGCTAGAGAGCAACGCCGATTCAATCAATGCCCGTGATCACCAGTCAGCAACAGTATTGCATCACATTGCGAATAGTCACAGGACCTGCGGCAGTCAATTACATCTTGAGAACGTTGTGCGATTTTTATGCGAGAATGGAGCCGACACCAGCCTATACGATGATAATAGACAAACCGTATTACATAGGTTGGCATTCCACTTGAATGCTATAAGACCGGTGATACTGGAAGTATTGATGGAACATGGGGCCACAAGCAGTGTAAATCAAGTTGACAAATATGGCCATAGTGCTCCGCACCTAATAGCGAAGAATTTACGACAAATCGAACTTGTCCATACTTTACTGAGGCACGGTGCTGATGTTAGGGCAGTAAATTTGAAAGGAGAAACGCCGCTACATATGGCAGATAGGGGTGTTCTCTCATCTAGTGTGGAAATAGATGGATTTGGGCCTCGGAGTATCAATCCAACTTATATTAATCAATTCAGAGCTCAGGACAAGATGATGGCAGTCTTACAAGAAGCTGCAGGAACATCTGCTATGGATCTTCCGAATGGAGAGGGCAAAACGCCACGACAAGTACAGGAGGAGAGGCGAATTGAATGGCGCGCAAGCGAAGAGAGGAAAAGACATTTGACAAGGGGGCGGGGTCGTGGAAGAGGTTAATCCTGTGCTATAAAGAATGAGCTACATGTATTTTGGGTCAACTGGTTGCTCTTCACAGAAGCCTTCCGTTTATTCATCTATCATAACTTTATCCCCTAACCAACATCTTGAACATAATCATGCATGCTAAACCACGACCGAAGGATCTACTCTGAGACCAGCAAGATACTTCAAAGCTCTGAATATTCTTCTCTTCAACTGATCTAGACATGCTCGCGATGATCGGTTTCTGAATCGACAGCCTGCACCGTTTTCTCAATTCGATCATCATTATCCGACAATTTCTCATTGTTTGCTGTCGCCAAACGCTCAATCTCCTCATCCATACGAATATACTCCTCTGGTCTTTCGAGTTGAGTTGCAGCTAACCCCAGTATATTAGCTTTCACACCCCCACAAGAATTAAGGGGAAGACTCACTCTTATTCCAAGCAACAATAATACCCGGCTTCGTCTCGAAGAACCGATCAATATCCTCCAACGTTCTGTTGGCCGTCTCTGGATAGAACAAGTACGTAACAGGGATGAAACTGAAGCAGATACAAGCCCAGATGATCCAGAATTTCCAACCCAGATTTGCAATTCCGGGAGGTGTTACCTGAACGACCATGTAGTTCATAATCCAATTTGTGGCCATTGCGAGTGAAGAGCCCTTTGTACGCATTTCAAGGGCGTTGATTTCGGTGGGATATAGCCTGTTTGTTTTGATGTCAGTATGTGAACTCTCAATGTGTATCTAGGTATATTTGTGACGAGGAGACGAACCAAGGAACACCCAAAACACCCAGACCGAAGCTAGCAAAAAACACAAAAAAGAAGGAAACAGCCACAATTCCCAGTTGATACGAGTCTCCTCGCCCCGTATCCGAGATCGCAAGTACAATAGCAATCACGACCCAGCACGTACAGCACGCCGCGGCAGAGTACATCATGACTTTTCGACGACCGTATCGCTCGATGACAAAGTACGCGAGACACGAGAAGAGAAGGTAATCGACACTTCCGGCGGCGGCAAGAATACGGGAAAGCAGTTCACTGATTCCGAGAGCATTGATGAAGACATAGGACATGTAGTAGCTTGTGATGTTGATGCCGGAAATTTGGTTCATAGCTTGCATCCAGGCGCCGAGGATCATACGACGGAGGACGCCGGAGGGACCTATAGTCAGGGTGTTAGTATCACTTACTTCGTGTAAATAGATGAAAGTGGAATATACCTCGTCCGGTAAGCAATTGTCCCCATGTATAAGTGGTCATATGTTCACGATCAAGGATATCCTTGATAATATTGAACTGCGAAATGACCGATGGAGATTCAGGTGTTGCACCATCTCCCTGCAGAGCAGCGATAACTTCTTTTGCTTCATCGTATTTACCCTTGCGGATCAGGAGACGAGGGGAATCAGGCAAGAAAGGGCAGAGGACGTAGATGACTAGAGTAAAGACGATTTGGAACGCGAGCGGAAACCGCCATGCGATGCTGCCGGAGAGGAAAGAAAATCCCAAAGTGAGCCAATTGGAGAGTGAGAAGCCAGAGATACAGTTTGCCTGTTAATATCAGTTAGTTGAGCGTGTACCCAAGCGAGCATGCAGGGTGCCGAACCATTTGGATTATAATGAGCTTTCCTCTGCTGCGCATCTTGCTGGTTTCGGCCTGCCATACACCGGCTGTTGCTGTGTTCATTCCTTTAATCGACAAATGTCAGCAAATCTCAACCTTGATCCCAACGTAAGAAGGAGAGAATGAGAATACCTGTTCCAAGACCAGCGACAACCCTTCCAACCATCATCTGCGCAACACTAAACGAAGTAGTCTGTATCACAGCGCCCACCGCAATCACCGTACTACCAATAATCACTTGACGCGGTCTGCCGAAGATATCGCCCGTCCAGATAGTGGACATGGAGCCCACGAAGCATCCGAGATTGTACACGGAGGTCATTGTCGCTTGCATGTTGGAGGATGGGTAGTCCATTGTCTTGAGGAAGTTTTCGCCTATGATGACGTTGCCGAAGACACCCTGCTACGTATTAGCTCTTGCCTGAAAAGCGGCTCTGGGAGGAGGGAATACCTGATCATAGCCGTAGAAGATGATGACTGTAGAAGCAGCGATGGAAATCCATACGGTGAGCGCATCGCCAGAACCGCCCCAATATTTCCGGGCCATTTTTGAAGATATTGTACCTAATATTTCTTTGTAAAGAAAGAGTAGGCCGGTCTCAATTATAAGTTGGGAGGTGAATAGTCAAATATGCGACAGTCAATCCGACTTCCCTCAATGGATCGATATGAGTGGATTGGAATGGCAAGATAAGAATCGATCGATCGAGCCGGGCCCATTCCTGACTTATCAATGCATCATGCCTGGACATGGGTATCCTCTTTATATAGATAAGTAGCACGCGTCCAACACAGAGCTACAGAAGAAAACATTCCAACGCACGGAAAGTATTCCGATTGACGTTCAAACCTTCTTTACGGATGTAGCCCGTAGAGTGTGTCCAGATTTGGAGAGACGATGCGGGGAGATCTGCCTCCTCAGCCTTCGTTAATGTGTATGATTGGATTGAGGTTAAATAAACCCCTCGAATTTCGAAGTCCTCTCTCGGGCGAGAGAAACGTTTCTCGCTGTATTCCCCCACGGGGGATTCTGGGGAAGCGTAAGTATACCCACCTTAAGGACTTATTATTTGGGGAAAATCCGGGAGGCGACATATGGGGTAAGTAAGCCGAGGAGATCTGAGCCACTCACCGAGAGCGATCGTCAACTTTGTTCGCTTTGGGAATGATTTGCAGCGTCAGGGGTCTTGGTGCAAAGCAACAGGCAGGTTTGGCGAACTGAATCACTCTATTTAGGCTCTATGCACATACGAGATGCCTGTCTTTGATCCATATTGATTGGTCAATCATCTCAATTTGTGTAAACCAACGTCATATACTAACTAATTTTCACCTAGAATATACACTTCAAAGTCTTCCGACTCTTCAACCGGAAACAGTCCGTCCTTGACATGAAACTGGATAGAACCAGAGCCCGTCGACTCAATAACAACATCCATGTCACCACGGCTTCCCCACCATCCGTGCTTTTGGTGATCGCGGTCAGGGTTCTTGACGCCCACGGCATGTCCCTGAGTCTGTTCGATGACTTCAACACCATCGCCTCCAAGCCCGATCCAACCTGATTTGGTAAATGCCTCGACATGGCCGGCCCAGGAATGGGGGTACTTGATTTGAAGACTCCCAGATTGGCTGGTGTGTGACGATGAAGACGTGGACATCTCCCCAGTACCAGCTGGGTATGTCTTGTCCGAGGCTTCAATGATGAGAGGTTCACCCACGGAGATGTCCTGACCCCCACTGACCGTTGCAGTCGTCAATGTAGCATGGACAACTTCATCGGGTGACACCACAGGCACAAATGAAGCTGAAATGTATCCCGACTGTGTTTCCAATTTAGCAGAGGTGGTGAAAACGAGTCTGCCATTAATTGAACCACTCTGAGTCTTGATCTCAACTTCATATGGACGGTACGGGATCCGTCCCTTGACTTGCGAAATGCTCGTCGCGCCCGAAGTCTTCAAGTAGTCGAGATCAATGATGTTGTCGACTTTCTTAGTATCGCCATTCTCAAAAGTGGCAATGGTATCTATACTATATTGCAAAAAGGCGACTGAAACAGCGCCAGCCTCGGTTTCAATGATGAGCCGGGCTGGCTCGTCGGGCTTCTTAGGGTCGGCGGGTTGAGGGTCGACAATGATGTTGACGCTGCCTGAGGTGGTTTTGATGTTGAGCAGATCATAAAGAGGGTAGCGGCCGTAGACGGCAGTTGAGCCTTTGTTGAGAATGATCTCTCTACCAGCTTGTAGGTCTTCTGAGGAGTGATCTGAGAAGACAGGCGGTCTTGAATGTGTTCCCTGAAAGATCATAGTCAGCATTCATCCTGTGATTATGTCGGGAAGATGACTTACCCGTCGATGCTTTACACACATCCTCGTCACAAAGAACGAAAATAATCCAATAAGGAACATAAACTTTATAAACATAACAATACGTCTCCTTATACGACGCTTCTTATCATTTTGACCGGATGCTCTTCGACACCGACGACGACGAAAACAGCCCCGTCGCTTGCACTTATTCTCTTCCCCATCACCCTGGCCCGGCTCTTCGCCTACTAACGGACCCTTCTCAAGATGAGTAGTCTCATACACCGTATATCCTGGTAAGCTTTTGGTATCCGCTTTTGCATCTAGATTCGCGGCACCCTTGCCCTCAGGGACCAGTGGGTCATTATAAACGGTTGAGCCAGACAGTGAAGTCGAATCAGAGTCTGAGTAGGCGATGTGCTCGAAAGAGTCTGATCTCTCGAGATCGTCATCGCTCAGGAGTGGAGTCTTCATGTTTTCTGGGTCTTTTGCCATTGTGTAGTTTTATACCCACTCAAGCAATGGTATGAACAATTTACTTGAGTTTTTGCGGTCTAATATCGCTTGGTTGTTGACAGAGAACAGTCATGGTCTTTATGCTCAGCTGTTGTCAGGCAGCCGAGTTTCTGTACGAAACCATGACGTACCTATCAGCTGTGAGGCTGTGTCTGTTTTGGATTGGTAATACGGGAGCCTACTACAATGATCGCATGTATGCAGCGGTATACGAGTAATTCGGCGTATGTAATTTACTATGTATGTTCCACGTAATCCGGGCTATCCGCTGGTGTCTGATTGACCGTTAGATTACAGTACACGTCTTTCATTACAAATACCACATCAAACCGCCTCATATGTTCTAGGATGAGTTATAATGATACGTGATGGATCATATTATGTGCATGGACTCGGTAAACTATCTACATCTCGGTTGCTGCAGGTATGTGGTGCGAATATTCAACGATGTAAACTCAAATGGCAAGGGGAATCGTAAACAATGTCGTTTTTGGTAGGGGATGGTCTGTACAGGAAACTCCTCCAATGATCATGACAAAATAACAACAAACTCATGATGATTTAGCAGGAAATTTTGTCGCTAATGGTAGAGCAATGCGGGGACGGAATTGAATCTGCAAAGGCCATGCTTCAAATGCTCTAGTGGATGTGGAAATTGATGGGCAGGAAAAAGAGGAATAGAGAGATCTTGCTAGTAGCCAAGGTTCGTCAGATATGTGTTGGCTTCGTTCTTGGACAACTCTGACTGGCTCAGGTGTCGTGCTTGAGACCCAGATTTGAGTTTCTTGAACCCCTGAGTGACTTTCCACACCTCGGCTTCTGTAAGCACAAACACGTATCTTTTGCCTTCTTGATCGCGAACACTTGCGCGAACAACTTGTAGACCTCGCAGTTTGATTGTCTGTAACTCCGTGTTAGTAGCCTGCCGTAATTAGGGACGGATAGGATGAATACACACCTCAACCGACTTCAATGTCCATGCTTTTACATCCCATTCTCTTTGAGCAACACCGCGCACGTCGTCATCCACAAATAATCCTTCCGTGGTGATTCTTAGAACTAGGCCATCGGTGACGGATCCTTGGCCAGAAACCAACTGTGCAATTGGGGTCTTTTGGAAAGCATTGTTGAAAAGATACACACCGCGAATGATGACTTTGTCTGGATCTTTGGTCATATACGGTCCACGATGAGACGGTGGAGGTGTTGTTCGTGCCGTCGACTGTGATGGAGCATATGAAGATTCAGAGTAGACAGAGGGTGCCGATGTTCCGTACGGTCGTCGCGGCCTATCATAAGGCCGGAAAGAATAGGCATCGTCATCGACGTCGGCAGTCCTTGCTGACGGTGGTGGTGGCTTTTTAGGGGATGGGGTTCGGGGAGGAGCCGAAGCAGCTGAAGGAGCTGGAGCTGCACTAGGAGGGGGAGCTTTACTGGCTTCTTTGGCCTTTGCAGCTGCCTCTTTCGCGGCGGCGAACTTTTTGGCAGCAGCTTCTTTGGCCGCTGCAAACCGCGCTGCGGCTTCCTTTTTTGCGGCCTCTTTCGCAGCAGCCTCTTTTTCGGCCGCTTCTTTTCGTGCTTTCTCCTCCCGCTCCTCTGCCTCTCTTCTTACTCTCTCTGCCCGTTCTGCCTCTTCCCTCGCTGCTCGTTCTCTGATTTCCTTTTCTGCTGCTGCTTTAGCTGCTGCTGCCTCTCTTTCAAGCTCCTCCTTGCGCTGTTTCAATTCCTTCTCCATGGCTTCACGCTCCTGTTGCCGCCTTCGCTCGGCCTCTTCAGCTTCTCTTTTCTTTTTGTAAGCTTCCATCTTTCGTCTAATCTCTTCTTTGCGCCTTGTTTCTTCACGGGCTCTCTCCCATTCAGCTTCTGCTTTCTTTGGGTCTTCTTTTGGGGTGCTGTTTTGAGCGTTTTTCGGAGTATTGTCTTGAGTATCATCTTGAGCAGCGCCGTTTGGTTGAGCACTGTGATTATTGAAAGGCGGTGGTTGTGATGCTCCTCCAGGGTTGTATTGACCGCCGGTGTTGTTGTATTGACCATTTGGAGCTGGCCCTCCACCAGGGTATGACGCTCCTGGGTTTGGTTGTGCACCGCCGTACTGGAAGCCATTAGCAAAGCCTGCGCCAGGTCGCGGCCTCCCTGATGAATTGCCGTTCATGCCACCTGCATCGTTCTGTAATGTGCCAAAGTACCAGCCAGCGAAACCCACAGCAACAACTAGCAGTATGACACCCATGCCTCCAGGTGCATTCGATTTCGACATTGCCGCAAGCCAAGTCTTCACCAACGGTTGTAATTGAATCCATAAAACGACAATTGCCAAGGTAGATAGCGAGCCGGCAATGAAGCTGTTGCGATGACAATTCAACGATGGTAAATAAATAAAACCTCCGCCGGCAGAGTGTGGGGGTATCACAAAAATGTCGTAAGGGCCGTCGGGCAAGTCCGTCGACTTTCGATATCGCGGGGTGCCTTCAGTAGTATTTGGGTTTGCGCCATGCGGCGGGGGAGGTGGTGGCGGTCCATCCATGATTGCGAGTTGATGTTGTTATACCCTGACTCCGAGCTGGTTGTACGACCGTGACTGCGTTATATACGTGCTTCCTCCTCTTCCCTGTCTCTTGTTCGCGAATGTTGACAAATTCCGCTCACAGATCCAGTGCCTCCTTTGCCTCCGGCCTAGAAAAACAAATGTATAAATTTTGGCGGCGAGCAAAGGTCACTGTTGACTTCATATTCACTGCGACATGGGTGGGCACTGGGGCAGTTAGCCCGTCAGTGCATCTGGTGTTGTTGCCTCGTGCAGATGAGCGCGATCTTTAGGGGATGCGGTATCAACGGCAATAACAGTAAATATGTCGTTTGCCGAAATGTTTGTTAGTTGTTGTAGGACGTTAGAATTGATCTCCGGCTCTGGAATGTGTCTGAAGTGACCGAGTAATCGCAAGTGTGAGCGGACTGGCTAGATTGTATGCAGAGGTATTTGTGGCTTTCTTGGCGATATAATGACGAGATGGCCGCTCCTTGGTCAAGAATTCGCCTTTGTAACATTAGACGGCCGTTGAAGAGGAGAGAAGAGGAATGCGGATGAGAGTGGATAGGAGACCTGAGAGGGTGGGCAAGTTTGCGGGAGCGAGACGTGGAAAGAGTGAGAGTCAGAAGGAACGAGACGCCTCCACTCTAACTTCTTAGGCTTCTTTTCTTTCTCGCTTTGCTTTTTCCTTTTCTGGTTCTTTTGACTGCCAAATGCCGAGAATGCGAACTGTCTCCTGAGAACCTGAGCAATCAGCTGCGGTGGGTCTTTACTGCATTAAACGACTAAATTATTTAGAGGCTAGGAATATCTGGCTGCGTAGTGCTTCGGGATTAATTACACTCCCAACAAGCACTGAGCATGCCTCGCCGACTTTCTTGACGATTGCTCTGAGCCAGCTCTCTACTCAAGATGGTTACTATATTTTTTTTTATCAAGCCGTTGGTTTGTTCCGTGTGTCCGTTGTTCGAAATAATCCATAGGCAGACATAAGAGTGTTTGTTTTGATTTTCCTGTTTGCGACCCGGGTGGACCAACCACGGCCAGTCACGTTTTGCCTTAGTCCTCTTTGGGACTCGCTCTGTAACAATCTTCCAGTGCGAGCGTTGACGAACTCTTGTTTTACCCTGCGAATTGCATCGCTTTCCTCTTCGAGTTCCATTGAAAAGCCTACATAGTAAAGGGTAGAAATGGAGACCGAATACGTGGCAGCTGCGTCTAATTAATAAATAAAATAGAGAATCAGAGCCCTCATTGGACTGAGACTCTGCATAATCGCAGTTTTGTCACAGACGATGGTCCAATGAGCCCAGTCGCCCTGTATGAAAATCACTCTCTGACTAAGGTCACCCTGGCAACAGCAGCGTATTGATACCATAGATACAGGCTAAGCCGGCCCGCTCCCGCCGAACCATCCAGTCATTACTCGTGTATTTAACGTATGTACGAAGTTGTCAAAGTACATTACACTGCCAATCATCAACAACATCGTCCATCACTCCCACTCTCCCTTGTTGCCCGTTCGCATCAACATCCATGGATGCCAACGCTTGACTTTCCGAACAGGCATTTATACCCCAGACTTTAGGCTGTTTTGCGCTCCAAGTCGCGCGTAGATGATTTGTATTACGTACGGAGTAATCCTGCTTGTCTTGTTGTACAACACTATTGTCTCCTCTGTCACCAGGACACAACAGACACTATGTACCTGTATTGTAGCAGACCTTACCCAAAGTTTGTCTTAGATACTATTTCACGTGGCTTAGACGAGGCAGCAACGGTGACCTCAAGGCTCAAGCGTCACATGATTCGACATCCGTGTCAGTGATATGTATGACTTGAAGCAACAATGACAGCATGACTTGCAATTCGGCGTCATTCAGTCAAAACAATTATTTCTATCAGGCAATCTGGTCAAAGATAGTTTTGACTCCACGTGGAGCAACAGGCTTAGAAATGGCAGCCTGATATTCCAGGCAACAAGATGCCAAGGCGGTCGTGATTGGACAGCCTCGGCGGTGTGGTCAAGCCCATCACGTCGCTGGATCATCGACATAGATCACAAGCATCCCAACCAAGCAGAGCTGGAGCTACTGCTACCTGGTAGCTCAACCTTTTATTTCGTCTTGGTGTTCACTGCTGGTCTTTTTTCCTATTTTCTTTAATTTTATATCTCCGATTCAACATACCCCTTCCCCATCAATTAGAAGCTCGCATCTGCCTGTCCACGTAGCGGGCCCCCCTCTATGTTGTCACGATAATTGCCGGGACCTGCATTGCCTTTCCATTCCTCCCCTTCTCCAGGGTTGAGCACTGACACTCGATTTGATATGGCCTCGTACCACTCACAGGCACAATCCCGCTCCGCTCCGCAAGCATATCCTCATCAAGCAGTCAACGCCATCTCAATGGCTGCCTCCGCGCCAGCTGGCACTTTCGTGCCAGGCACTAAAGTACAAGTTGGCAACCACCGAGTGATTATTGAAAAGTATTTGTCAGAAGGTGGATTTGCACATGTATACGTCGTCAAACTCCCGCACCCCATCGACGGCGTAGAGACCGCCGTCTTGAAGCGCGTCGCCGTACCCGACAAGACAGCCCTCGCTGGCATGCGGACCGAAGTTGAGACAATGAAGAAGTTAAAGGGCCACCGACATATCGTTACTTATTTCGACTCCCATGCGTCCCAGCTGAAGGGCGGTGGATATGAAGTCTTTCTACTTATGGAGAATTGTCAAGGGGGCGGCTTGATAGACTTTATGAATACCCGTCTGCAGCATCGTCTGACTGAGCCGGAGATTCTGAAGATATTCTCTGATGTGTCTGAAGGAGTGGCATGCATGCACTATCTCAAGCCACCTCTTTTACATAGGGATCTCAAGGTCGAAAACGTTCTTATATCGCTTTCGTCCGGCAAATCGCCGCTGTATAAATTATGTGATTTTGGCTCCGCTGCTCCTCCTCGACCGGCCGCTACATCTGCCGCAGAAGGCAGACTAATTGAAGACGATATTCAACGGCATACCACGATGCAATACCGCAGCCCCGAGATGATTGATGTTTATCGAAAGCAGCCCATTGACGAAAAGAGTGATATTTGGGCCCTCGGTGTTTTGCTATACAAACTGTGCTATTATACAACCCCTTTCGAAGATGTTGGCCAGATGGCTATTCTCAATGCCAGCTATAAGTTTCCTTCATATCCCAGCTTTTCTGATCGCCTCAAAAGGCTAATTGGTGAGTTATCCGTGTGATATTTCCTGTTGGTCATACTCAACGACTAATCAATGGCCACTGTAGCATCGATGTTGCAAGAAGATCCCCAAAAACGGCCGACTATATACGGTGTCTTGAAGGAATCATGCAATATGCAAGGCAAAGAGGTTCCAATTCGTGACGTAAGTTGAGTTGTCTGATACTATTGTGTTGCATAAACTGACGTTGGCTTTCCCGCAGATTTATGCGGAACGCACTCAGTCCGAAGCACGCCGAAATCAAGAGTTGCCTCCTCCTTCCACCGAAGCACCACGTGTCGGTGCTGTCTTCTCGCCTCCAATGCAAGAGACTCAGATCATACCTGAAATAGCTCCTATGCGAAGAGGTCGTCCGTCAAAGACTTCATCTCAACAAAACTCGGCGCACCCAAGTCCTTCTCCCTACCGCGCTCGATCTTCCAATGATCCCTTTGCAGCTCTTGATGGCAATAAGAGGGACAGCCAAAATGCGGATGAGATAGCAGCTCGGTTTCCCACCCTGGACCAGTTTTCATTATTGCATGAAAAAGGCGGAAAGTTCGAATTCGAGCCGACGGCTGAAAAGAAACCCGAGGCGGATGATCTCTCTCAACGTGTAACCAATGCGCTAGCTGATGATGCATTCGTCAAGCCTGCTTCGCCATATTTGCCGGCAAAAGAAGAGATAGAAAGCCATAGAGCTGTTTCGGTGTCTGTTGCTGAACAAGCGCAGAAGCTTCAATCCCCCAGTCTCAAAGCGGAAGAATCGTCATCACGAAAAAGCTCTTCCCAACGACCAACAATGGTATCAACTGGTACGATGACAGAAAGCCCGCCCCCAGCTACTTCTGAGAATCGGGCATCTATTAGTCGGCCGTCCTCGAGTCGCCCGATATATAAGTTTCCGCCCCCTTCACAAGACCGGCAACGACCTGAACGACCATGGGCAAGTGAAATCGACAGGCCATCGTCCGGTTTGGGCACGGTCCCTTCACAGACGACGACGATACAGGTGGTGGAGCCTAAATCCAGGGTGTCATCCGAGGATGTTTCACGGGCTCAGAGCTCAGCTAGACCGTCTTTGGAAACCTCGAGGCCTTCATTCCGTGAACTGGGCGATGGCTTGAACCGTCCAAAGTCTGCAAATTCTCGTGTTCGACCTTCCAGCGTTCATCTAGGAGGAAGATTTGATCCAACCTCTTCGAGAGATTCGCCATTACGTAGCCCCGCGCTGGACACGCGGCGCCCGGATTACGAAGGTGGAGAGCCACTGAAGCATGCCCGAACGGACGGAGATTATGACGCTGAACGAGGAAATATAACGTCCGACGTGGGTTACCTACGTGCGCGCGAGGAGGAGGAGGCTGCTCGGAAGAAAGAAAAACGTCTGAGCGGCGGGKCAAAACATGTTAAACGCTCGAGCTTATCTTCGCTGGCTATTTCAGGAAAGGGACTTCTTGCGGGGCGATTTGGCGATGCTTTCCGTCGGTTTGAACAAAGCACTTCGGACAACAAAAGTCGAACTCCTTCTCCGAGTGAAGTCGACAAACAATTGACTCCTATCGCTGGGTCCGAGGCTACGGATGATCGAAGCGATGATGATGCTCTAGGGTCAGAGGCGACAGATATCTCTCCCGAAATGAGACGAGAATTGGAACGCAGGCGGCTGTCGCAAGAGGAGAAGCGGGTAGCCAACGCAGCTGCAGAGTATCGACTTCGAGTTGCGGGGCGAGGGGGCGGCGGACGAGAAGGAACCAAATCTCCAGCCATTCAAAACAGAGTGCAGTCACTTCTTCAGGACAACAGTCGACCTGCACCCAAGACTGCATCTGGGTATGGAAAGTACACCAATTCGGAGTCCGAAGCAGCGCAAGCATCAGAGTCTGATAGGGAATATACGCCACGATTGCCTACCAGACCTAAGCCCGCACCAAAGGATATCAGAGGCGCACCAGCTTTGTCGAAGATTAATTCACCCGGTAGCTCCACCCAGCCAACAAAGCCAAGCCCCGTTGACACAATACCCTCACAACGCACAGCTCAACGACCAGCGGCACCTCCAAAGCCCAAGAAACTACAAACTGGAGGAAGTCGTCCAGATGAGCGTGTCCCTCCATCTTCTTCCGTAGGTGTTGACCCCACGAGTCCTACGGAAGACTGGGAGCGAAACTTCAGCCGACGATACCCCAGCCTCTCGGGGCTTGAAATGGTCGAGACTGAAATTGACGTTCCGAAACTGTCTTCGATTCGCACGAGGGAAGTATAGGTTTGAATATTTTGTTTGGTTATTGTTATTTGTGAGATCATTTAGCGCATAGTTCTGTGCATATGTACATACATGAGACCAATACTTATACATATGAGAAAACGTGCTACGTTGTGATGCGTATATGCATGCATCTTGTACGGCTACTGGATAGCTGAATTGTTGTTGTCAGGCGATCTTGGAAGAAAATAGAGTCATTAGATTTGCGCTGCTGTCAAGACATAGCTCTGTTATCTGTACAAACATAAAGAAGCGTTGATTCGATTGTGACTCGTCAATGATCGTGATGAAAAGCATTCTCAATGGATACAGGGTTAGGGCTGTTCTTATCTGATGAGCTGATAAGCTAACACTAACCATATAGGGCTAGCGCATATTGATATCCATGTTCTCCGCGCTTTGAACAAACATGATCAATCAACCAACTGTCCTGTGCAACGATAAGTCGCAAATGCGCCGTGAGACAAGTAGTGGGAATGAGAGAAGGTGATTTTGGATTTATTCCTGAGACATTATCACGACTAACCAACCTGCACCATGGCGCCGGTGGTACTGAGTACGGTGGAAAGTGAGTTTCGTGCCGATGTCGAGTTAGAGTGAGCTTCAAGCTGATGAACTGTATTAGACGAAGTCAAGGATGTGATCCAGCAGCTTTTTGAAATTCAATCAGCCGTGCATGGCTACCTCGGCTCTGAGACCCAGATCGAGTTGGTCCGCAAGATGTACGTATACACATGGAAGTCAAAACGCAACGGAGTTTATACTAATGTTTTTTTCACGATAGAAAAAATCTCACCATCGCCCTCAACACCCTCTCAAACGACACAAAACCGGACCCGTCCATCAATCCCGAGACCTACAATATCGATAACTCGACAGCAAATCGCGACGATCCACCCGTCGCAAGCATCCAGCTCCCGCCCGAAATCATAGACTACGTCGACGCCGCCCGAAACCCGGACATTTACACGCGTGAGTTCGTTGAACTAGTGCAACGCGGAAACCAAGATCTCAAGGGCAAAAAGGAGGCATTCGCAAGTTTTAGGGATGTCTTGGCTACGGAAATGAGGAGTGCGATGCCCGAGTGTCGGCGCGAAGTTGATCGGGTTGTTGCGAATACGAGCGGCCCGAATCGAGGGGCTTAGAGAGGTGATTTTATCTTTGCTGCACTTGCGAGGCGTTTGGGGACAATATTTTTCTGGTTCAAGTTTAAAGGATGATACCTACCAATGGGGGATAATTGAGGCGTATACACTGCATATCTACGGGTGCCGATTGATCGAATGCATAGTCACTACTAGTGGGAGAAATTATTGACCGAATGTAAGGTCATAAAATTCAGAATTGCCCCGTAGGGTCGTGTAAAATGGTCGCTACACGGAGACAGCATGTTGCATATGGGACGGCAACACGAGCGTGATGGTTGGTGCTAGAAAGGATGATGTAACTCGTGGTAAACAACTCACATGACCAGCCTCGTTTTCTCTTCCCGAATCCATCTTCTCACATATTCTCCAGTCCATCAATATAGCCAGATCGGCGGAGCGTGGGAGCCACGAGAAAAGCGAAACTTGGAACACATGATGTCAGATTCACTAGATTCAGGCGTGCCTTGGTCCCTGTCTAGCGCTTCTCCACAACAATTCTCACCGCGCTAGAAATGATCCCGACGAGAGTCTAAACATTTGCTTAGCGAGACCCCGCATAGGCTTCTTTTAGCAGTCTTTGAGACATTAACAGCGCCCATGGATTCTAGCAGGCTTACTACTAACCAGACTAGTGTGCAGCTGTCGTCATAATCCTCAAAATCCCTCGACTAAACACGGGCAAGCGAGGCTGGGAACTGGGAACGAAATACGTTCTGACTGGACATCATTCCTGACTAGTAGTAGTCACGTTTCTGATCCTGGCTGCAGATGAGCCGAGCCAGTGAGGCGTGGATCACCAACACTGCCTCTATGCGCTTGCGAGGCACAGTCTATCGACAACTGTGCGACTGTACGACTCGTGGTGAGTTATTGGTGCATTCTGGGGGCCAGTCTTTGCTCCTGTTATTCCCAGACGCTAGAACCTTGACCAAAATGTCAAATGCATCTGTCGATGAGGCTTTTTTCTCGTCTTTCTGTCTTTGATCTCTTCCTTGACGTGTCATATGTAGATATTTATACTTTCAAGCACTGGTTCCTGTCCCACTTTTCCCTCTTAGGTCCACATCCATAACTGAAATTTCCTCCTCAACGCATGGGCAGACATCCCCAGGTCTTGGTCTCCTTGCAAACATGTATTAGAAATGGCTTCAACTGCCAACAGTGCTCCCAGCAATGGCATCACGGGGGGCTACACAGGCCATGATCTGGGCCTGCAAATCGCCATGGGCACCTTCATAGGCATCGCCTGGTACAATGCCATCGAACTCATTGCGCTGATCTTCGTGACATTTCGCAATTATCGCGGCCTATACTTTTGGAGTTTGCTGATATCATCTGCGTTTGGCGTGTTGCCGTACTCAGTCGGCTTTCTGATGAAGTTTTTCCAGCTCACGTCGGCGACCTGGCTGTCCGTTACGCTGTTGACTGTGGGCTGGTATACAATGGTTACTGGTCAGTCGATGGTGCTGTATTCCAGACTTCATCTGTTAAATAGGAACCCCAAGGTCCTGAGGCCGGTGCTGTGTATGATTATTGTTGATGCCATTATCTTGCACATTCCCACGACGGTATTAACGTATGGCTCGAATTTTGCTAGTTCAAATCATCACTTTGTGGAAGGGTATAATGTCATGGAGAAGATTCAGATGACGGGGTTCTGTCTGCAGGAGTTTGTCCTGTCGGGGATCTATATTTACGAAACTATTGTCTTGTTGAGAGCGAATCCGGAGCATGGAAGACGCAAGATAATGTATCAGCTCATTGCTATCAACATGATCATTATTTTGATGGACGTTGCTCTACTTGTGGTTGAATACAAAAACATCTATGTGATAGAAACCACACTCAAAGGTGCAATTTACAGCATCAAATTGAAGCTTGAATTTGCCGTGTTGGGACAATTGATTCGACTTGTGCGCACGCATACTTGGAAACCCCAATCAGCGATACCCGGTGCTCGTGATGGCCCTGTTGGACTGAATATCATCAACGACGACGCTCTTCCTGACTTCGTCGATGCGACTCGCGTCACTTCTGACCTGACGCATGCAACCCCACCACCACGCACTAGCTCCCATCATCGCCCTTTTGATGATATGGACGATATTTCCATAGCCATGTTTGAGCATTCGACGTCGTTGCAGGATCAAGACGAGATGCGGGAAATACGGCCACAGTCTACGAACTCGACTGGAAAGTCATGGAGTGGAAAGACGAGAATGAATGGCAACACGAATGGAGCAAATCACCAGCCTCCAGATTCGGAAACGGTGGATTTTGCGGACGAAGCACATACAACGCGTAGCAATTCACATGACCAGGGACGTTATTTATCGATACGGCTGTCCAATGGTCATCAACCGGGTTGATTCTGTTTCCGTGCCTCATGCTTCATACGTCTAATTGCATGACTGCGACATCAACAACACACATGACATGGAGTCGGCACCACATTGTACGATGTCAACTATTCTTAGGATGAGATGACAAATATCTCGACATATGCACTAGCAGAACATTATCAACGACGGTACCCAGAATACTCCGTCGTTTCTCGAAAAGAGAAGAAGACTCGGGTTGCACATCAGCACTTCAGCCATGAATGAATATAATGTACATAGATACCAATTGCTAACATGACGACGACACGAGAATATAGTTGTGGTTATCAGACTTGGTAAATATACATAAGTTAACTAAGTTATTGAACTAATTAGCACGATTACGTACATTCCAAGGTTGCCCATGGGGCCCCATCAAATGCCGAATTGACTTGCCTGTTCCGGTGAAGCCATGCAGATCAGTATAACCACGCCACTCTACCATCCCTGTGCGCATGCTAATTACCACGTTATTGTCCTTTACGGTATCCAGTAGCGAGCAGGCCTTGATGAGGCGAAGATCGTCGTAAGTTTGGAAGCCTGTCACGTACGCACGAAATGGGTTCTGGATTGTGGTTTTTGACTTGTGGGGAAGACTGCACTTTTACAGCACGTTACTCGCCGGATGGAAGATTTCGTTTTTCGTTTTTGCTTGACATATACTCATCTAAGCACTTCGGGGTGATCGGTGAATTTATATGTGCTTGAGCTAAAGTCAAATTGGACCTTCCTATTAGGGAAGGTGTAAGATGCTTATTTCAAGAGTATAAGAGGGTCCCATCCTCCTGGTTGATCTTACGGAATAGCAGTCCACTTCAATACGTTTGACCAGATATTACTTCACCTATACAGTGGCTATAGCAACAACATGTGGTGGCATCTTCTACCGCTGAGTATACTTGCGGCTCTCGGAGCAGCCGCTGCGCCATCATGCTCTTCCGCTCCGTCAACCCTACATCTCCCAGATGCACCATACGACAACTTCTTCTATTCCGACTGCAACACAGCTGCTCAAGTCGTGGTGACAACTCCACAGCCTGACAGTAATCTCTCATTAATCTCCCCTCGACTCGTCATTGCCTGGCCTGCGGGCAACAGCGGCGTATGCACTTATTTCGCGCCTCAGAATGGTGTCAACGGCAGTCTGAGTATCGAGGTTGTCAATTCAACCGTTGGAAATCCGTTGGCAGCGACGTACGATGATAGCAATCCTACCTCTGGAAACGACACAACCCCATTTTACGGTGTGACTGGAACTATTCGTTTCAACTCTTCTGCCGTCCTTACCGTTCCGATCCTTGGAAGTATTCGCACTATTCGAGACTTTGTGGAGGGTCCTAGCCTTTTGCAACCGCAAATTCAGGGCGCTATTAATGCCTCCAGTCTATCGAACGGTGGAGCACTCCTTGAGCGTCTCTGGCTCGATAATATGACCTCAACTTATCTCAACTTCACGCCAACGTCAACGAATTCAACTGTTACTGTTGGCAAGAACAACACCCTGACATTCGAAGCCGGCGACTATATCTTCACAGCTAAATTCAACTATCCGCAATTGAAGCAGCTATCCCCGGCACAAGTGTTGACCAATGCCTCCACTGATCTAATAAAACAAGACTCAGAACGAACATCGGCGTTGTCTTTCCTGTCATATTCCACTAAGCTTTTGGCTGGTGCATGGCGGTTTTTGACATACTTCGGTCGGGATTCTATGATTTCTGCGCTTTTGTTGGAGCCCATTCTCAGTAAAGGTGAGAATGGTGCTATGGAAGCTGTTATTGCTGCAGTCTTAGAGCGAATTAATAGGACTGATGGCAGCGTGTGTCATGAGGAGACCATTGGGTATTGCATTCTTTCACTTTTCTAAAGACTTGACACTAAGTATTTGCAGTGACTATGCTACATGGTTGAATGAGGAACAATACGGGTTATATAGTACTGAAGCCCAATGTGACTACAAAATGGTGAGCTGCTTTCTACGATATTATAAGACATCTACTGATATCATCGCCAGGTCGACTCCGACTTCTATCTTCCTGTGTTGATGAACAAGTACTTTGTAGAGGACTCTGTTGGCCGTACCAGAGCTGGCGCTTTCTTAAAGTATGTATTAATGATTGCCCGTCATAGAGGAGACGTTCGGTCTGACTTTCTGATAGTACTTCCGCCGGAGCGTTCAACACAAGTAACGGTGATTTGACCTACCAACAAATGGCAGCGATTAACGCAGAGCGCATTATGAAATTGGCTGCCCCCTTTGCAGGTCATAAAAACCAGACTAAGGACAACTTGGTCCACCTAAAGGATGGACAAATTGTTGGTGAATGGAGAGATAGCACTTACGGTAAGGTTTACTTCAAGGAGAGCAACTGAAAGAGATCTAACTTGAGATAGGTATTGGTGGTGGCCGGATTCCATACGATGTCAATACCGCTTTGATGCCTGCAGCTCTCCGAGCTATCGCATCACTTGCCCGCAACAACTTCTTTGCAAATCAAACTCACTGGGCTAAGCTTGCCGATAGATATGCCCAAGTCTGGGAAGATGAGACTCTAAGCTTTTTCAGAGTGACAGTCTCCGAGTCAGATGCAAAGCAGCTCGTAACTTCTTATGCGCAAACAATTGACTTCGCCGGACCTAATCAGACTGACACTATCGACGGCGATGTTACATATCATGCCCTTGCACTAGATGGAAACAACAACCAGAGTCAAGTACTGGTAATGAACACGGACGACTGCTTCCGCCATTTCCTACTCAACACCACGAGAAACCAGGACCAACTCACAGCTTTCATAAACCAGACCGCGAACAATATCCGTCGCACCTTCCCTGCTGGTCTGCTGACGGACGCCGGCCTGATTGTCGCCAACCCGGCCTACGGTCAGGACCCGGTGTATGCAAGCAATTGGACGAGTGGAGCCTATCATGGAACAGTAATATGGTCCTGGCCCTTGGCTATGATGGCCAAGGGGCTTGAACAACAGCTCGGTCGATGTGAGACAGTCAACAGCTCTATCAGCCATTCACAACATACACGTATCAGAATCCCCAATTTTTGCAAAGATGCTACCGTCTACGACAATGTGAAGGCGGCATACAACACCCTCTGGGACTCGATTGAGGCCAATCAAGCTCAATTGTCACAAGAGGTTTGGTCGTGGACGTATGATAGTAGTAATGATACATTCGTTCCTACGCCGCTCGGGGTCATGCCTCCTCCACCGGGGACGTCGAGTCAGACTGGTATGTTATCTTTCCACCTTTACATGGTTAATATTGATACTGACTATGGTGCTTGTTAGAATCGGATATTAGACAATTATGGTCGTTGACCTTTCTTTCTGTGACGAGAAATACATCTTTCCGATAGATTTATGTGTACACATGTACTTAGTGTCTTCCAAATACAAAAGTGACGCTTCAAAATACATATAATAGAAGGGAAAAAAGTAACTCAAAGTTTTCATCTCATCAGTCCGTACATCATAAGCCATCCATAACGTCAGTTTTAGTGTCTCCGTTTAATTCCCACCCAGCACTCCAGTGGTTTCTTTGAGAACCCTTCATGCGATTTCAATTGTGTCTGATGAAGCTCAAAGTCATATCGATGAAACGCAGTGCCCACAATGAGAGCTAATTCCATATGTGCAACATTCTGGCCCACGCAAGCTCTGGGTCCATAAGAGAACGGATTGAAGCAAATCTTCTGCCGCGGCGTAAGATTTTCAGGCAACCAACGGTCGGGATTAAATTCCTCCACATCATCGCCCCATACATCCGCATCGTGGTGAATCGTGAAGCTAGGGACGGATAGAACGGTGCCGGTAGGGAAATGATGGTCTGCGTATTGGATACCATGCTCGGCCATCACGATACGTGGTAATCCTATAGATGACGTCGAGTGTAGACGCATGGCCTCATCAATGCATCGTCGAAGGTACTCCAGACCTCGAACCTGAGAAAACTGGGCAATCTCCTCTGAGGCGGGGATGGCGTCGTCAAGCTCTTTGAGCAATTTAGGCAGAATAGTGCCGGGGGCTGCCCGTTCACCAGCAAGAATGTAGTAGATTATAGCACAGGTGGTATTTGACACCGTATCGCTACCGGCGATGAGTTGAGTGAGTGCTTCGGATACGAGCTCTTCGCGTGGCATGGGGTTTCCATTCGCGTCTTTGGCGCGAAGTAACATGTCGAGAATGTCATTCCGGCTTTTACTGCTTTTCTCATCAGTCTGTTGAGCTGCCGCAAGGCGCTTCTCAACAGCTGCCACGGCCATACCATGGAGATTTCTGACCGATTGTAATCCCTTAGAAAAGAATGGGTCAGGGAGGTATCTAGCATATGGCCTAAGATCAGGTAGTAGTCCGAGGGTGGAGCTGACTTCTCCACGCCGATTCAACGTCTCTGCACCTGGGACGTATACGACAGGTTCTCCAGGTAGGCGAGACTCACACAAATCCTGGCCTCGCTCGACCATGCCGAAAGGAGCCCCAAAAGCAAGGTCGCCAATAATATCAAATGCAATATAGGTGCACCAGGGCATTATATTCATCTTCGAGTAAGTGTCTTTGGGGGTTTGGGCGGCCAATTTGTCTAATTGACTGGTCCATCGGCGAAGATTGTTTGACATGTGTGTTTCGAAAGCGTGCACCGATGCTGGCGAGAAGGCGTGAGCGATGATCTTGCGCTTTCTCGTATGTTGAACACGATCTCTAACATTAAATACGCCAGGGACACCGGAGATGAAAGCTTCATAAAAGTGGCTTTTCAATGTCAGTTCCTACACGGTCTAATCATACCAGTTAGTTTCAGAATGCCTACTCTTTGAGAAAGCCATTCCCATGCGCATAAACAGTGTGCAATCCCTCGGGCGTAGCGATTGAGACATGATTGAATCCAACCCGCACGATTTTGCCGTACTTTCTGTGCGCCCAATCTACCCAGGCATACTTCTGGCCATTTCTTGCACCAAGCGCTATCCAAATATTACTGAACTTGCAGATGAAGGGACCAGGAATGGCTTGAAGTTCTTTGTATGTTGTGAAATACGGTACAATCCAGTAAGTGATGATCCCCAGCGGCACAAGGAGACCGAGAAGAATGAGGTAGTAGGTCAGCTCCATTGTAATTGAGTTGGAGATCAGGAAATATCTTATTGCATACTCGAGTCTGATTATAAGATATTGATGAGCTCATTAACTACTACTCTTAGTCCCTCAGTGAACCCCCACCCAACGTCGAACAATCTCAGCATTAGGGCTTAAAGTGGGTTGAAGGATTCGAGTATACCGGGATATTCAGCGCCAGATCAGATGATTACTGCCTGTCCTAGACCAGCACATCCAACTACAACACCAATTGATTTCCACATTTGGTAGAGGGCACTAGTTATGCAATAGCGGTGCCGCTGCTACCGTAGCGTGATAACCCCCACTCTTGTTTAGCATATATGTGATTCATTTCTAATGAGGAAGCTCAGACTCACATCTATGTAGATACATAGGGACTATGCCTGAGTATGTGGAATAAATTCGACAAAATGAGGCTACCTAACACTAAAATATATACTAGGCACTAACGGGAACCAAATTCAAAGAATTCGACATCTAGATAACCTTCTTGATTTAAAGTAGTTTACTGCATGTGATGTAGACTAGCTCTTCAGGGCATCGTTGATAACACGCCTACTTATTTATTCAAGAGTGGGGGGAATGGTCAACGCATTTACCGTCCAATTCTTCAGGCGATGCGGGTGGTCTTCCAGAGCATTGATGTTCAATTAACGAATTTGAGATCGAGTCATTACAAACGTAAACCTTTCCAACGTCCTCTAGGGCTATGAATTGAAGTCCGTGACTCCTGTCGATAACATATACTTTGAAGCCCTTACCTACTTCAAATCCCATCGCCAAAAAATGAGATACATTCAAACATCAACCTTGACAATCTTCCCTGTCTCAACCTCGTACACATATCCCGTAACGGGCACGTCAAGCACCAACGGACTGTTCCTCAGCGCCTGCACATCATCGACAACACTCTGCTTCAAGTCTTTGAAGGGAAGGAACGCGATATGATCGACGTTCTGTTTCAAGTCGTCTTTGATTTTGCTTCGGAGGTGGTCGTCGGTGAATGTTAGCATACCACAATCCGTCTGTTGAAAGTCAGCTTTTTGAAAGGATGGAACAGAAGGAAGGAATGGAAGGGGGCTTACGTGATGGACAACGACGATTTCGCGCGTGCCGAGGAGTTGTTGCGAGATAATTACGCTGCGCAGAGCGTCGCTGACACGTCCGCCTGCGTTGCGGATGACGTGGGCATCACCTTCTTTGAGGCCGAGGGCTCGGAAGACATCTGATATAGTCAGAAGCAGTGCGAATCATTCAGAGAAGTGCGTATGTACCGATACGAGCGTCCATGCATGCTACTACTGCAACTTTGCTACACACCACGGGAGACGATTAGCTATCATCAAGGTTGCTAGACAAGGCTTGGAGGATATCAGCAATCTGGACCATACCGAGCAGGTGGAAGTGGTAATGACCCCTTGTCAAAGGTCGAGACGTAATTTGCATTTGCAGCTTCAAATTCTCGTGCTACTGACATTTCGATTACTTAGATATGCCTGGCTTATATGTAAGGTTTGGGAGAGCTGCCTAAGCAATCAACGATATACAAAATGAGGGAGGTAATTTTAAAACAACCTTGGAACGAGAATAAGTCCAGATGATGACAGACTCTTCAAAGTTGGGCCTTGATCTGGCTATATAAGCATCTGCTCAGGTATACACATCCTTCCCCTCATCTCCTCTCTAATCGACGTGGCTTAACACAGCCGATCAGTTCGCAGCCCAAGAACCATAAAAGATAATAAAAGGAACGTGTGTTCACAAATCAAGATCATTCATTGGGTCGATGATCTATCATGGTGTGGAGAGCAATATGTACCACTCATTGCGTGCTTGTGCTTGAACCAATCACTTCCATATGTTGTTTCCCCCTCATGATTGAGCGAGATTCAAAGGGTGTGAGCGCATAGGAAAAGCAATGATGGATATTGTTCTAATTTCTCTAAAAAATTGAGTAATCTGACGGTTGATGTTCTTATAGAATTTCATTAGGGCTTCTCAATTCATGTGATTGCATGTTTAGGCCGAATCCAGTGTACTGTACATACTGTGTACAATCAATCAGTTCATATATACAAATCATATATCAAAAAGCCACCTAACGTTGAACCATTATACTACATGCAAGCAGACATCCAGACTAAAGAGTACAAAGCGTTAAACCTCAAACGATCGACTCCCCTTGACCAGCCCAGCATCAAGCTTTGTAATCGCAACCCAGTCTGGGCTATATTGAATAATTTCATCGAGCGCCGGAATGGCGGCTTGAGTATTGGCATCACTCCATAGGCATGTTGCCCTTCCAGTCAATGTATCTTTCTCGTTTTGAATGTCCTCGTCTGAGGCCCATTCAACTTCTACCACCCACTGATTTCCCCAGGTACGACTCCACAGACGAATTTCTTGCACTCCATCTTCCGTCCCATCTTCTAGCGACGGATTGCTCGGGAAGCGGCTGTCAATAGCAGAGCCGGCGACCTGGAATTGAGTGATGGGTTTATCAAAGTGCAAAAGACAGCCTCGTGTATTCAATCCACTAATCTTGATCTGTGCGCGATTGCTGTTTTGGCGCCCGGGTTCAAGTCGTACGGCTTTATACTTCACCCACTGGTTCAATGGATTTTGTTCCTTTCCAGATCCCGGATGCGTGATGACGTGTGGTTCGAGATTGCTGTCCCAGGAGCACTCCGTTCGATCCAACTTTGGAACGCATGAGACATTCTGTCCATGAGTGCTGGGTATAGATGCAACGGCGTCGCCGACAAAGGGCTGTATACCTGTCAAGGCAACGCGGTTCGCGCCAGTGTCGAGATCAACTTCCTGAAGGAAGAATAGCTTCACTCGGTTGTTCCCAGAGAACGGAAATGCTACTAGGTTGTATACCAGGGTGGCGATAAATATCAAAAACAAAAATGTGGGAATGTGATATGTGTATCGATGAATAAAGGGGAGTGTGGGCATGAAGATCAATGTAGTAAGAATGGCAATCATCAAATACGGCACTAGAGCCGAACTGCCATCCTGCATTGTCTGGTGGATGGCACTCGTGATGAGTAGGCCTAGTTGTCCGACAAGTATAATGATTATTGGAGCTATCAACAAGAATTGCAGAATCCATGTCCACTTGGGCAAGTTGGCACTCCATGGCTGCTCGTATCCGTAAACGTTGAGATCCCGGGCATCGGATACATCAGTGCTGACTCCTGTTGACAGCAAATCACCATCGCCATCGTCTTCTGTAGATCTGGTATAGTTTGCAAAGCTTGTCCGTTGACCACGCAGAAGAGATGTCGACTCTGTAGGTTCGTCATCCTCCTGGTGCTGACCCACAGATTCTCCACTAGGCGTCAAGAGACGACTACCGCCCAGACTCGTGCGCCGTGACGATATCTGACCACTGACTTTGTTGGCGAAGTCGCCTTTCTTAGGCAGCGAGAAGAGTTCTAGATAAGAGATCCACGTGGCCATGAAAGTGCCAAATGCATAGAAAATAACGAAATAGCCGCTTGCTATACCGTCACGATTTTCATAGGCTGTAGTAATTACCAGCAATACCCAGGTCAAGATAAACATCCACGTCAAGACATAGATGCGGTGCAAGGCCGAAGGTCGAGCAAAATTGGCTATACGAGATAGGAACCACGCAACAAAGAACCATGCTGAGATCATCATGCTCCAAACTGCATATTCGCTACTATGAGCAATCATTGGGTTGACCTTGGCCATCAAGTAAGCCAAGCCTACAACGCTTGCAGTGGTGGTGCCGAAGATAAATGGGAATCGAAAGAAGCCCCTCCATCCGCGCAAGGGTACACTTCCAAAGCCATCGTCAACTGAGACCGAAATGCCGAAGAGGTACATGCGATCCTGGTTGGCTAGGATGATACTGGTTATGAGCAACGTCAACGGACCGACAATAAGAAGGGTGACAGATAGTGCGAAAAGCGTATGAATCTCAAACACAGCGAAGGCAGTGCCGAATAAATCAAACCATACGGCTCCGGAGCCAGTCCCACTAGGCAACTTTCCTGGGCCTTGTGGACGACCTTCGAAATTGTGACTCGTATCAGAGACCAGACCCTCAGTCGTTGCAACTGCAGCGGACAGCATATGCCAGAGCGCTTGCTGGCTAGTGTGTTTGGCGTCATCCTGGTTGGTATGATATCTGGCTCGAGGCTCCATGAAAGCGACATCCAGACCGCGCAAGCCCATATCTCCCTCAAGGACGATATAATCCGTCTGGCTTCTAATCATGCCAAGTTTGAATCCCGCATCTGAGAAGACGCTACCGAAGGGATAAGGCGACCGCTTATAAAACTTGGTGACTTCAGTATCCGAACTGCGAAACAGCGTCGCTCGTCCACCAGCTCCAGCACCTTCAAGGTTCAAAAATGTATGCGGCAATTTCGAAATGGGATGTTGGCTGTAAACACGTGCGCCGTTTAAAAAATCTTCTTCGCCATTGTTGAACAGTAGCACGAGTCCGCGGGTAGGTTCATGCCCGGGTGAAGTGAAGTATTTGATCAGTTGCAAGCATGATATGACCCCGACACCGTCATCAGTCGCTCCGTAGCCTGTCGAAACGCTATCATAGTGCGCATTCACGAGCACACCCCCTTTTCCCGAGGGACTTAGGCCCGGCTCTTTCCACCATTCCCTCTTATCATCTTCCTGACCACGAATGTACACAATTATATTCGTACCCTCGAAATATACGCCGAGATTAGATTGCACGACCGTCAAATTCGATTGATTATCGTCAAAAACATATGTCTGGACACCATCTTGCTGTTTCGCATCTTTCGATAGTATGTCCTCAATGCGAGATAGCAACCAACTCCGCACCTCATCGTTCTTTCGCGAATTGTAAGGATGAAACCCACTCGTCAAATGCTGTAGATCCTGCCAAGCTTCATGTAAATCTAAGCCTTCGAGTTCGGACTCCGGTACCGTGGGGAGGATATTTTGAACGACAACGAGCGGAGCGAGCAATGCGACGTAGATAAGCGTAACGAAAACCGTTACTGGTACGCGATAGAAGGCGAAAGGGTTCCAGCGCCCGGCTGTTCGTGGGCGAGCCATGGTGGCCCTCAGAATCGCAAATTGAATTGTGTGTTACGTCTGCTAGGAAGGCAAGCCAGCAGGCGAAGTTCAAAAGAGAACTTGGAAAACGAAGTGACACATGATGTTGTTGGAGGCGGCGAGCACGCGGGCGGGGACTTTCGTAATCTATTTCATACATTCCAGTGCGGAGAAGCCGGTATGAGCCAATAAGAGGCAATAAATGTGGAGATCATGTTACTTTTACCGTATTGTATCGTAACGTTATGATAACCCCAAGTAGGGCCCTACGAGTATAGATGATAGAAGACTACTACGAGTATATGGCAAGATAAGCAAAGTAGATATGTGTCATGAATATGCTACTATACCATCTATCTGGGCAATGCATGCCATGCCTCTTCCGTATTTCCAGGCATGTTCCCGCAACCAAAGAAAAAGAGAGAGGAAAGAAACACGCTTCCAGGTGTAGTCCAAACCATCATGTCGCTATGATTCTGATATGGGTATCAATTTGTAAACGCAAGACAAAAGATTGCTAGTGCCGTACAATGATAATTCTCGAGATAGTAAACCCGCTGCAGCCAGCAAAATATCGTGACAGAGAATGGGCAATTGGCATCCCATAATTACTCGACCGAAAGAAAGCGAGACATGTTATTCGGTAGTCCCTCGTTCCTCCACGCCGCAAAGCAGTTGGTGATCATCCATGATGATCATTTATTGCTAGAGCCGAACTTCGGCCGTGATCTTACATATGTATATGGACGGCACGGCATCAATTCAACCAGTGGGTGGCCCAACTTCAATAACACTATCACCCATGTCGTCGTCATCATCCCGGATGGCTGCCGCGCTCATCAATCCAGTGACATGATTTTCTTCTTCGTCTAGCTCGTCTTCATCATCGTACATCGTAGCTTCTGTTTCCGAAGGGAACGGCCCGACATTCCGATTCAGATAGTCGCGTAGTCTCATAACACCTTCGCCGCTAAATACGCAGAAGACTTCGCGTTGCTGTTGAGTAAACTCCGGGGGAGCATCACGGCAAAATGCGGTGAGATCTTCATGTAAGAACGCCTGTACTCCAGTCAGACTGAGATGAGTGAGACGTGGGCAGAAGTTCAGCAGAGCATGAATTCCCTAAAGTTCAGAATTAGTCGATAATTTGTATCATTCTCTCAGCAAAGTTGACATACCTCCATAGTCAAATTCACACAATAACTCAAGTGCACCCTTTCTAGACAGCTAGGGCTAACTGAGTGTGGGAGAGCCCTTGAACGAGCAAGAGCCAAGATACTCCAGTCCGTAATAGCTTGGCACTTGACCAAACCAATTCGTTTCAACTTTGGTAGCGTTGCTAATTGTTGGACACTGACATCTGTGAGTAAATTACAGCAGGCCAGATCGATGTAGCGTATCCGGTTGCAAGACTTCACGAGCTGAGAGACTGCAGCGTCTGTGATATTGGAACAATGGCCGAGGTGCACCAGATGCAGATTCTTGCCCAGCTTGCAGATAGCCAGCACGGCACGGTCCGTGATAAATCTACACTTGTTAAGTACAAGGTTTCGCAGCCGAGGAGCTGCATCGGTGATACGTTCAATAGCATCGTCTCTAATCTGCTCACAGGCAGTCAGATCCATAGCGCGAAGGCTCTCAAACAAAGAATGTGGAGGAAGTCGAAGGAAGGCGGAGTCGTCAATTTCAACACACTGGGCTAGGCGTAGTTCTCGCATATTTCGCAAAGTAGACAGCAGAGCTGTCACAGATCGACTGGTAACTTGTTTGCAGTCATGCAAATCAATCTCTAATATTGACGGGCAGTTTTCTGCATAGGAAAGAATAGACCTGTCCGTAACTCGGTTCACGCCGTTCAACTTTAACTGCGAATGATATTAGTCATGATCTCATCACATCATGGGAGGTCCTCAGAAGAACTCACCCTCTTCAGATGTCTGCAGGCTTGTGATATGACCACTAGTGACTCGTCTGTTATTTGTGAGCAACCGGTGATGTTCAACCCTTGTAAACGAGGGCAATTCTTGGCCACCGTGTACAGGAAATTATCTGTCAACGAATGAAGCTCCGAAACATCCAGAGCTTGCAGGTGTCGATTGCCTTCCACCAGATCTGACACACCCTTATCCGTCAGCTTCGAACAATTGGTTAGAGTCAAACGCTCAATACGTTTGCACTGCGTAAAGGCGGAAAGTTCGCCATCCGTGATCTTTGGCGCCAAGCTCGCTAGATTCAGGCGTCTGATGAGTTCGGAGTATGGAAAGAAGCTCTCGATTTTGCCCACGGATGTCACAACGCTTCGAAGGTTCTCAGTCCGATTGCACGACGGTCGATGCCAAAGAATGCCAACACAGTTTGCCGCCCATTTCCGCGAAACCAACATACAGTGTAGCATATCCGAAGGTGAGCTAAGTTTTGAAAAGATGGATATTAGAATTTCTGGAGGTAGCCGCCCGATCGGGGGAATAATGATATCCGGCTCATTGCTTCCTATCTGTTCGCGAAACGTCCCAACCCCAATAGAAGACTGCGAGTCATTTGCCTGGGCAAAGAAATCGGTGTCATCGTCGGCGGCGCGTTCGGGGGAACTCGAAGTTGAAGATTCCGAAGGGGTCTTGCTCGACGACCGAGCAGCAGCCCGAGAGCGATGCATCCTTTGACCGTTGTCTTCTATATCCCTCTATATTCTAGGGACCTCTCCTCGTCGAAACAAAGCCGAATTCACGGTCGCTATAGACGAAGAACGTAACTTGTTGGTGGCGTCGTATATTTTGTCTAAAGATCGTTGCGGATGTCGTGTCTCATGTGAATCATTAAATGCCTCCTCCCTTGCCGCTGAGTTGTGCTAGGTGACGCAGCGCAGCCTAGTCGTGGTCAACGGTTCAGTGCGAGAGTCGTAATGTCGATACTGGCGCTTTCGCTGTTGTTTCCTTGAGATCACGGTATACTTAACTAGGCTTCGTTCGGAGATGCGAGTGTATTTATAAGTAGACCAAGACAGAAGTGGTGGTGGTTGGATCGATCGGACAGGCAGGAATGGACGCATATATCTCCGGACCTTGGCGGCAGGCTCAGGAATGGTGGACAAAGGAAGCACTCAAATATCGAAAGAACTATACACACAGGCCGACTAAGGGTTGGAATTTGCGACCTGGGAGGTATTCAGGTAGGATGTAGAGGTAATATAATCGTAAGGTTGGATGCGGCAAAATGGCAACGGGACAGAGTAAGGTGGGATGCGGGATGCTTGCCCAAGGCACACGGTCTCTGGCCAACCAAGTCCGGAGTTTTACCACCACCGATCATTGTGTCAGCTGAAGCAGATACTTAACTACGTCTTCTCACTTTGTCATGACAAATACAATGTTCTTGATTGCACATCTGTTTATATCAATATACTTCATATTTTTGATCTGGTTCCTTGCCAACACTTATATGCTGCCATGTCGCTAAATCCATGGACGGCAGCATCAAACTATGGACTCTATATAAGGCAGGCTGGAGTAACAGCCCTAAAAGGAAACAACTGATGCCAGGTCATGCACAACCGGGCTAGCTATGTATCACATGCAAGGACGGGTTTTCAGCCACACGAGGCGAAGAACAATGAACTTCTTCTATGATTGTTTCTTTCGGCAGTCAGATTTCTGAAACCTATATAACTACATGTTTCATCGAAAGCAACCCTGACGATACTTACATGACAGTGGGCTGATGCACCATTGCCAATAATGGAGAGATCCGTAGCTGATGTATTGCAAGAGTGGTAGGATGAGATTGGACTTTATTTCTATAATCTGGTTCATCATTCATGCGAGAGGTCTAGCTTCCTTGTTAGGTTGTAGTGAATATTCCAATAGGGTTTTGATATGGTTTCATCATATCTCTCGGTTCGCTCCCTTGGCCCATTCTCGGAGGACATTCTTCTTGACCTTACCAGTGCTAGTTTTTGGTAGTTCGGGAACAACCTCAACTTCACGAGGAACCATAAATTTGCTGATGCCACTCGCAGTTTTCGCCCATGTTATGATTTCAGACCCTTCGATATGCTTTCCTGACTGTACTGTGACAAATGCTTTGGGCCTTTCTCCCCAGTGCGAGTCTGGGACAGCGACCACACCGGCCTCGAGGATGTCTGGATGGGTAACCAACATCGATTCCAAAGCCACGGAAGAGATATTTTCTCCTCCTACACAATCCAGGTCAGTTAAGTGGATAAAAACACCAGGGTATCATACATACCGCTAATAATGATGTCTTTGGCTCTGTCCATGATTTGAATGGCTCCATCCGCATGCCAAACCGCGAGGTCTCCGGAGTGAAGCACTCCGCCCTCAAATAGCTTACTTGTGGCTATTGGATCTTTATAGTAGCCCTTAGCGCAGATGTTGCCTTCAAAAACAATTTCTCCTAGCTCAAGGCCATTGCGTTGTACATCAACGATGGCGCTGCCCTTTACATCCGTCTTGATGACACGAGCCGGGAGACTGGTCACAAATCCATGACCTTGGCGAGCCATTTTCTCATATTTTTCTTTATCCGGGAGAGTGTCCCACACAGGCATATGGTAGCCTTTCGTGATCGGACCATAGGTTTCTGTCATACCATAGACATGTACTGGATGTAGGTTGAGGTTCGTCATTTGCTCAAATAAATGCGCTGATGGTGGACTAGCAGCGACAGTAACTCTGACTGGATCTGGAAGTCTCTCCGCTTCCTTGGCTGCACACAAGAGCGTGTTGACCGTTGGGGCGGCGTTGAAATGTGTTACATGCTCGTTTTTCAGTAGCTGCCAGATATAAGGATAGTCAATCTTCCGTAAGCAGTAGTGAGTACCCCTGACAACTGTAATCGCCCACGGGAATGTCCATCCTGAGTGTTGCGTTAGCACGAGTAGTATAATGTTACTCAAGTGAATGATCGGATGGCATGTCCTACCCATTGCGTGAAACATTGGCAAAGTCCAGAGGTATCGACAACGGCCTATATGATAATTCAACCCTGATTCGATGACATTTCCCATCGCGGCCAAATATGAACCGCGGTGGCTGAACTCAACACCTTTCGGCCGGGCGGTAGTGCCACTTGTATAAGCAAGAGCAATAGTTGAATTCTCATCAGCGGCCTGAGTCTCAAGCCCATTCCACCCTTTGGCTCCTGTATCTTTGTCGTACCCCAAGCCTTCCAGAATGGCAGCGTCAAAAGGGCCACTCAGCTGGCCCTCTGTTGCGTCTGTATCTGTATCAATCAATAGCGGGATATTCGGATGCTCGCTCCTGAATAGATCAAGGAGAGATACATATTCCTCATCGACAATAATAAGGTCGGCATCAGAGTGCGCAAAGATATAAGCAATATCCTCAGGCTTCAGCCGATAGTTCACCGCTACAAAGAGAGTACCTAGATCAGTATTTGGTATGATAGGAAAAGAGAGAGGACAAACCTATGTTAACGCAGCCAGCTGCCCCAATGCCGAATATAGACTCTAGGAAAGCAGGTGTATTCGGTGCTAAAATGCCCACGCGCTTGAATTTATGCTTTTTGAGATAATAGGCAAGGCCTCTAGCGCGGTCAGCAGTCTCGATATAGCTTCTCCGCAGAACCTTGTTGTTCGCGGTCAAGTGGTAGATAGCTTCAGCCTATATTAATTTCAGTACCAAGTATACATTACACATCTGGGAAGTTCGCACCTCAGGCTCGATTGCCGCAGCACGCGGGAGAAAGAAGGTCGGCGAGAGAGTATGGTAGTTGCAGACTTTGTTCACATCATGATCGACATGTGATGGAAGAAAGTGGCCAAGCAATCCAGAGAGACGGGACTTGGGACCGGACATGGTCTCGAAATGGTCAATCAAACAGGGAGGGTATAATCATCGTCTGGAGTCAAAGAGCAGAATTGGAGAAGACTTTCACTGAACATTAAAGTAGAAAATAAAATCCTGCCCCAATTTGCCGGGGACGCCGGCGCAAAGCGAGAGCTGTTATGCGGGGAGAAAGAAGACCCTCGGTTATTGCCTGATTAACGAGGCACCACTCATCTGGGGTAGCTGAGCTAACTATGTTAGGCTAGTTTCAAGGTTAACTATTCATCGAGGTGAAGTGTAACTTGACATACCAACAGACCTCATTCCCGGCTCAGCGCGGTGTATCTTACCGCGTACTTTTGGAAATTGAATCTCAATTTTATCCAGTGAAGGGTTTGGATTGCTTCGAGATTACACCTGGAGCTTTTGATTGTAGACTACTCATCTGCTGTCTAGCCGTTAGAGATACTGCATACATATCAGGTATACTTGAAACGGCGGTCACTGACGTTTATTCACGACTTTTCATTCGGCATCCATGGAACTGCCTAAAAAACACATCAAACTGCGATATAGCTAATGTCGCGGTCACTGAACTGGTGCCTGCAGGCTACAGGTCGCAAGCTGGCTGCCTTTCCAGGCTGCGTACAGACACTACGAACTTGATTCAGGGCATCCAAGGAACCCTCACACCGCTGTTGTTAAATCCACCTAGCGCATACCAAGCCCTTGCATCTTTTACACAGCAGCAATAGCAACAGCAACAGAGGGATAGGTACCATCGATTATGCCGGTGAAAGTAGAACCACCAGACAAGTACACCACCCAAGCTTGATCTTCTTGGCGTGCCAAAAAAGCTTTCAGTCCTCGCTTGGGACAGGACGTCGGTTGTTGACTGCTACGATTTTAGTCTTTCTTCAACTTCGTATATCACTTTGAACATCTAACCGCAATGAGGGTCATGAAATCGGATTGGGGGTGGCTCGTGTTTCTCGCGATCATGTTGGGAATTATCGTTGTACCCGTACTACTAATCTTGGTGGTGATCAGTATCGTGAAGTCCGGTTCTAGACCAAGGCATTCACACAACCAACAAAGCTCTTCATCTTCTCGAGATATCGAACTAGGGCAGCTTGAACGAAGTACGAACGTCTCCGCCGAACCGCCCAAATACCCGGAAGCTTAGCTCATCCAGAAGCCTTGATCTGAAGCCCGATTTTCCCTTGCGGTTTCTTTGACATTTGGCTGTATTTCTGACCTTGCTTTGTTCGCTATCAGTTGGCGTGGAGTAGACAGAACATGTGGTTATAATGGACCAGATGATTTCGCTTTTTTGTCGTCACGACTTGCTGTTCACCCGTTGTGATGATATCTAGCTAGTTTTAATGAAACGCTCTTGCTTGGAGAGACGAGCCACCTACTAGAGTGAGACCAAGGGGGAATGATGTCTGAGACGTATCAACTTCAAGTAGGGGCGTCGAAGCTTGGAAAACTAGGATATACTTGAAATTGTCTTACTGTAGTATTCTACGAACAGCCAAGTCATTTGGAACTTCAGAAAATTCTTTCATTGCGCCACAGGAAAATAGAGTATTTAAGGCGGCACTGTGCCATACTGATATCATCATGTCTTTTTTTGCCAAGGGCGATTCCGTATAAGAACCTCCTCCCCGGACTGTATCACCATGTCCATACCAGAATGTCTGACTCGTTTGAAAATGATGACGTTAATTTTTTATTCATGATCAAATGAAAAAAATGCGAGGAACAATGTGACCCAGATTCGCCTGTATGGTCCCGCTGATTTAACCATATCAGCAACTCCATTGATAATTTTCAATCACATCGTTCCAAACACTGCCTGCCCAACAACCACCGACACCATCACCACCGACCGCAACCGCTTAGTATCCCAACTCGGCCAATTGGCTCTTGACCTTGTCGTCAACCTTGGCGGTCTTTTGGGCCTGGGCGAGCTGTCGTCGGATGGCCTTCTTGCGCTCGTAGTATGCAGAACTCTTAACCTTGCGTCGCTCCTCAAGTCTATGATATGTTAGCGCACAGGTTCTCACCAGCAATAAAAGAAAGCGACTGATAGATCGTACCTGGAAACAACATCCTGGTATTTCCAGCCGACTTCGTGGCTGAGACGGCCAACGGTGCAGTACTTGCGACCGGGCTTAAGGCGGAGCACACGGAGAGCCTGGGGAACAACAACACGCTTCTTCTTGTCGTATGGGGGAGGGACACCCTCGAAGACCTTGAGTCTCTCCAAGGCAGCGGCACCACGGGCGGTCTTGTGAGGAATCATGCCGCGGACGGTCTTGTAGAGAATGCGGGAAGGAGCACGGAAGTGGAAGGGACCACCACGGGTAGGGTTGAAACGGGTGGCCTTGCGGAGGTAGGCATGGTACTTCACTATACACAGGATATTCATTAGTCCGTTGCTCTTTTTGCTGATGATATGTCTCGTTGATCTCTCCTATCCATCACTGCCAAAGATTTCCGTTGGTCGAATGGGCCCGCTAACTGCAACCGCACGCAATTCCACCAAATTCGTTCTTCATGCAGATAAAAGATAGGAGAGTTCGAGAATAGGAATTTCAATTGACGTACGCTTAGCGCGGAAGAATTCGCCGGAGATGTTGAGGGCTTCACATCGAACGACGACAATCTTCTGACCGTTGAGCAACTGCTTGGCCACAATACTGGCCAAGCGACCCAAGAGGTGTCCCTTGCCGTCGATAACGACCTAAACAGATAATAATCTTATTAGCCGAATGCGCTCAACTTCTTCATGTTTTCCTCCGTCCCAATCCCCAACATCACCGCCACGGCAAATCTCGAATCACCAAAAATATCGACAAGGTGGAAAACTTCTTCAACGGTGGAATGCAACGTACAACTGGCTCGAATGTGGACATCCTGCTCTTGTCACCGGATTGGTATTCGAAAAATATCCAGCAAAGTCGAAGGGCTGGTTGTTGGCGCAATGGGTTGTCGGTCTGGAGTTTGAAGTCAACCTTTGGAGGACTCGCTTGACTGAGGTGTCTTAGCGGCAAAATTGGTGCGCTAGGGCTCGGAGCCCTAGATTCAAGTCTGTTTGTGGAAGAGCGCTTCGCGCTAAGCCTCTTAGAATACTATGTCACGTGATATGTCAGAGAGAAGATCCATATTTTCTTGGCTTAGCTTTTTCTATCGACGACAACTTTGTGCCGTTCAGGAACGCAGTAATCTATTATGGTACAATATCGCAAAACCCGGATAGTTTGCGTATCAGATACGCATGGATATAATCCAGCAGAATTAGGGTTTAATTTGCCATCTGGTGATGTCCTGATACATGCAGGAGACCTCTCCAACAGAGGAACCAAGTCTGAATTGAAACGTACGCTCAAGTGGATTGAAGAAGCAGATTATGAAGTGAAAATAGTGATTGCGGGTTAGTTGCATCGGTGCAATAAGATTTGTTCAATGTGGATATGGAATGAAGATATATTGCTACTAAACATACATATTCAACAGGCAATCATGATGTGTCTCTTGACCTAGACTTCTATGCAGAACATGGATCGCATTTTCATGGGGATGCTACAGCTCTAGAAGAAAATGCTACATCTATGGATCTTGTGAACCAACATAAAGACAGGCCATCAACATCAACATCCATTATCTACCTCAATCACGAATCCACCATGATCAATTTGACACGTCCAGATGGACCTCACACAATTTTCAAAGTCTTTGGGTCACCATACTCTCGCTTTTCCGGTCTTTGGGCCTTTGGATACTCATCATCATCCGAAGATGGTGGTCGATTATGGAGTCAAATTCCTCCTGATACCGATATTTTGGTGACGCACACTCCTCCATTAGGGCTGTGTGATCGACAACCAGGTGAAGATACCTCAATCGACACCCCAAAAAGTGGAGGAGACATGTACGGTTGCAAGCAATTACTTCATGCTATGAGCGACATTCGACCTATGCTAGCTGTCTGCGGCCATGTCCATGAAGGCCGAGGATATCAACGAGTGATGTGGAATGAGGATGATGGTGGATCAGCATCACCTATGATCACTGATATTGAACCACTACCCCCAGTCAGCAGCAAGAAACAGAATCTAATTGATCTAACGGGAAAGAAACAGCGTGCGCTTATGAACATGAGTGTTTATGCAACTGAGACAGACTTGCTAGGAAGCGATGTTCATGCGCGTAGAAGGCTGAGAAAAGAGACTTGCGTTGTCAATGCCGCCATTATGGCCAAGAGCTGGCCCTACACAGGTGGCAAGGCTTTCAATCGACCTACTATAGTTGATATCAATCTACCGGTTTGGGATGATGCTTCCGTATGACGATTCCATCACCCGGTTTAAGCTTGTTGTACGATGCATGAATATCAAATAGGCCACTCAATCATCACAAACATCCTGAATAAGCGCCGTAGAGTCATAAGAACATTTTTGGAACAAATATCACATATGCCATTGTCTTTAAAGCTCGGGTGACAAGCTACGTCTAGTGATGGAGGGTAGCAAAGCAGGATGTAAGTACTAGCGCAGTATGTGATTCTCTGCTCATGAGACACCCAGAAACGGAGATCCGTTTCAAAAATATGTGCATACACTCTAATTGACTCTCAAAAAATTTCCGTCTAGTTTAGTAGAGTACTTACAAACGTCTATTATACACACATAGTAGATCAATGATCCGGTCAACCTTCTGACCTTGTGGTGTGAAAAGATCTAAATTCTCTGATTGGCACACTTTACCGCCCTGATTTGTGACTCGTTCAAGGAAACGTGCAGCTTTGGAGTGCATGACCGGAGTGCATGACCGCCTCATCTATACAGTATTTAATACTGTAAGTTCGACTGGTGAGGACTCTAGTCAATATCTAGTTTTCAGTTGTGTCTTTGATTGTCTGATTATTGTGTGTCGGTTTAGGTATGGAGGGGTGACGACGTAGTGGGGTGAGAAATTAAGGGTACGTTTCACCCGCTAAATAGTTACGGGTCGTCCCGCCAATCGATAAGAACCGTCATGTCTTTTGAAGAATGGCTCATATTTGGCTGGTCTTGACTGCTATCCGATGACCTCTTAAGGAAAGCTTCTGGCCTAGGAGTGGCTTCGAAGATTTTCTCCGATTGGACTTGATAGGTGGCCTCTGAAAGCAGGAAATCGCTCAGACATGTTGTGTCACATCACTTACCATATAGGTAATGATTGATTTCATTACTTGGATTGATCGCCTGGCACAGGTTACCGGCCGATCTTGATCGATGACAGCCTGTGATGGTAAATGATCGCTTCTCTCGAACAACCATGACAGTTAAACAAGTCGACAAAGCATGAGAGTTCTGTGCTCGAAGCCAACAATGCAAGGCGCCCTAAAATACCGCAGGGTCCATTCTGAACGTGACAACTCACTGCGCCAGATCCGCAGTGGTACCTGGGTCCTGTACTGGGCCTACTAGCAGGATTACCGGTACGGTTCTACCACATAATCAGTAGTAGCATTTCGTTGGTACGTTGTAGCGTAACTTCTTCCGCATCGCATGGCAGAGGCGTGCTGCATAAGCGTCCTGTGCTCATTCTGCTAGTACTTGAGGAGTGCTAAGTGGTCGCCATGTAGCGGTTGGTCGCCTTCTAGAAAAGAGGCCAATTAGACTTGCTTAGAGTTGGCTTTGCGCTCTGCTTGCCCTTTCGAGGCATGCTGTGGCGGAGTTTCTTGACGTGAATCAGTAGCCTCGTAAGTGTATCGCACCGAAATATGGCTGGAGTGGCTCCAGAGKTTGAAGTTGAGGAATTCAGCATGGTCGAATCACCTGCCCTCGTTCCACTTGAAAGCTGGAGTTGATACCTGGCTTCTAGTGGACCATAGATATTGTCACCTTGTGGCTATCCACTGGATGCAATAATACGAAAACCACTTCGTACTCCGCTGAGAGTGACAAAGAGTTGAATGGTGATGGATGATTGTGGCTGCATCCACTGCTCAGAGCATGTCGCGGGGTGATCTCGTTGACAAGGAGTAGCTGGCCAATTGATGACAAGAGGTGATACCTTCTTCATTCGTGCTAGCAGACGAGTCACAATACGCGTGGAGACTGTGGTGCTAAGAGACTTCCAGGTTGGGATAGTCGCAGGTCAGAGAGAGGCCCCGGCTCTCCTATTCTAGAATGACGATTGGCTGCATGCCATCGTGGCACAGTGGGTCCAGGCCCTGTATCAATCTGATACGTGATCTCAGTTGGCCCGCCGGAGATCGACTGATTGGCTGCAGCGTCTCAAGAATCTGCAGTACGAATACCGTATGATTACGTACATACGTACCATAGTACAGCGTTACGCAGTTGAGCAGACAAACAGAACAAAGAGGACAAACAGGAAAGAATGCCCTGTTTTGGCTTCTACTGCTTGGCAGTACGTCAGTCTCTTCTCAACAACACCAAAGCCTCTTTTGAAGATTCACGAGCATGAGTAATGGTCCTGGCTAGCTACCCGGCTATTCTAGACAGGCGTTCGACAGCCTCAACAGGGATGACGAAACGAGCATTCCTCCCTCAGCCCGGCAGACCTGGATTCTTGGGGCTGGTATAATCCATAGCTGATCAAGACAAGGCGATGTCTAAACACCCAATTAGATAACATCTCCCTTGAGGCTTTGTTGCTTCTGGTTCTTCGATCTAATAAATCGCCCTTGGACCCTGGATCATTCCCCGGGTTGCTTCCAACGGGCTGACTCGGCTACTCGCATCACTTCCCATTGCCCAGGAACTCTCGAGGAGAAGCCTCAAGTATCAATGCTATTGTAGCTGAGGCTTATGAATACACTACGATTCACGGCTTAGTATCACTCCATCATGAGTGGTAGCATTGTTTAAACCAAACAGCGTAAGAAGGGCGAACAGACCGTAAGATCCACGGGCTAGAAGAACCGCAAGACTGTTGATCAGAGAGGATCACCACATATAAAATTTGATTGTATCATCTTCCTGGAGTCCTGTTCAACGTCAGAACATATCGAATGATCTCATATCTGCAACTGTACCTGTACCCAAGAGTTGAGGAACAAACGGTCTTGTCCATGTCACATCTACAATTGATCATCATTTATCCATATCAGCCCATCTTATTATCAGATGACTACACTTCAACAACTATCCCAAACAGTTCCCTGACACTCGCCAAGATCGGCCAAATCAGCAACATCGTTCATCATCAGGGTCCCCCAAAATTCATTGCGTGGTCCCTACGAACCACGCTGTCGTATCGTCTATCGTATCGTGTTAGAACCCCACGTCTCACAGCGGGGTCCATCGTAAGCCCCCCAACAGCGAAACAATCAGTTACACGCATACAGATCTGGAGCACACTATCCTCCAACTATCCATTGAACATCCAGCGATTGTGGTGCTTGAAACTTTAGTATCAGCAACAACACTGCTAGTACGCTTCTACTAGTACTAACTCATCATAACTGACCGCCCATAGTGGGAAGAGGGACAACTCTGTTGCTTGGGCAGCGCTACACCGCTGCTTCCTTTGTTAGTTGTCAGCAAAAACGAGGCAAGACAAGGACCCTTATTTTGGTGTCTAAGCTACTGCGCCGCTGCGCTGCGAAAGTCTAATGATATCGTTGCTCTAGCAGTGTTGTGTAATTTGATTTGCAGCGAATGAGGAAGTCAAAGTCGAAGGGTGAAGACTCTCGAAAAAGCTCCTATCGAAAGGAACCATCTAGCGCTTTCCGCGCTCCAAAAGACTCAAAAGGTCTACAAATAGTCATCCGGTAGGGTACGGTTCGGCACATCGGTCATCGGCGTGCCCGCTGCTGAATAAGAGAAGAAGAAACAAAAAGGACCGACCGGAGTGGCGCAGTCGCAACGAGATAGTTCTGTTATCTGATTCTGATTCAAAGGCCCAGTGCCGCAAAGCCGCGATTCGCTGTTAACTGTGCGTTATTATTCGATCTACAGGCTTACCAACTGGAGTTACGCTCCCGTTTTGTTGGCAGCTTCTCTTCGCTTCTTTTCGCCTCTTTGCCTCCCAAGAGTCCACGACTAAAAGTCAGAACGGCGTCCCTGACTGGCGTGGGTCTAGACTAAACTGGAGATCACGGGACCAATACAGTACAATACCATCGACACATAATACGGCGTACGGATAACTCTGAGGGAGTGGGTCGCAGTGTGCGCAAGCTGTCTGGTTCTGGCTGGATCGTCCCGTGCTCGTTACCAAGTTTCCCAGACAGGTACGTACTGTTACGAGTTACGTATTGTCCTCGTCCCTGTTCTGTTACGTACTGTTCCTCTTCTTCAAAGAGGCAAGAGTGGCCCATCCCGCCGCCCGGATATACTGCCTCCCCGGTTCATCCAGACTTTGCCATCCTTCAGGGTGCTGCTTCTTCTCGGCCGTTCCTGGATTCTGCATCTTGTATTCGACTCAATCTGTTCTCTTCATCTATTCCTTCTTTTCGACTTCTATCCTTCTCCTCCCGACTTCCCGATCCTTTACCGTGCGGTAGAAGAGATCGAAGAGGCTGTGTGACCGCCGCATCGGATCTATTCAACTCTTCTACGTCCTTCCAATCGCTATTGTCAGTATCTACATACGACTACTATCCAACTGCATTACGGCGACTCATCTGGGTGACTCTCATTGACTAAGCATTATGCGTTGACTACCATCGACCACCTAATGCAAAGTGACGTTCGCCTCCCAGTCATACGTTGATTCACTTCTTACCGTGACTGCCAGCTCGGACAACATCACTTATATTTATTACCTTCCTTTTACATGAACCTTACTACAGTCCTACCCATGATCCCAGACTCTTACAACCCTACGACCACAAACTCAATATGTCGATTAATATACCCGATTTCGATCCTTATACTGTGCTCGGAGTTGACAAGGACGCTCCCAACTCAGCAATCAAGACCGCTTACCGCAAGCTCGTGTTGAAATGCCATCCAGACAAGATCCAAGACGAAAAACTGCGGGCAACGGCTGTCAATGAGTTCCAGAAACTTCAAGAGTCCTATGAAATCCTGAGTGACGAAGGACGGCGCCAGCTTTACGATCAGGAGATTTACCTCAACAAGTTGAGGAAGGAAGCTGCAGCACAGAAAGCTTATGCAAGCAGGGAATATCGTGATGGACAAATGTACGAAGAACGAGTTCCACAATATTTCAACAGCAGTGACGAGCATCTGTACACCGAGGAACCGATGTCATACTCTCAGAAGTACGCCGACGGCTCCAAGCGCCCGCACACCAAAGCTACTGAAGAGAGGAAAAAGTCAAAAGGACCGTCCGTGTACACGTATAGCACAGCAAGACCAGCAAAACAGCAGAGCGACCGTGACCACGCCAAAGCTGCACATTACGATCGTGCGAGGACTCGCACCAAGGAACGCCGGCGGGATGCCTCAGACAAGTATGAGCGAACGGCAGCTGGTTTTGACTCGGACAGTGAAGATGCCTTTTCGGATTTCGAACGTGACCAGGCTCATTATAGGGCCAAAGTGGAAAGTGAGATAAGATACTCATCGCCTCGAGAATCGGTTCCACCACGTCGCAAAGCAGACACAGTACCGAGTTACTCATCGAAGCACCATCGCAGCCGTGGCTCATCTACCGGCTCGGATTCGGAAGATAATCATGATGATTATCCATCATACTCGACTTCCAAACTCGACGGCCAAGAAGAATGGGCCAAGAAGTACATTGGCCGCACAACGGATCCCGTGATACGACCACACACATCTAGACACGCAGGATATGAAGATAGGGAGCGACGTCACTCAGAAACTCCTCGATACTCAACTCGTTCTTCTCACAGTCACAAAGACAGTGTTCATGTTGAAACTTCGTCACCTCGGACCAATCGCAGGTCTAATGAACGATTGAATTCTGATGAGCGAGCCGAGCGTAGTCACGACTACGAGCGTGCATATGAGCGGGATCGGCGACGCGACCGTGACTTTGAGCGCGATCTTGATCGCGAGTTTGATCGACGAGAGCGTGAGCGGGAACGAGAACGCGGGCGAACCGTTCCTAGTCTGTCCACGGCCGCCTCTCAAAAGGTCCCATCGTCACCTCGAGCTCCTCCCACGATCACCCGCTCTGCCACTGCACCGTATCCCCCTCGCAGTCGACGAGAAGGTTCGAGTCGATCGGAATCCAAGGGCCCTCTTTCCGGTATAGTTAATGGTTTAGCAAGTATGGTGGTGGACGGTTTCGCAGGTGATACCAAAGCTTCGTCTCGGTCATCCACTGGACGGGGTGTTTCAAGAGGTGCTTCCCGTCCCCGTGGCACCGAGAGAAACGATTCAGGATATTCCAGTGGACCAAGTACGCCAGAAATGCCTTCAAACGCATCAGCAAAAATCAAACAATACAAGGTTGATATAACGGGCGATAGACCCAGGGTGGAATCGGTAGACGTCTATCCTCCACCATCATCGTCCCGATCTGAACGAGCGAGAGATCGCTCGGCAGCACCGAGACCTAAGACCACTACTCGTACCAAAACGTATTCTTTTGAACCGGAAATCATTACACGACAACCAGCTTCAGCGTCTTCAAAGACTTCGTCATCAGGCCGACCACTGTATGGAGAGATCCCCATGGACGGACACCGATACACCAGGCAAACAGTTGCTTGAATAATGGATCTTCCCACCTCTACAACGTATCAAAGCGACAGAAGTCTCGACACGAGAACAGAACCGCTTCTTGCGGTATTTGCATATATTTTATTCACTTTCTTCCCAATGGAGTTTGATCAATTTTCAACCGGTTTGACTGGCCTGCTTTCGGTCCAGACACCGGTCTTTGCATAACCTTTCCAAAACATCATGAAAAACACGGTTTGATGAAGCGAGAAGGACCCTTCCAAAGTCATCTTCGGTTTCGGTGGAAAGTGGTTGTTATCAGAACTGCATAGGTGGTGGTGCATTAGGAACATCAGGACAGGACAAGGCACATAGGAAGGGTGTTACCTAGGTAAATGGAGACGGCGGTTCATACGGCGTTTTGTTTTATTTTGTTATTCCCTTAAATCATGTTCCCTTCTTCCTTTGTTGATTCAAAGGAAGAAGTAGATGAGAAGAGAACGTTTCAGTACCAGAAACGGTCTGTACTATCCTCCATCTAGACGTGACTCTACTTTACAAGGGTATCGGAGTTTTGGTTTACTCAATGGCGTTTTTGCTGGGCTTTGGTTTTTTGTGTCTTTTTTCGGATCCTACTTGGATTGCCTGAAGCTTTTGATGATTGATGATGAACATTATATGATGAAACCAACCCCAAATACTTTGCTTACTTATATACTTAGGTACACAAGGCTTGCTATTTGATTTAGCTATACAGTACAGGTGAATGCTAGATTGCTTTACTTCTTCGCATACATTCAGCTTCTTTGACCGAACGTATCGACTGATTGACTTATGTTGTAATATTGATTATATCTAGCCTCCGTTTTTGAAATATTGGCAACGAATTTATATTAAATATGATTTTTATACGTACGTACTTGGTTATGTAACATCTCCATATCTTCTCTGCTTCCACCTAACCGTATAACTCATAATAATCTATCTATAGACACCCCTCCCTTTTTCTTTCCTCGGAACCTGGATTCTGTCTGTCATCAATCATGGCTCCGTCCAGTCTACTTGTTCAGTAACCGGGCTCGCTCCATCTATGCCATATGTAACACGGAGACGTAATCTGAGTTTAGGTGGTAGTGCCTGTCCAATATTAGTAAGTGGGAACAAAAATGAGACAGATTGAACAACTTACCCCGCTAACAGCAGCGATCCTCATGCCCTGGGTTCCCTCCTCTCCTCCATTGAGATCCGCCTTGGTGATAGCACTTAATTGTAACCGCTGGCTCTTGGGGACGGCGGCCTGAAGTCCCACACTCGTTATTCGCGTGAAATCGGACTGGTTGCGGAAGCGTGCAAGAATTTGAGCACCAGACCCGCTGGCGTTTCGTTGTACTTGTAGTGTGAGAACGAGATCGTTTTTGTTGAATGCGGTGTGGCCTGCGGCTGCAGCAGGAGGAGGGGGAGTAGACGTTGCTAGACCACCGAGTCCGCCAAGAAGATCCTGAGAGGCAGTTGTAGGTAATGGCGACTGTGTTTGAGGACGTGCTGGCGGTGGTGTACCGTTAGAACCAAAGAGGTCCATTATAGCGGCAGTGTTGGATGGGGCTGCCGGCGGGGCAGGKGATGTTGTACCGCTTCCACCCAGAATATCCGCTAGCAGATCTGCGGTGTTCGTTGATACACCGTTCGCACCAGTGGGACTTGAGACTGTCGAGACATCCGAGCCACCAATAAGGTCGAGAAGCATATCCTCGGACTGCTTGACGGGTTTCTTGGATTTGTCCTTGAGCATCCGACTTTGTCGCTTGTTGGTTGGCTCTCCCAGCACTCTTTGCTCCTCTCGAATCTCTGGTGCTGGCATTCGCTCCAGGACTCCGCGGCGAATTTGGTCATATCCGAACAAATTACTATATTCAACAGCTCGCTGCTGCACTTCCACGTTCAAATCGGACGTGCGACTAGCCAGGAACCTTCGGACCCGCTCCACTTGACCCGGCTCTGACATTCGAACAGAGAGCTTCATGACGGCCGTAGTTATATATTCAGTGACGATTTGGGTAGCGTAAGTGCTGTTGAGGATATTGGTGAACAAGTCTATGATATCACCCTCGCGAACTTCCTTGACCAGCTCCTCCTCTTCATATTGACCCCCTTGTAACAGACCATCTCCATATTCACCAATAACCCAAGCAGCAGCAAGTGTCAGGCCTTCCTGAGTTATGTCGGATTTCAAAGACGAGTACAGCTTCTGCACAGCATACGTTTGTAAGTCAGGCGTCGTAGCGATAAGACGGACAAACGAGGATAGAATCTGTTCCTTGACGTAACCACCAGCAAGTTTCAACACACGCAGCATAGTATCGACATGCCATCGCTTATTAGGCGCAAATCGATCTGCGGCGATACCGATTTGAGACGTCATTGCAGGCTTGAATTCGTTGTCGGCGACCTCGAGGAAAGCCAAGAGTTCACGAACGAGGACGCGAACATTGCCCTCGTTGATCAATGTGAAGCTCAGGTCGAGCGCTCGTCGACGAATACTGATATCGGGATCGCGCAAGCAGTCAAGGATCGTGTTTCGATGTCTTTGCACTGCATTCGGCTCGACCGCGACCACTTTGATGAGTGTATTGAGCGCAACATATCGGATGTTGTTGTCTTTATTTGCGAGAAATTTACCCAGAATATTGACACCGAGAACTCGCAAGCCAGAGTCGGCTTCTATATCCAGAATGGTAAGGACCGCTTCGTATAGGATTGCATTACCAACATTCTTCGACGATTCGGTATTCGTAGCTACCTGAGCAAGAATATCATTGATGAGCTCGCTGGTGGCAGCGTCTCCTCTTCCTAATACACGTAAGAAACGAAGTATCTTGACCTGCAAGAACGGATCAGTCACGCCAGACACATCATGCTCGGGAGCATATCCTGAAGTGGTCAAGCTCTTGAGGACCTTGACCAGTGGAGCTGCCAAGGGACGGAAGCTTTCAACCACGTCTTCTGGGCCTTCGTCGAATTCCTCGGCATGTTCGCAAAGGTCGATAGCTAATGTCAAGGCGCAAAGTAGGACTCCGTGGTTGCGATCAGATAACAGTATCTTGGCTTTCTCTAAGAAGTGTTCCTGTAAGTCGGGGACTTTTCGGCAGATACGCATGGCACATAGCGCGGCTTTGCGTCGAATGTAGGGATTAGCCGTGGTGATTAATGTTTCGACTTCGGTGAACAAATCGCGAGACATCTCAACAGACGCAATGTTTCCTAACGTGCACAGGGCGAGGCCGACGATATATTGGTTGGAATGATTGAGATCACTTTTCGTCCGTAAGCAGAGACACTCGTGACACAGTATGAATGAGCTCACTTTTTCAGAGAATTGGTCACTAGAGTTAAGACTTCCTGGTTCTCATCCAACAGAAGCATTGTCCCCAAATAACCCAATCGTTTATCGGCGAACCGCGGAGATGCGAGTAGTTTCAGACATTCGATCTGACCGAAATGTGTCCGTTCTCCTAGGGTGAAAAGATATAGCAATTTGGCAACATTGTTTCTCCTATACACCAACGAGGCACATTAGCTCCTGCGCCGTGTCTATAATATTGGCCTTCACTAACCGAACGTTCGAGTCATGGCTTTCCTCTCGAAAGGAGGCCCGGATTGCGGCACTCTCCTTTTGCACGACGGCTCGCTCATCGGCAATTGTCTTTGCGGACCGGACGTTACGGATGAATTGTTTGACTATAGCAGAGCGTTGTCAGTCCTGGACGTTGTCAATACAGATGTGTGGGGACGACTCACGGGAGGTCATCGTGGCCGCTGAGACCCCGTACGGGGTGAGAATAAACACGGATTAATCACCGCTTCGAGAAGCAGGATAGTAATTCAGCGCGGAGATGGAAGGTGGCTGGAAGCGTCTCAAAGCAGCAACGGAGGGTAACCTCCAGATCAATCAGAAAACTGATTTGACAAAGCACGTCGGAGTTCGTTAATGTTGAACGTGGTGTAAGTTGCTGCCCGCCGCACGAGGAGCCTTGTGGCTGACGGAACTTGTCAGCTGTGGCGCTGGTACTGTGGCTGATAGCATATTGACCCTTGACACCTTAGCCTGAATGCCTTAGGGTTACTATGTACATAGTACGTATGTTTAATGCAGAAGTCTTGGCAGCCGCGGCTCATCTCCCAGATCCACTCGTTTGCAGCCTTGCAGCCTCAGGAAGCAACAGGTCCGGAGGAGAGGATGTGCTGTATTTTTATGACATCAAGAACTACATAATGAACGAACGAACCATAAAGCTGCTACAGAACGTACAACATGCCATCAATCTGGCATCTATTAACGAATACGTATACGGATACGGCCGGCCGCGAACACGGCGTTCATCAGAATCAGCACCGAGGCTCGGATTGGCAGTGCCGTTCCGGCTGAAAAATGGTGGCGCTGATCTTCAGACTTCAGATTGATTAGGCGCTGGACGCCTGGAACCACGCCTGGGGTCTAAGGCTCTTGGCGCGCCTTCCCGGGCCTCCCGAGACTCGACACAAACATTAATCTGACGTAACGCCCCTGCCCTGGATGGTTCGCAGCTGAGAAATGCCGAATGAACTCATCCCCGGCACTAAATAGATGAAATATCCACCGACTCCTCAGGCCTGTCGCATGCCTTTTCATCTGTCTGTTACCATAGCTGTCCGTGCATGAGTTATCTACATAACTGCGCTACGCTGACTTGATCTCTTCTTTTGCTCGTGGTCTCGTCCTATCCTTGCGCAAAGTACAGCTTGTTATTATTGCGACCCCTCTCCGACCATGTCGACAACAGCCACATCCAATGGGTCCATGACCTCGCAGGTCTTAAGAGCCAGGGCCATTAAGTCGCTGCAGGCTGCTGATGAGCAGCTCGGGAACACCAATTCTATTTTGGAAAGAGAAAGTATAGATTCTAGGTACATCGTCCACTCTATCTCGCAGTGTCCGGATTGACTGGGTGGTAACTAACAGAGAGCTTCTAGTGGCGCATCGACACCTATTCCAGATGACGCACCACCCTCCGTACGATCCATATCAACTGCGCGCAAACAAGTTCGAGCAAGACGTCGCCTGTTCCATACAATCGATTATGTCCCGCGAGTGTCCCATTTCGACCCCCAAAGCGACTACCATAATTTCCGCGGCTTCTTTACCCTGTTTTGGATCGGATTATTTATAATGGTGGTAACCACGGTCCTGCGCAATATAAAGGATACTGGATATCCGTTGCGAGTCAAAGTCTGGAATTTATTGACGGCTAATGTATGGCAATTGGCGATCAGCGATCTCGCTATGGTAGTCAGTTCGGGCTTCGCATTGCCTTTGCAAAAATTGACTCGCAAGAGTGGAAATCTACTTCGTTGGTACCGAACAGGAATCTTGATTCAAAGTCTATATCAGATTGGGTGGCTCACATTATGGATCAAGTAAATCCATCCTTGTCTTGCACTTAGAAAGCATTAACTAATGCGCGATAGATGGCCATTCATGCTGCATTGGACCTGGACCGCTCAAGTGTTCTTCACACTACATACTCTGACAATCCTGATGAAGGTCCACTCGTATGCCTTCTACAATGGTCACTTGAGCGAGACCGAGCGTCGTCTTTCGGAACTCGACAAACCGGGCCAGGGCTCAATGGCGGCTGCTGTGCGATACCCAAGCTCTCCGGCACGAGCGGAAACCATGAACGGTACCTTCAATTTCAAACAAGAAGAACCGCTGTCTAGATTGCGTGATGATCTGGCGACGGAATTGACTTCTCCTCTGGGCCAGGTGACTTATCCTCAGAACCTCAGTCTCAGCAACTTTGTGGACTTTTTGTTCTGTCCCACGCTTTGTTACGAGATCGAGTATCCCCGTACGCCGACTATACGTTGGACGGAGGTGTTCTTCAAGACACTGGCTGTGTTTGGCTGTATCTTTCTTTTGACGCTTACCAGCGAGGAGTTCATCGTTCCGGTCTTAAACGAAGCCAGCATTAGTCTCGCTAGCGTCAACACCTGGTCAGACCAAGCTCTCATCCTAGCTGAAACCACCAGCATGTTACTCTTCCCTTTTATGATCACATTCCTCCTGGTGTTCCTAGTCATCTTTGAATACCTCCTCGGCGCATTCGCAGAAATAACTCGCTTTGCCGACCGACGCTTCTACTCCGACTGGTGGAACTCATGCGACTGGCTAGAATTTTCCCGAGAATGGAACATCCCCGTCCATCACTTTTTGCGCCGACATGTCTATTTCTCGTCAAAGTCATATTTCTCTGCCCCTGTGGCTATGTTTATTACTTTTCTAGTTAGTGCGCTCGCACATGAGCTTGTCATGAGCTGTATCACGAAGAAGTTGAGAGGATACGGGTTTTTGCTAATGATGTTGCAATTACCCATTATTGCAATCCAGAGGACGCCGCTGATTCGACAGGCGAAGACTTGGAATGTATGTATACCCTATATTCTCATTAATCTTTGGATGCTAACATCGATCTCTACAGAACATTGTATTCTGGTTCTCGATGATCCTTGGCCTTTCAATGGTACGTTTTCATTAAGTCCCTGTTTTATATCTTGAATGTCTGACTGACTGCCTCGAACTAGATGTGCGCCCTTTACGTTCTTGTTTAAGCCTGACCAAGGACCAGAACCCCGTTCTTTTCCTTTGATTTCCATCGCCTGCTTTATAGCGAGTTGATGTATCGTAACTGCCCGACTTGTACAGTCTCAATTGTTTGAGAGGCCCTGCATGGTTATGATCTTTTTCCATCAAAGTGATCCATGTATTTATGTTATATATTCATTATACCCATTGTACAAATATGTATATCGTTATGTCGCATGATACTTTTCGCGTGCCTAAGTAAATATTCTGTATGACTATCCATCCATCCATGGATGCGATCAAGGTGAAAAATAACTCAAGACTCCAATATAATAACTCCATATATAAGTACGTGGATATGTATGCAACAAATAGCAGGTAACTTATGCCTAAACCATGGGATGTAATAATATGATAAACGGATGCGTGAGCGATGCAGACAAACTCCATACCTAGGCGTTCCTGCGCCTTAAAATCTTGTAGGACAGAACTCCAGCTCATGATACCCGATGAGTCGAGGTCCAATCTTCTCAAGACATCAAAGACCAACTCAAATATGCTCAATCGGCTCCTCAGGTAGCAGCTCTTCGCGCGCCTCCTCTCTTAGCGAAGGCAAACACGCCTTGAGAGGTGGGCGAATGATATTGTTGAACAAGAACGTGCCATAGACGAGAAGCGCGAAACCCAAAACCTGGAGCCACTTGAATGACTCCCAGCCCAGACCGAGCGAAACGAGCCAGATGAAAAGTGTACGAGATGTGTCGATTGTGCTGCGAGAGGTTGCCGAGACGGTTCTCGTGACGGAGAGGCCAAAGAAGTTGAAGCCACTGTACTGATTAGTATTTAAAATGGATAATCAAAAAGAAAGTAGAATGACTCACCCAATGCTAATCATAATCAAAAGACTGGACATGGCAATAGCCCGGTTGTGGGTGACCTGTCTCCAGCCCTCCTTCAAATCGAAATATCCGTATCGACCAGCCTCGGTCGATCCAATCGTCAAATGCAAGAAAATCATACCAATCACTGTAACCGAAAGTCCAAAGAGACCCTCCCATCCAACAACATTCAAGGGGTCCATGGCATAATTCTCTAGGACCCATTCCTCAAGCACAAACTGTGTAGCAGTGAATATCTGCGCAGCGGCAATAAGCAAAACACCAATAATGACTCGGACGGCTTCCGGGGTGCGAGCTGCGGCATCCACGTCTCTTGCGAGTTTAAGCATGGAGTCACTGACGCCGCTATCGGGATCGTGGCCCTGATCATGTCCGAAAAGCGCACCAGACAAACCGACAATTGCCACGCCCAGCACAACAATCACCAACGCAAACCACTGGTACAAGTACAACTTGCGACGCAAGAACAACACACTAAAGAGGCCCACAAATAACACAAGTGCACCTCGAGTCATTTGGTAAATGCTAGCAGCCACAAACAAAAGCCCGGCATTCATCATTGTTGTACCCAGAATATCGCAGCATGCTGGGGCAGCAAGCATGAGGATTCTCCATCCGTTGAGTACACGGCGGGTCTCGTCGAGAGGTTTTGCGATAGCTGCCTCGGGGATGTGATTGTTTTGATTCGCTCCAGCTTCATTCTCTCCGTCTTCTTCGCCATCATGATACTCGGGGAGATGATCGTCGTCCGGAACGGGGCGATAGCCACCGGCGAATAGAGGCGCGGTCGATGACTTTCGTGATGCCACGAATCGAGTGTGAAGGTAGGATAGCAGGACAACGAGGAAACAGCCTAGTTCGCCGACAAACATTTGTGCCCTGTGACATAAACGTCCTGGTTAGCTCTCTCTTCATGTCATGTAGTGATTGACGACGGTCCGTACGTCTGGATAACGGGCTGCTCGAATAGCTTGTGATGGGCCGGATTGGCCGAGTCGCAGTCTCGAACACATTGCATGTCCTGGTCGCATTCCAGTTAGTTGACCTGTTCTGTAGATGGGCAGAAAGACGTGGATGACGAACCTGGTATTTGTTCAATATGGTATTGCAGACCCCCGTCACCAACATCATGGCGACGAGAAAGGGAATGAATGCTTCCCTCGCCATATTGATAGATTAATATATGAAGCACTCAAAAATAAAAGAGGGCTCTGTAAGTTTGATGAGTCTAGAGAGTGAGCAGACGAGGACTGTATGTGGGTTGAAGGAGGTCCACTGATAAGAAGTACCCCAGGCAGGCGAGTCGTGTAGACGTCAGCAGGTACACGGTGGGTCGGCGGATCCACATACCCCAACCCTACATAGTATTTAGCTCTTATCAGTGAGAGAAGATCTTTCTTACGCATATGAACTAGCAGCACAGCTGTGTTCATGTATTAGCAACCATCTAGAAAAAATCGAGGTGGAATTTTCTAATAGTCATCACAGATGATCATTGATTATTATCATCGCTGTAGAATTGTAATAGGTAACAGCAAATCMCCCTAGCAGTTCGCCATCCATATCAACGCAAATGGTATCCCGCGCATTTGATCCCGTTCTCGCCCAAAAAATAAAAATAAAAAATAAGATCATGATACATGCTCAAACGAGAAATAAACAGAAGGATAATGACAAGAATAAACACAACCGTAGAAAGACTCCTTACCCGAGCAGCTCCTTGGGGAGGGCTTGGGAACCTAGACTTTTGTCTGTCCTTCGACGCCTGAATCCGATTGAAGTAAGAAAAAAGATCAATACACGAAGGTAGAAGAGAAATGTCACATGGATAAAGCCAAAAAGACGAAAGCATGAAATAATCAACTCTCAGACAGCTTGATGCATGATGGCCAAGACTCATCCGACAATTTATCTGTTCCCCGCGATATGCCAAGGTCTGGGGACAGCAGAAGGGTATCATGATACTGAGAATGAAATACCCTTGCCAAGGGGTGCCGCCTCCAGCTCTTTGTTTACAGTCTCCCAATCCATCCATGGGTCGTCATTTGCATTTCCAGAGAACATTGGTCCTGGGTGAGAGAACCAATCAGCAGGCCAAGAGCCATCTTCTTCAACATCTTTAATCTGAATTGCCGAGTCATCCCTGGCCATGTCGCCATCATTTGGTGTCTGCGTGACAAATGCATTACTATCAATGGAGTCCGGCGTATCTTCGTTTTGAGTCGAAAACATGTCTGAGTTGAGGAACATTTCGAAGAATTCCCCTCCTCCCATGCCAGGGAAGCTGTCAGTCATCGGTATATCGAACGTCTCTTGGATAGCATCGAGAGACACCTTGCTATCTGCCCATCCGTCTTTAGCAACCGCATTTTCTGTGATAGGCGGCTGTTCAAGAACGGCCTTCGCTGCCTCCGCCCTAGCACCGGCTTTGGCTTGTTTGGTGGCTGTCGCTTTAGTCGTCTTTGTAGCCTGTAAACGCGGCGTCATTGTGCTGGTGGATGCTGGTGAAATAATCTTGGCTTCTGTCTGACTGACCAAACGACTCATTGGTGTGGCACCACTAATAGCAGGAGTGATGCCTTCAGTTTTAACTTCCTGCTTCACCACCGACGTTTCACTGGGCATTGTCTTCTTATCAACCTCGCCCTCCAAGACCCCTTTGCCTGTTTCTGGTACGCCAAGTGCGACATCCAAACTGTCCACCATGTACTTCAATGGATCAGTGATTTCTTCTTTGACCCTATGTTCATCTTCCACATGCTTGCTCAAAGCAGCTTGCGTCGAAAAGCCCTTGACGTGGTATTCACAGTCAGCAACAGCACACTTGAACAATGAAGCTTTCGCAGCATCCGCTTTTGACGCAGCCTTGGCGGCTGCAGCACCCTGTGCAGCCGAAACCGACGCATGACTCTGCTTTCGACGCTTTGTAGGAGGAATCTTCAACTTGTCTGGAGAGAATCCTCCGGGCCCATAAGCTTGAGGCACGCCTTGAGGAGATGGATCTCCCAATGGGAATGGGGGCTGCGTGGCAGTAGGTGCTGCAGGAACATTTTGATTTTGTGTACGTCGAGCCCGTTTCGCTTCTTCTTCAAGTTGCTGGAGATTGGACGCGTTCAGAGGCGGTTGTCCTCCAGAAGGTGGTATTGGAGGCCTTAGTTTCTGTCCTTGCTGTAGTTGTTGACTCTGGACTTTAGTGATCATCGAAGTGAACATGTTCTTGATGATACCGATAGACCTCTTCAAATAGTCTGGAGCAATAGTAAACTCATCATTTACGGTCCATTCCGTCGATTTGAATTGCTTCATAAGTTGAATTCGCTAGGAACTTTAGGTTAGCACAGGTCAACTTCACTAGATTGCGGTGCCTCTTACCATCGAAAGGAGGGCCTTGACATTCTTCTCTTGATTTGGGAGTTTGATTAGCCACTGAACGAGCGTATCCAATCTTGATAACATGTCAGTGGATTCTCGTAGCTGCTGAGCCATTATTGCCTTATCCTCCGCGGAAATATCCATGGGTCCTGAGTTGGGAATGACCGCTTTGGCCATTTCATTATACCAGTGTTTGAGTTGGTCAGGTAGGGTAGCATTCCAATTCTCCTCTGCCGCAATCTTCGATAACTGAGGACGGGGCTGTCGTTGTTGTTTCATGTGAGCTTCAAGCTGGGACCGTTGAGTAGGAGATAAAGCAGCAAGTTGTTCCCTAGTGAGATTGAGTGGTAGACGTGCAGGAGCAGATGTTGTAGCTGCTTGAGGGGGCGCCTGCGAAGGTGGCTGGGCTTTGGGATTTGGAATCTCAACGACATCATCACTGTGAGGCCGCTTCTTGGAGGTTGATTTGCCAGCAGCTCCACCCTTGGCTCCTTTACCAGCTGACGATGTTGGCTGGACTTTGGCGTTGGTTGGTTGTGGGGTCTGCACTGGCTGAGGAGGAGCTTGAGTTGCTGGAGGTACTGTTTGCTTTGCTGGCATGGGAGTGGGCACCGGTGTCACTTGTGGAGGTTGGGTCTGGTTTAGGTTTTGGATGTTTTGGGCTGGATTCATTTGCTGCATGGCTAGTCCTCTAGCTTGAAGCTGTTGCATCCACATCTTCTGTTTATTCTTCAGGAGAAACGCTTTGAGTTGCTCATCAGGCATATTCTGAGCCTGTGGGCCTAGTCTTTTTCGGGCATTCATGATCTCTTCGGGAGTGATAGTCGGCCCAGGAGGATGGCTTTGTGGTTGCCGTCCCGTAACGTTCTGACCAGGCATGAACGGTTGGTTATTTCCGGGCCAATTTGGCTGCCCAGCTTGTTCATTATTTCGCCCAGATTCACGTTGTTGTGATACGGTGTGCGCAAAATGAAGACGCTGAAGATCCAGTAATTTGGCTGAATCGACGTTGCCAAGGACCTGGGGATTCTGTACAACCCATGCCTTTAATTGACCCCAGGTCTTCACTGTCTTCGGGACGGGGGGGTTCATGTTTGCATTGGAATTAATCATCGACGGGGGGAAGGCCATGCGATCCATTTCTCGGGTCTGTTCAGCATTCATATCGATACTCTGACTCTGAGAACGCATTAGGGCTTGTTGATGTCTTAGCAGCGCCTGTTGTTGTTGCTGTTGCTGCTGTTGCTGCAGCGATAATTGTTGTCCCTGGAGCATTGCATTGTTCTGCACTCCTCCAGCCAGTCCATTGAGTGACTGTTGCATAGGCATCGATGTGCCAATGTTCGGGCCATTGAATTGCCCACCTTGAGGTAGCTGCGGCATATTCGTCTGCATTGACATCTGCTGACTGTTTGCTGCCCGGGCTGCTTGCGCTGCTTGAGCTGCCTGACTGTTTGCTAGAGCACGACGTTGCTGCGCAATCAAAAAGGCATTCAGCTGCTCCGGTGTCATCTGCCCTAATCGCTCTTTGAGGGCCGGAGGAAGGTTTGGGGGTATCTGCGGTCGCATTGCCGGTTGTTGATTGCCAGGTTGCTGCCCGTTCACGCCAAGTTGTCGTGATGGTGGTCGTATTTGTCCCGCTCCCTGCGCTGGAGACATGTTGGGGCCGACTGGGCGATTGAGCATTGGCATGGCTGGACTTTGGTGCGGCATGTTCTGATTCATCTGGTTAGTAGTCTGTCCTCCAGCCTGTGATGACATTGCCATTTTTGCATTATGCGCGGCTTGAGCTCTTGCTTGGGCTTGTGCTTGATTCTGAGCTTGAAACTGCGATGTTTGTTGCATGCCAATTTGCTGGGCACTTTGAGCATTTTGTAGTTGCTGTTGCGCCAAGAATTGTTGCGGGTTGATTGAGCGATTGAGATTTGGCTGTGTGTTCTGCTGTGGCGCCCCCTGTTGAAACAGGCCGGTAGGGTCTGCAAAAGATGGCTGGCTGGACATCGGGGCAGTACTTGCAGGAACGACCAGCTGACCAGCTTCCTGGGAACGGAGCCCGTCCGCTTGCTGCCCTTGAAGGTTCTCGACGTTTATGAATGAAGAAGGATCTAAGCCTTGCTGGTTGTTCATCGGCAATGCGGAGTTCCGCTGCAGGCCCATCATATTTGGAGCCATCTGACGTTGAGCTGCGTTCATCATGGTATCCCCTCCGACCATAGAAGCATTGGGGTCAAGACCTTGGGCGCGAGCAATCTGTTGGCTTCGTCGAGCTTTCATATTTTTCAAGATCTGGAGTCGCATCATCCAAGTCAAAGGGTCTCCATATTTCTGTGAAATCATTTGCTTTTGTTCGGGGCTCATTTTCGACGTCGCTGCGGCTCTCCGCTTCTCGAGGTCATCGGGTGTCATTTTCGACATCATCTGCGCCGCAAGCCGACTGATCTGTTCGAAATCGGGTTGGCTGAGCATACTCAACTCATCTATCACTGGCATCCCTGATGCGAGTCGTTGTTGTCCCATCTGATTCTGCGCAAAAGCTTGCTGCTGCTGCTGTTGCTGAATCATGGTGGGATCATTCATGCCCATGTGCATAGGCATTTGGCCAGGAATAGGCGAGGTCTGCATCGGTCGATTCATCTGAGGTGTGAATTGCGGGGGCATTTGGTTCGGATGGACTACGCTAGGCATGCCCCCATTGGTACCGCCGTGCTGCATTAATCCGCTTTGGTTGTACACGGCTTGTTGTCGCGATCTCGTTTCTTTAATAGCGTGGAGTTTACTGGCACACTCTTTCTCGTACTCGTCCTATCGAGGTACGCGAGAATCGTTAGCATCCTGAACGTATCTAACCCCAAAAAAGAATATTGAAGGAAACAAGCGTTGTCATGGGATCTTACTCGCTGATTGGCTTCACGGAAAGCCTTTTCCTCATACTGCAAAGCTGCCTGGAGTGCGTTCTGGATTTCGATCCGAGGCTGTATAAGTCGAAGGGATGTAATCCTAAAGGAAAAGCAGTCAGTCGAATATGCCGATGTACGCAATATATCGCACAAAGGAAAGACAGCGTGAGCTGACGTACATCTGCAGGATTTTCCCAGCTCGGTCTGGAATGGTGACTTCTGCACGCCATCCGGTGAATGGCCCTTGATTTTGTAGAGCTACAGCGATGTGTCGTTGAACCTGGGCATTCTGAGGGGGTTGCATAGGCCCTTGAGGGTTGGCACCGGTGAGCATGGCTCCAGTGCCCACATTGGAAAAGTTGACTGAATTCATCTCAGAAGCCCTCCCTCAAGACGGGCGACTGTTGGGAGAAAATCCACCACGCTGTCTAATAGCTGACGTCAGCACCATTCGCTGGAATATGGTCGAAAAAATAAGGACAAGTAGTTGTTCGAGTCTTCCGAAGAAAGCGCTGTGTGGGTGGCAAAGTAAGATTTGGTGTCGAGCACGGTTGGCGTTGAGGCTTTGTGTCGTCGTGGTCGTGCTGTAGCGATCGGGTTTGGCAGGGGAAAAACAATCGTACTGATCGTCGTCTGGGATCCGGGGGCCGTGGTGGAGTTAGTGTCAGAGTTAAGTCGACCAGAAACTCTCGCGCAGTCGAGATCGCATTGTAGACGGAAAGTCAAATGCGAAGAACGGGGCGTGAGAGCAGAAGACAATGGAGGGGGGTGCGAATGAGAGCGAGGGCAGGTGAGGATGGATGAGTGAACGAAGGAATGAGTTGGTGGTGATTCTTTTTGGGGCCCGAGTCAGGCTTAGTGCTGAGGGCAGGAGCGTAAGGTTGGGCAAGGGCAATCAGACAGAGGAAGGCGTGGCAGCGTGTGTGATAGGCCGCCAACAGGGGGACAGGGCGGGTCCGGTAGCTAGTGCCTTAGGGCGCTTGCCTGTATTAAGCCTGTAAATTACTGTCCCTGCAACAACAAACAGCTTGTTGGGGACAAACAGAAAAGAAAACGGGTGTTTGTCGGTGGCTGTACTGTTTATGACTATATTGCTGTCTTCAAGTCCTTGTTTGTCATACCAGGCTGCACGTGAAGCGTCGAAAATACAGCATGTCACGAGGTTCCGTGAGCAAGAAGACAACCCGGTCTGCTGTTTTCGTATTCGGGCTATGTACTAGGTACGTATGTAGGCCAGAACAGCAAAAGTGCCTTGGCTTAAACCGTATCCTTTAACAGTTAATAAAATCACATCTCTACTGCCTAGTCCCCCAGTTTCCAGAAAGCACGATCCCAATCGCATACTACGAGACCGGCCTCGGCCCGTACGCTCGGTCGGCCTGGTCAATGAGGAGAACCTACGGGAGGTATATACTATCGTAGTCTTCACTGAGCAACAGGGAAAGCGATTTTTAGAAGGGAGCGGAAAGAAATAGCGACGAGAGGGAAGTTAAACAGCGATGTCGTGTAACCCCGACCCATGGCGGCGATGATCAACAGCTAACTACTGTAAGAGTACCGGCATCCGCCAGAGTCTCAGACCATCCCGTGCCAGTCTGGCTGTTCAACCAATGCGACATTTTCTGACAGTCTCTATGATCCCGGCAATTGTATACTTCCATCTTGCAGCCAAGTCTATTGCGCATCAAGACCAATACACTCAACGTTGACAGCGTAATGGAAGTGGAATCATAGGATGGAAACTGATTAAACTCGGCCCACAGATTGTACAAGCGCCAGTGCTAAGTTAGCCTGATTGGCATGACAGCCACTGAGCGGTCCCATTCCAGACCGTTTGGAACCCACACTAGCTCAGCCTCTGCCCACTTTCTTCTCGGCATAAGAACTTGTGTCGTTGTCCTGTGCTTTCACATGGTAAATATCTTGGTTAATGGGGGAGGAATTAAAAAAAAAAAAAATAGTCGCAAGATGTATCGAGTCATTGACAAATGAGTGAATGAAGTGAAAAGTACGGAGTAAGTGTACGAGGTAGGCAGTACACAGGCATAGGAATTATTACTCCGTATCGCTAGTTCCGCCACTAGAGCACCAGAAAGAGAGCTAGCGTCCAGGGTCAACTGGCTCCTAGCGCCCCCCCCCCGGCCCAACCAGACATCGACGTGCACCTCCTTCTTGTCCAGCATTACGATACGTTTATGCGCAGACGTTGAAACGCCCGGTCTGTTCATCGGTTGGAGCCATGGTATTGCGATAACTATGTATCATTGTTTGACAATACCCATCCCAGGGAAAGATTGAGTTCTTTGCGCTGGCCAGGTCAAGCTCGGCAACAGACACCCGGAAACGGCTAGGATTAGTTGTTTGCATGTAGATACCGATCGGCGCATTGGCTTACGTTCCTGGCTATTTGTTCTTCTACGGAATGAGATGAGTGAGGATGGAACTAGGTGTGGTGGTGGTATCACCAGCAAGATTCCATACGTCGAGGACGGTGCTGATCAATCTGACTATGTACCTGGATCGAGGATAATGAGCCACAGCACTCTCCATATTTATATGAATTTCATACGGACTCATGAATAATAGCTGTAAAATGATATCAACATGATGATATTTGTTCATTATAGCCGGGTTATTGTACTTCCATGTCTCGAGCAATAATCGAGAGGTTGAACAACAGCCAATACGAGACAAGTATAAGTATATGCGGATGGTTTGACTTTCGGGGTTTTAAGATGCAAATTTAAAAAAGTCTTCAGTTAGCCGAACTACTTAGTATCCACTGGGTATCTGACTTTCGGAGTGCCTAGTTAGTAAGGACTGTTACGTATCCGCACTCCATGGAGACTGTGGAACGATCGATCTCTTGTCAGCCGCGATAACTTACTATGTATGATTCTTATCCCGGGAGACAGGCCCATCACGTGATTATTGTAGATCGATATCCATCGCTTCCTTGGCAGCCTTTATCTTCCATTCCTCCATCAACAACTCCTCTCCTCAATTTCGATATCCAGCATTTTGCCGCTTTCCAGGACTTCGAATCCTCGCTCGGTCATTTTCAACATGAATAAAGTTTGCGTTGTTACTTTCCCACCGAATAAATAGACATGGTATCTCTTGAGTCGGCGTATGCCACCATGGCAACGTCATCCGCAACCCCTATCGGCTCAACAGTCTTTCTCTCTCTTTCCTTTGTCACTATTTGTTTGCTCGCGCTATTATTACTACGACGTTTCTTGACACTTCGCGCAACCCCCGCATATATAACTGTCCCGGTCTTTCTGGCTTTGGTTCTTCCCGCCAGCGTCGTCCTTCTCGTTCCGGTAGATTTGACATCAAGCTCACGAGAGAAGGGACAAGGCACAAATGGAGTCTGGCTACCGAGTCACGCCGTCTTGGTACTATGGCGTATAACGTACTGGTTGATCTTCTGCTTGACCTGGTTTGTCTCCTGTTACTTCCTGCAAAAAAAATACTGACAAGTTCCGTCTTTTCCGAAACAGGCTTATTCTGCCTCTATTAGCTGATTTCGTCGACTCGGGGTATCGTGACCCAAAAAGCCGGCTGATGTACTCTTTGCGCTCTAATGCTCGATACCAACTCACTGTTCTCTGCTGCGGCATCGTCGGTCTGATCTATATTTCCATCCAGAACGGATTCGATTTCACTTCCATCAAATCGCTGGTCATGGCACTCGCTTACGTGTGGGGTTTAGTTCTGGCTATTTACTTGATGGGTCATGGTCTTGTCTCCATTCCTCGATCTTTTTTTCGAAAAGCCAACAATGCCGAGGCTCTACGAAGGATTCAGGCACACGCCCCTAAAATCCATGACCGTCTGACTGATGCTGTAGCCGAACTAGAGGAAGTCGAGGCCCAAGTGGCCCAGCTACAGAAGAGAAAGACTGGCACGGCACGCATGTTCGAGGATTGGATTGAAGAACTTGCCGACTATACAAATATACCAGACTCGCGTCCCGCAGCTCTCCACTCGCTTGCGGAACCTACCGTGATTCCGGCGGTTATCACAGAACGATACTTGGCAGGTTTATCGCGACGACTACAGCGTGCACGGCACCAGAAGGCGCGGTTTGTCGACGAATGGGACCGCCTCGTCCGCTTAGCCGCCGATTATCAGACAATTCTAAACTCTACAGCGTCAAAGAAGCTTGATTTCGGTCCTGTGGGTGGCTCTGAGGCTGGGTCCTCCTCGCGTAGGATTGGACTTGTTACCCCGTATATGCGATATGTTATATATGTGCGTGTACTTCCAGGCCTAAGGCTTGTCCTGGGAGCGGTCTTTGCCGCCGCCTCTTTCTGTGTCGTCTGGTCTGAGGTTGTCAAGGCACTGGCCCCGAAACTGTGCCTTATCAGCCTAAGCTTGGTACCAAATTCGGACAAAGCCCAGGTTGGATTGGGAGGCCAGTTGATAGCCTCCATGTGGCTATTGTACATGTGTACTGCTGCCCTCAAAGGCGTCAATGATGCTCAGGTCTGGGGTAACCGAGCCCTAGTACGACGCAACACGTATGGTGAGAGTGCCTGCTGGTATGCGGGACAGGTCGCAAAGTTGACCGTTCCACTGGCATATAATTTCCTTACATTTTTACCCAGCGAGCTACGCCATGATACAACGTTCTACCAATTTCTCGGGCAATACATCAATCTCACACCTTTGGGCAAAGGCTTTGATTACTTCCCAGTCTTCCTACTTATTCCAGTCTGTGCCACTATGTTCAACTTGTATGGTCGGATCAAAAAGGTTTTCGGATTCGGTTTTGTAGATGACGAAGAAGATCCCGAAGCGGACCCTGGCGGTTTTGGGACGGGAGGCTGGCGTGAAGGACGTGCTTTAATCGAGCGCGAACTGGTTGGTCTAGGATCTCTAGGCTTGGCTTCGAGATCTGTTGACGCTGGGCGCGCTGCCGGTCTCGCTTCTTCCTCCTCTTCCACCTCACTCAACATTTCGCGCGCAGCTTCTCCACAACCCGGATGGTCCTCTTCATCAAGCGTACCAAAAACCTCGTCTCGGGTTCCATTAATTGGGTCATCATCGTCAGCAAATGCGATCACTCCCGCTACTGTCATTGATGACGGCGTTGCCGAAGAAGACAACATCTTCCAATCATTCGCGCACCGCGTCCGAAACACTATCGACACGGCATCCACCCCACGATGGTTACAAGGCGGCTTCCCAAATATCAGCACGCCGAAATGGCTAAATTCGGATCGGGCAGACTCGGGTGCCAACAATGGCTCTAGCCAGGGAGGTAACAAGATATTTGGAGGTTTATTTGGACAACGGTCCTCAGACGGACATGTGCGGCTGTGAGTCGCTCGATAACGGCTTGATTTGCAATGGCATGGCGAAAGGCGTTGTCGCTTTCTTTTCCTCGCTGGTTTTTGTACATATACATATTAATGTGCGATGCTTACCCGACTGTAGAATAGGTTATTAGAGTACATAATTCCTCAGCGCAAGTCAGACTTGCTGGATACGATTGTGCTACGTGTCTGCCTGGTTCCAGGCAGGTACTTAAGTATGTAACAGTATGCTTAATTCAGGCGTCCTATTAACCCCACTTGACCAAGCAGCCATGTGGACATTGATCAGCTAGCTGAGAATGTATCATAACCTATCATGTACGTACGTACATACGTTCCCTCAAGAAAAAATATGGAGGGTTCTCGTTCTGACCATCAACGTCCACACACTCTTGTATCTGTGGGTCGACCTATCGCGCTTAACTTTCCGCCCGCTTTGAGCTTGCCGCGAGACGCCACCGGGCCAGAACTTCTGCCTGTCATGTCATTCGCTCCCAAGACATCTTTCAGCTCACGATTCCTCYCCCCGCCTCTTCTTCTTTTTCGCATCCTTCTTTCTTCACACCCCGCTTTCCTCTTACACTATTTTCTTTCCTTCTCACCTTGTACGACGACGGTGCAGAGGCTTCCATGACTCTGCTGCCGGACTGGCCCGTGACTCTGTCCTCCCTGGGTGAGGCTTCAATCTCGTACCCGCAGCAGGTCATTCGTCGACTGTCTTCTTTAACCCAAGGATCTTCTTCATCCCTCGGAACAACAAGCGGAGGAAAAGACAGCTTGTCTTTGTTTATCGACAATCTACTCGCAAATCCTACCTCCCCGCTCACGATCGCCGCACTCTCCTTAACGGCCATCGTTGGAATTATCACAATCGTCGCAATGAGTTGGCGGGACACCTTTGGATTTTTTCGGCGCGCGTCATCTTACGGTCATGATGTGCCAGCTGCACCGCCCCAAGTGAGCGACAGTGATTACTCGTATCTAACGAGTGACGATATCGTTGAACCTCCTCGATCTTATCAACAATCTCACCATGACGGACGACGAGTAGTACGAAGGGACGCTAATCGTTTAGAAGACGAGTCGCCGGATATTTTACTACTCAAACATCGAGGGGTGACTTATCCTCTACATTTCACACCATTTGCTATTGACGACGGCGATCTCACTATTGGAGAGATTCGACGTCTCGCAGCCGAGAAGACAGGAACAGCCGATGTGAAACGAATCAGAATACTCTACAAGGGTAAATTGTTACGAGATGATGCAAAACCATGCAAGGACGAAGGTCTCCGACAAAACTCGGAAGTCATGTGCGTCGTGTCCGAGGTACGGCCCGGTGAAAGTAACAGCAGTTTTTCCGGCAGCGAAGGAGGGAGTCGGAGCGAAGCTTTGAGCCTGGATAGCCGTAGCAATCAAAGCCCGCCGTCGGGTGGCGGGGGTAAAAAGAAGAAGGGCAACAAGAAGGGAAAGAAGAAGCAGCAGCATCTCGCACCCGAACCGACAATTGCTGAGACCAGACCGCCGCCCTCAAAGGATAATCTCGCTCCCCCGTCAGATATACGCCCTTCATCAGCTGGGCGTTCCTCGGCGGCGCCCCCGCCAGCCCCAAGTCTACAGCAATTCGCCACCCCGAACGAAAGAGTAGATGCGCTACTTCGATATCTACGCACAGAGCTGGCACCGTTGTGTGAAAAGCACTTTTCGTATCCACCTACGGATCCTAAGGCGCGCAGCTATGAACATAAACTCCTCAACGAAACGATCTTGTCTCAAGTCATTCTCAAAGCGGACAGTATCGATTCCGAGGATGCTCGACCGGCTCGTCGAGCGCTGATAAAAGAGGCACAGGGGCTGTTAAACAAGCTAGATGCGCTTGCACCTCAGAGCTCATAATTGCATGTCTTTCTTTTTTATTTTCGATGTCATGATCACATTTGAGCAGGGGAAATTAGACACTTTCTGGAACAGTCGAGTTTATTGCTTTGGTCTTTTGAGATGGGAAGGGTCATGCCATTCTTGTTGTGACTATCTCGGGTTCTCTTTTCTGGATATATTATGCTCTCATCGTTTATTCCTTGGCATAGAAAAGGCGATCATTACCATTGCTGGGGAGGAAATCAAAAGGAGGACTCTCGTCACCCGCTCATCCATTGGCTTATCCACTGTCGTATCTACATGAGTGAATCCCCTAACAAACAACGCACACGATTGTAATTGTATTGATCTGGGCCACAGCGTCTTCGTTACAGACTAAGCCCGTCGCGAATTAAAGTGTACCCCGTGATACGGACTATTACCTACTAAGTCACTAGTTAAGGGGCATTAGTCCATATTGGAACAAAGCTAAGCTCCAGCCACGAGCAGCCAGCCAGTCAAATGAGATTAATCTACAAATTGCCTTAATCACCAGTTCTAGCCCAAGTCCAGTCAAATCTTGCAACTCGTTGGAACAAAACAAGGAGTGAAAATCAACAGAAACCGAGATGAGAAAGAGGAAGGTGTAAGTGTGCTATAGTCAAGATACATGTAGTTAGCAGCACAGACACTGTCAGTGCCCCGTATAATGATATTACGTAGCAGCAAAATCAGAGATGGTAACCAGGTACCGTATCGTACTGTATGGTACGCCGCTCTTTCTCCCTGTCCCGCAGCCAGTTCGAGCCGGCTCTTTCTAAGCTTCTTTCTCTCGGTCAGTCTCGACAAACTTCCTCCCCAAACCTGCGCGTGCAATTGCAAAAACAGCTCGCTGCTTTTCAACTCTAATGAAGCATTCTCTTCTCTTCTTGCCCACCCCGCCTGCTTACTCATTCCATCTTTTTTGTTTTCTGATATATCACTCCCATCAATCTGCGGGTATTGGACCTCACGTAATAACGTTCACCTGTCTCAACTAATCACCTCCTGACCTGTCTCATTGTCTTGCAGCTCTTGCCCTGCGCCTTGCATCTTTTGTCTTTGTTGCTGTCGCCTCACGACAAATACAGCACGTTATTTATTATTCACTCCTCTTCGACTCAAGCGCGAAAGTCCCCTCATTCGGTTTCATTTCCTTCTCTTGTCATACCTCTCCTTTGTCGATTATTCATCTCCTCCGACTTTACTCAGCAAATTGTCCGAGCAATTGCGACTTGCAACATCCCCAATTTCGAATAAATCATCTTTTTAACTCGGCCGAAGATTCTTGCGAGATATACTTCTGGTCAAAAATGTCATTGTGACCCCAGTTCAAGAGATCGACTGCGGCTTCTGGTCACATCTGTCACTTCCGCTCTCAACCGTCGACACCACTTAGTCCATCACAATTGCCATTCACACTGCGACCGTTTCAGAACAACAATATCGAATGATATAAACGAGCAACAAAATAAACAGTTGGAGAGATCAACAACTATCCCTTCCCGAACCAGAACCGAGAAAAGGCTTGGTTCGGTTGTCTCCACCTCCCGCGGCCTATTTCTTTTGCAAAACACGAGGACGATTGTACCAGTATTCAATCCGTGGAGGACATCTAGCTGCGTCTAGACACTCAGGCAGCGGTGTGATACACAGTATCCAGGGTACTAGTAACATCGCTTTGCCTGATGTCTTTGTGCCCTGGCTGGAAGTCGTCACCTTGGAACTCGTTTTAAGGTATCTTGAATAGCGTTTAGGGGTTGGTGGGGCAAGACCAAGTACTATCCAAGTCTTTTACCAACCACCGACTCACTAGGTGCTATGTGTTGATGAGAAGGTCGACAGCTAGAAAATAGACGAAAAAGAAATCCCAATTTCGCACTTGCAGACTTCATCAGAAAGGGGGTGCAGTCTGTCAGGTTTCAGAGGATATATTAGGGGAAATCCTCTATTTTGTTGGGATGGCTGGTACTGCCACTGCTATATCCTCCACAGATGCTTTGACATCCCCTCCAAATCTCACCACGGCATGGGACCTAGCTGTTCCGTTAGGATCAGAGGTGAGTGGTTCTCTGCCATTCTTGAAAGCTGCATTGAACCCAGTCTTTGATTCCTCTCGTTCAAAGCACCACTTTCAATCAAGACAACTGCTAACCACCGCGTCTGCAGGCCGACACTATAACGCCGAAACGTACGTCTAATGAATCCAGTTCTCTCTACAATAAACCCAATTATCGTCACCGGACACCGAATGGCAATCCTCGTTCTCGCACCTCATCGCAAACCGGCTCAAGGCGGGGAAGTAACGCACATGACACTTATGGACGTGAAATTGGACCCATGACTAAAGAAATGGCGGACTCTTACAGTAATGGCCATGTTTGGAAGGGTGACCAGCCTGGTAAGGCATCCGTGGACACCGACGGTCCACCGAACGACGACAACTGGATCCACCGAGATAAGTTGGCACGGATAGAGAGCCAGGAGCTACAACAAGCGGCCATGCGCATTCAACGGCAGGTGCGTACGGGCAGTAAATCAAGCAGCATGCGTGGTCGTAGCCACGATACACAGAGTCTGAACGGAACCGTTGCCACACCTCCAGAGCAGACAGAATCCTGGCCTGGTTTACAGAGACAACAACTAGAATCACCAATACCATTCGAAGACTCCGATGAGCAAGAAATCGAAAGCGAAAGGGTGAATTGGGATTTACGACGACCTGAGGAAATTGCTGCGTCATCTTTTGAAGGAAACGACGATGCGTCATCAAAATTCTACAAAAGCCCGGCCCTGAAGAAGAGTTCTTCACGAATCCCCGTTTTAGCTTCTAGCCCTCATCAGGCCTCGGATTCAAATGATCGTGAGTCCTCCAATCAGCGCATTCGCACTCGCACCGTAAGCAGTGGAGATGAAGATGGCGTATCCCATATCCCGAGTCGCAGAGCCAGTGAATCAGCAGTAATTGACACCCCTGAAGCCTCTCCCGAGCCAGGCTATAGTACGACGCCTCCACTATCCACTAGCCGGCCCAACAGTCGCGGCGGGATGCTTTCGCAAGTGCAGTCGTCTCCTACGAAGAAAGCGCCTACCAAAGGCACCTCTACCGCTCGAAAGTCGTCCGCTCCGCCCAATAATCGCAAACCCTCGGCCTCAGTCAAACCGAGAGCCACTTCTGGAAGTAGCACAAAAGACCGACCTGTTACGCGATCTGGAGATAATCGTCCATCGACATCTGCAAACCGTCCTGAAGGTGATCCACCTTGGTTGGCTACTATGTACAAACCGGATCCTCGTTTACCGCCCGATCAACAAATGCTACCAACGCATGCAAAGAAAATGCAACAAGAGCAATGGGAGAAAGAGGGCAAGACCCCGACAGCCTATGACCGTGAATTCGCGCCATTGGCTGTCCGTCCAGATGAGCCAGTGTCAGTGCCTACTACAGAGATGAAAAATGAAGCTGCGACTACCGATGGGGACAATCTTGCAGCAGATTCAGGATCTCCGTGGCCTCTTCAACCTCCAAGGAGCCCTGAACCTACACGTCCGGGAACAAGCGGAACCAACTATAGTACTATGCCAAAAGTACAAACAGCGCCACAAATTGCGTTGCCAACACCCCAGAGAGTGCAACAGAACTTGCCACCTTCGCCGCAGGAAGATGAGAAGGTGGAAAAGGGTTGCGGGTGTTGTATTGTGATGTGAAACCATTATTTTTTAGCCGTTGCTTTCTACTTTTGATAACTTCTTTCCTTCCTTTGAGTTCAAATACCCAGGGTTCTCTACGAATCCACTCTGAATTACTATTATATTGTTATTTTTTGGGCCAAGGTGCTCTCCCTGCACAGATGTTGTTTATTTGAAGCTGTTTTCTTAATCCTTTTCCAATTGATCGCTCTGTTTCTCTCTCTCTCTCTCTCTCTCTCTCTCTCTCTCTCTCTCTCTCTTAGCGACTCTGTTATTTCAAATACAAATATTGCCAAAGTTATGTTCTATCCGGTTGTTTTTCCGGCGTCTACAGTGTTCCTCTGTTTGTTGTATCTTTCTCTTCGGCTTTGATATGTTCTCGATCTTGTCCACGTGAGGACAAGTCTGCATTGCTCCCAAATTGTTAGGTCTGCTACTTGAGCACTAACTTAAGCCATCATTTTACATTACTTTCTCTGTCGATCTAGGTAGGTAGTTCCGTAGGCACTGTTGATTAAAACAGATACACATACAAGCATGGAACATKACGATTTTCATAGATCGTATTTTAGATCAGCCAATCAAATGAAAGATTTGCATCTACTTAGTCATCAAGGCAACCGACAATCCAGACTCGCCATCTTCGTCATTATCTGACTAATTCTAGATTGCGACTTTATCCTGACAAATTGTCAACTTTCCGTCGCGATTCCTGTCATCATCATCTTCTATTTCTTCACATTATCAAGCAAGCATACATAGCACGAAGAAGGTACGAGAAAGAGTTCCCCCCGTCCTCCCGATCGCAACAAAGTGCAGATATATATAACCCACCCCTCCCTCAAGTTCCCCTCATTTCTATACATCAACTTTCCTCGATAAACACAGTCGCACTACGACTAACATTACCACTGTGTACAGGACGCCGCATTAGTCCTTCTATCAAATCTATTCAGCCCACCATTTCAGCCCTTTTCTCCAGACTTTTCGGCAGCTTAGCCGCTCGCCCTATATCTCCCGGTACCATGTCTGCTGCCAAGATCAAGGCTCAGAGCATCATTGATGAGAACAAAGTTGGTACGTTTACTGTCTCTCGTTATATCGCTGCATTGAGTGTGTCGCTGACTGGCCTTGTTGTGAAGTCGTGTTTTCGAAGTCCTATTGCCCGTACTGCAAGTCAACAAAGTCGCTTTTGACCGGTCTCGGTGCGCCTTACTACGTTCTTGAGTTGGATCAAGTCGGTAAGTCATTCCACGACACACATCTTCAGGGGCAGGAAAGTCGAAACTAATTCTCGTTACTATAGACGACGGCGCCGCTATTCAAGACGCTCTCGAAGAAATCACCAGCCAACGCTCCGTTCCCAACATCTTCATCAACAAGGAGCACATTGGAGGAAATTCCGACCTCCAGGCTCGCAAGAACGAGCTACCTCAGTTGCTGAAGGATGCTGGTGCTTTGTAAAATGAGTTGTTCATACATACTACGTCGATCTTCGTCTCCCAAGTATCTTATCATGTTTAATTAGTCGAGAGATCGAATGCGAATATGATCTAGTTGATATTGGCAATTGATATTTGAGAGCCCTGATTACATATATACATAATTTTCATCCTATCTTACAACTTCGTAACCGTAGCTAAAGCAGGCGAAGTGGAGAGATTCGTCGCAACGGGAGTGATCAGATAACCTTCTGTGTGACGGTCCCAACAGGTCTCTCCACAATCCCCATGGTGCCTTCCACGATACTCTGTCTCGCAGGCTCGCTCGCAACCTGCTTGCCTGCAAGATAATTTAACCATACGCAACGACTGACCCTCTCATCAGCAACCCGACCAAGCCACTGGATAGGCTCCTTGGGATCCCGCTGGAAAAGCGCATCGAGAGCACCCTGTTGATCACGCAACAATAGAAGAACCTGTCCTTTGGGGATGTTCTTGCGAGATCCGCCGCCGAGCAGGGTCTTAAATTCGCTGACTGACTGGCCAAAAGTCTCGTCATCGAATTCGCTGCGCAAAGGCACAGGCTGATCGCCCTTTGTTTTTGCGAGCTCCTTAATTCTGGCTGATTCTTTCTGTGCGCGGTTCGTCATATGTCGCACCCAGGCATCACGCAAATGCATGAAATCTGTATTGCGTGTCGGCACAATACGGATCGCAGTGCGGATGTTACCCTCCTTCAGTATCGATGTCCATGCCGCCTCGCCAAGTTCCGGGTCAAGCAAGAGCTTCTTCAATGCATCTCGTTCCGTAGATACAAGAGACGTTGCAGCAGCCGCCGCACCCACGGTGCCAGGCTGATCAGCCCCAATAGCGGGAGCCTGTACTCCGGTGTGCACCAATCGTCGCTGAAGGGTTCCGATATCTGACTTGGCCACATACACGCCGACAACATATACCTGGATTGACAGGAACGAGACAGACCGTATACCGAATCCGAGCAATTGATATTCCTCTTCGGATTCAGGCGCGATAGGCAAATCTTGACCGGGGGTTAATCGTGTATCGCTCATAGACTTGGGAAGTCTGATGGTTGTCGGAAATAGTGGCACGGAGCTATTTCCCGTCTCGACCTGCTCGGCGCCGTCTTGACCTTGGATACGGATCACGGATGGGCTGCTGGGGAATTCAGACGGTCCATCAAGCTTGATATTGCCATTGTTCAGATTGTTTGGATTTGGTTCCCCTTCTTTTTTTGCTGCGTCCTCCGGTAATCCGAAAGAATTGCTCTTGACCATCCCGTACATCGTTGCACCGCATAGGACGATACCGGCGGCGGAGAGCGCCATGCGGCGTCTGTAGTGCGCGATGGCAGCTTCAGGTTGGGCTTGATTGGGCTTTCGTGCGGATGATCGAAGGGGGTTAACTTCTCCGACTGGTTTACTTGAGGCGCGCAAGTTGGGACCGGTGGACACTTGACGCGATGCTCGATTTGCTGTCCGTTGAATCAGGCGCGGACGTACCTGCACCTGGCGTAGGCATTGTCGACAGGCAGTTGGTGGCAGCATTCTGGCTTATTTTGGGAACTTGCTCTTTTGCTCACCTTGATCATTTGTTCCTCACTTGATGCTTTCACTCGGAAGATGACGACACGCCGAAGATCAGTGGACATCACGTGATTCGTCACGATCATCCAGGAACCCCTTCTTTTGTTGCAGGAATATTTAACTAATTAAAGATATCAGGGGAGATTGAAGCAGTAATTAGAATTCGTCCCTTGAATGTTTGCGCAATTCATGTATTTACGTAGTTAAGCAACAATTCATTGGGGTATCATATAACAGTTTAGCCAGTCTCAAATCTTATCCTCGATAATCTCCATCGCCATCATCCCGACCCCTTGTGCTCCTTCGACTCCGCCTGTTATTCGCACCACTTTCCTCGGCAACAGTTGTACTAGCTGCCTCTGTCACTTGAGCTGTGCGCTTCACGCCCACGCTGCGAGCCAATCTTGCCTCAAATTCATCGATCGCTTCCCCCTCAGCAGGAGCATCCCGTCCATAAACCTTTCTGACTAGCCCAGACACTCCACTTTCACCAACTTCAATCTTTCCTCTAGGCCCGACCATGTACTCTATGACCTCCTCTCCGCCATCCATCTCCCTGTTACGGACCAGATAGCCTTCCTTACAGAGCCGCTGTAGTAAGCGATCTGTGCGGTCGATGGGCGTATATTGTTCAATACTGGTTCTTTTTAGGTATCTATCCAGTCTTTGTTCGAGTATGGAGCCGCCTGACAGAGTGATAACGGATATAATGAAAGTGTAGAGTGCTGTATAGGTACTATCGAGGAAGGAAGTAGGCGCTTTTGATGGAGGTAAAATCTCTGGTGTCCGGAACGAGGGAGGTAAGGTGCTCATTACCATCCACGACTTGGAGGCCGTAGATGGCTTTTCAACACGTTGCGCCGCTGGAGTACACAGTCAGTTGTCAATCTAGACATCTGTCATACGAGTAAGTATATGCTTACCCCTGCGCTGAGTGATGGTCACTTTCTCCTTTGCCGGTAATTCAATCATTTGCATGCCAAACCGATGTCGCAAAACCTTCTGAGCCTCGTCAAACACCAACTTGAACTGCCTTGCGCCCTGTTCGCCCAAAATTTTTGCGCTGATCTCGGTTCGTCGAATCGGTAATCGTGCGTACTCGCTGGAGAGTGCCAGTCGCACCATCTTTTTCACCATGACATCTGTACTGCTGGGCGCGCGATGGCCCTCGTCTTCGCTAGCGTCAGAGGCAGACACATTATCTTGAGATTGACGTCGTCTCTGTGTAGGGCGTCCTTCATCGTCTGAGTTTGCGTTATTTTGTTGCTCCGGGTGCTGCACGAATGTTAGATGCAAATGAGTCGCGACGGATCATCTGTCATGAGCACGTACAGCACGACGTTTGCGTCCAGGAGGCATGATTGCAGTATCTAGCGTTGAGAGTACGGTGTTTTTAACGTTTGATCCTAGCCTCTTGCGCCGAAAAATGTTCAAAATATGGATGTAGGAGGAAGATAGATATCGAAGACGCGCGGGACGCGTAAATTAGAAGCTTGAACTTGGTGGGGCAAGCCGCTTTCCTCAAAGGCTTAAATTCCGATTAGCTTCCACTCACATTACAATAACTGTCTCAACTTGCATCAGGCTCATTCTCTCACTGGGAAGAGAAAATTGATTATCTATTGAATATCTCTACGTCAAAATCTATACACATTAACACCCGACAAGGCCATGGACACCACCCGACTCGGTGTATGAGCAGGTACCATTGCCGTATGCCGTCGCGTTCTGGGAGGGGAGAAGTTCGACGTTCTGGAAGTCAATGTTATAGCATGGATGGACATTGGAGCAAGAAACCGAGGCGGAGTGTGAGGCTCCGTTCAAGTATCCTGTAAAGTTGACAAAGGCAATATTCGAGATGGCCATGAGACTGGTCCCTTTGAAAGTGCCATTGTCTCCAGAATCTTGAGTCATGGCGGGACCAGCGCYGGCTCCCYGAATATTGAAATTCGAGAAGAGGATGTTCTCGACTGTACCCCAACCGCCGCCATTTGGTAAGCCGGCACTTTCGTACGAGCTTTGTAGCACTCGGCCGCCCATGTATGTCTTGATGTATGCCGAGTTGTGCATATCCTTATTATAACTGACGATCTGTATGACAGTTAGCATCTGTTACAACGGGGTCGCTTCAGTTCAACATACATTGACATTGTCTATAACCACATTCTTGACCGAAGCATCCTCGAGGTACTGGCCGAGGCTTCCAATGGCAATGCCATTACCACCATGACAGAGTACATTCGAAACACGGACATTGTAAGAGCGTGGTTTGATGGCAACACAGTCGTCTCCACCCTGATACGTGAAACCATTTAATTCGATGTTGTTTGCATCCATGGTATCTATTCTCATTAGCTCAGTCCTTTGTCATACTCGGGCTGGTCATACCAAAACCATCCGTGTTTTGCACCCAATTGCTACCATATGGAGCATTCACGGCAGTTGCATTGCATGTAATGTTGTTGAAGACCATATTTGTGCCATTCATGATGTTTAAGGACCACAGAGGAGGATCCTTGACAGTGAAATCCTCTACAAGAACTTCTGACACATTCCAAAAGACGAAAGGCATCGGTCTTCCAGGCTGCGTGACAGCTTGTTCGACATTATACCAAGCATTACCATTGCCGTAGATTTGCCCCGTTCCGTGTCCCTCGATAGTAATATGGTCTCCAGTCAGGACAAAGCCCGCATGATGGTTTTGGAAGGTAATGGGATAAGAGTGATTGCGCCAGTAGTCGAGGTCATCGGAGAACTGTCGTTGAGTTAGTGCCTGATTTATGCAAAATCGGATGCCTTCACGTACTGTCCATACACCGCGCCAGTCAATTACAACATTACTCACAACAGGATTGAGCCTCGTTGCAATCCAGTAATTTTGGTCCTCTGGAAAGACGATGGTACCATCCTTTCCGCAACGAGAGAACGCCTCCAGGATATTCGGGACATCGTTTCGTTTCCCTCCTAGAGCTGTTACTGTACAGACATTGCCTTTTTGCGATACTCCTCCCTTGGAAGCTGCAGCCGCAAGAGCTGTAGAACAGATTGTAAGAGGTACAAGGTTCCTGAGCCAGTGCATTTTGTTTGCTTGGAAGGCAACAATGCAATTGGTATGAAAGATGTATCCGACTTGCAACAACAGCAGGTTTCAATCATCTATGTCCCATTTATTGATAATTTCTCCTCGACTACAGAGACCAACGACGTAATTGAAAGAAATTGACCCGACCAATAATTTCTCCGTCTGAGTGTACCATTCAACCATTTTCATCTAATTCGGTCTGTATTGACCCGACTACTTCCTGCCGGTAAATAAGCACTTTAATAGGAAGCTGAAATTGGTGATCGATCACGATTCCAATGAGTTCAATTGCGGGGGAAAGAGAACGGGGTTAGTCCGGGGTTGATCGCCTTCTTGAATTTCCTAATTGACGTAGAAACAATTTCCAACGGTTAGATTGCATCCTATGAGAATCCTTCTGGATGTGGCGGCTGCATTAGGGTTTGGGGAAGCACATGGTCTCCCAGTGCAGGATGCCTCAATATTTCCACCAATGACTTGGCGCATCTGCTTCACATTTAACCTGTCCGTCTAAATGTTGAGGTAGCGACATATATTGACCGCGAATTAAAGACTGACATGCTTAACAAGCGTCAGTAGCTTGATTTTAGTGAGCACTGCTCGGGTTATTACTTCGAATATTAGACGGCACTAATTATGGCGAGCTTAATTGAAGCCCTAACCGGGATTTCATATTAAGAGCAACGATTCCACACACAGAATCGTCGAATTTGGAAGTGTAGGCAATTGGAGTTGGAATTTGCTATTACTTGTATTTGAATAACGAATTGACCTTTCAAGCTCGGTATGGTCTTGTTGAGCAAGATTAGCCTCGTCCACGTCTGGACGCTGGCTCTCTCTGCTGCTGCAGAGGCCGGCAGCTGCTGGAGGAACACGACTTGCACAGGTCCTGCTGATACCTCCTTTCCTGGTGCCTGGGAGAAGAACATATATGCTCCTGCTTCACGTCTAGTTCGTCCCCAGAGTATACTCGAAACGTCCGACTCACGGACGGACTTCAAAGTGGGTTCCGGCCACAATGTCCTGAAAGGAAACGGCTCCCAAATTGTTTTTGACTTTGGCATTGAAGTTGGTGGGATTGTCTCAGTAGATTACACAGCATCAGCTGCAGGCTCAGCCCTGAACCTAGCATTCAGCGAGGCTAAGAACTGGATTGGAAAGTTCTCAGACTCTTCAAATGGTGCTTTCAAGCAGGGAGATGGTTACCTCACTTACAACATCACCGAAGCCGGAAAGAGCGTGTACACCATCCCTGACAACAAGCTACGCGGTGGATTCAGATATTTGACCGTCTTCGTCACAGGCAATGCTACTCTAGACGTGAATGATATCACCCTAGAAATAGGCTTCCTTCCGACATGGTCCAACCTACGCGCCTACCAGGGCTACTTCCACAGTAATGACGAGCTACTCAACCGTATATGGTACAGTGGCGCCTACACTATTCAGACCAATATGGTACCTGTGAACACTGGTCGTCAGATCCCCGCAGTGGCCTATGGGTGGGACAACAATGCTACTCTTGGACCTGGTGATACCATCATCGTTGATGGTGCGAAAAGAGATCGAGCCGTTTGGCCGGGAGACATGGGCATTGCAGTTCCTGCAACTTTTGTCAGTATCGGTGATTTGGAAAGTGTAAAGAATGGATTGCAGGTTATGTACAACACTCAGGTATGATTCTTTATGGTTGAATCCCGATGTTAATCATCAGTGCTCACGATTATCTAGGCCTCAACTGGTGCTTTTGCGGAATCAGGTCCACCCCTGAGCCAGAAAGGATCTGACACTTACCACATGTGGTCTATGATTGGAACATATAACTACGTCCTCTTCACGAATGACACGGACTTTCTCCAGCTGAACTGGGCGAAATACCAGCTCGCTATGGATTATATCTACGGGAAGGTTGGTTCCAGCGGCTTGTTGAACGTTACCGGAACCAGAGATTGGGCCCGGTGGCAGCAGGGATTCAACAACTCCGAGGCGCAGATGATGTAAGTAACTTCCATCGAACCGTCTTTGTATTGCCTTAGGATCACTGACAGTATACACAGTCTATACCACACCCTTAACACAGGAGCACAGCTTGCCGATTGGGCTGGCGACACCACCGGCCTGTCCAGCAACTGGACTGAGAGAGCCAAGAATCTGGCAGTCGCTGTCAATGCCGATTGCTTCGATGGTGCGTATGGTGCTTTCAAGGATAACGCGACTGCGACAACTTTACATCCTCAAGATGCCAATAGCATGTCGATTCTATTCGGACTTGTCGATGAGGATCGCGTACAAGGCATTTCTCAGCGTTTGACCGAAAACTGGGCGCCCATCGGAGCCGTTGCCCCAGAGTTGCCGGAAAATATTTCACCATTCATTTCATCGTTTGAAATTCAAGCCCACTTCGTTGCTGGACAACCGGACAGAGCACTGGACTTGATCCGACGTTCTTGGGGCTGGTACATCAACAACCCCAATGGAACAGAGAGTACTGTGATCGAAGGCTATCTCCAAAATGCCACTTTTGAATACCGCAGCAGCCGTGGATACTATTACGATGCTTCATATATCTCCCATGCACATGGCTGGTCAGCTGGACCCACGTCAGCATTGATCAATTACGTTCTTGGTTTGTCTCTCACCGGTCGCGCTGGATCGACATGGCAGTTGGCTCCACAATTCGGTGATTTGACCTCTGTTGAAGGAGGGTTTACATCTTCCTTGGGTCAGTTCCAGGCTTCATGGACTCGAGAGTCTACAAAGTCGTCGTCGTCGTATGAGTTGTCGTTCAAGGTACCTAAAAACACACAAGGTACCGTTGTGCTTCCGCCAGTCAACGGGAAAAAGTCGAAAGTGACATTGAATGGAAAGAATATACAGTGGGGAAGCGATAATACGAGTACAATATCTTTTACGAAGGGAGGCTCTTACAAGATCACCGTTCGCAGCAAGTAATAGGTACAAGCATGGCTGAAAATTACCGGAGGAACAAGGTTCGATTATCTGAACTGCCACCCGAACCCCGGGCCGTAAATTAGATTTAAATATATCTAATAAGCCAATCACACATTTCCAAGCAAATGTTCTAGATAGTCCATCCAATCAGAGTGTACGAATTCTGTTGAAGTCTAAATTGTTATCGCCAGCGGCCAATGTAACTGCAGCCCGCAAAATCGTGTCAAAAGGCGCACTGAAGGAAAACCACGATATATAAAAAAGACCACCGCAGTTCATAAATCTCGTTTTTCTATCCTCAAATAAATTAGCCCACGAAGCCATGGACGCGATACCACCCAGTCAATCACAAAAAAGAAAACCATGGATTGAAACGCCATTGGTTGAATCAGCGGCGCTCTCGAAAGCGGCAGGATGGTAAGCATGATCTGTCTATGAAAATTACCTTAAAAGGAAACTTTGTTGATCTGTCCGACTCTTTTGATATTATAGTCGGATCTTCTTAAAATTAGACTGTTTACAACCTTCTGGTAGTTTCAAGTCAAGGTTCGTCAAGCATCCATCCATGATTTCTATCCGATAGAAATTTCTGACGACTCACAGAGGCATTGGCAACTTGATCCTCTCTCACTTAACTGACCCATCAAACAATGACAAAAAGCTACACTTTTACAGCTCCTCAGGCGGAAACGCCGGCCTCGCAGCCGTAGTCGCTGCACGCGATCTGGGCTGCGCTTGTACAGTCGTTGTACCCCATAGCACGAAGCAGCACACGATTGATAGACTGCGAGCCGCTGGCGCAAACGATGTGCTACAGCATGGAGCTAGCTGKTTTCAAGCCGATACTTTTCTGCGGGAGACTTTCATCGATGCCCCGAAGCAGGAGGAGACTGGCGATGTCAAGAACGTATATGTGCATCCTTTCGATAATCCGGTTATATGGGAAGGACATTCGACTATTATATCTGAGTTAGCTGAGCAACTGCCGGCTCGCGAGGATGGGGACAACACTCAGTTCCCTGCCGATGTTGTCGTATGCAGCGTTGGTGGAGGAGGATTATTCAATGGTATTGTTCGCGGGCTAAGTGATTATAATAAGTCCCACCCAAAGGACGGGCCAAGAGAAAAGAAAGTGGATGTTCTCGCCGTCGAAACGAAAGGAGCAGACTCCTTGGCCTACTCTCTGCAAAATGGAGAGCTGTCATCTCTCGACGCAATCACATCCATTGCAACTACACTAGGTGCGCTATGCGTGGCACCCAAAGCTTTCCAGAATGCAAGTGAGCCACCGGAGGGTGTCAGAGTTACAAGTGTGGTGGTACCCGATGCCGAAGCGGCCAGGGGGGTAGTTACTTTTGCGGATGAGTTGCGCATACTCGTCGAGCCGGCTTGTGGCGTGTCGATAGATGTTGCGCTGGGTGCGAGGTTGAGGGAGGCAATTGCAGAGAGGGAGTTGGGATACGACAGTCGTGTTGTGGTTGTTGTTTGTGGTGGCTCAGCTGTGACTCCTGAGGTCGTAGCTGAGTATCGCACGAAACTTGCCCTAGGTTGGGTCTGATTTACTTCTCAACAGTTGAAATAGATTCGACATAGATAAGCTTTGGGAGAGCTGCTGGATTGAAATGAGTCCAGATGAGGTACATGAAACCCTGCTCGTTTAATATGTACAGAGTAGACTAAGAATAACACGAAGCGCAGCGCATATGAGACCTCTCCTCATGCTCAGCACTGGTTCATGATAAGAATATTGCATCAATAATGAAAACCGCTCTATGTTCGTGAGAGCACATCTCTCTATTCCATTTGCGCAAATCTTGCGAAATCTAGTCGCTATCACTAGCACTGCCGGCATCACCCTCTGCCTCCTCCTCATTAACCTGTATGTTCTCACTCAAGATATACTCAGCCTTCTGAAGAGCTGATTTGATATCCTTATGATCGCCATAGACAAGGTCTGCCGGTTTCTGACCGTGTTTGTTTCGCACTCGGGGGTCGCAGCCAGCCTCGCACATCATTTCAATCATCTCTAAGCCGAGGTTGGGATCTTTCTCGTTGGCGAAGCGGACTGCTACATGAAGAGGAGTATCTTGGTCGATGCGGGTAAGGGGGTCGCATTCGAAGTACTGGATATCGAAGAGAGCGTCCATTACATCGTCTGGGTGAGACAGAGCATAATTAGTGGACTGGACGGAGTTTGAGCAAATCCCTTCTGTATACTTACAGCTGCCGTACATCGCACAGATATGGAGAGCATGGTTGCCCATTCCGTCCTTGACATTATTGAAGAATTCTGCTACCTCCTCGTTTGATTTTTCGGACATGGTATCGAGAACTTGTTCGATGAGATGTTGTTGGTCACGCCGACAAGCCTCGACGACCAATTCACGGGGAGAAGCACCCTAGTCAAATTGAGATATCAGCGGAATGTATGAAAAATTCAATCAATAGTTGGAGCGTGTATACCTCATCGTCTGCCATTGCTCTGCTGCCTGGGATAGGCGAATCTATAACAAGCCGGAACGCAAGGGAAGATGCACTTGCCGAGATCAGAAGCGCGTTCTCTTGCCAATGTCGCTCCCAATCAGAAGAATATATGTATAAAAATAAGATCCGAGCTTGACGCTTTCCGAGAAAATATTGATCGAAGCGAGGATGTCAATTGCGAAGGAGGGGTAGGCGTTTGTATTGCGGTCGAATCGGAAGCTCGATTGGAGGTTGGTACGCACAGGTCCGGATCCAGTCTAAACCGACGATGTATTCAGTAAAAGGATGTCTGGGTTTGCAGCATAGCAGGTATAAGAATGAACTACCTCCACTTACAGGTAACTATCTCAGGCAGTAAACAATATGTCGTCGGTCGGAAGAACCGATTATCCGGTCTTATCGTCGAATTTCCCCGCGCCTAAAAATGCCGCAGCTTAAATAACCGCTAACCCGATACGGACTGCACGGCTTTTTTTGATGCCGTCAAGCTTTGCATCATTTAACGTGCGGCAAGAACCTCATTTACTCGACAGATAGAACAATACGTACACTTTCTGTCGATATGCCTCTGACATGTATGTCCCATGCGCTGCTTTCGCTCACCTTTCATATCTTGCAAAGTACAACGAAGCTGACTGGTTGTTGCTAGTTTGCCCGCACTGCAGCAATGCGCTGACCGTCTCTCGAGCCGACCCTTCGACGGCCTACCCAATGGGTGTTAACCGCTTCCAATGCCGCACTTGCCCGTATCAGTTCGTGATCGATCGTCTGGTAAGCGAGGCCATATTCATCGGGTATCCGGGTACCAGGACAGTATGCTAATAGCTGGATAGTATGTCGAAGAAAAAGTGCTGAAGCAAAAGGAGGTGGAGGTCGTCTTCAATGATGAGGAAATGTTCAAGAATGCCGACAAACTTCCAGGTATGAACCTCTTATCGTCGTCCATTGTTCGATGTCGACAATGCGCAGGCATGAAATGGGTTACTAATGTTCTTTTACTCTGTAGTCCAATGTCCGTCAGATACTTGCAACGGCGAGTACGCCTATTTCTACCAACTACAGATTCGCAGTGCTGATGAACCGATGACTACATTTTTGAGGGTGAGTTTTGGTGTCTGCTTCTGTTTAGACTTGCATGCTGACCCAGTTGTAGTGCACCACCTGCGCCAAAACGTGGAGAGACTAAACGGAGGGACCAAATGAGTTGAAAATATGAGATATACACATTGGACACGCTCTCATCTGATAGAGCTAAGTGATTGATCATTGGAATAGTCTTTTCTACATTTGACTAGCGCGCGGCGTTGAAAAGGTTTTTCTATATACCCCGCATGAGCTATTGGCGTTCAGATTTTACACGACACACAGCATGCATTTACAAATCAATTGGATCACTAGAGTTGAACCTAACGAAATCTCTATCGGAGAGACAGATAAGTGTATCAAACAGGGACCAAAACATAAACTCTAGACCACCTGTGGCAACTTGCAAACGGTGCAAAACACCAAAATTCTACTCAGTTAGTAGTATCGCAGAACAGATCCCTCCAATCACGGTCGGACTGACAAGATGTGTTCTGTGCCAGTTCGAGCTAGTCATCATAAGCGGAGCTCAGGCTGAGCAAGTGGGACTGCAACTGCCACTAAGAAGGCACGACCAGCAGCCTTGACGACAGCGCCGCAGAGTTTTCCCCCTAGCAACGTATATCATAATACGTAGGTACATTTCTGCAGCGGCTACGATAGTGGGTAAGCATTGCTACTGTACTAGTTACTGAGTATACTTACATACTACGTAGTAATGGATCAAACGTTTGAGCCCGAACGACATTGTGGATATCCCAGTTGACGTTGCTGCCCAGTTTGTCTGCAGCACGACCCGATCCAGGAGCAATTGAGCAAGCATGTAGCTTGGACGTAGCTAGAGTCGCATGTTGGCTAAAGCCACTGACACGCTACCTGGTTTTAAAATTTTGCTGCCGCAGAGAGAGGTACTGAAGCAGGGTGAAAATTTGTTGTTCAAAATAGTGGGCCTACCGAGGGGTCGAAGGAGGGGTATTCCTACGCATGTTCAGTATACAGCTTTTTCTGAGTTACACAGGAATAAAGATAATATGGGTAGAGAGGACTGAGCAGAGACGAGCATCATTCACAGATAGAGTAGAAGGGAATGGCCGGTCGGGAGTTACTCGAATTGGAGGCCGCATTACTACAGAATACTCCATAAGTAAAACTTTTTCGGGGCATATCGACGGATCATTGGGCGGGCGCAATCAAGGCAGCCAGCAAGCAGCCCCTCCAAGAAAGGAAAGAGCGAGAGCGAAAATTTTTTTATCAGAGTATCAAAGGAAGGTGGGGCGGGCGTCGTTTGTCGCAGTTGCCTCTCGCTTGCCCCTCCATATAAGACTTTCCCCTCCCCCACCCACACAGTTTTTTCTTCTCTCTTTTCTCTCCTTGTCAGCTTCAGTACGTATAAACCTCCCCCCCATCAACTCTCTCTTTTCCATCCTCCATACTCTTCTTTCTCATCTCTCTTTCATCTACTGACTCTTCTCTGCTCAGCACCTCTACGCATTCGGGCCGTAGTATCTGAGCAATTCCTAGAACTCATCTAGTCATCTCCAAGAAACTACATTAGTTCAAAAAAAAACACACAACCTTCACCATGGGGTACGTTTTTCCATCAGCCTCGTCCTCTCCCACCACTGTTTTCATCATACTGACTGTTCTGCTCTCTCTTACAGTAAGGACGAGCGCACTCACATCAACATCGTCGTCATCGGACACGTCGACTCCGGCAAGTCCACCACCACCGGTCACTTGATCTACAAGTGCGGTGGTATTGACGCTCGTACCATTGAGAAGTTCGAGAAGGTTTGTCAACTCATCCCACTACAATCCAAGAACAAGTCACTGACTTGACCACAGGAAGCCAACGAACTCGGAAAGGGTTCCTTCAAGTATGCCTGGGTTTTGGACAAGCTCAAGGCTGAGCGTGAGCGTGGTATCACCATCGACATTGCTCTCTGGAAGTTCCAGACTGCTAAGTACGAGGTTACCGTCATTGACGCCCCCGGTCACCGTGATTTCATCAAGAACATGATCACTGGTACCTCCCAGGCCGATTGCGCTATTCTCATCATTGCCTCCGGTACTGGTGAGTTCGAGGCTGGTATCTCCAAGGATGGCCAGACTCGTGAGCACGCTCTTTTGGCTTTCACCCTCGGTGTCCGCCAGCTCATTGTTGCCCTCAACAAGATGGACACCTGCAAGTGGTCTCAGGGTGAGTACTCTTGTCTGCTTTTATCATGACCACAATGCTAATATGCTACAGATCGTTACAACGAAATTGTCAAGGAGACTTCCAACTTCATCAAGAAGGTCGGATACAACCCCAAGAACGTTCCTTTCGTTCCCATCTCCGGTTTCAACGGTGACAACATGCTTGAGCCCTCCCCCAACTGCCCCTGGTACAAGGGCTGGGAGAAGGAGACCAAGGGTGGCAAGGTCACTGGTAAGACCCTCCTCGAGGCCATCGACGCCATCGAGCCCCCTACCCGTCCCGCCAACAAGGTCAGTACCTCCTCGATTTTTTGAATCCTTTTTATCAGTTCGGCTTACTGACTGCTTCACAGCCCCTCCGTCTTCCCCTCCAGGATGTTTACAAGATCGGTGGTATTGGAACGGTGCCCGTCGGTCGTGTTGAGACCGGTACCATCGTCCCTGGTATGGTCGTTACCTTGTATGTATCCTGACCAACCCTTCTGGCAATCACATGTATTAACTTAATACTTAGCGCTCCTGCCAACGTCACCACTGAAGTCAAGTCTGTTGAGATGCACCACCAGCAGCTCACTGCCGGTCAGCCCGGTGACAACGTTGGTTTCAACGTGAAGAACGTTTCCGTCAAGGAAATTCGCCGTGGTAACGTCGCTGGTGACAGCAAGAACGACCCCCCTGCCGGTGCTGCTTCCTTCAACGCCCAGGTCATCGTCCTCAACCACCCCGGTCAGGTCGGTGCTGGTTACGCCCCAGTCCTCGATTGCCACACTGCCCACATTGCTTGCAAGTTCTCTGAGCTCCTCGAGAAGATTGACCGCCGTACCGGAAAGTCTGTTGAGGACCACCCCAAGTTCATCAAGTCTGGTGACGCTGCCATCGTCAAGATGATTCCTTCCAAGCCCATGTGTGTCGAGGCTTTCACCGAGTACCCTCCTCTCGGTCGTTTCGCCGTTCGCGAGTAAGTCTTTAATCCCTAACCCATTATAATCCTAACACTAAGCTAACATCCCTAAAGCATGCGACAAACCGTCGCTGTCGGTGTCATCAAGTCTGTTGACAAGTCTGTTGGTGGTACTGGAAAGGTCACCAAGGCTGCCCAGAAGGCCACTGGTAAGAAATAAAAATGTGCACGAATTTGGGTGAAAATCTCATGCGTGAACGAATTATTCCTTTATGATCAGGGCTGGTTCAGCTAGAAAATGGACATATTTTAGACTTGTCTGAAAAATGACTCAATGAGAATTATGATTTCCTTTGTTTCTCAACTTCTCGTATCTTAAACCCATTTGTAGCTTAAAACGAGGAAAATCGACGGATATTTCGGTGTTGTAGTGAAATTTTTTGACATATTCCATATTAGGTTAGTATATCCGTCCTGTCGAATACTGCCACCGCCTTGGAGGCCGCCAAGAATCACCACATCAAAATCGAGACATCAACCCTAAATCAAATTATAGTAGACGAGCTTGTGATAGCGGTCCTGAACAAGCCAAGCTATCGACTGGGCATCAAAAACTCTGGAACCCGTGTTCTAGTACTATGACGGGCAATCGTTTGATCCAGGTATAGGCTCTCCAGTTGTACAGCGCTTTCAGAAAGCTCCCCGAGTCTTTTGCAAGCATGTCACTGTCAATGACATGTCGGGGAGTGCGAAGCTATTGATGCTGTCACAAGGAAGTTTATCTCTATTACAAAGGCTCATACATACAAATGTAAATACCATGTGTCAAGCTTTTGATGGTGGCACTACAAGTATGAAATAATATATGCCTACTTTGCAGAAACTAACTGTAGTCTTCTCTTCCACTCAAAATATCAAAATATGGTATCCCGCTTCGGCAATACCATCATGAGAAATAATGGATTCGTTGCCCTGGATTGGGGTTGTGAGGTCAGCATGTCTCATCGGTCTTTGCTGGGCAATCGTATTGAATATCTTTGTTTTGTCTTCGTTTATGACGGCTTTCACTGGTAGTTTCTCATTGCTACCTTGGTGTGTCACTGATCAAAGCGCGAACCCCAACTTTCAATGAGCTCATGAGTTGAGCGAGTTGATTTTCGGTTCTGCAGCAGTCGATCCAGAATTCCATAATGGCCGTAAATGTACCTACAAGTTAGTATTTTGGTCGATGTCAGTTATCAGGTATCAATCGGACAAAAATATCAAGGCATTGATAGGCAACACTGGTCTCATTGAGTCATGACTTAATGTGTGGATTTCATCACAGTCTGCTAATGCACTCCCCACTAACTAACTAGGATGAAATAGTTAAAGGTATCCTTCACATGCTATAGAGTAGGAAAGAGCTTTGAATTAGCCGTTTCCCAATCCTTGCTTTGTGTTCTGGGATCGGGGTAAACCGACAAAGGTTTTTCAGATCTAATTCGTATTCAAAGCCGGCATTGTCCATCTGTTTGCTAGCCCAATGTTATTTCTGTTGGCATAAATAACCTTTGTGTTGTGTCTGCCATGCGTTTCCGCCTTTGTACAAATTGCTTCATACACAAAGGCAGGTTTTATATTCGATACAACTCTTTGACTAAATTGCTTCATGTTGGAGTTGCAAGAAATTGATATTATTAGATTGGAAGTATTGCTATGTGGCCTACAAGCATAAATAATTAGTGTTTCCCACATCCAGTATAGATATCAGTTAGTATAACAATCAAGCAATATTTCTTCCCTTCTTACAAATTTTCCCACGTCGACGATTTCGTTTGGCCGTTTGATAGGGAGGCGAACTTGTCACACACAATTCTCGCTGATATCTCCCACTGAAGCACACAGTTTGTACTGATCTGAATTTGTTCCATCTTCAACTTTTTGACCTTAAAAACCCATCGCAAATACTCTCTCGGCATGGAGTCGTTCCCAAATTACGAAGCAAGGGTGGCTCTCACAATCAAAAGCTTGAGGACATTAAAGATGAATCGCGACTGGAAAAATACGCTGCAATCATGGAGTGATCAAGACCTGGTGGCACTCGTTTCAAGGTTCACTCCAACTGCAGTCAAGAAGTTGCTCGACAAAGAGCACCCCCCCCCGCATTTAACGAGCTCATGGAAGCCCCATGGACTGGAACAATCGACTTTGGTGTATATGCGAAATTGATTTTCGCTGAAGGGGCCATCGATCCAGAGACGGATAACCACTGGGTGTATGTGGGCTCTGCCACAGCGGTCAATGCAGGACTTGCGGCGAGACAAAAACAACACGACCGGCCATCAGAGGCTGAGTATGTTCACCAACTTCCTTAACATTAGTTTCTCTGTCGCTAACATGTAGCAGAAAACGTAAATCACACCATTTCAGACTCGTGTTTGGCCCAATTAAGCGAAAGACCAAGTTTGTTACGCTTTTCCGCGCGCCAAACCCGACCACCATAAGCGATGAAGACGTGTTTCTACATCGCCAACTTTGCATGGTTGTGGAGGCAGTTTATGCAATTCTGCTCGGTGCAATTTGCCCAAAATTAGATGATCGAATCGACGAGGCATGTGTGTATGGCCTGCCATATGAAGTATTCACATCGAGAGGGGCCTGCAGGCGTCTCTGCTTGGTAGAGCCACAGCGACCAATAAAATACACCTTGCCCGATGCCGAGAAACCCAGCAAGATCAAGAAAGCCGGCAGTAAGGCTCAATTCTGGGCTCAATTCTGGGCTGAGAATAAAAAAATGCTTGATCAAACGTCTGAGGAAGAGGAGGAAGACGAGGAGGATGAGGGAGAGGAGGAAGAGGAAGAAGAAAAAGAAGAGGAAGAGGAAGAGGAAGAAGAAAAAGAAGAGGAAGAGGAAGAGGAAGAAGGAGAAGAGGAAGAAGAGCAAGAGGAGATTGTGGAGGATGATGAGGATGACAAAACGTTGTTAGATCCTCCCATCAAAAAAGCAACGAAGCGCGAGAGTCCCGAACAACGTAACGCCAGACTCGAGTATCTCAGAAACTACTACCATCACAGCACGGCGCTACAGAGAAAAGAACCCCGAGCGAGAAAGGAAAAAGAAGCAACTTGCCCGGCAGAAACCCGAGCAGCGTCAAAAGGCCAGGGATTACTCTCGGAGATATCGCGAGGAGCATGCGGAAGAGATCCAGGCCCGGAAAGATGCCATGACAGAGGAAGAACGGCAAGCGCAGCGGGACAAAAGAGCTGCCCAGCAAAGGGCACGGCGAGCAGAGGAAAGCCGAAAAAATCCCAAGCCAAAGCACATCGTGCCTCTTAGGGTTAAACAAGCGCCGGAACCAAAGGCGCCAAAGGAGGAGAGCTAGTAGCTCGACCCACAATGAGAGAGCCATGCATCAGCAGCGTGTGCAAAGAGCACAAAATGCCTACGATAATGCCAAGGCTGCCAAGGCTGATTCATCGAAGCTTGCTGCCCTTGAACTCAAGTTGGCAACTGCTATGGTCGATCGATTTAATTTGAACCAGGGATATGGGAGTAAGAACTTGGCGTTTGTACCGCGAAAGTATTTCCAGCTCGTCGAAGATCATCGCAACAAACAAACCGCTGAGAAGTCGCTAAACCAAAAACCGAACCTCGAAACCAGTCCTGGAGGCCCCCCAATGCCGATTATTCCAGAAGCAGAGAGGGACCAAAACCCATGATTATAATATTCAACTTTCAAGCATCATTAGCGCGGGAATGATGTACTCAAAAGAGGTTTTCAAAGTATTAAAATAAATCCACAATCTCCAAGTAGATCGGAATAGATTACCTTCTAAAAAAATGGCAGTTCAGAAAGTAATCCACTCTTGGTATAGATATAACGAATTTTGATAAGTACAAGAAGGAAAGGTCAAAAGAGTGAAAGCAATAAAAGAATGATGCTATGTACAATTGTGAAGCGATAGGTACGGGTGACCCCAAGGAATAAAACAGAAAGGGATTTTTATGAAGATTAATTAGTACGGAGGTCGTCCGATACCACCGCTTGTCCTCCTGTGTCCATTGGTCTGGTCGACGACGCTCAAGGTGGCGCTGTTATTTTGCGGTAGGACACCGTCGAGGAGTTTCTCAATATCGAGCCTGACGTTGTTCTCTGTGCCCGTGGAACCCTCTTGCTGTTGCTGTCTCAAACTTGCTGCTTTGTGTAGACTAGTGGTCGATCGAGTTCGCTTGCCGCTTAGTGATCGATTTAATGAGGTTCCGTTACTCTTGCCCTTGATAGAGCCTCCGGAATTGATGTGGTTCGGCGACGACACAGAAGAACGGCCATCCGAGCGCGATGAGTTCTGTCGAGACAAATTGGAGGAGCTGGTATCGGGAAATCCACCTGGGATAACGAGTCCTGAAGGGAGAGGTGGGACTGGCGGGRTAGTATCATTGTCGTAGTTATTAATGCTTGTACTGGAGTGTGAGTGTGAACTTGTGGTGGTTGCAGGGGTGGCTTTCGGTGTCTCCGACCCTTCTCGGACGGATTGCGGTCTACTTTCTGCATCGAAGTCTGACGCAGAAAAGGTTCCACTCACGAAACTTTCGCTACTTGAAGTGTGGACGCTGTTATTGCTTGCATCAAGACGACCTCGTAGCGGACTAGATCGACGGACATTAGAGTTCCCGGTCACCGTCAGCATTCTCTTCAAATCATTGACCCGGATGGTAGAGTCTCTGCTTGATATTCCAGAAGCGCCATCTGCTGCCCGGCTGTTAGAGTGGCGTTGATAGCCCTGAGAGCTAGACGAGCTGCCTGGTCCCGCTCCTGCGGCGGTCTGATTGTTCCGATTGAGGCTGATAGGGGACCCCCCATCATTGGATGTATTATTGCCATATCCGTTGGGGTAATAACTTCCATGACTTCGCCTAGAGGTGCCGTTCCTAGACCCGGCCACGGATGATGCCCTTGCCTTCTCCCGCTCCAACACTGCTATAAAGGATTCTTTCGACCAGGTAGAAAGCATATCTTCCTTGACATCGATGGGTAGGGTTGGCGAAGTTTGGGCACTATCCAGATATCCATTGCCAGTAGTTTGAGAAGTAATATGCTTGCCAGGCGAGCCAGGAGGGCTTTGAGGGGCGGCAAGAAGTGTATTGTAGGCTTCTTCAATTTGCTTGACGAGTTCTCCTACAGCACTAAAAGCACGCAAAGGCTCTTGCAGTCCTGGCCTGTCCAGGGATCCGTTGGCCGATGATGGAATTTGACTCACGGAAAGCGGTGGGAGCTGGACCATCTCGAGCCATGTACCGTTTTTCTGTCGCTTGAATATCTCACCGGTGATCGCAGACCCAAGTTGGGAAGAGCCAAACCCGAACTTGTCAGTCAATGCTGTCAAGTAGCCATACACTAAACTTCCAATGTTGACCTGAGAAGTAGCTGTGGTGAGAGCTTCACTCTGCAGCTTCAAGACCATGGGAAGTCCAAACCGCACAGCATTAACACCAAGTTTATCGATCATCTGAACGAGGAGGACATAAATCACCAAGATGTCTTCCTGTTTGTCCGCATATTCGATAGCCGTTTCATAGAGTGATAGATGCAAAAGTTGAAGGAAAACGAAAGAGGCATGCGTGTGTGTTTTGTCGACCGCTGCCATCGACGCATTTCGTTTATAGCCGTCACTTTCACGTTTGGACTGAGCCCGAGAAAGTCTACCAGACGAGTCTGGAACTTTGAGGTCATTCTTGGTAGTTTCCAGTTCAAGCCAAGATGCAAACGCTTCAGCGTACGCGTTACGAACATGACGATCAGAATCACGTACAAGCCATTGTGTGCCTTCCCAAACTTGTAGACCGACTTTGTTTCGCGACTCAATCTCTGGGCCATTTATTGTCTTTCCCTGATTCGCAACAACTAGAATATCCTTGACGGCTTCAAGTGCCACGACGCGCGAAGCTGCCAAGTAGAAGTAATTTTCGGCCTGTCGTTCGCCAGTCAAGTTCGAAATGTTGTTTGTTGATGCATTAGGCTCTGTAATTATCTTTGATAACGTAGCTGTCGAGACATCTGTAGGAGCTAGAGGTCGGATACGCCTCAAGAGGGTCCGGACCATGTCGGAAATTTGATCAGCGTAGTAGGTATGCGTGGCGAGATCAGCAATGCATTGTTTCAACAGTGATGCTAGCTTCACATGTTCAGCGGTAAGCATAGACTCCTGCTGAACTGCGTCATTTGTGTTTGGATCCATCGATGCCGTCGTATCAATCTGAGTAGGCTGACTTGACTGCAACGGAGCTTGATATAGACGGAGTATGTGCTGAACGAATCCAACTAGCACATCAATCACACTCAGCCCAATCATGTTTACTGGTGATTTCAATAGGGAGTCAATCAATGAAGCCATGACGATCTGTTGGCTTATGGGTTGTCCGTCGGCCGAGATTCCTCGTAATATCTCAACAGCAGTGAAAAGGATGATAAAGCGATCCTGTACTGGACACCATTTGGTGATAACGTCCATCAAGGAGCCTGCCCAGCTGCCAAGATCATGCGGCGCCGTCTCAAATTTGTTGTTTCCATCTCTACTCACAATGAAGTGTAGCACAAGGCCTGCCGCTGTTCGTATCTGTGGACGATTGCTGCTAACAACAAATATGCGTTCGAGACATTTGATCGCGAGTAATCGGACTTCCATTTCGGCTACTTTATCAGCATCAGCAGTAGTGCCTGAAGCTTCTGCGACGTTTCCATCGGCAGTATCCACATTTTGAACGGTCACTGTACTCGCGCGACGACGTCTAGCCTGCTCGGGTGTGGCCTTATCGTTGTTTTGTGCTGTTCGATGCAATGAATCCAGAAGTTCTTCACCGCCATCATATACATTTTCCAGAATGACTGGCACGATACAAGCAAGCTGTTTTCCTCCATCGGCGCTGAGACCTTCAGAGCTGACCATGCTCTTGATAGCCTTCAATCCTATGTTCTTCCAGCGCATTCTTATTGGGAGACTAGTCGCCGCGACCTTGGACGAAATACTCGATTTGGACGAGGCAAATGCGGCGTAGCTTTGGACTATGCTTTCATATTGCGTCGCATACCGTTGTTCGGCAGCCAAGACTGCGAGATCCTGGTGGCTGCAGAAAGTCTCAAAGGTTTGTAGAGTCTCTTCTACCATTGCAATGTCATGAGATTGAAGGACGGTGTCGAGAACATTCAGAACCGAGTGTCCGTAAAGAGGTAGTTCGCGGGGTAGCTTCTCGATGAGCGCCGAAAGGATTTGGAGAGTCACTTGGACATTTCTATAATTGTCAAACAGTCAGTTCAGGTTCACACAAACCGGGCGTGAATGATCTTACCCAATCCGTCCTCTGGACACGTCCCGCGCAGCTTTCTTCTCCAGAAAAGCGCCCACCTTTTGCAATTTGCTTCGACGCGTACTAGCGTAGTATAGTAGGTATGAGAGTTCGCTTCCATTCGGTTTGACCTCGAGGACGCCTTTTTGATAGCGAGGAAAGCACTTGAGGATAAGCACTTGGTGCTTTGGGCGACATTTTTGACGCACAGTTTCCATGATGATGTGATAGTTACCGAACGCAAGGCTATAGCGACGTCGCCAAATTGACTCCGGAGGGTGTATGGATGCGTCGGTATGAAGAATATCCTTTATAAAGATTGGGAAGAAGAATGAGGTGTTGATATCTTATGAATATCAGAGAGCGTCAAGTTCGCCTGAGGGTCGTAATGGTCTCCAGGTATCGGAACAGGTGGGAAAAGGAAGGTAAGGAGCAATGCCCAAGATTTTCCCTTTTCGGCGTTCAGCTGACTTTGACAGCCGGATGCGCCAGCAAGAAGCTGGAGTTTCAGTATAACAGTACAGAGTGGCGCAAGAAGATATTCATGATGGAGAGGACCAAACTGGATGGATGAAGTTGTAGATTAGAAGGAGCTGAGTGCCTTGCCTGGTTTGCACGAAGTCGAAAGCGCTTGGGCGGGAATGACGGCGTGCATTGACTCGTGCCGGGTGTGATTGGCCGCAGCTCCGATCCACGCTCTATGTTTACTCTCTTCTATGTATACGCTCTGTTCAAGCACAGCAAGACTTTTGATAAATTGTGTATCTACAACATCACGATTCATTATACCCAGATCTCATCTACGAACAGGAATGTGGAAATAAACGATATCGATAGCCCTGTTTTGGAACTTTCTCTTGCTAATATGTGTTCTTTCTCATCACATCATTGTGCATGAACGAGTCAGCGACATAGTTGAGAGTCCAATTACAGGCCAACTGCCTTTCCCATGATTGTGACCGTCAAAGTTCCCCTCTTTCCTCGGCGATGTATCATAGTTTCAATTCTCCCTTGTAAATCGTACATTCCGCCTGTTCATGAGACAAGTTGTTATACAGAGACAGCTGAATCAGAGTACGTATATTACTTCGAAGTTGTTGGTGGGGGGGGTTTGGTGGGAAGGCCTAGTGCAGACTCCCTCGGTTACACGTGCCGCCAGTAATCAGCACTGATTGCGCTAAACACATCCCAGATCAGTTGTTGGGGAAGAAGTCGAGCACCAAATCGTCCGAGGATGTTTCTGTCCATAGCGCAACTGAGGGAGGCTTCTGATCTGGTTGGTCACTGTAGGATGTTTGTACTTGCGATCGATTCGAGGGAAGATGGGAGTAATTGGTGGTGATCCTGACCGCCTCCTCTAAAGTACAACTGCAGGCGCATATAAGAGCCTCTCTAGTCTTAGCATAGATATTGTTCTTGGCGGAGTGTCGTTTCTGTCATCCGCGGGTTATGAAGGAAAGGCCCCTCAGTTACCCCAGGTGTATTGATCACGATGCTTGTACCCCGTTGTTATGTTCGGCCGTATCCTCATTCTCCGCGCCGGTGGCAGCAGCCTGCCCCTCATCGCCTCCAGCCAGCAAGCTCTCGATTACCTGTGGCCGGATAATATCTCGCCGAAACGAATCTTCCTGCAACAGTCGAAGCGCTCGCAGCGTCGCACCAGGATGGGTTAAGAACTGAGCGTACTCGGGTGTCTTCCAGTAAGAGTAAAGGTAGGCAAGATATGCTTGGAAAGCGCGTGCCTCTTTCCCCGAGGCGGACGACGTGGTTTCGTCATTGGCATCATCATCGCCTTTCTCGTCCACCGTCGACGTACCGAGGAGATTCGGGAAGCTGATTGCAAGGTGAGAGAGGTAGTACGGGTTCGCAAGCGATAAGACGAATTCCAATTCTAAAGTGAAGCGGGGATTCGTAAGCGACGGTGGAGGTGGTTGGTTTTCCATGCTGATTCAGATCGCTTCATGGATGAGAGCTTGGTTCACGGTAAAAACAATGTTGGGGAGCTTGGTCCGCAATAGCTGATGGTGAGGCTAACCTTACTGTAGTTGTGTCAAGTTAGGATCTATAAGAAAGTTTAGCGTTATCTCTCGGTTCAATGATATGTGAACTGAGAGTTTGTATTTGAGCTTCATCAAGTATCATTTTAATGTTGAAGTTAAAGGGCAATAAGCTCCGGCTTGTGCAGTCTGAGCTCGGAACATTGATTTCGCGCTCCGTGCGCGTCGATTTTACTTCACATTCAACGATAAACAACAATACTATGAGTATACTTGCGGCTTGGAAGCACTAAGTCTCAGAGATAGACAAACATTCAGTTGGGATTAATTAGATCCTCACATTGGTCGGCGTTCTATTCTATTATGAAGCCTATCGCAAAACAACATCGAAGCTGACAATAAATTCTCATACCCAACCATTCTCTATTTCGAGTTCGTTTGACTTGGATAGCTTCGTAGCCATCCAATTCGCAACTACCACGTTGCGAMCCCGACACGAAATATGTATTGCCCAGTATATTACTTGGCAGTTTGAAAAAGTCTCACAAGTCTGCAAGGGGCTGTTTCTGCGTGCGAAACCAGCCCATTCAGGTTCCAGGTTGTTGAGTAGTTATGCAGTCGACTCTCAACAAAAGCGTGAAAGCAGAAGTAGCGCTCATCGTTCCAAAAACAAGAATCATGCGTAGTGTGAACTATGTTCTACGATCAACTCACAGACACGCTCAACATCCTGAGTGTCTCAGTCAAGCAGCACAGAGACAATCCTACGGGGCTCCTAGAATTTGACGTCACGAACATTCCTCACTCCAGCCACCTGGTCTTGTCTGAGGTACGTAGATAAGTGGTCACTGTGCAGTAAGGAAACATTATCACCATGCAAACGAGTATCACGAGTTTGTCAACCCTGTACATCTTGCAGGCTTAGGCGGGTCGACATACTACAGAGCATGTTCACATATCTGATTGCGTAACACCCAAGGAAGAAAACGTTAACCCGTCTGGACTTCCGAGTCTTTACCAGATGATTCGCGTGAAAGAAGGAATGGGGTCATCGGGAGACTCAGATCTTGTTCTGCCACGAGGACGGCCGTGGCGTGCCAGGTAACATATGACAGGAATGTGATTGCTAGGCAAGTTTCGGCGTATCGAAATAGATCGGTGAATCTCAACCTAGACCAGTCTGTCATCAGAAAAAGCAAGCATATCCGGAGAGATGTCGTCACTGTTGTAGAATCGCTCTATGCATCTGCAAAGGGTCTTTGCCAACCTTGAGTCTTAGACCGGATTATTGGCGGATATAAGACAAGCCAGGGAGTGGGCTTCAACGGTCCGGAGATGATGGAAATACACTGTATGTGAGATTATTGTACCACAAGTATTTTGTCAGTTGGGGCTCACTTCTTTTAGATACGCTCAGTAGCAACAATCCCATCTAGCTCACAAAGAGGCTGTCGACATGCAGAACAAAAAAGTACCGGTCTCGCTGACGGTTTCCCCACGGCGCCACGTAGCCCCTCTTCTCTCTGTGGTTCACTGGCTGTAGACTTTAAGGGGCTTTGCACTAGCCTGGAACAGATAAAGCGAGTCCATTCGACCCGCATTTTCGCCTGGGGCCGTGCCTGAGGGGAACTCAGAAACTGGTGGAATTTAGCAGAGCGCAGCCTCGGCGAAATCGGCGTGCAATGCGAACAACCATTGATATGAAGACTTAATCAAGGCGAGATTGGCTGCGATTCGGATGCGAACGCCATGTCTCTGGCTAAACGTCACCTTGCTAGGTTGGTTCAACTAAAATGTGCCCAAGGTTCGAAGATGCCAAGATGCCGGACAGTTTAGTTTGAATTGGCTCGTGATGTCCACCATACTACTAGATAGTATGTATGGCTAATTGAGGATAGTCTGCGCTGTGGCTGAGGTGTTCAGAGTCAGACAGAGAGCAGAAGAGGAGAGTGTCGAAGAGGAAAGAGGGACACGGGACTGTCTCTCGGGTCTCTCCTTCCCCACCGCGAACCGAAGCTGCCCTTTTGTACCTGTCGTGCCTTCCGTACCTTTCGTAGAATAATCGACTCCTTATTCCCTCTCCCTCTATTCTTGGGCAAATAATCCCTTCACCTCGTCCAGCGACACTCTGTTTGAGTTCATAGCCTATTTCCTAGCCTGAGTCAGGGGCCGACTGCCAAAGTCTCTACTGTGGCTTACTCATCTTCGAGACCGCTAAAAAGACCCCCTCTCGTGCCTCGCTGGTCTACACTTTTATTTTCTGCCATCCAGCGTGCATTCATACATACGATCAACTCGTGTGCCACCTACTTTTATTCCCCAACCAGCAGCGTATCATCGTGGCAACTGCTACATGCCGTACTAGCAACCCTCCGGCGATCGTCTGATTACGAATCCACTTTGTCTCTCCGCTCAAAAGACCGCCAGCCAACAGGGGCCGGCGAATGTCAGAAGGATATCTGTGCCTCGTCCGCCTTTAATCCTGCCTCTGCTACCACATTAATCAAACCAATCGCTTTCTGTATAACAACTGGAGTGTCTCCCACAAAGAACTTTCTGCGGTCAGACTATCTCTCGCTGTTTATCGTCCATACACCAGCTTGGCCCACCAGCTACAGCGATAACTAGTCTTTCCACTCGACAATTCTGAAACCTCCTGAGCACGTCAGGAGCGGCAATCGTTCCTGGCACATTTCAGAAGTGTCCACTTCCTCAAGCCCAAATAATATCTGTTTCATTTACGCTGTTTTGCCGCCTGCACCTCTGCACCAAAACGTCCGTCGTCGCGCCCCTTACCATTCCAAATTGGCTTGCGACGACTTTTCGCCATCCGCATATCATTTTTGTTTTCGCATCTTGTAGTCCAATCGTACAATCGGACTGCAATTTCCAGCCTGGCATCTACCGTCTATAAGTGATACAAACAGGTTGACGCTATTGTGCAAGTCTCAAACAAAGCGCACCCACCATGTCGCTCGCTCCGCTCTCCGTGCCTGGTAAGTCGTGAAATCTTGTTTTTTACCATCTGCTTGCTTGGTAGCTGGGTCCTGGGCGAATCGCCGTTTGACCTATTGATTGCAATGCCGGCCGATAGACCTGTCTCACCAGGCTTCATGCAATCAATCAATCAACCACCTTCCTATCTTCATATCCACCACAGTCAAACGAGCGACGAATAGTTTTTGGCACATCATTTAGCTAACGAGTCGTCTTAAATCTTTTACAGAGCACAAGCCCGCGCAGCTCAGTATTAATCTGGGCTCCAACAACCCTTTTCGCAACCGTGCCGTTTCTCCTTCCAGCACCTCTCCCATATCGCCAAGCCCGCGACCTGAACGACCTCGCTCGACAAATCCTTTCCTGGATAATACTGATATGATGTCGCCTCAATCTGCCCCAGCTGGGGCTATTCTGTCACCTTCGAGTGAGAAGCAAACTTTCACGGGCAATACTGCTGAGCTATTTGTGAGTTTCGACCTTGGAAACATAAATCCATTTTGAGAGCGAAGGTAGCTGATTGTCGATTTCAATAGGAAAACCTCTCGCTTAAACCTAGCTCAAAGGAGCGTCGACCTGCACCCCCTCCGCCAGATAAGCCATCTTCATCCCGACCCGCCGCTGCTCGGCCGCCTACCTCTCGGCCGCGACAAGAGACTCGAGATCGCGAGAGAAATCGAGATCAGTCGAACAAGAAGCGCGAAGAAGATCCATTCGATATCTTTGCCGACCCCCCGAAGAAAGAATCTTCTCGTCCCTCACGACCTCGTGAAGGACGTACTCGCCCTCGTCGAAACTCTGAATCTTCAATCATGGAAAGACCGAAGGCCATGGATCCAGAGGATGAAAGACGTCGACGCGAGAGACGACACCGTGAACGTGAGCGCGAACGTGACGGAAAGCCTCGCTCTAAGCGCGCACCCGGTTATCGACTGGATGTAATTGACAAGCTGGATGTCACCTCAATCTTTGGCACAGGATGTAAGTCTCTTCAAAAAGCTTTGCCGTTTCATCCATTAGAAGCTAACGCTTAGCTATATAGTGTTTCACCACGATGGTCCTTTTGACGCATGCAATCCTAATCGCAACCGCAAGGGCTCTAAACAAGCACCGATGCAAGCGTTCCCTAAAGATTCGAAGAACATGGCTCTTGGTGGCGCTGGTCCGAATAATTCACGCCTGAATCTGGAACTCATTCATGGCCACACCGCCGAAGGATATTTGGATTATTCTGCTACTGGCGTTAAGAAAGAGGAAGCCTTTGATTCAGCTCGTGCCGAAGTTATTCATGGTACTGAGAGCATGGGTCTTGGTACAAGTACTTTCTTAGAGGGCACGCCTGCTAGTCGTGCAGCGATTCAACGGCGCCAAAGCGAAAGCGATCAACAACCACCGGCCGGCGGTCTTCAGCGCACCAAGAGCTTGGCACAGAAATTCAAGGGTATCAATCGAACGGGCACCGTCAGGGTCACATCTCCAGATAGCACCCAGAGAAGCCCAGCTAGCGCCGGCCCTACTAGTGGCTCCAGCCGAACCCAAGAGAGAAATCCATTCTTCCAAGACTATGATGAGGCTTACGATGCAAAGACAGGCAAAATCGACGAAGCCAGAATTGGTGGACGGAATCGAGCATCTAGCAGCCCGAGAAGGGCAGCTGGCCTGGAGAGAAAAACCACGAACGGATCGATCGGTGCAGAAGAGAACAGACAGAACGGCGGTGGTTTCATGAATAGGATGAAGAGTTTGAGACGACCACGACCGGAAAGACGAGTCCCTTCTGAATAAAGTATTGTCATTGTCATTGTCTTTGCTTTTAGGTTTTTGACATGTTGGGGCGGAAACACTTGCATTGACCACTGCCCGGTTTTCATTATCGACTACTTCATTCAAATTGGAAGCATTTCATGGAGATACTTTGACGGGATCGTTGTTTTGGCGCAGATTTTGCAATGTCTCTTGGTTGATCTATTTCTTTACACAGGCGCATAATCAGGATATGTTATCTGCGTGTTTGTATTTTCTCGCGTCATTAGATATTTAGSGAGCCATTATTCGTTCTATCGATATAGTTTAGGCAGTTACAGTTAATGGAGTTGACATGTTTGTATAGCAACATATTGTTCGTGATAGATACCGGCACCTGGGACTAGAAGTGAACAATTGATAAAACATTAGCATTGAGGAATTTCTGTGTCGTGGTCCAATCTTGTAGCTGTGCACTACCGACTGACTGAGATCATTCCTAATTACCTCCGCAGACTCAACTTTTCAACCACTTAAATCTCAAATCTGCCAACTTTCACAGCCAAAACGCATTTTAACAAAACCCAGGAAAGGATGGCCACAGACCAACGACACGTTTATAGCAGTCATCCCGCTTTCTCGGTTCTAGCATCTGCGTTACTCCCTTCTCCACAGGAACCCTCGGAATATAAGATATCGAGCCATACATCGACATGGAATCTGGAAGCCGATATCAATGAGTTTTCCAACTTATCAAAATACAGAAATGATAGACGGAGTTTACTTCGATGTGGGATAACAATTGGGCTATCATATCTGAAAGAATGGGGAGATGTGAATTTACAAAGCAGAGATTCGCTTGGTGATGTAGTTTTTGCCTCACTCTCCAGAACGGAATTGAATGGTTTTGCTGACCGAATTTGTATAGGTATCGAGGAGGCTTTTGACATCATTTATGGCGAGCCTGCCAATACAAAATGAAGAGTCGGAACAAGGGCAGCAAAGCGAGAAGAAGACCAGAGTGTTCATTATCCATCCTATACAATCAACGATGTTTGCGCCAGAAACATTATTTAAAGGTCTTCTGGAATGGCAAAATCTCGAAAACATCAACAAGATGATGTCAGAAAAAGAAGTCTTGGTTCTTCTAGATCAAGTAGAACTGTTACCTGTCCACGACTTTTCATCTGCCACGCAGGCTATAAGCCAGGTTTCTGATGCGATATCGAACATCCGCGAGCAGCATCGTTGCGGATCAGTCGAAGACTCAGAAGAAGAAAGAGATGATGAAGAAAGCCGCCAGCCACCAACAACGCTCCTCATAATCGAAGGCCTCGACACAATGGCTGAAGATGTCATACACAACTCTAATGCGATGCGAGGAAGTGCTATTTTGACTCCTGTCTTGAGGACGTTGACCCATTTGTCGCGGATGCATACTTCTTTCCTATCTATTCTGCTTGTCAATACGACTGCGTTAGGGTCTTTGCAACAGCAAAGTCAATCGCAGCAAATATCTGCAACTCAGACCTCGGCCGACGATGTAAGTGGTCGAACGACGACGATGGGGACAGCAGGTGGTTTACATTCGGCTTTTGCGCGAGAATATACGCAACAGCATGAACGACAGGTACGGCTGCTTCTGAATACTCTACTATCAAGGACGCTGGATCAAGGCATTGATATCCATCTGCTGCTGCAGGTGAGAAGGGGGCAAAGTCTCGTTGAGGTTATCAAGGATCGAACCGGGGATGGATTAGGGAAGTGGTGTGTTTGGAAATGATATGCATGTGTTGGCCTTGGGTGGCGATGATTTAACGTATGTCTAATAAAGTGTATTGCATAGCATGCATTTCCTACCTTTGATCGGTCAACACCTGATCACATAATATCTAGGTAGTCACGAAGTGATGCTATATCCCAAGAATCAAAGCGTATATGAATCCATGTATTTCTATCTGTCATTGAGAGATCCGATTCCATTCCCAAATGCCCTTCAAACGACAAATCGTACAGGAAATGAAAACTCAACCAGCGTGTGTCCTCAAAACAGCTCCCTCAGCAATCGCATTGGCTTCCTTCTCGCATGCCTCGAATTCATTCTTTAGCATAGCCTCTTCGAATGCAATGTCTTGCTGCACAATTTTGACCCATTGTTTATGTCGATCGCACCGTTTCTTCATGCATACACCTCGAGAGAACTCGGCGAATTCGGCGTCCTTGGTGGTATTATTATTACGATTATGTTTGTTTTTCTTTTTGTTCTTGCCGTTATCATCGTCGTCGTCGTCATCCTCATCGTCACTGATAGCGACACCATTGCTTGCAAGGTTGTCAATCGGCTCGGCTTCGAGTTTACCCTCTTCAAAGGCCTTTCGGCCCGTTTCCGTATTCTGGCGCCAATCATCGAGTTCTTCCTCATTCCAAGACATACGCGCGTCCCAGCCGCAGATATCTTTCCACCCGCCTTTTGGCTCTTTGGCTTTGAGACGATCGAGTACCGCTTTTGCTTTTGCTCTCACTAGGCCTAGGAATCCATTGCGCCGTGCTATCATCCGTCGTTGATGTCGGTATTGCTCGCGTCGCGCGCGTAATTCTTGTAATTTAGCTTCCTCTGCGGCGGAGTAATTGACGCCCGGTGGATTGATGTCTAAGCCCAATTTATCTGACTTGAACAATTCTTCTTGCTCGAGATCATCCTCATCTTGGACTGCTGTATTTCCTTTACCGTCTTTCTTTCTTTTTGACTTGGCCCCATCTTCATCGTCGTCCTCATCTTCCACCTTCGCTGTCGTCTCTATCTGTCTCGCTGGTGGCGAAGACGAGGGTGGAGGCGTGATCAATGTATTACCCAGTCGTCGGAACTCGACGGAAGATGATACCCCCATGATCACAGCCTTGAGATCACTGACCGTCAAAATACCCCCTCTACTGCCAAGCTCTTCCAGCACAGGTCGACCACGCTGATCGTGCTCGTCATCTTCGTCATTGGTATCCATGACGGAGTCGCCGTCGCCATCGACACTGCGGCTATCGCGATTTCGATTGATCTCCCGAACACGATCTAGCGCCGACGGGGTAAGTGTAGAAGCAGGACCGGAATGCGTCGATCTGAGCTGCCCTGTCATCTGGCGCATAAATTCTCGGCCGTGCTCATCTGAACAATACTTGCTGATTCTCGGTTTGGTTATTCGTGCTGGTTTCCTGCAACCTTTCAAGCGACAGATTGGTTTCCACGTGGTTTGGCCTTTTCCGGCCTCATTGCAATTGGGACCTGTTCTTGAATCAGTCAAAAATTCTTTCACTAGAAAATTGTACACTCACAAATATATCGCTCAATCAGTTCCTCATCTTCCTGTTTGATATTGACACACTTCCCATGAAACCAGTCATCGCMCCCGCCGTCACAGCCAATCATCCACGTATGATTATCAGGTCTGCGGCAGATACAGAACACTTCGTCGGGGTTCTCAACGTCGCTACCGGCCTCATCATCCTCCTCTTCTAGCTGTTGTCCATTCGTAGAGGTAGTGGTCGCGGCACTCTGTTTCGATGAAGGCTTCTTCTTTGTAGGCTTGCTCTTCTTACTTTCTGGGGCTGGTGATCCGTTTACCGAGGATGTTGGTCGCTTCTTAGCGGTTGGCCCTTTGACCGAAGACGCAGGACTATTGGACCGCCGGTCACCAACACTTTCTGTATCCAGGGCATCAATCTTTCGTTTCTTCGACGGAATCTTGGTCGCTATAGACGCTTTCTTCGTAGATACGGATGAGGACTTTCGCGCGTTTGGCCCGAGTTTTGATGGGATCAATGGAGCCGATGGCGAGGATCTGTCGATAGATGATGCTCTTGATGTTGATCCGCGTTTTAGATCATGAATCTTCTTTGGTGTTGGGTGTTCATCGGCACCATCATATTGCGGAGTGCGAGCCCCAGACTGCGCCGCAGGGACTTTCTCTATACTTGCGGCTGCTATTTCGGTTTTAACTCTAGGCTCGCTATCGTGTCCATTCCTGTCCTGTATAGGTTCTCCGCTAGCATCCAGGAAGTCATATAAATCAGCCCACGCTTGATCCTGTGTAGATCTCTCGCCCGACGAAAAGATGTGTGAACGTTCAGGTATACGGAGTAGACGATGGATCTTCTTTGCTCGTTCGTGCCCAAAGTAGCCGCTTTGTCGCCAACCAGTTATTGCGACCACCTGACCGTTGTCGACTATAATGTTTGATCGCACCATGTCGTTATGCGTAAGACATAAAACCTCATCCTCGTCCCGCGACGCAAACAGGATATCTTGCTCGACGTCGGCTATATCCGGTTGTGGAACGCCATTCAGACCTTCGAATGCGTACGACGGGGTTACGAAGTGATCATCGATAGCCGTAAGACGTTGCAGAATGCGCCGACATTGTGTCTTGAAACCGTTTTTTTCACTCGTCGTTAGATAATTCCATGCGACTTCCAGTGATACTCCAGGTATACGAGTTTCGACCACTATATTCTTTTGGTCGATTGTTCCGCAGAAGAATATGGTTGGGACGGCAACATTCAAGTCTTTCAAGTGTTCTTCAGCTTTCCTAGAGGCGATCAATTCATTCGCATTGAGGCACGAGTATCGCTCGGCGGCAGTGCCTTCAGCGCGATCGCCATCCACGTGTATCAAGACCTTACCAATTGCGAACGCAGCGCGAGACCCGACAACGTTGAGCGAGTTTTTGGGTGTACAGTGTTGCCGCACGATCTCCGCCCAATACTCCCGCTGTGTTTCGCTTTCGGAACTGTGCCAGTCCTTGAATTCAGGTTCAAAATCGTCAGCCTGAGGAGCATAGCGTCCGTAATGAGGACTTCGACCCAGGTACGGATCCTTCTTCGGCACCCGCTTAGGGTCTGCTTCGTAGGGGTTCACCCCCATTGTACACAATGCGCAACCTTTGGTATGGTGCCCAGCATCAGGATTATTGACCGTGAAAACTCATGATAAGCATCTAGAAGTACATGAGATATCGATACGGAAGAGTTGCCTTGCTTGACAGGTTAGTTCCGCGGGCCGCAAAACTGAAAAGTCGCGCAAACTCTCTGCGCAACGTCGGCGGTAGAACCAATAGACGCGGGCTCAATGAAGTCTTTGAGGACCGCCTGTGAGTTCTTAGGTGGATTCAGATATTCCTTGCTCGAGAGAGTAATTGTGCCCCCCCGGATTTATTTCATTGCGTTCTCGTATGGCGAAGAATGGTACAGAAACAAGAGAGTAGCGGAGAAATCAGGGATTCCGAGGCGGAGTCGTAGCGACACGCAGAACACGGTGAAGGCGATGAGTTGGCTGCGAAAAAGAAGTCAACAGTAGAGAAAAATCGTAAAAACGTTTCTCGTTCTAGGCGATACGTTTTTTTGTGGTTATATTAGCGATGTCCAAGAAATAAATGTATGGCTATGCCGAAGGAAGGGACCGGCGATCAAGCTTCAACTTTCAGCAGACAAGCACGGAAAAATAAAAGTCCGGCCCGATATGGTCAGGTCGCGCGACCAAAGTTTCCGATCAACGCGTCGCCGACTCAATTTTACCTTACTGGGAAGGCTAGTCCAAGTGCTCGAAAGCATCATACATGTTCATTCATGTTTAGTCCTACATATGATATAGTCATTATTAAAATATTATTCTTACCATCAGCCTCATTGTACAGTGGTCTCAAATGATCCTAGATTTCAGAATATGTAGATGTAGATGGTCGCGTATATGTTTGACCTCGTGCGCCCTCCTGGTATCGATGCAACAAACGCCTCAAAACAATAATCCCACGTGTCAAGTCATTAAAATTTACATGAATACAAGTAGTCAAGAAGACTGGGCGCTGAGGTTTTATGTCCCCAGGAAAACAGCCTCCTGTAATGCAGGCATAACGTAGCTTGTCAATGGGGCTTGTAGTATTTCGCGTCGTAAGTCGTTCTCCCACGAGCGCATGGTGTGTTCCTGGGCCCGAAAAGTCAGGCATTCAAACAAAAAGTTGTTTAGTCGCAGCCATGACTGGAGTCCTAAACGCTTCGCAACTTTAAGCATACGGCCGACAAACCACGGCCTGTCAAAGGGAGATGTCGCCGTTTCGGAATATTGCGAGAAATCGCCAATTGGTCGAGAAGCTGGTGGCAGCGATAGCGAGTGCATGGCAAACGGCACGGAATCATTGAAGGCAAAGTCCTTGCATGCTAATAGTATTTGCAAAAGAGCCTCTATCGACGCATCAACGTTGACCTCGCTATCTCGAAGTTGAAGTATGGCATGCTCTATAAAAGCTTCGGTTCTGGGAACTGAGTATCGATAATCCCAGAGTGCGGCATTCAGCATCATGAGGGCCGCCAGTCGGGTGATGAACTGCTTTCTATCTCCAGTGAGAGTCTTGCGCTTCTCCGCAGGAGATGCTAAAATACGGTGAAGAGTTGATCCAGGTCCAAAGGCAGAGTATCGGACAGGCGCATCTTTTGACGATAGTTTCATACGTTGGCTCAATGCCAGATGTTCACATCGCGTGAGAAAATCTATGAATTCCTCGCATTGCAAGGCAATCTCCTCCTTGGCTGTGTTCGTAAAATGATGGGTTGTAGGTGAAGGAGTGCGATCTAAGGTAGTCGGCGATACTGAATTTGGTGGTGATGGAAAAGAGGTCGTAGATGAGGCAATCGGAGATGACTTTATAGCATAATTATGATAGCGCTCATCTTCAAAATGGAATGCATCCGCATCGGAGACATACCCGGCTAAAATATAGTCTTGCCAGTTGATGAGTCTCGCGAGCTTGGTGTTTTGAAAGGCGATAGGACCTCCGCGGCGCCGTATGAGCTTCTGGGCTTGACGCATGTGGATCCAACTAATTTCTTTGTGTCCTGGCCGGGGATCAAAATCTTCAAGAGCGGCAGCGCTCATGCAGGCAGTGATCACATTGTCAGTTGTGTCATAAGGATACTTTTGCATGTGATCGCGAAGCATAGAAATAGCAAGTTGTCGATAACGCAAAGTGCTATCCGTCTCGTTCTCATTGCGAACCCAGGCCCAGGTATTTGCGGCGTGGACAAGAATGGTATTGACAAAGGTCAAAGCACCTTTCATGGCCTCCGGGACGAAGATCTCAGTGTACCAATTGTGCGCTCGTTTCGTACGAAAGTGGTGTCCGTAAGAGACTGCTGGCATTTCGTTCACGTAGAAATCAAACAGACGCTGGTCTTCCTTTGAGGAATTCCATGGTAGGGTATCAAACGGGTCGGTTCTTGCGGCACTCAAGACAGTTCGAGGAGGCGACAACATGGTTGACCGAGTCGATTGAGGTGGAGTGCTTTGGAATCCCGCTCCAAAGTCGAGGCCATAGTTTTCGCCGTCAATTGTTGGATCAAAATATCGAACGGACGAAGAGGAAGAAGAGGGAGATGACGAGGAGAATTCGCTGTAGTCGGAAGAGTGATATCGATGGGTGTTGCCGTGCGGGACAGGTACTATCCTGAGGCTTGATTCTTCCTCTTTCTTATCAGCATCACGTGTAGCCGTTCGCCTTTGAGCTTTCCCTCCAATGTTCGACTCCTTCGTTGGTTTTGTCGCCTTGCCTCGCGATCGCTTGGCGGTCTTTTTGATCGAGTTTTTCGCGTCGCTATCTTTGTCGTCGTTCGGACGTTCTTGCTGCTGGGTCTCTATCCGTTTCTGTCGCATATACTCCTGCATAACATGGCGCTTGACTTGTGTAAGATTATCGGCGCTGTCTTTTGATAAATCGATGAATTGCCATCGACTCGGCGGCATGGTTGTCGCTCGGCTTCGCGACCGCGAGCGCAAATCGACGGGTTTGAGTACGATGCTCTGCGTTTCGCGAGGGAGACGATTGGGAACGAAGCGCATGGATGGCTCGGCGGAGAGTCGCAGAACTATCACAAATCACAAGTGACGATGCCAGGAGGAAGCGAACGACAAAACTGGGGAAGTCGGAAGCGCGAGCAAGCGATGGAGAGTCACTTGATATCCACAGTCCACTTGAAAGTCGGGAGAGCCCCACGCTAGATTTTAGTTTCGTGTACAGAGCACAGCCCGTGCAGGTGCATGGAGAAGACGCAGTGCTTATTTATCTACTGCTTTTCGGCGACGCAAAACTCAGTCTTACTTACGTACACAGAGCAGACCAATCTCTGCTATCTTACTCCAGTCGAGGGAAAGATTGCCGGGAGTGCACAAGGCCGGATTGGTGGAGATGGGATAGCAGAACACTGGACAGTGTGGAGATTGCCGTCTGGACTAAGTTCTTACTTTTTAGCCTGCAATCCCTGGCCGACGCTACATTCAGCTTGCGTTTCGACGGAATTGATTGCACAGTGTACAGACTCTTTTCGACATGGCGTAGAACTTTGCAAATCTTAATAGATGGGACTAGACCCAATTCGTCCACAGGCAATCATTGTTGGTGACATTGAAAATGTCTTGAAGATGTAGTTTGGACTTAGGGCCTGCTTATTCCTCTTCTTCTCGTGCCTGCAGATCGTCGGGGATTAATCTATGGCATGCAACTGTGGGTTCGTCCAACATCGAAGATCTACCACATCCAGCAATGATGCCGGGAGCCTTACACTTTAGAAGGTCAATCCTACAGCAGATAACCTATCATATCTCTGCAACAAAAAAAAAGCAATACATTTTGATGTAATTTCCTCTTCTCGAGGTGGGTCGCCACGTATGCACAGAAGCCTTCTCGAATGCTTCTAGCGCGCACTGCATGGTCAGCGTTGACTCCGTCGCAATCTACTCAGCTGGCCTCTTTGTCCATTGTGGTCACTAGTGAGCACTGAGTGACCGGGTGGTCAATTGAGACATTCCCAAGCCAAGGTCAAGCTAGTCACTAGTATCTTATATCTGATGGATTTATTAGCTGAGAGCCCATTTAAGCATGATCCGTCGATAAAATATTGAGACATGGCTAAACCTGTTGATTGGACCGCTCTCCGATATGATCAGCCTGTTGTAACCTCACGCCGTTGTCGGCGTAAAATTATCGGCCAACCACACAATTTAAAGGAATTGAGATTGCAAATGTCTTCACTGATCAGGCACTCCCTACTTTGATCTCCTCTAAATCGGTTGAGTCGCCTGTACATCAAATGGAAGGGGCCATTTACATCACATGCTAACATCGATGTGGCTGTACGTACATCAATCAGCTCCGTGCCCACGCTTGTGATGCACTTTGCTAGACCTGCTTCTTACGTACGTACACAGTGTAATTGTAAGGGTTGCTCCGATTGACTTTCCAGTCAATGTTGCATCGTGTCCATTGACACAAGTGTTTTAACTTTACCCTAGTTGGTGCTTGTTTTGTAGATCTCGTCATTCTAGTGCGTCGCTAATCTTGGCACTACCTAAATATCAGCTTCCGGTCGTGTCATTTCCATCATGCCTCCTGTGTGCTGATGATCGCAGTGTGTATATCTGGGGTGCTTCCCTCTTAGACGGCATGGCCACACCGTGAACATTCTGGAAATGCTCATCATTCCACGTCTCCGAGATCTATAGGCACCTGGTCAAGGTTTCTTATACTCAAGCTGACAATATTTCAGTCAGCAGGATGAGGTCTCCTCCGACATTTCCCTTCTTATTAGCCGGAGTAGGCAGGTGTCACCAACATGAGTTGTATAGCTCCGTTAGCAACATATTCCCTACTCGATGTTTTCCTCAGTTGATGCGTGATGCTCTGCCTGCCTTTCAGAGGCAAACATGGAAGTTTACCGTCGGTAGGTGATTCATCCAACAAATGCAAACATAGCAGCTTTGGAAGGCTTGTACTTACGTAAGAGCCTAAGGCCGGCTCATGATCGGGCGTTGCGGCTCTTGCGGCTGGKGCGGGKCCCCCGTCTTTGTTCTTTATCTGATCAAGATAAGTTAGCAAGTCAACTATCATTGGTGAGCATTGTGGTCTCGGATTTTTATCCTATGGCACAACCCCCCCAAAAGCTGCCATTGGTCAGCCCTGGGAGATTCAATGCGAGAAAAACAGACCCGAGTCCCAAAGTGGTGAGTAGTGAGTCGATCAGGCAGCTGATTAATCAATTTGTTTCCTAGCAGTTGAGTCGCAATATTGCGCCTTTTTCGCGGTGCAGGCAGGCTGGGATCACAGGACCATCCAGAGTTTTCTTGCATCTGTGATGAATCGAGATCGGGTGGGAATTGAAATGACGTAGCAAGCTTTTTGAGCGATTTTCAATTGTCAGCCTCACTCGAGCACGCCAACCAGCACGAACGTTGACATCAGAACCCCTCGATGTTGACCTTCAGTGTGTAAAGAATAGGTTTAACGAAGATCTTCGTACGATCATTCTCCGAGGATTTTGATGACTGATCAGAATACTAAGCGTTCTAGGCCCGGAGTTAAAAAGAACTCTACCTAAAGAGAGGTTAATCTGAGCTGCAGAATGGGGCCTCCAGACGAGAAAAACGAGCCCATTGACCAATCACACGGATCAGGGTCCCAGCGTGGCTTCCCGTTGGCCACTTTTTCTTTCGCACGTATCGGAGTTAATACCACGCTGGTATTAAAACGTGGACCTGTGACTGGTTACACCGCGCTTTCGCATTGCTTGATGCCTATACGTACCTCTAGAGGTCTTGCGCTGGATTGTTGAGCGTTGACGCTCGACACGGTCGATTGGAATAGCAAACTTGGATTCTATGTATTTTCTGTATATCTACTATACGCCGTATATATTAATGAATCGGCGCGCTATCGAATTCCGAACTCCGTTACACCCTACTCCGGGCTTTGGCTTGTCGATCCCTTTGACTCTGTAATTACATAGTTTACTCGGGCTCGTACTCGGCCCTAGTTCTACTATGTACAATTGGGTAAAGACCCCGGCCACTGACTGACGGGGCATACTACAAACATTCGCAGTGAATTTTGATTTTCTCAAGCAATGGCTTTGAATCAATCCAACAATAATAACAGCCTCAAATGGTAACGGTGAGACTTGCGTTTCGGTACGATGACCGATCTGGCATGACGGGCACTAAGCCCGATGCAGTCATGATAACCTTCCCATCTTTTCTTTTTTCTCCGAGTCGGATTTAATGATTAACAGATTGGAGTAGTCATTCAATTGTTCCATGCGTGTATAGTATGTAATCACAAGACTGTACTGTCTGAAAAGAAGAGAATGGCTCGCTTAGACGGGGAGAAGCTTGTGCTCTGCAGTGTGCATAAACGAGGCCTGATAAACCCGAGGACGTGGCAGTAGTCGGACAATGGACGCAATGACAATATACTATGTAATTAGCCGAATGCTCGAGGCGGTGTTACCAATGCACTGGAACGTGATCTGTCCGCTAGCAACTGAGGTAATAATACGTCCAACATCATCGTGGTGATGGTATACTATACTATGTAAGTTAGTATTAATCAGTGAGTCAGTGTTTGGAATTGACTCATTACTAAGAAAAGACTAAGAACTTAGCAGGCAGTCCCGCCGTGGCTCTTGCCTATCGCAGCCCACGCCCGCTTGCCACTAGAAGCCCTGGAAGGTTAGTTCCCCAACCGGGCACATTTCGCTCGTCCTGGTTCGCTCTTTCCTCCTGATCAATCGCAGATTACGTCTTTTCTCTCTCGTTTTCCCTTTCTTCAACTTTTATTCCGGCCTCAACTGACTTTCAGCCTCCTTTTGCTTCGTGGGTTTCGTGGCACAGAAGACACTGCATCTTCCCTGTCGAGTCTTCCGTCGCATTCAGACGAACCTCGTTCCTCGTGAGATCGGACTACTTTTCGTTCTTGGCGAACGACTAAGTACCTGTCATAATTCGTACCCGCGACCATCCGTTTATATCGAAAAGCCTTGGACTGGGCTTTAGACATTACGAATTTCTTTCCAAACCGTCTTGCAACCATCGCAAGCCTCGGATCCATCATCGGCAAGCCTTGAGAAGTACGCGAACATTGTGCGGAAGGTTGCCGCTACAGCCACTTCTGCCGCACCGATCTTCTCTTTATCAATCTCTATCGATAAAGCGAGCACCGACTCCCGCTGAGCAATAAGTTTTACGATCGCGAAATGCGTCTTTGAGGGGTTCACATTGTTCAACACTATATGAGCTCGTTTCTGGATCGAACCAGTGGAAAGACCTCACCATGAATGAACAATTCAATTCATCTCAGACCGCAAATTATGCGCGTGAAGAGAACGGCAAAAATACGCCATCCGACTCGCAGCCTCATATGCATGACGATGGTGGAGATGCGGATACTCATGATGAGTCACTAGAAGACAACCATCCATCGCTCACTGAGCCTGGCAAGCTGCCCATACCCATGCAAAAAAGACGGAGGGTGACCCGGGCTTGCGACGAATGCCGTCGTAAAAAGATCAAATGTGACGGAAAGCAGCCATGTACGCACTGTACAGTGTATAGTTATGGTGAGTCTTCACACCATTCGTGCAGGCTTTTTAGCATGCCATTCGCGTATATAACTGACACACAACAGAGTGTACGTACGATCAGCCCTCGAATCGTCGTCGAAATCCTACCCCACAGTACATAGAGGCCTTGGAATCGCGACTGCAAAAAGCCGAGGAAATCCTTCGAATTCTGGCTCCAGATCTCAATCTCAACGATCCGCGCTTGCTTGCTGCCAACCCGGAGCAGATAGTATCGGCGCTTCGACGTGATGACTCGCGGGAAGCAACGGTTGCGAAACCGCAAGCAGATGAACAGTCCAAACAGGAACCAGAATCCTCGTGCCCAGACGGGTCACTTTTAGAGACGATGATGGAAAACTCTGGTTCTTTGGATCTTGATGATCAAGGCCACTGGGACTATCACGGTCATTCATCGGGTATCATTTTCATGCAACGTCTTCGGAAACAGATCGGAAACGTCATATCCATGCCCATAAGACCATTGCAGAATAAAACGACGCCTCTGTTCCAAATGCTTGAAAGCCCCAAGTCACAGTCGGAGTCTCCGCAGGAACTCAGCAATCCTAATTCACCCCCTACACAGGACCTTCCTTCAAAGGATGTCGCAAGAAGGCTTTGTCGAAGCGCGCTTGACCACGCTTGCATTCTTATGCGCCTTGTCCACGAGCCATCTTTCTGGGCAACCTTTGATCGCATATATTCTACTCCCTGGGATCAATACACGAATGAAGAACATACTTTCTTGCCTCTTTTGTATGTTGCTATGGCTACTGGTTGCCTTTTTTCCGACAATGTTGAAAGCACTCTAGACAAGTCGGGCTACGAGGGTGCTATTGGCCAAGGGTATGTCCTCGACTATTTCTGTAATCCGAGATGTCGGAACAGTGCTGACGCTATTTTCTCTATCCCATAGTTTCCAGTACTTCAAAGCGGGCCGACAGCTGCTTGACATCACGGATTGTCGGGATCTAACCACTCTACAGGCGATTTGCTTCATGATCCTGTTCTTGCAGTCATCTGCGAAATTGAGCACCTGCTACTCATATGTCGGTATCGCTTTGCGCGCATCTCTACGTCTTGGTCTCCATCGAACAGTCAATGCCAATTTCGACCCTGTGGAAAGCGAACTTCGAAAACGTATTTTCTGGCTTGTCCGGAAGATGGATATTTACGTCAGCACGCTTTTGGGCCTGCCACAGATGGTCAGTAATGAGGATATCGACCAGGAGTATCCCTTGGATTTGGACGATGAATTCATTACGCCTACTGGAATCCTTTCCATGCCCACTGATCGGACGTCTTTCATGGCAGGGGCAAACGCTCATACTCGCTTAGCCGACATCATGGTCAAAGTTGTGAAATACATATACCCTGTGAAATTGACCAAATCACAATCCAAGTCAGACCACACTTACATGGTCAGCCATTCCAAAATCAGGGAGATCGAAAGAGACCTGCAAGCTTGGATGGAAGACTTGCCTCCAGCTCTGCGACCAGGTAGCGAAATCAGTCCCGAGTTAGAACGGTAAGTGTTTCCCCTCTACTAACCTCACCTTTTGGCTCAATGCTAACGCCTCTTTCACATTAGTATGCGACAATTGCTCAGAATCAGTTATGCTCATGTGCAAATGGTGATGTATCGACCTTTCTTACACTATGTATCCAACAGCTTCCAGGCTCAGGGTATCGATAAAAGATCTTACGCGTGCGCTGCTGCGTGCGTTAGCGTGTCACGAAATGTCGTGCATATCACGACAGGCATGTACCAAAAAGGTTTACTCAATGGCTCCTACTGGTTTGTCATGTACACGACATATTTTGCCATTCTCTCACTGGTGTTCTTCGTGCTCGAAAATCCGGACTTGTCTACCGCCAAGGATGGCATTCTGAAAGACGCTTTAGAAGGAAAGACCACACTAGGAGGACTGGCTAAGAAGAGTATGGCTGCCGATAGATGCGCCCAAAGTTTGACTGTAAGTTATAAGCATACAGGGTCGAATAACTTTCACACATTTGTTAACTGTGCTTAGGGCCTTTTCAAGCAGCTTCCTGAAAAGTTAAAGAACCGACAAAGTTCAGCAGCAGGCCATGTGAACCTGAAGAGATCATCACCGTCCGATACCGCTGCCAAATCGAGGATGCAGCGCCCTGCATCCATGTCTTTGCCTTTTGATACACCACAACGATCTAATTCTTTCCCAACCAAATTAGCGGCTTTACAATCTAGACCATCGCAAGAGCCTAAAAGTGCGGTTGATGATACCCGCTTGCCTCGGCGATCGCAAACGTGGCTCTGGGAAGGTCACTCCGACTCAGCCGACTCTACCGCATCACCTTCATCTACATCTGCATTTTCTCACGATCAAACTGCTAGCCCTGCATCCAATCAATATTTAACACAACCATCCACGCAGCAACCGTTTACCTCATCACAGCAACTTGGTGCTAGTCAGATTCTACCGGACCTTATGCCCATCATGTTCCCATCTGGCGACCAGTTCGCTTACCCTGCACAACCTTTGTCCACTCTTGAGGACGATCATTTTAAGGATGAGCTTCCGAACTCGCCGATGCAGTATACACAAGACTCTTTTACGTCGCAAGGATCAAATTCACTCAACGGGAACTTTTCTCGACCAATGGTCAATGGATTTGATGGATTAGCTGGTCTACAGGGTCTCTCTGGACCATTTCAACCAGCACATGCTGCAACTCTAGCTCCGCAGCTACAACATCTTGGCCTTCGAACGCCTTCCACCCACTCGTCGACTCCCGATAATATTCAAAGCCCTGACTTGGTATCATTACCCCATAATTACATGTGGCAAAGTTTCAGCCTCTCGAATCCCGGTATGCCGAATGAACAAATCATGAGGGAACAATCGATGCCGGGAGGAAAAATGACGATGACTGAAAACGGAGCACTCGACGGGATGTCCTCTTTGGGGATGGGTTTTGATATGGATGTCAATTTTGGCGAGATTCTTGGTAATATCGGAGCGAATCCCGGCACCGGCACTGCTACGAATATGAATGATGAATGGAGTCAGTGGATGAATACTGGCGTCTGAGGTGATGTCTTTCTCTTGCAGTATACCCGTTATCATGTCTAATGTTTATGAACTTCTTGAGTTTGAGTTTTATTGACCGTATTTTCGCCTTTCCTGTTTATTCTGCATTGTGCGTATCACATTTATCCGGTGTATATTTTTAAATTATGTACATTCTTGCTCTGGGTTTATTCCCACATTATGGCGTTGACATTTCGGTGGATTGAAATATGCGGGACCAGAAAAAAGGTATTTGCGTGGCATGACAAGAGGCATCTGTGGAATATCCAATGTAAACTGATCGACTATCTAACCGAGCTTGAGTTAATGATATTTTTAATGACTGCAGTATTCCCATAACTTATGTATTTCTTGGGGAAGCTGTCTAGAATGTCTAGACCCACATAGATGTAGGTACACTTGGCGGCTGGCTGCAGCTTAAATTCTAAACTTCACTCCGATCTTCCCCCTCACATCATGCCGACTCCATCAAATCTAAATATCTCTACATGTATCACATGGCTATTTTACCTCGTCCCAATTTATATATTTCTGATTGCACCGGGTCTGCGTGTGATTTTCCCAGAGCAGCAAAAAAAGGATGCGAACTCCGTATCCGGTCGTTTCGAATTCGACGATGAGGCAGACTACGACCAATTGGTACCAGGACTCAGGATTGAGGATGATAACTTCATAAGCCCCGAGGAAGACTCGGGCCAGCTCACTTGTCGCGAGGATGATTACCGGGTGCATATATTCTCGCATAAGCCTCTGATTATATACGTGGAGAATTTCTTTACAGATGCTGAGGCTGATCATCTTGTTACCGTCAGGTAGGCCCAAGTCTCTTATATGAAGATCAATGGCTAACAATGATGTTTTCAGCGAAGATAAATGGTCGCCATCCATCATCTCCGACGGAACAACCGAACGAGTCGACCCATCCATCCGTCGCTCAGACCGCGCCCTCCTCGACCGTGATAATGTAGTCCGATGCGCCGAAGAACGTGCCCGAGCCTTTCAGGGCTGGCGCCCATGGCTATACATTGAGCGCATGTGGACGCAACGATACAATACCTCTGGTCATTATCGGCATCACTACGACTGGAGGGGATCGGCGGCGCATCGGGGCGGCGATCGCCTGAGCACGTTTATGGTCTATCTGGACGCAAATTGTACAGGCGGAGGGACGAATTTCCCACGCTTGAGGATGCCGCGAAAGAGTCAGTGGTGTCAGTTTATTGACTGTGATGATAGTCAGAACGAAGGGACTTCTTATGAGGGCGTCACGTTCAAACCGATCAAGGGAAATGCTATATTCTGGGAAAATCTACGTCCTGATGGCACGGGATATCCGGAGACATGGCATGCGGCACTCCCGGTTTTGTCCGGGACAAAGGTTGGACTGAATATCTGGAGTTGGTATCAGCCTCCTGTTCGGGGGGATAAAAAGTAGACGCATATATATGTGCATGTAAATTCGATAGATAGACTGTATATATCATCATTCTAGATTGTAGATAGAGGAAACATAAACACTGACCCATCTACTGGCCAATACAAAGCCCGCAAACCCACACGCGGACTCATATGTCACAGATAAAATGCAATTATCCACCAATGCAGAACTTCGTGGGATATTACCTGGGCATTCGTGATTACGACAGTCCGCCCGGCGCCAAGAATGGCTGCGGTCAATTACCCGGACACAACTCGCTCAATATGGATTTCTTGGACAGGCTTGGCTCCTTGGCCGCTGGCGGAGAGGAACGTCCAAGAGTGGGCCAAGAAATGTTGACACAATGTCTGTCGTGAATAGATAATCCGTAGAAAATGTGGTATCATCTCGACACAGCCCCGAAGCCAAGAGGTCTGCTACTCATGACTGTATCATGATCAGTGTGAGGGAGTTTTTGCTTTTCAGTTTGTGTACACTGTGATAGAAGGAACTCGAGGTATATTATATACTTGATTAACAACCACAATCTGCGAATTAACAAACTGCTTGAAGATAATGGTATAGCCCATGCATCATTCCTGGCCAGATCTCACATTGGTCGACCGACCTGCCCTTTTGAACCTGGCTTGACGACACAGACGAACCAACGATATGGCCTGATGCTTCAGGCTCTCTACCCGATGGCTCGCTCAGCATGCCAAGTGGGGTCGGCTTGTGCGGTGATTGGCTCGGTGGGCTCTTGGCTGAGGCTTGGCTTGCACCAAGACCCGCCAAGACTCGCATTTACTTGGCAGGTTTCTCTCGCTATGCGCTGCATTTCACGAATCACACTCAACCAGCCTTCGGATAACTGTCCCTTTTCAGTTGGCCTGAATTCGCCCCTCGTACGAGTCTAACGAATAGATTGAAATGCCAAGCAAGGCGTGAGTGATTTCGCGCGACAAGAAATTCCCCATCTTGGCCCGGTCTTGTCCTCCTCCCGCGGTCTGGGCGATTGCTCGGCGCGCGTGCCAATCCTCCCTTTCCTCCCCCTTGGCCCTTCCCCTTCCCCCATTTCTATTGTCTTTCTGTTCATCATTTTCCATAACACGTTGCCACTGCTTCTTATTGAGTGATCTCAGCGTCTTGAGTCGGTGCTAGAACGACATCTGCCCTTTGTTGGTCACCTCGGGACTCGGTCACGTATCCCGTCTCGCTCAGAGCCTTCTCTCTTTCGTTGGCCACATCATTTGCAATTTTTCTTCCTCATCGTATTCTGCAGCTTTTGGGGCCAGATTCACCCTACTGCGTTGCGATACATCAAAGTCTCAGCTGCTGCAGTCAAGCCAAAAAGGCAGAGAAAAGAAGTGGACCATCTTGACTAATTCTTGTTGTTTTGCCTAGCCACCCCCGACTTTACGCGACTCGGTGGCTCCCCCCTCTTCTTCCTTCTTCTCTCTCCCTTTCTCATCCTTACCTTCAACTTCTTGCAAACTTCAGCATTTGGCCACCCGGTATAACTTTACCCTAGTCGGTACATAGAACAAGTCAAACCGCTTCTTTTGTTTATTGATTTCGTCCAAGTTGATCTGATCTGGGGTCTTCCCGCTGAATACCAAGACTCCCTCACGTGGCTTGGCATCATGGCAGACACTGCTCCCGCTACAGCAGCGCCTCCAGCTGCTGCTACCACTGCACCAGCTGCCGCTCCTAGCCAACATCAATTCCAAACCACAACTCAACCTCAAGCTTCAGAGACTTCATCAGCCCAGTCGCCGAATGCGTCAACCGCGACCGCTACTAATGGGCAATCTCAAGCACCAGCACCAGCCCAGTTCCAGAGTCAGACCCAAACCCAAACCCAGTCCCAGGCTCAGGCTCAAGCTCAGGCAGCACAAGCACAGGCTCAAGCAGCAGCAGCTGTAGCTGTGGTCGGTAATCAAAGTAACACCAATGGCAACGCCGGCATTGAAGAGTTTCCCTGCATGTGGCAGGGATGTACTGAACGATGTGCTAATCCCGAGACGCTCTATGTAAGTTCTGTCTCTCTAGATTTGAGCGCCAGACTCTAATACAAATATAGGAGCACGTGTGTGAAAAACACGTGGGTCGCAAGTCCACCAACAACCTCAATTTAACTTGTCAATGGGGCAACTGCCGTACCACGACAGTTAAAAGGGATCATATCACTTCCCATATCCGGGTCCATGTGCCCTTGAAGCCTCACAAGTGTGAACTCTGTGGCAAAGCCTTCAAAAGACCTCAAGATTTGAAGAAGCACGTCAAAACACACGCAGATGACTCCGTCCTTATTCGGTCACCAGGCCCCACGGACGTGAGAGGACAAGAAATACCTTATGGTATGATGAACAACCCGAAAGGTTAGCTCTTTGTATAGAGCAGCTTGCTCTGATGTTTACGGATCTGGCTAACTTGATGGTCACAGGCTTTCCTGCTGGAGCCCATTACTTTGAACAGCCAATGAACCCGGTGCATGCTGGTCAAGGCTACCACCCACAAGCCCAATACTACCAGGGACAACCTCACCCTCAACCACCTAATGCAGCTTACGGTAACGTCTATTACACTCTAAATGCAGGCGACAACCACACTGTATATGATTCGCGAAAGCGCATCTTTGACTCTGTCAACGCATTCTTTGGAGATACTAAACGCCGCCAATTTGACCCCACGTCTTATGCTGCCATCGGACAGCGTCTTGGCGGCCTCCAAGGTCTGCAGCTGCCTCTCAATGCTGGCCCTGGAGCGGATTATCACATGGGCGGCGGCATCCCTGTAGGCCCAGGTGGTGGCTATGGACCGGCCTTGGCAGCACCGGCTTACCATCTACCTCCAATGACTAACGCCCGCACCAAAAGTGATTTGCTTGACCTCGACCGCATGCTTGAAACTATTCATACGACTGTCTACGAAAGTGATGATCACGTTGCTGCGGCAGGTATCGCTCAGCCCGGAGCCACGTACATTCCTCGAATGAGTCATGGTGGTACTACACATCAGACACCACCTATTACTCTTCCCTCTAGCCATGCCACAGCAACAACTACCAATATGTCAAATGCCTCCATCATAGCTGCAACATCCCCTGGCTCCACGCCAGCTTTGACACCGCCGTCAAGTGCAGTTTCCTACGCGTCCAGCCACCACTCGCCTGGTTCTTACTCGCATCGCGTCTCTCCTCCGCATGATCATGATATGGCCATGTACCCACGCCTGCCGTCAACCACTGCTCATGAGATGGCTGGTGGATACACAGCCTCTGCCAATGCTGCGCCCCCATCGACTCTCAGCAACAGTTTTGAATATAACGATCGCCGGCGATGGATGGGCGGAGTTTTGGAGAGAAGTCGGCCGGATGATTATGCCAAGTCTTCTATAGATGATATGCTTGAAGATGGCGAGCGAACTCCCACGCGAAAGGACCCTCTTGATCATGATAGCAACGAGAGCGATGATAAGTTCAACCACAATCTGATTGACCCAGCACTACAACAACAAGAGACTCGCTCGTCATCTTCACCGGATGCCGAAGCAGCTAAGCGCGCTGCCCAGGCTGCAACTGAAGCGACCCGACGAGGCGAGGAGGAATGGCTGGAGAACGTCCGCATTCTAGAGCAATTGCGCGCTTATGTCAGGGACCGACTTGCCCGTGGTGATTACGAGGAGGAGGGAGAGTCAAAGAGTGACAATGCAGCTTCTTCTGGCGCTGCAAGCTCTGAGGATGACCACATGGAAGGTGTGGAACACACCGAACACAGTCACTCTACGGAAGAGAGACAAAAGTCGGAAGACTCCAATCCACTTGCGGCATTGAAAGAATTAACGACGTCATCACCGTCGTCGACGCAAGGCTTATATCCCACATTGAAAGGGATAGAAGATGATGCTGAGAGTACGAAAATGGAGTAACCATTTATTTTTTTCTAAGGCCTTACTTTGTTGATTGTTGATGGCCAATTACAGGAAGTTATTTATTGGATGATTGAATCTCCAGCAAGAATTTTATTTCTAGTCCTCTTCTCAGTTTATGTTTTATATTTGGCTGTTTATGTCAATACTACCTCCAATATTCATGAAATGGTTTCGAGCTTTTTCTTACCTTCTTAGAAGATGTATGATTGCGGCTGTTCGATCGATCGTGTAACCTCATCGAATCAACCACCTGGAAGAAAAAGAATGTCTCCATACAGTTGGGACGGCGTTGTAAGTGTAGGTAGTATTCTTGTTCGTCTGTTTTCGACGTGCTAGAAGTGCTCGTAATCAAGCGATCAAATGCATGTCATGTTGATAGGCCGCGATAGGCTTAGCCGCATCTAGAGCAGATCGGTGGATCGATCGAGTGTGTATAATACTATAAGCGCAACAACAAATAAATAAGAAACGGGAATATTTACCAAACAATGCATCAGTGTTAACTAGATCGAGTATGTGACTAACCCATCTTTCCTGTTGGACTCGTCTGGCACAGCAGAAGTTGGCACGGAACCGTTTCCGGCGATGGAACCAAATTTCCAAATGCGGACACAGCCAGACACTCAACAGGAGATTCAGTAAGTATGCAGTCACTCCAAGTTGTATTTGCTTTTGTGACAGATTGTAACAACAAGAGAAATAAGCTTTTTTCTTCCTTATGCATATTCTCAGATTGAGACTAGTCGGGAATGTGGTCATTATAAGCGTATCTGATCTCGATAGAGTCGCACCAAGTGCGGTCATGTAAGCATGTTGCATAGATCTGAGTCGTCTTCAGAATCTCTGAAATAGTCTTGTTATCCTTCGCTTATTTCATCCCTTGTCTCTTGGACTTTTTTTTCCCGCCTTGCGCATTGCTTGTTTTGTCGTGTCGTTTTCTGGTGAACCCAAACAATCGGGTGTTAGGGCAAGCTGAGGTCAGATGGGCATTGGTCGAACCAGACTACAAAGTCCAGAACTTCGTCTACTCGTACCAGCAACTTTGACTCTACCAGCCAAAACAACACGAAAAGGAAGAAGTTTGGTTCTGTGTGGCAAAAGACCGGGAAGAAAAAACAAACAGACATCATCTCGCTGCGATCGGGCTGGTCAACAAGGCAAACTTTGTCGTTGTCGCCATCGCGCCGTCGCTTTTCTGGACTATCTGATTTTTTCTCTCGCTGTATTGCCGGTGCTTGGATACATCATACATGTCACTCGACCAGTAAACAAATACAGTGAGTATTTTTCTTTTTGTCTTTTTGCTCATGATGATTAATGTGGGAAGAAGGCCTGCCACGATTCATGATTCAGACTCCTCACATATTTTCTTTCTTTCTTTCTCTAGATCTCATTGTTGTGCCTACTTATTGTCACCCCATATGTTTATCATGGATACAGACCATGTACAGACAGAGTATTGACTATGATGACAGTGACACACGACTAGCCCAGCCTCATCAGTTAGTGGCCCGCCGATCTATTTTGTTCTTTCTTCTTTCCCGCCCGCCAACGGCTTCTTCCCACCCACCACAACAACCACCTTACTTAGACGCTTGCAACACTCACTACCTAGCCCTATCCATAGAAAAAAGCATTCAGAGCATTGATATTCGATAAGGAAATATTTCTCCGATCAGCAATCCAATCCACACTCGTCCCTAATCCGCCTCGCACGGCCTGTCGGAAACCAAACATGCCGCTGTCGAGTAGGCGTCGCACGCGCCGCAAAGACATCCAACTCCAAGAAACGTCCGACGCGGAGGCTCCGGATTCCTCTCCCAGCCGCCCAGCCAGCAAGAAGCGCAAGGTGAGTTATTTCTCTCGTGCTGTGTAAAATTAGCAGCGATAGTGCGGAGGAACTGACGCGGTCGCAGGTTGAAGCAAGACCGTCATCGCGACATGTCCACACGCCAGATCCCGCCTCCGCCGATGACGCCGATCGATCTTCCCCCGACAATGACCTATCGGCAAACCAAGACTTGGTAGAGACTGTGATCGCATCGTTGAATGTATCGAGAGACGAAGTGAATGTGTTGCGCGACTATTCCAATACTGAGACCGAGAACAAGCAATCTATCCAGGCATATGCGAAAATCGCCGGTCGTGACTGGACCTATTATGTCAAGACGGCGCATGTCAACATTGGTCGTCCCCCAGACCGCGAACAGAAACTTGACGAGCAGTCGAGTCCCGTCTCAATCGCCGCCCGTGCCCTGCCTGAAGTGCATCTCGACTTGGGTCCCAGCAAGTTTGTGTCACGACTCCATGCTGAGATTTTCTTCTACGGAGAAGACGAGGAGTCTTCTGCCTGGCATATTCGAGTCAATGGCCGAAATGGCGTGCGAGTCAACAACGCCATGCTCAAACGAGGATCAGACGCTATACTGAACTGTGGCGACATTATTGAAATCGCCAATACTCAAATGATGTTTGTCACTCCCGGCGACAAAGCAGTCATCCATCCCGCCTTTGTCGAACGCGCTCAACGTATTGCTGCAGGCGAGGAAATACCCTGGGACGCTTCGCAGCATGCGCACCCTACCACGTACAATGCACAGCAACCCGGTAGCGCTGTCGATAACGGTGTATATGCTGCCAACACTGGTGTGCAACCGGGCAAACCTTCGCTGGCTCCTGCTCCTCAATTTCTTAAGCGACAGGTCACTCCGCCTCCGCGATCTCCAGATACCGTCGGAGGCCAGACGGCAACTAAGCAATCGCCTTTGTATAATCGTGGCATGATGATGGAAAGTACCGAAGAGATTGATTACAGTCAGGATGCCGCCAAAGATCTGAAACCCCCATACAGCTACGCAACCATGATTGCGCAGGCGATCTTCTCGAGTGAAGAAGAGAAACTTACCCTCAACAGCATCTATCAGTGGATCATGGAGAAGTACGCATTCTATCGCCATTCTCAAAGCGGTTGGCAAAATTCTATTCGACACAACTTGTCCCTGAACAAGGCTTTCCAAAAGGTACCGCGTCGAACGGACGAGCCTGGCAAAGGTATGAAGTGGATGATTGCGCCGGAGCACAGACAGGAATATTGGAAGAAACAGTTGCGCAAAGGAAACAACTCATCTGCACCTTCGTCGCCAGCCACGAAAGAGCCCCCGTCTTCCCGCGGCACTAACGGCCATGCTGGCTCCAGCTACGAGGGAATATTTTCTGCGACAAAGACCTCTCCTCAAACCACATCGCCTGGATTCAGCTCATTTTCAGTTGCTCCAGTTGAAGCTTATACACCAGTAAGAGGATCGCGACTGGGACAAAGGGGAACTGATCTTGTGCGCAGTGGTGCAAACACCGACTTTGACGAGCAGTCTCCTCTTCCTACTCGGATTCGAAACACTCAGCACGAGAATGGAAATAACAGTCAAAACAATAGTGCCAGTAACGCCAACGACGGTACAACAAGTCGTGCATATGGACTATCAGGAAATGCTACGGGTTCTCCTCCAGTGCTCTCTTCTTCATATTATGACGAGGGTCCTTCGTCGATGATTACTCCAGCTCCTCAACGACATCAACCTCGGTTACCGCCACCAAGCACGGCTCAGATTCCGTCCAAGTTCATGCCTATGAGTTCGCCAGCACAGTTTTGGAAATTTGCCGATATTGGAAGCACACCTGCACGACTGGTGCCAGATATGAGCCCTTTGAAGGGAGGGACAATTAGGGCACTAGGGGACAGCTTGATGCCGAGCAGTAGCCCCCCACCACCGAATTTTGCTAGTCCCAGCAAACCCAGCACGTCGAATATGCGGGCTCTCGGTCCGATCAAGAAGGAAGAAGAGCCCGAGCAGATTCGGCATCATCGGTTAGCGGCTCCAGACGATGAAGAGGAGGAAGAGGAGGGATTCGATCTGGCGAGGTCAGTACATTTCATTTCATACCCAATAATTCAGCGACTAATGTTTGACAGAGGCTTTCAACCTATCGGTTCATACCATCGACAGTTGAATAACTCTGCACGAGCGAGTGCGACGTCTTAATCTTCAGCATCGCCATGATGTTATGTCCTGTTGCGCCATCTCACCAACTACTTTGAGAGCAATACAAGCAATGTACTAACTATTAGGGGGTTTGTCTAGGCGTTTCAGGCTTCGGGAGCTTATTTGTTTGATCTTGAGGTTATTTGCATGCTTGGTGTTGTGTTGGTTGCTTGTCATGTAATTGAAGCATGATTTTTTGTATTCTGATATGCAACATTGTATCATAATCCAGGTGCCCAAGTAGAATTGGATTCCTCTCAATGCGACATACTAAATCTATTTGAAGCTCCAGCCATTATCAGACCCATCACTAACAATCTCCACACTCCTCTTCTCATCCAACGACTTCCGACCAGCATGCAAAATCGCAGTGGTGGCAATCGTATTCCGCAATGTAGGTAATCCCCTCTTGTCGAGTTCGTCGAGCGTTACGCGTCCTTCGTTGAGCGCCGTGACAGCATCGATGAATTTCTCGAAGCTGATGTAGCCGTATCCTGTTTGACCGGCGAAGTTGCCTTCTTCGTCGGGGGCGTAGCGCATGTAGAATCTACCTGACATTAGCATTGTTTTGCCTTTGATCTGAGAGGGAGAACGTACGGGTTGTACCAGACGAGATGACCCTGCTCATCGTCTGCGACGTCGTAGCCACGCTTGGCTTGGTTGATGCGAATTTCACCCTTGGATCCCATATCTACTTCTGTCAGCCAACCGACTTGATCATCAAACAAACAAACAGAAAAGGAGAGGGCATACAGTGAAAGTACTGGTTTGAATGAACACCCGCCTTCTGCGGCGCTGTCCAACTCGCTGTATAAACACCCGTAGCCACCCGGCTTGGATCAGACTTCTTCCTCCAATCCACAAGTAACGTAATGGTATCTTCTGTTTCCGCAACACATCCCAAATCCCACGCTGTGCCCGTACTAGCCGACGCAGTGACCTTCACTGGCGTATATTCAGGGACCATACTCTCGCAGATATCCACATGGTGCGAGTTGAGGTAGTATGAGATATCACTGTCCTTTCCAGCCCAGGCCTTGAAAGTCTCAAGCTGAAATTTGGGTTGGCTCATATAACTGTAAAAGTAGTTGAAGTCGCCCAGTTTCTGGGCTTTGGCGCGCGCATCGGCATAGGCGGGGTCGAAGCGCTTGTGGTGCTCAATGAAGACGAAGACGCCATGTTTGCGAGATTCTTCGAGTAACTTCAAGTGGTCTTCTAGAAGCTTTGTCGCGGGTTTTGTGATAAGCACGTGGATTTTGCGCTGGATGGCGTACAGTGCGATTGGGTAGTGGGTTGTGTCCGGGGTGAAGATGGTGATTGCTGAGCCTGGCTCGAGAGCGTCAATGGCGGCTTTGTACGCGTCCGGGTCTGTCTGGTCGTCGGCTGGGAATGACTCAAAGGAGACGTCGAGGCCGTTGTAGACTTCGGAAATATTTTTATGGAGGTGTTGCTCTATACGAGTCAGTCATCCTTCTTCCAATCTGATGATGAAAAGTACGAACTAATAGCAGGAAACTTTCGTCCAGACACGCCCACCATGCTCAATTTGCCGACTTTGCCTCGTCGTCGCAAGTCGAACATGGTCAGTCCGACCACGCCGACTTTCTTGTCTGACCCGGAGGCGCCACCACCGACGAACCCAGTGGTGTACTCGCCTGTGCCGACCTGTTGCCGTCAGCGTGATCCATTTTTGCTATAAAAGGAGACTTACCATGAGAACACTTGGAGGAGCCATTTTGGTACTACAGACTTTTGGTAAATTCTCAATTGAAAGGGAGATTTTCCAGAATTATAAAAAGAATACAAAATAGAGAAAAGAGGTCAATTGATTAATGTACACATGACGCGACGGATACTTTAAAGCTCTCAATAGCCGACGGGCCAGATGTCAAGCTACTATGGAGACCTGATTGTATGGACGGAAAATACCACTCGGGCAGCTTGCACAGTCTTTTTCTCATTGGTTGTTTGGGTCTCTGAGGGAATCCAACAAGAGAGCCAATCTAGGATAAACTGACATTATCTCTGGTTTCGTCTTGTCCTCTGTATGTATTCTTTGGAGCATCTATAAAGAATAGATACTATCGGCTTTTGAAAGCTACAGTGCCCCGCTTCTGGCGCTCTCCTCTTCTTCGTTGGTATCTTCACGTCCAACTGTAAATAGTGACAGACAATTGATTTCATTGCACATTATATATAGAACATTACTCGGATCAATCACAACCTACGCGCAAGAGAAAAAAAAAGCGTCACATTGCGACTGAGCCTGGAAAATACCCCTCTGAGTGCCGCCTATCCCCGCACTTGGCTTCTGGCCGGGAGAAAGTCCGGAGCAAACACCCATTGGCGGACATTTGATCTTCCACCAATGAGATGGCTCAAATGAGATATCTTCTTCCTATTTGGCAGTCTGTCTGATGCGGAGATTCTGAAGTATAGTCGCTTCGCATACTAGAGCTGCTATGCTCGGGATAAAACCACCGAGTCGTCCGCGACTAGGGTAATTTTTCTATTTTCTTCTTCGTTTCTGCTTTTATTCTTTCTCGTCAGTATCTTGGTATTCGTACATTGCCTTCAAGAACAGTAGGTATAAGTCCAATCCGATGTTATAAGATTCATGTCTGACTGTCTATTAGATAAACCGAAAATGGCATCAAGAGCACCCCTCCGCCCCGGAGTCTACTGTCCCACAGTCACCTTCTTCCACCCCGACACTGAAGAACTCGATGTCTCTGCCATTCGCAAACATGCCGTCCGTCTCGCCAAAGCCGGTCTCGTGGGTTTGGTCACCATGGGTTCCAACGGTGAGGCCGTGCATTTGACCCGCGAAGAACGCAAGACTGTTACCCGCGAGACCCGCTCTGCTCTTGACGAAGCTGGATATAAAAATGTTACTATCATTGCCGGCGCAAGTGAGCAGAGCGTTCGTGGCACAGTCGAATTGGCCAAAGAAAGCGCTGAGGCTGGTGCTGAATATGTGCTCATTGTGCCACCCAGCTATTACCGCTATGCTGTCGGTAACGATGAGTCGATATATGAATTCTTCACTGCTGTAGCAGATCAGTCGCCCTTGCCGGTGATTCTGTATAACTACCCCGGCGCCGTGGCCGGTATTGATATGGACTCCGATCTCATTATCCGCATATCTCAACACCCCAACATCGTCGGAACCAAGTTCACCTGCGCAAATACCGGAAAATTGACTCGAGTTGCTCGCGCCCTCGATGCCATCACTCCCAAGTCTCCCTTCCCTACCAAACCCGTAGGACCCATCACAAAGACCGCCGCCAATCATCCATACGTCGCATTCGGTGGTATCGCTGATTTCACACTGCAAACACTTATCTCTGGCGGATCGGCCATTATCGTCGGTGGCGCAAATGTGATTCCTCGTACCTGTGTCCAGGTCTTTAATCTCTGGAGCGAGGGAAAGATTGCGGAAGCATATGAGCTTCAGAAGATCCTTAGTGCTGGCGACTGGGTCCTGACCAAGGCCGCGATTCCGGGCACAAAGCAGGCCATCCAGCAGTTCTATGGATATGGCGGCTATCCTCGCCGTCCGTTGGGTAGATTGAACGAGACCAGTATTAAAAGTCTCGAGAGTAACTTGCGGGAGGTTATGGAGGTGGAGAATGGGCTCCCGGACTTCGCATGAGCAACATCAGTATAGATTTCACAAGCAATGAAAGCGTATGTTTCCCTAAATGTATCTTCCTTTTCAGATGGATATAAAGTTATGAACAGAACAATAACAAAGAGTCAAAGTGATTCGGCCGATAAGCGACGCTGATAAAGATCGGACGTCCTCCGAGTCGATGGCGCGCGCTGGCGATCGGATTGGCTGGCGCAAGTGGCGGGCCGGCGGGAATTTGGCGGGATCGTTTCGGTGACGTCGAGAAGTCCGAAACAAAAAAAATATCTCAGGGCTCCCCCGCGATCAAATCCGTGCACCACTCCCCAGTACGTACTACTACGAAGAGGGTTGCCAGTGTCCACTCTTTGGCAGAAAACTCTAAGTGAAATTGTGACTGGCCAGGGTTATAACACAGAATTTCTTTGCGGGCCTTGTTTTCGCCGTCTCCTGGCCTCTGATCGCCAGACCTTCGCATGCGATGCTCGATGAATGCGCGCACAATGCTGCCCAATTCAAAGGCAACTGAGTTCGACTCGTACCTGGTGATTGGGATGGCAGACATTGGATCTTGGATATCTCGCCGCAAGATTGCCGCATTAAAGAACCCACCCCTAAAAAGTCAAAACGTCGAGTGACGATGCATGGATGCCCCGCTTGCTCGCCAATCGCTTTCAAGTTTCCGTAGCGACTAGCTAAGCTGCTCTTAGTATTCAGCCGAGACTGGACGCCGAGTACATGTTTCCTAGTGCAGAGGCTGTATCCAGATCAGCATTCCCTCAAGCCACCTGATAAGACCCGTCTGGCCGTCCGGCGTCTGCGAGCCTGTTAAATAAGAATCGCGTGCACCCCGTTGAATCATATTCCAAGTCAACTTTTATACCATTCAAATTCCTCCTCCCATATCTAGGCATAAATTAGTACCTCTCAACAACTTTCAACATGCCTTACCCAGAAGAAGCTCAGGGTTTCATGATCGATAGCCCCGATACATGGCTATCGTTCCAGAAGCGTCATGTAAGCGACAGGAGATAGTGTCGGAGAAAGAGTCTCCCGGCCGAGTGCTAATCAAGTCGCACAGTACAAATTGAAACCTTTCGAAGATTATGGTAAGATTCGGGAACATTGGATTTCACACCCACATCGTGACTGACAAATGAGTCAGACGTCGACGTCAAGGTCGAGGCATGCGGCATCTGTGGAAGTGATGTTCACACCATTAGTGGTAAATATACCGAGACTGTCAGCTCATGAAAGAACATTTGACTGACTGCCGCACAATAGGTGGTTGGGGATCCAACCAAAACTGGCCCTTGTGTATCGGACATGGTACGTAATATCCTCTTCGCCTTTTTGGCCCGACGATCGCTACTAATTGTCTTTTAGAAATTGTCGGCACCGCGATTAAAGTCGGACCGAAAGTCACAAATGTCAAGGTAGGCCAGAGAGTCGGTGTTGGCGCTCAAGTATTCTCCTGCGGCGAGTGCAAGCAATGCAAGAACGACAACGAGACCTACTGCCCCAACATCATTATGGACACGTATGGCTCCAAGTGGCCCGAGACTGGAATCATCAGTCAAGGCGGTTACTCGTCCCACGTGCGAGCCCACGAACACTGGGTCTTCGCCATTCCCGAAAAGCTCAAGACCAACTCTGTCGCTCCTATGCTCTGCGCTGGTATCACTGTCTTCTCTCCTTTGGTGCGTAATGGCGCTGGCCCCGGAAAGAAAGTTGGTATTGTTGGTATGGGAGGCATTGGACACTTCGGTATCATGTTTGCCAAGGCACTTGGTGCTGAGACCTGGGCTATCTCTCGTACTCGGGCCAAAGAGGCTGATGCCCGTAAAATCGGTGCAGACGGATTTATTGCTACCTGCGAAGAGGGTTGGGAAAAGGAACACCAATTTTCTTTCGACCTTATTGTCAATTGTGCCAACTCATCGAAGAACTTTGATCTTGCCAAATACCTTTCCATGATGGATGTTCACGGTAGATGGGTCAGTGTCGGTCTTCCCGAGGAAGAAGGACAAGTCATCAAGGCTCAGAACTTGATATCGAATGGTGTTTTGATTGGTGCTAGCCATCTTGGTAGCCGCAAGGAGATGATCCGCATGTTGAACTTGGCCGCTGACAAGGGACTTGACAGCTGGGTTGAGACTATTGACATCAACGAGGAGAATCTCAAGGAAGCTATGCAGCGCATGAAGAAGGCCGACATTCGGTATCGCTTCACGTTGACTGGATACGACAAGGCTTTCCCAGATGCTTAGACGAGACAAGTACAAAGATAGATGGATGAAAATGGAAATAATTCATTAGATTCAGTGAAGTTGAAGAAGCGATACTATTGGCAGTAGATAGCTAGGGAAAGAAGTAAAAGATTCCCAAGGTCCTTCGCTCTCTCCTCTAAGTTCCCATGTTCAGTCACATGATCTCACTCTCTCTTGGACTTCACTCCGTAGCCCATGAGAAAACATAATCGCGAGGTCAGACCGAGATAGACAAATGGAATATTGCCCCAATCCATTGTATTCCATTGAGTGATATCGCAATAGATGCCTGGCCCGAGAGGTGCTACGCTGATCAAATGGCCGATGTCAGCTATTGCAAGATTCAGAAGGAGCATTCTCCAGACTCTTCGGTCGGTGGTGACCCGGAGAACCAGCGCTTCGTTTAGGGCGAATAGCAGATACATGTTGGCAAGTTGTCGCAGCGATACATGGATACCAAGTGGGAGGATGCCAATCGACGACGGCAGGTGCTCGGTCATGGCGAGATAACGACCGGGATACAGGCCGGCGCAGATGGCCCCAAAGAGAGCAAATAGCGGTTCAATGAACAGAAAAAAGACTCTGTAGTACAGGGCAATCTCATTTGACGCCATTGTGTTTGCAGGTACGACGTTCTCGATGATCAGATATGTTTATTGGTAAATTATGGTCGAGTGTAGGAGGTCCACTCGTAGATTAACCCCAGATTCCTTCTCGATATTTGATGAAACAATGACTAAACTGTAAACAGCCGGCCCCAGATCATAGACCCTTGTCCCTTGAAAAAAGAAAAATTATAGAAGATTAGCTGAAATCAATTGGCCACTACACTGAGTCGAGCATCTGATCTGAACGCCCCATGCTGACAGGACGAATGGACTACACGAGATCGGATCATAAAACTTCCTTTCAACTAGGGAATGGAAAAGAATTTTCTTCTCATCTGGCCCGACTACGTGCATGTAGTCGGTCGCAACCGTAACGATGACCAAATAATTGGTTCTTGGCAGGATGAAGAAAAAAAAGGATGAGAAAACAGAATTTTACGGAGAAGGACAGAAACGGAAGAGGTCAGAGTGCCAGAAAAGAAAATTTTGCGTGTGAGAGTTGTCGAATAATTATGGACGGTGATTTGGCAGACGTAAAAATTAAAATAAAAATTTGGGGCAACGCCACCCCGGACATCCCAAGGGGGCACCTTGCCTCTTCAGGTGACTGCCATCACATCCTCATTTACCTACCTCTCATCCCATTGCCCTCTCGCGTTTTTTCTTTTTACTTGTTTCCAGACTTACCTTCACCCTGTCGGTCTTTCTTTTTGGACTATATATTTTTTCTTCTTTTCCTTCGTCTCACGTCCTCTTCTTATCTGTTCTTGTCATCCTATTTCGGTGGTCTTTTCTCGGTTTTGTTGTTCGGCTTCGACTTGGGAGTTCCTGGAGCGCCTCCTCGTTACCCTTTTTGATTTCATAGATCCATTTATTTCCCTGGCAGACCTACTCCGTACATATCATAGCCTGCACCCTCACAGTACCCCTTACGTCCTGCTTGAAACTCATCTATACATTCTTTCTCCACACTGTACTTTCTTTTATTTAGATTGCGTCCTCGCACGAGCACTCGTGGTCGTGCCATCGCCAGAACACCGATTCCGTTGCTGCCTCACCACTCAACCCGACGTTTCCCTCGATCATGACACTGCACGACTCATACCCTCTCCGTCCGACCCGGAGACGACCGTCGTTGCTTCTACGTGCTCGACCGAAGACTGCTGGTCCTGGGGAAATGCCTGGCGCAGGCGTTCCTTGGATGAACCCCGGTCCTTGGGCCCTGAATCCGTCCTTCAACACCGGCGACGACAGTCAAATCAGTCTTTGTCAACAGGAACATGAATGCAATGGCGTATTTGAGGAGATCTCTGTGTTTCCCGAACCGACACCACGTCATCGCACAGCAAAGAGCTTCTCCAGCATCCGTCATAGCGTTGACGGCCTGCGTGCGCTCGGCCGACGTCTCTCAGTGACCATTAGAGGGAAAGCCCCGAAACACAATCTTCATGTATCTCAAGGAACCAATCGATATGTCGACGAGGAAAAATCCTCAGGCGTTGCTCCAGAGGGAAGACACCGAAATGCTTGGTTCAAGGGGCATAGCATTAATCGCCGCCCATCGCTCCACAGTGTTTCTGCGCTGCACTCTTTCTACGCGCCGACTGCAAATGTTGCCAATTTTATTCCTGGCATGGGGTTTGAGCCTCCCGTTTTCTCAGACAATTTATCTGGAGGTGCTGCCGCTCGGGCTGCCGCCGCAGCCCAAAACGAGATGGCCAAAACAGGCCGAATTCTTTCCCCGGGAGATTCAAAAATTTTTGATACAGAAAGTGGAATTGGATTCGATCTGCGTGATCGTTCGGATTTGTCAGATTCCGAGACAGCTGTTGTACGATTAGGTTAGTTCAATCTTTGCGAACACTGCTCGTGCGAAAACCAGCTAACACCATATTCAGACCCCGTTGATTATCTACCTGCCGAACTCATTTCTCATGTATTCTCATTTCTGAACCCTGCATCACTAGTGCAGCTGGAGGCGGTTTCGAAATCTTGGAACAAAGCCGCTTCGTCGCATCATGTTTGGCGTAACGTTTTCCGCCAGAACTATGGCTTCCGATCGTCCTCGTCTACTGTGACAAGGAAGATCCAATCGGCCGGATTAGGCAAGACACTGCCTAATCAAGATTGGAAGAAGATGGCAATTGTCCGAAGAAATTTAGATCAGCGTTGGAAAGACGGCAAGGCAGCAGCCATCTATCTCAAAGGCCACACCGACACTGTATATTGTGTCCAATTTGACGAGTACGTTGGCTTCCCCTACTCTTGTTGTGGCAATTTCTGACTATGTACTACTACAGACACAAGATCATCACTGGGTCCCGCGATCGCACGATTCGCATTTGGGATGCTCATTACCCGTGGCCATGTCTAAAGGTCATTGGCGCGCCTGCTACACATCAACAACGCCAGTCACCATCAAATAACGCGAATCCACAGCCTGTGGACAACCCGCCGTTTTTTTCTATTTGCGCACCAAGCCAGCAGTGGACTGATGTTGCCGACCAGTCAATTCCGTTATCTGATTGTCACAACGCTTCAATTCTGTGTCTTCAGTATGACGACGAAATTATGGTCACTGGATCGTCTGATTTTACCTGCATTGTTTGGGATGTCAAGAATGATTACAAGCCAATCCGGCGACTCGTGGGTCACAGGTCAGGAGTTCTAGACTGCTGCTTTGATGATCGATACATTATTTCATGTTCCAAAGATACGACAATATGTGTCTGGGATCGAGAAACAGGCAGATTGGTCAAGAGACTGCTTGGCCACCGGGGACCAGTTAATGCACTGCAGTTGCGTGGAGATCTTCTGGTCTCCGCTAGTGGGGACGGTGTAGCAAAGCTGTGGAACATCGCATCTGGCCTCTGTGTCAAAGAATTCTCGAGCAAGGACCACGGACTAGCCTGTGTTGAATTCACCGAAGACGGCCGAACCATCTTGGCTGGTGGTAATGATAAAGTGATATATCAATATGATGCCAACAGTGGTGACATGGTTGGGGAAGTTGACGGACACAATGGGCTAGTTCGGTCTCTTCATTTGGACAGTTTGAACAACCGCCTTGTCAGCGGTAGTTATGATTTCAGTGTCAAGGTCTTCGACGCGACTACCGGAAAGATGACCATTGACTTCCCTGGGTGGACAACGAGCTGGATTTTGAGTGCCAAATCAGACTATCGTCGCATCGTAGCTACGAGTCAAGATGCTAGCGTCGTTATTATGGATTTTGGATATGGATTGGACGGCATAGAATTGCTGGAAGAGTAGGATAGATTTCGCCTGTTTTTACTTGCTTTTTAGATTCCCCTTGAATGTGCTTTCATTCTCCGTTCTGTACATGTTCTGTTCATGCCACTTTTCTCTTCTTGCATTGGCGATTTCTTTCCAGCCTGTTGAAAACATCTTGTAATTTTGATGATATATATTCATTTCTTGCCCGCATTCGAGCGACCACCCGAGTTGGAGTTCCTCGGTTGGGACTGCATTCTTTGCTTTGATCATATCCTGCCTTTGTGACCAGTCTGTCTCCCTTGTCCTTGCATTCTTTATAGAACATGCGTTCTGCCCAAAAGTTGCCTATAGACATGGCATGCGATAGAGTCGCTACATACACATGTTTTCTGTTATTTGATTCTCTATACAGATACATCTTTCCTTACTTGGGGTAGATAGAATTGCTTGATGTGAATTGATATACTATTACACAAGAATCACAAATCAGAGAAAGAATTTCCTCCTATACTAAGTATATTCATTCGGAAATGACTTTGGTAGGTGATTGGCGGCAGTGTTTACATAGGCTTGGCGCGGCTTTAGATCTGGTGGGGAACAATCAGTCCCGGCTGTCAAAACAAAACAAAACTTTGCCCTCTCCTTATCCCCCTACTCTCTTCGCATCTATCGTTCGAAAACCCCGAGACTCGTCTCGTCTTCATATATTTCGTTTGTCTATTCATTTCCTAGACAGTCTTCGTCTACATATTTTTTCCCTTGCGCTTGAGGTAAAAAAGGACGATCAAAGTCATTTGTTTTCCTTTCTCAAAATTCATCTTGCACATMCCCCGCCATGAGTGAATCAAGGTAAGTCGAGTGTCTAGTCGCATGTCTGCGATTATCGCTTCGGACTATCTCGAGGCGGACAGCAATACTCACTATGGTTTAGACAAGAGCTCCTAGCATGGTTGAACAACCTTCTGCAGCTCAACATCACGAAAGTTGAGCAGTGCGGCACAGGGTACGTCAAGTGTTCCCCCTTGTAGTAAATGGGTATAACCTGATTCTAACTATCATGGCGATGATTATAGAGCTGCTTTCTGCCAAATATTCGACTCGATTTTCAGTTAGTCCCCGACCACATCTACCATTCGCTCGCAATATAAGGAAACAGCTGTAGGGGCCATACACGTACTGACTTCTATTTGCGTGTTTTAGTGGATGTGACTATGAACCGTGTCAAATTCAATGTCAATACCGAATATGCATACCTTTCAAATTTCAAGGTCCTTCAGAGTACGTACTTAGCATGCATTCAAACCCGTATTCTACTTAAAGGAGTCCTGCTGACTTGCTCTTTACAGATACGTTTAAGCGTCACTCAATCGACCGACCGGTCCCTGTCGAGTCTCTAGTCAAATGTCGCATGCAGGACAACCTCGAATTCCTCCAATGGGCCAAAAAATTCTGGGACCAACACTACCCCGGCGGTGACTACGATGCTGTAGCTCGTCGCAAAGCATCAGGCGGACCGGCCACATCGGCAGCTCCCATAACAGCTGCACGCACCAGCAGCGCCGGCGCTCGACGCGGCACCACTCCCACCGGCGCAGGCGTTCGACCTCGTGTAGCAGGCGCAGGAGCGGGACCAGGCGTTGCAGCTCTGAACCAGGAGATTGCGGCACAAAAGGAAGCCATTGCGGGATTGGAGAAGGAGCGTGACTTTTACTTTGCGAAACTGCGCGATATTGAACTGTTGTTGCAGACTGCCGTTGAGGCTGATCCGGAGTTGGAGAAGGATGAGGATTCGTTGGTGAAGCATATCCAGGGCATTCTTTATTCGACTGAGGTATGTTGTTGTCCTGTGCAGGTTGTTGACGAAGAAGGAATTGCTAACAGCGCATATAGGAAGGGTTTGAGATTCCCGCAGAAACCGAAGAAGGACAAGAGGAGCTGGAGACGTTCTGATCGCACAATTTTCCGAACTGCCATCGTTGTTCGCACTTCTATTTTAGCATTTCTACCTTTGTTCTTTGATTATACTGTCTGAATACCCTCCTCCTCCTCAACCCTACCGCCCTTACGCAGCATCAGCCTCTGTATCTAGCCTATTCTACATCTTGCCGCAGCACCAGACTGTGCTTGAGTAGTTTCACCAGAAAACCGCAATTACCTTCAGTCCTGTCGTTGGCGGAGAGAACCGTAGTTGCAAAGCCCTAAAATAGTTTACTATGTCGTTAGCGGAGCCATGGATGAGTGACGTCGGCTGCAACGGTTACGTACAGAGGTACGTATGTTAGCGTCTTTGTTAGGTAAAGCCGTACATACGGCGTAACGCCATGACATGAATTGCTACTTACATAGTAGTATCTACGGCGATGTGTCTGCCATTGCCATCCTCAAACACAATCAGCTCACATAGTGCACATAGATCTTCTTCTCTTCGTCACTTAGGCTCGCATTAAGTCACGAGATCTATGTGGCTCCGCGGTCTACGTACTGGGCCTAGCTGAATGCTACCGTGGAGTAGACGAGGATTGATGTACCCTCGACTCTGTAATTGCGATCTAAGCTAACTATCCAGTGACTGCAATCAATGTCATGAACGATGATGTGATTCTCCATGTCGACAAACCCTTCCGGCTACTGAGTGCGTAGTCGTACGCCATAAATAGACACGAGCGTAATTAATGACAATATATGAGCCGTGTGTGGCAGCAAACAGCCAAACACTGGCAAACAGAACGGATGAAGAGTGGTAATCTTACGCGGCAAGGATTATCTAATTAAACATTGTACTGCTTGCGGTTTAGCGTCAGGAACGGTGGCTGCCAAGACTGGGTCTGGCGAAGTTAGTTTGACGTTTTGATTTCGATACAGCAATACAACAACACAACACCCATACATACACTCGTACGTATATATTATTTATATATTCTATGTGGAGCAAATACATACATATACCAGAGTCAAGACAGAATACAAGTGTATCGCCCAAAATGAGCTTATGCACAGCACCCTCGGTCCGTAAGTGCTAAGTACGTAACAATCAATAATTTCAGGGATCCCCGGCCAGAACGGAAAAATTACCCAAAAGCTGGGGCCGATCGGATGCTCCAGCGATGCTGATTGGGTATACCCACGGTCCAGAACGAGACACGGCACCGCCCGTCTCTCATTCACCAAACTAACCACACCAAACTCTCCTCTTTTCTTTTTGCCTCCCTCCTTCTCCTCTATCTTGCATTCCCAACTTAGCAATCGCTACCTTTGCTTCAATGATGTTGTGCTTGGGTCAGGTATTTTGTTCTACCTCCCGCCCTGCCATAAGCATCATGTGTTAGGTATCTGTTGATACGTGTCGCTCCTTTCGTCAGTCACTCCTCGGTTTCTTCTCTTCCACGGTCTGTCCGCTCTACCTTCGTTCGACCAATATCACGACTGACCGCAACCTCAGACGGACAGTCCGACTTTCTTCCTGTCGATTTATCTATCGATTATTTCTCCTGTTGGAGTATCCTTTCCTTTAGCTGCAGGTTCATTCGCTGCCCGCCGGCCGTCCACTCCTTGTCATCACATCACAATCGATGTCTCTTTGCGATCACACACTCTCTCGATTCGCAGCGCGGCTTTTTCATAGTCTCTATTCTCCTATCTACGATTTAACCTTCGTGCGATATTCCAACCTATTTTTTCTAGTGCCCAAGCAACCTAATTGAGTATTGTCTTAAATACGAATGCTGGAGTCCGTGTGCAGCCTGGACTGCCGGCCATTGTTTGAGATCGACATTGTCAAAAGAAAGAAATTTATCATACGGCAGAGGGTCTAGAGGGGGGACTTTGCCGGAACCGGGCGACAACCCCGAGGGTCGTGTGGCCGATAATGACCCACCATCACCACCACCATCATCATGGAGGGCAACAACCCCGGATGAGTGCTGCAGCGAGGAGGAAACTGAATACACCGGTCCGATTCAATTACGAACAGCAGCGCGTCGACAGCGATTATACAGGTGCACCACATACAGATCCCAAGGAACCATCAATCGGCCACTTCGACGCTATAGACGTAGATCGTGACTTACTTCGGAGAGATGTTGAAGTGACGCAGACTGTGACAGCGGTTGTGGCCACCGCAATCGATGTGATTATCGAAAGCGGGTCGCAAACCATCGCCCAAGTAACAGTTACATCACTTCCAGCAGTTGTATCTGTTCCAACGTTGGGAGTAATAACTATTCCAGCAGACTCCAATACTCCAGCGGCCGTAGCAGCAGCGGCAGGGACTGCCGGTCTCGCGCATCAAATACCTCTTGGATCGTCAGCCACGTCTGCTTTAACTACAGTACTTACAACACAAGCGTCTTCCCCTACTCAAACCACTCAGTCAGACTTAACTTTATCAACCTCATCACCTACTAGCGCTGTATCGACCACTTCTACAACTTCTACCACTTCTACACAATCCGAAACATCAAGCTCGTCTTCCTCCTTCTCCTCCTCCTCCTCCTCCTCCTCCTCCTCATCAACGACTACCGCCTCACTCACATCTTCAGAATCTTCGACCACATCATCCTCTTCAATACCCTCAACTACCAGTCTCTCATCTTTAACATCCACGGCCGGTTCATCAACCGGTTCTTCTGTTACTTCATTTTCCAATTCAGGACATACAACCTCCAGCGGCACACAATTCCCTTTATCAACTTCAACAACATCAGCTGCCAGCTCATCAGGCAGTGCTTCTGACACAGGAAAAATTGTTGGAGGTGTAGTTGGCGGAGTGCTTGGGTTATTAGCGATCCTATTATTAGCATTTCTGCTTCTGCGATGGAAGAGGAAACATGCACAACCGGCCGCTGGTGCTACGGAGGGTTCCTCGAGGGATATTCAGGGCGGTACCGGACCTCGTTCAGCTGAAATGATGTCCCAACGTTCGAGTAATACACCTATAGCAGCTGCCGCCGTCTTAGGTCGATGGGCCTCTTTTTCTTCTCGCCGCTCTGCGCCGCAAGAAAACCCTTTCATGGCACCAGGCGAGCGAGGATTCCAAAAAATATCCGGTCGTAAAATCCCCTCTGTACTTCATACAGGTGGAAACGGATATGGAGATGGGATCGAAGAAGAGGTCATCCCAGGATTACGGACTCCGCCGCTTGAAACGACCAGTCCGGTGTCACCAGTCAGTGCCATTGGTGGCGGAAGTCACCGCCATGCTCCAATGCGAGATGATTTCATTACGGCGGGTGKAGGAGCGGGCGCATTTGTCTTGCGACCATCTCCGGCTCGAACGCCGACAGCGAGTTCAGTTGATCTGACAGCTCAATCGCAATCGACTCCGTATGGGACCTCCCCTATGCGACCTGATCCATTGGGACGAACACTGTCACGATACGATGGAAGCCGAAGCAGTCGCTTTACAGAGGGCATCTGAGCAACCATATCACCTGAATCATACGAATCACGACCTAATCTATATTCTGGACATGTACTTTTGTTTTCTATATCCCATTTTCACAGCTATGGTACCTTTGACCTCCATAGTCGTTCTTCATACATACCCGATATCTTTCAAATGTTTATAGTGCCAACAGTCGACCTGTCCACTCGGCTATCTACTTGCTGGATGCATTGTATTTTTACTTTTGGGATTTATACCATTTAATACATTTATGTATTTTTTAAGTTTGCAGATCGTGCGATCGAATAGACTTTGCCCATCTAAAGCTTATCTGATACAGCTTCACTAGGGCTTATGGGTACATGCATAGTTCCATGTACAACCCATGGCAACGTAACATCTCCTCCATGCCTTTGTCTAGTCTATGGAATAATCGAGTACCTGATACAATGCCTGCAGGAAGTCACTCCATGTATCACCAGCACTGCACGTGACAGTAGTGAGGTATGGCACTGTTGCACAGACGCAATTTTGACTTTGAGGAGTGATTGAAAACATTCTGGAATGTTTCCCTGTTTGGTGGTATGCATATATCTTCTATATCAGCCACACCAGCTTGCCCGTGGTATGAAATGCGTAAAGGGTATGGATTTTGCACGAGGGTAACGTCTAAACATTTTAGTCTTTCTGGCTCAACGATATGAGCCTTGCAGTGGATGCCCGCGGTTCATGGGTTGCATCCTTGTTCATGGCCGGATTCCTATCTCAAACATATTACAGGATAAATGTTTGTTTATTTAACTGACAATAGACAGGGAAACGAACACTCTTTGAGTGGCCGGTAATTGAAAGATTGAGAGACTGTTATGTATTGGGATTAAAATATACACCATCTCCAAACTCAAACGCTATATATCAAAGTTTCGGCTTCGACTAATGGAAGAAATGAGGTTGAAGGCACAAAAGGCCCTGCCGCCTAATATACATGGCCTCATTTGGATGCTCGTGGCCTGTCACACGGAGGCCGTAACCAGACTCCAAGGGCATGCCGACTAGAGGATCGGAACCGGCACAGCCCAAAGACTTCGTTCTTGTATTACAGCTTAATTGATAGCAGTAAAGAGAAGTCGCTGGAAATCACAGCATCTTTACAAAAGATGGATAGAAAAGGAGTTGATTTATATGCAAAGCTCAGCAGGCGACAGAATTCTTGAGTCCCATCATTGACAACAGACTCAAGTCAACAATGCTGACCCTCTTCCTACTATCCTCCTATCCTTTGTTCGACTACCTGTGAGCCCTCCCAACAGTGTATACCATTTCGAGATTCCCTCAGTTAGGGCTAAGTGGACATCCTGAGTTGGCCAATGTGTTGGTGGAGCGGAGGGCTTCCGGAGTGGTCGAGGTTAGAGTTTGAAGATCTATATCACGATATATACAGTATTACGCCAAGCCGAAATCTGATGGGCTAGCATATGAATGCTTAAGTGCATGTAATTTAAGATGAGTGTTGGCCATCCTGGCAAAACAGGATTCTATCGACCGAAATATCCAAAGGGAGGTAGGAAAATGCAAGAAAGTCTATTGTCCACCAAGAAATCGTAAAGAAAAGTGCAAAAAAGAGTGTCATTTATTAATGAGTCGCCATCATTCCCTCCTCAGGCGTCACTGGCTTGGACTCTTCGTTGGGAGCAACTGCATTCTCAGAGTCGGTGGCAGGGGAAGGAGCGAGGGGGGCCTTGGAGCCCATTTCGGGAAAGTAAAGTCCCGGGGCGAAAATAGTGAGGAGGATAGCTGGGTAGAGGACCATTCTTTCGACAGTTAGTAAGAATGTCTTTCCAAACAGGAGAGAAAATGACTCACGCTCCCTCGAGGACGTAGAAAAGAACCTCGTTACGCATTATTGCGTTGCTGCAAAATTATCAGTATAAGGTTGACTTGAGAATAGCAAATACAAGACTTACCCCCATCCACCGGCCATTTCGGCAACACTAAGACCGTTAGCTGAGCGTCCTATGCTAGAGAAACGGAGAAGAAACATACCGATAAATACACCTGATCAAAATGCCCGCATATGCACACGCAATCGCGGAACAGAAAACCCTGAACCTTCTGGAATACCAAATCTGGGCCTCCGCTGAATTTCTGACCTTTTCTGACGGGTTTTTGAAATGCTTCCTAGCCGCGATGAAGAAGTCAAGCGAAAACAAGCCAAAGACAGCCAAATTGACAACTTGCAATGCAATACCAGCGATAATGATGTCGTTTCCGGTCTTGAGAGTCTTTGCGTCGATGGGTGTCTTGTCGGAGGCTGCTGCATCGACACCACCGCCGACTCCCTGCAAGCAGAGACAAAAGACGTCAAAAGGGATGAAGATCCAAGTGTAGAGTCGAGGGGTGATGCGAGAAAAGTCTGGGCCAACTGTGCGCGCAACGTGTTTGAGGGTGAGATAGATGCCGGCGCAGATGAGGGTGGGTGCAAGGATGATGCAGACGAGATCTAATTTGAAGCCTGGGTCGGACCAGGGGTTGGAGTGCATCAGGACTCGACCAATGTACCCTACGCCAGTTAATCGAGCTACTCCATACATATCCTTCTTCAACACCTGAGTGAGTACTGACCACATGTCTCGAGGGCAAATCCAGCAAATACAACCACGCCAAAGACCCAGGTCTTTTTCCATAATCCAATGCCCAAGGTGAAAATGGCGCAAAGTGCATACACCACGACGAAGAATACATTCGCGCCCAGGTTAGGGTAATAACCCAGAGTGGTCGCTGAGACGGGGCAGTCCGCCGAGACTTCGGTGCAGCTCGCGTGGCTGGAGGGCATGTTTGCGATCTCTCTGTCTAATGGAGATGATTTAAAGTTGAATACCAATTCGAAGAGTGAAAGGAATGACGGTACCAGGATGACAGATATCCAGGCGGTGTTACCGTGTTGCACGGCTGAAATAAAAGTGAGGGAAGTTAGGCTGATTAATAAATAATAACGAAAATTAACATAACTACTATGGAGTATAGTACGAACAGTAAGATGGGTCTCCACATGGGACCGTATACTTCGCATCGTCTTGGGACTGGACCATCGGCTCCAACTACGTAGCGCCGGTGGTGGAAGCGATGTAATGAACATTCGCTCACTTCCAAGGTTGATACACGCAGTGAGATCTCGGTGACCAGTCACATCGCGTTCGTTCCGTGGTGGAGTCCTAGTTTAGTGCAGTTTAGTGCTGTTGGATACGACAATCGCGAGCTGGCCCGGAGGATTTGTCGTTGCTGCTGCAATGCCAAGGTGCCGATTCAACTACAATAATATGCATGACCATCAAGTCAAGTTATCATCGTCTCTATCCTACTATGTATGCAACCGGGCGGAAACAATCCGGCTTTAGGTTTGTTTGCTGTGGAATATTCCATTTTGCAGGGCTCGTATTCATCGTATTCTTCGTCTGGCGTACTTCCTTTTTCGGTTAGCCACCTCCGCCCGATGGCCCCCGCCGCCCTGAGATTAGGGTTAAGACTTTTCTGGATCTTTCCTCATCTTACCCTATGCTTAAGTCGCGTATGTAGACTCCTTCAACGAAACTCATTCCTATGATACTTGATGTATAATTCGACGACTCTAGCCTAGATCAATTTGATTGCAAACTCCATCGCATGACGCCATGGTATCATACCCTTCCGAAACAGAAAAACAGCTTAATAGTACACATAACCAGTAGAAAATTTATCGCCGTCCACCGCCCACTCGCTCTATACCATCTGGCGCTTTCTTCAGCTTCACGCGACACTCGGGACAGAACCATTTTGCGCGTCGACTGGGCGGCTCTTTCAGGCCAATGCATTCGAGATGGAACCATTCACCTTCGCACTGTGATACTGTTAGAATCAAGTAAGTTGATTGAAGACTGAGACAACTTACATCAGGGTTCTCGCAATTAATCATCATGCCAAAACTGACATCCTTGCAGAGACAGTATCGTGGCTCATTCGGGTCAATCTTCTCCAAAACACCGTCCTCATCAATCCGGTAATCCTCGCCCTTGATTGTTTCCTTGCCTGGTGCCCGTCTTTTGGGTTTAGATTTGCGTTTGCCGTGGCTGAGAGTGGCTCCGCCCTCTAGACTCGAAGAAACAGGTCCCGGCGCGGGCCGCTTCTTCCGGCGAGCGCCTGTGCCTACTGCGGTAGTGCCTGAATCAGGTCCTGGCGTCTTAGAAGCTGGAGTGACACTCTTGCGCCGGAGGTGTTCACGTGAAACTCCCATCAGTGCCGCGTTCATCGCGCTCCCTGGCTCGATAGAAGTTGCCGCCGAACGCCGTCTCGATGATGGCCGAGTTGTTGGAGGTGTTGGGGTCGCTGCGACCTTGAGAGTCATAGAAATTGTTTCTGGACCATTTTCAAGAGTTGTAGAAGCGGCCGATCGTGCCCTGGTCGGCGGGGGGCTAGATGATGAAGGTTTAAGAACCTTGGTGGTAGTATCCAACACAGGTTGAGACAAATCTGCCGCAACGCTTGTCGCTTCCGTCGAGAGAATTTTGCCAGTGTTGCGCTTTTTGGACGGCGGTTTTGCTGATGTAGGCTGATCAGATCCTTCCACAGAGGGGTCCTCTTCCGCCTTTCTCTTTCGAGTAGTCTTCGCCCTACCCTTTGCAGGGGTAACAGGCGCGCCATTGGCTTTTGCGGAATCTGTACCAGCGACATGATCGTTTTCGCCTTGCGTAGAGAACAAACGCTTAAAGGTAGAACCGATATCACTTATCCGTTTGGCGGCCAGCTCTGCTTCTGCCGCAGCCGCAGCCGCAGCTGCAGATGCAGCTTCTTGCTCCSGAGCCATATTCTCTCGCTTCAGTCGTTTGGCCTCATTTAGAATCATACCGCGGTTGCTGGTTTTTATCTCTTCTGCTGCAGACATATCAGCAGTCGCCTCGCTCTTGCGGATAAGCTTTCCCGGTACATAAGTGTTTTCGATATCATCACAATCGATAAGTTCTTCTCCAGTGGCCTGAGCTTTCGCTTTCGCTGCCCGATACCCTTCCCAGCCTCTTCCGCCTGTCGCAAGTTCACGATTGATCATAATTTCGCTTGGCTGCCATATCGCGTTCTTTTTCATTTTCTTCCGTAGCTTGGTCATCTCCCAGTCGGTAAGTCGGAGCCAGGGCAGATCCTCACTACCGAGTTTGGCTCCTTCAGGGGGCGGTTTCAGTAGCGCGAGGGCGTTGCTTGTCGATATTCCTGCAACAGAGCTGTGCACGTTCGTACCCACTCCTCCTACTCGTGGTTTGGCGCGCTTCTTGTCCTTCTTTGGCTGCAAAGTCTCCTGCTCGGGAAGAGTCACATGTCCACCACGGCGTGATCGAGCCTTGGGGGTTTCGTTGTCAGACTGCTCCGTGCTGGCAATAGGTGAATCTGGATCAAGGCCCGCAATCACCGATCGTCGACTTCTCGATTTCGGCAAACCATTTTTGTCGGGTACCTGGCCGTCGACGCGTAGCGTAAGGCGAGTCGCACCCTTCTCCACCTTTCGACCGCCTTTGGAGCGCTTCGGGGGAGGAGTGGCGTCGCGAGATGCCGGCTTGGGTAGTAATTCAAGCTTCCTTTTGATATTTCCTAAGCGATCGTGATGACGGTCAACAACGTCGTATATTCGACACGCCTCTGCGTATGAGGCTTCGCGTGCGTTGATCGCGCGGTTTAAATGAATGGAGATCTGCTCGCGTAATTCTTGCGGATTGCGTCGGGACTCAACGGGTAATTCTGGAAGTTGGCCATAGATCTTCGTAAGTTCGTGAACTTTTTGCGTAGCAGCCAAGTATGTTTCATCCAGTCCACGGATCAATGTTAACGAGCGAATGAGGTCGGATGGTAGATACTCTGTGTAATCAATGAAGTCTGTGACAGTGGCCTGGGCATCAGGGTCAAAAGGACCCTCAAAGATCACCCCACCGCTATCATCCGTATCATCCGTCATCCTGAACATGGAGTTAATGGCGGAGAGCATCCATGGAAGGGAAGGAAGCAGCTCAGATCGAGAAACCCGTTGACTCGTGAGGTTGATCCGCCTCAATGATAACACTCGGATCAGCAATTCTCCGCATGCCGATGCAATGTGATTGGCTAGGACACAAACGCTCGATGAACAGCTACTTTTAAATCACCTACTCAATGCGTCCCTACCTAGTAAATACGAGCTGCGAAAGCGTGTTGATGCTTCCTGATGGTGTCACTATGGTCATCGCTTGAGAATGATTGCCGTAGAAAAACTACTCAACGACAAACCAGGCAACATTTCTGCAGGGCTTCATCCCAAGTTTGAGTCAAGTCAAACGTCTACAACTGGTACAAAGAGAAAAATGTGATCGTCTAGGTATACAGGCCATTAATTACCGCAGGCCACTCAACATCGAACTGATATAACCCCCGCCTTTGTTGTGAGAGCTGATCATGAAACAAAGCAGACAAACGGGCAATGGACAGATCCGTCAGAGACAGATAGGTGCTGTTTGCATTAAATTTCGGCAGTTTGTTATAATGAGATTGGGAGAATACATTGCAAGTCACGGGGTGTCCCTGCCTTTCTTTTTATCAGTTCCGACGCGATGTGTCTTCCTCTTCTTCCACCCTCCACTCAACTTGATCCCAGTCAGACTTCTCTTCTGACCTTTTCTCCATCGTATCTGTTATCTTGTTCTTCTTTCGATGAGACCCAGTTGATTGAAGATGGAGAAGGCAACACAGCGGCTCAATCTTCTGTTCCTGAACAACGAGCCCCTGCTCGAGAAAGACACTGGCTTACGTCTCCCTGTCATAAAGACAAAGCCCGAGATCCTCACCACTGCCAACCCAACTGTCGCCAATAAGAACAGAAACTTATCTCATGGCCGTCATCCAGAGCCTTCAGCCAGTGTGGTAGTCAACAATCAAATTGTGGCACCTGACAAGGTCGACACGCTTCAAACCAGATTGAATTATGGAAGGAATAAAGAGGACGGAGATGGGTTTGACGAACGCACCGCTTTTCAGTCCGGGCTTGAAGCGTCTCCGTCAGTGGTTGCACAGTCATTTTGCCCCGCCGCAGCCATCATGAAGCTACCATACAAGTACATGCGTGGTACAACAGCGGAGATTATTGGAAGGCGCTTCTTTGACAAGGGCCAATTCTGGGCAAGAGAATGGGACCTGTAAGTGATAGGTACTCTTTCGGGTTAGAAACCTGTCTCTGATTCGATTTCGTCAGCTATTACATCTTTCCTCCTCGGGATCTAGCACCAGGCCCTCTGCTTCTATTGCCTGCCTCTCAAGTACAACAATTCCTAAACCTAATCAGCAAAGATTACGAAATGCGTTTGACAATCCCAATGGACTCTGAGCTGGGGTTACTGCTGTCCTTCCAGGAGGAAGGAATACCCAAACCAAAATACCTAGGTCGCTCCACAAATAGAGATGTTAAGGATGACCTGGTCTCCACGATATCATCGCTGCCCAGGGATTCAGTGGATTTCATTGACCAGCCATCCGATGGCTTGGTGATCGCTATTGACATAGTCAATGCGTTTCGTGAAAAGTTGGAAGCTGGACTCAATGCCACAAGGAATAAGTCTAAGGCATCAAAAGAGAAGCGGCGGGCTGCGAAAATCGAGAGACAACGAAAATGGGTACGCGATCTTAAGAGAGCGCAATGTTATTTCGGGCTTCATCCTCGTTGCAAGGGTTACATAAGCCATAGTTCTGCCAAAGACGAGTTGACAGCTCCTCTGCCACCTCTTCTCCTGGATATTGTGGCTCCATACTCATTCGCAGATCATCCCATCTTCATAAGCATCGATGTGGAATGGAATGAGCGCCAGCGCAACCAAATCACGGAAGTGGGCATCTCCACCTTGGATACTCTAGACATTGCTCATGTAGCTCCTGGCCTAGGCGGAAAAAGCTGGCAACAATGGATTCGTTCTCGACACATTCGAATTAAGGAGTATGCTCATATTGTCAATTGCGAATTTATATCAGGTTGCCCCGACCATTTCGGATTCGGCAAGAGTGAGTTTGTCCCTCTTCAAGACGCTGCCCGAGTGGTAGAGAGCTGCTTCAAGCCACCTTATTCTGCTCAAGTTCCTGTGAAGTTCGTCGCTGAGGAATCCAATGGAGACACGCCAAGAGTTACGATTGAGAAAGCTATCGAAGGATACAAGTTGCGCCCTCGCAACGTAGTACTAGTTGGTCACGGCTTACATGCCGACGTCAGTTATCTCTGCGCTCTTGGTTGCGATATGTTTGCTGAAAACGTCTCAAAGATACAGTCCCCAAACTCTTCACAAGTCCTAGTGAAAGAGCCGCCTGACCACAATGCAAAATTGCTGTTTCTCGATACGCTGGATACAGCAACGATGTTTCAGGGACTTAAAAGGGATGTACATTCCCGTAGTCTTGAAAGCGTACTCGCTTCTCTCGGTATACTTGGCTGGAATCTGCATAATGCTGGTAATGATGCCCGTTATACTCTTGAGGCTATGGTACGCATGACCATCAATGCGAGAGTCGCTCTAGATAAAGGGCCACAGGAACTTTCTGGAAACTACATGGATTGGGCACTGAGGCCTCTCGCAAACAAAGACTCTGCTCTGCATGAATTAGCTTGGCAAACTGAAGTTGATCGCCGTGTTTCTGAGGTGGCGGCTGACAGGGAAGAACAAATACGAGATGATTGCAAGATCTGGGAAACTGTCACAGGGTGGGATAGTGGAAATCCGCCGACTTCCCAGGACATTGACGGCGGGGAACCAAGAGAGCTTATCTTCAACTGAGCCTGGGAGCAAATGACGCGAGCAATAAGTATTCGGTTGAATTCATATCTGGTATTGAAGTACCGCAAGCCAGGTACACGTTTATACTATGATGATAGTTTTGTCTTGTTCCAACTGAAGTTGCAGGCATACTCATCATCATTAGCCCGAAAGATGCACCACTTTGACGTCATCCAGAGTGTTGCCCCAGGTGGCCAAGTGACAATACGAAAACTACGCCTCCGGGCATTGAGATCTCCATTCGCAATTTGTGTCAATTCTTCATAGATAGGAGTATTAGAAATTCAATGGTCTAAACGCATTGTAGGTCGTCCGTATTCGGGAAACCCCGCTCTGTGCGCAAACTTTGGCTGAACCATAACACAGCTGTACAACAACATACTACCAAGCGAGTGCATCTTTATGACCGCCATTCACAATCAACCTACTCTTCTTTTCTATTCCATTGATACGAGCTGTCCAACATGGCGACTATGCCGCTTACCAGCCTGCTAAGGATAACGAGCAAATCAGCCTTTGAAAAAGCCACCAAACATCCCTTCTTACAGGCAGCTGGAAAGGGTGAGCTCCCTAAAGAGAAATTATCGCAATGGCTCGCACAAGACCGTTTGTATGCACAAGCATATGTCCGTTTCATCGGAGGCTTACTCACGAAAGTTGTACTACCAACCAACGATCCGCACAGTAGGCCGAAACGTGCAGTTCCGATTGAGCAGCATGTCTTTGACATTCTAGTGGAATCACTAAACAACATCCAACGAGAATTGAGATTCTTTGATGAGGTGGCAATGGAATATGGCTTAGATGTCACTGCACTGTCTAACCAGCAGAGCGAGGATCAACATTTCGAATCAGGCTATTTTGAGCCGTTGTATACTACGAGAGCATATATCGACCTGTTCATGTCAGCATCCAGTTCTGGAGTGACCTTGTTGGAAGGTATGACTGTCTTGTATGCAACGGAGTACGTCTATCTACATGCCTGGAAGCACGCTGCAGACATCATGTCAAGCACAGCGACAAGTCACGAGACTTTACTATCTCCAGCGTCATTCTCAACAGGCGCTGAGCGAGACTTGGATGGAGGTGCATTACGTCGGAAGTTTATTCCCAACTGGTCGAGCCCCGACTTTGAGAAGTTTGTGATTAGGCTAGGTGAAGTCGTGGATGAGTTGGCTGGGTGTGTAAAAGGTGCGGATGTTATTGAGAAGACGCGGAGTCAGTGTATTGGGTGGTATAAACATATACTGTGGCTCGAGGCGCAGTTTTGGCCTGATGTCGACGAAGATTGATTTGGTCTGAAATCATAACCGGTGCCTGTCTGGCTAGGTGCATATTCAGGGTATTTACAGACAAGCTGGTGAAGCATCTCTTATGAACCTCAAAATGAGCAGTCTATGGTGTCATAATTGCCTAGTTCGAATTCATGCTTACTTATCATGGCATTGCAATTACGTGAAAAGAATTGATATCTTCATCATATAAATCTAACCGTATATTGAATTCGATAATTTTATAAGGGGTAGCATGTACTCAATATTGCTGCCTCAGGCCGTAATGGTTAGTCTTCTCCACTAGGTACTGCCTGCCGCCGCGACATCATCTCCGCATTGGACGCCTGTCAACAACCAACTTCATGCTGTCATTCTGTCTGATACTTACGATATCTCTTACTTTCAGAGAAAACTAAGATTCTTTGAGTGCGACGCAAAAGCAGCTCAGAACGAGTGCGCTCGCACTATTACCGTGTTTCTGGCCATGTATGTATCATCAGAATCCCCCGCAGTCAGATCGATCGGTGCCTATCGCTAATGGTATGCAGCAATTGAGTAGTGATTTGTACCGTCACGAACTCATAACAAAGGGGAAAACCGAACGCAATACTCACGGCCGTCGGAGCTTATCCAATAGTCTCAGAGATCACCTCTTATCTACACTCACTCGCCTACACACGCCCAACATGGCTCAAATTAACTACCGCACCATTAACGTCGATGTACTCGACCCCGAGTCATCCATCAATTTCCCCATGGACACCCTCCTACCAGGAAACCTCCCCGAACCCACGAACTCCGGCGCCGCCGCTTCTGTTGCGCAGCAAGTGCGCCAATTACTTCGAGGCGGTGATCCTGAAGGCGCTCTTAGACATGTGCTTGATACAGCTCCCTTGGGCGGCGATGCGCAGGCAAAGGAAGTTCACTTGGCTACTGTCATTGATGTTCTTCAGGGTATCCGACAGGGAGAGATGCTCAAGGTTTTGGAGGGTGTGATAAGCGGTGAGGGCGGCACTGAACGAGCGGATTGCTTGATGAAATACATGTACGTGCTTTCTTATTTCGGCCGTATTGCGATGTCAAGAACTAATTGTGTCTGAAAAAATAGCTACAAAGGTATGGCCGTACAGTCATCGACCAGCGGCGCTCAATCTCCTTCCTCGCGCAAAGGTCTCTCTCCGCAAGCTACTGGATCCGGATTCTCTCAAGTGCAGTCACGCAACTTTGGCGAGGGAGGTGGTGGTCAGCAGATGAGTGTGTTGCTCAGCTGGCATGAGAAGCTTGTGGAGTTGACTGGACACGGAACCATCGTGCGAGTTCTTACTGACCGCCGAACGGTTTGAGGTTGATAGTAGTTTCTAGATTCAAGTCGTTTGGTTGCGTGGTTATGTATTTAACAAAAATCTGATATAACTTTTGACGCCCATTATATGTTTGTCTCCTGCCAGAGGAATGCTCATGCTCTATATTATCGTACAATGACAACTCATACCAGACTGGCCCCTGCTCAGCATCTATTTCGGTTCAAAGTCACCTCCACCCAAAATATCTTTAAGATTGACCTCCCCGCTACCTCTCTTCAGAGGTTCTGGTTGCCCGGCCCCTTCTTTCCATCCTATCATGAAGATGATTCTAAAAGTAGCCGGGATACCGCTTTGGCCATGCTCAGCGTCTATTTCCTCCTGGTGTAACTCTCGGTAAATAGCTTCATTTGCCAAAAGAACATCCTTCGATAGAGTACCCATCTGCACGGTTGCATTACTCTCACCCATAGCCTGCAGATCCTGCATCAATGCGAAAGTGTCAGGAAAGTCAACGACAATATCTTCGACATCCACAGTCAGCATCTTGAAACCTGCTTTTGTCAAAAGACCTCCGACATCCCTGACATCAGCTAGAGGTGAGATATGCGGAATCACACCGCCACGGCGCTCCATGTTTGCCAATTGCAGTGAAGAACGCAGTTCAAAGAGCGTATCACCACCAAACATTGCTGCAATGAACGGACTATCGGGTTTCAGGATATTGTTGATTTGCGCCAACAGAGACGGGAGGTCATTGATCCAATGGATCGAGAGAGACGACAGGACGGCATCAAAGGTATTTGCTTCGTAAGGTAATGATTCCAGGTCGGGAATTACTTCTCGCTGAATAGATATCTGATTGTTAAACTCATCTTCTGCATCACGATGTAGTAGCGCATGCGACGTATCGATGCATGTGAGAGCGCCTATCCGGTCGGATAGAGGGGGGGATGTTTCGACCGCGGGGTCCGGGTTGGGAGCTGTTAGAGCTCTAGCGATGTTGCAACTGTTTGCGCCGAGGTCGAGAGTATTCGGGAAAGACCTTTTGATATCCTATCAAGCAAGATATTAGCATCTTATTGAGATGTAAATGCAAGGAATCGCACCAGTAATCTTTCACATAATCTCTTTGCGACCTCGTCTTTGATATAATCCACCTGACGACTTTGTTCGACATTCCGAGCAGCGCGATCTTTTTGCATATGCTTTACTGTTCGATTGAACACTTCAAATGTCGGTCTGCCTGGTGCCTGAACGGCATAATTCCTCGTGTGCGTGGGGAGTCTGAGAGACAGCCGCCAGCGGCTTGAAAGCTTTGTGAAGGTACAAGGGGCAGACATGTTGCGTCTTGCAATCTTGCTGGAATCAATCAATTTGACCAATTTCAATCAAACACTATAATGTGTAAGAATGGGGTTTTCTTCGTTGTTATCCGAAACGATGTGAGTTTCTGAGTGACAAAATCCAATGATCATTCTTCAATATGTAAGAAGGTCCACTGGAGCTCCATCCATGCACTATACTCCTCAGGGCATAGTCCAGCATCTAGCTTAGCTCCGCATGTTTTCCGCCAGCAATCTCCGCCCCGCGTACCTTACTATTTTAACATCATTCATTGCTCGAGCTTTTCAATCGATTGTTAGTGTTGTGCGATAAAGAACATAAATTGAATGCTCATTAACTGAGGATATTGCCTACTTATATTGGTCACATCGATTCGGCTCTAGTCAATTCGGTCAATATCTCATCAACCTGTGGTGAATTTTCAGGGGTTACTCGATACTCACAATACAATGAATTAGGTATACACGCACTTCAGCGGTCGCCGGATCGTCATTGTCGATACACAACAGCTTCAAATATGTCTCGCCCCTTCCCATATACCTTCATATCATGTCCATGCGCGCAGCAAAGTAGACCCTCCAAGCCTTCGAAACGAAACTCGCGAGAACTCTCACCCAAGAAACAATCCTCTCCGCGCAAGCCTACGCCAAAGACACAACCAGTAGAAGATTTGGATGCAGATAGTGACGAAGTTGATGAGGAATCCGAGCAAACATTCAATCCGCGATCAGATCGTGCCAACTTCTCGCTATACCCGCCAGAACAATTATTATACTGTGAAGACTGTCACCAGATAAAGTGTCCGAGATGTATTACGGAAGAGATAGTTTGTTGGTATTGCCCGAACTGCCTGTTTGAGACACCGAGCAGTATGGTTCGAAGTGAAGGTAACAGGTAGGCATCCTCTAAATGATTATTTGAAAGGGGTCAATAATAACAAGACCATGACTCCAGATGCGCTCGAAATTGTTTCAATTGTCCCGTTTGTACCGCTCCACTCTCAGTAAACACTCTCGAGAATACGATCGAAAACAGTGCACAGCAAGGTCCTTGGATATTGTCATGTGGGTATTGCATGTGGACAACCTTGGACGTAGGCATCAAGTTCAGCAAACCTACCAACATTCGATCTCAGCTCTCCAGAATCTACGAAGAAAAAGGACATGGAGGCATTGTGCCTACTGGCGATTCCAAGTCGTCCTTGTCTATGGGTGGTAATCTCGATGAGCTGGAAGGTCCCACAACGGCGGAAGCCGAGGACAGGGAGGAGACTTTACCTACACAAGGGCAAAATGACCAGATCGAGCTAGATACAAATGCCAGGTTTGCAGCTCTCAAGCGCTTCTACACGAAACAGATTGAGGATACCTCTGTTTCGGCTACAGATCCGCTGGCATCGGACTTCGGGGCAGCATTCTCTTCGCCTAGCGCATTAAGTCGAATCATGTCGCTTTATACATCATCGTCGCATCTGTATGGAGGCGGTGCAAAGAAAGCCAAGTCAAAGCCACCAGTCATGCGAGAAGCTCTTACTCCGGGTGAAGGCGTCAAAGTAGCTAACGGCGCAAAAGAAAGGTCTATCATCAATCGGATGGCATCAGAAGATTGCGCCTGGGACGATATGCTCTCCAAGGAGCAACGAGCATTCCAAGATCCAGAGGCACGATTTATGGAGGAGCTTCGCCCACTGCCTGTTTTGCTGCGTACTAAACGATCGAAACGTTGCAAGTCGTGCAAACATATTTTGGTGAAGCCTGAAATCAAACCCGCATCAACACGATTCAGGATTAGACTCATCGCGTTGAGTTATATTCCGCTTCCGACATTACGACCATTGATGCCTGCAGCATTACCAGGACAGTCTGTATCCGCCACATCGCTACTTCAGCCAAATTTAGACTCTCTCACGCCACTACGACCTATTCAGTACCTTCTGACACTAAAAAACCACATGTTCGATCCAGTCAAAGTAACGCTGGCCACTCCGTCGGTGACTCCTGGACGAATAGGGTCGAAGGTTACTATACTTTGTCCGCAATTCGACCTAGGCGCAAACAGCGACGTATGGGACGAGGCTTTACAAGCTGGACCAGCGGCGCCGACTTCCTCGTCAATAGCAACATTAACATCATCGGCAGGACGAGCCGGCAACGTATCAGGCTATGAAAAGGTGGCTGAAGCCGGCAAAGTATGGGACAAGGGACGCAATTGGACAACCGTGGTTGTAGAGGTTGTTCCTGAGGTTTTACCGGGTACGCAACAGCCCGGCATTCCATCAACGCCAAGCAAAGCCGGCAAGAAAAAAGACTCTGATGTGGCAGAAGATGAAGAGGAAGATGCCGACACTCCGATGCGTGAAGACGAAGACGTGCTCGAAATCCCCATCTTTGTACATATGGAATGGGACGCAGAAAATCAAATAGATCAAGATGACGGAGCTAGCGGTGATAAGACTCACCTGCGCGAAAGAGTCGGGGGAGACAGCGAAACTCAAAAGTCAGACTCGATTAAGCGTGAATTGGCTTATTGGATGGTGCTTGGGGTGGGCAGAATATCTCCGAAACTTTTTTAGATATCATCTCGGATCATAGATGGTCCCATACAACTTATCGACTCGTGTACTTGACTACCGTGTACAATTGAGCCAATTCATGAGCGCTTCTACCGTGAAATTATACGCAAGAGAAGAAATATTGAATGTGGAAATGTAGTTGAAATTCAGGTATGTCAATAGCTTTTAAAATAACAAAACCCAAGGCTATCGAGGGTCAGGTATCACAAAAGCCCCGTTCTCTCATACATGATCTATATGGATTTTGCACTTTTTTGGCTCCTCATGAGAACGACCTCCATGGGATCTTTCTCTCCTCCCCCATCTTCGCCTTCCTGCCTAGGCTTGGCCATCCATTCCGTTCTTCACTCTCAAACTCTCCATGTAATCGCCGCATGAAATATGATGAGTAAAAAATAGAAATCCCCGGCAGAGATAATTGATTGATTCGGAATTACCAACGAAGTAAAAAAAAAGGGCTCCCGTACGTTAAAGACACACACGCGCACACAACGTAATAAAAAGGATAAATAGAAATATGAACTGTCATGTTTTCTTCATTCCAAGTTTTTGTGTTTTCATATTAAATCCCTTCTATTTTTTGGAATCTAGTATTCAGCAGCGCTGCTCTGAGGGAACTCGAAAACAACGTTGCGACCGGTCAATCGTCGGTAAACCTCGCCATAGGCATCGAGGCGGTGGTCAACACCACCACGCTCCTTCTCATCGAGAACGACCTTGATGGTCTTGCTGCCGTCCTCCTTGGTGCGGACACGCTTGCCAACAATCTCAACGGGGTAGACGATGTCGGAGAGAATGGCGTCGTGGACAGCAGTCAAAGTACGGGAACGAGGACGCTTCTGGGTGAGGGTGTTGCGAGAGCGGACGGAGCGCTTGGGGCGGGGGAGGATACGGCGAGAAGCAATGATGATAACGTGGCGGTCGGAGAACTTCTTCTCGAGCTCACGAGTCAATCTGTGGGACCGTCAGTTTCTGCCTTATCATTTCTATCGGTCTGGTGTTTTCGCAAAACATACCGCTGCTGGATCTTGTGGAAACCCTGGAGGAGAGGGACGGGAACGAAGATGGCAATAGCCTTCTTGCCATGGCCGACCTCGATCTGTAATCAATATGGGTTAGCGAAAATTCTCCAAGATCGTATTTTCTCTGTTGTGCTGTGTAATTTGTGCCATCCATATTCTTTCGAAAGCAAGAACAAGCCTCATTGATTCTTCTTTTAAACCAACACTTGTAACATTCTTCCCCAACTTGATGCGACTTGTGCCCTTTCAATCGCACACCGAATTGACACACACACACAACACACACATATTCGAAAGAAAGATAATTCGTGCTGGGAAGAAAATCCTACCTCACGAGCAGAGACGAACTGGAGAGGGCGGAGTGAAGCCTTCAAGTCCTGGGTGTTGCTCTCAAGGTCGAAAAGAGCGTTGGCGAGGGAGGACTCCAACTCGGAAGGGCTCTGCCTGGAGGGCGAGTTGGCGGCGATTTTGTTGAGGGCAGCCATGATGTGTGTGCGAAACGAAGATGGGATATGAATCTCTCCTCTCGTCTTCGTGGGATTTGTCGTGAAGGGAAGGCGTCGTTCGTTCGGTCGGCGGAGAAAGATTGAGATCGCGGATTAGTTAAACATACAATCTTTGGTCGTCTCACACAAATGTGCGTCGGCTTCCGTCGGCCAATCGCGTGGCAGGGCTCTCGCTTAGGCGGGTTGCTAGTCTGTTTGCGGTTGGGAAGAGTCTATTTGGGTATAGTGGATCCCGTGATCTGGCCCGCCTGTATCAAGCAAGACAAACCAACATTCAATTAAAAGTGCGTGACTTGATCAGACATCCAAGATTGATCAATTAAGTTGGCGCTGGACTAGACTATAAACATATGTGGCAAAGGCTTGGAATGAAAATCAGTAGTTATAGTAACAGGGGACTCGAACGATATCAATAGCACATTCCCAACAGTTGTACGCCGATGGAACAATCAAAAGGGCCAAGCAAGCGAGTGACACGGTAAAGAGTGGTATGAAGATGGACAAAGAACACAAAGCTGGTCGTAAACATCGCGAGGGAAGAATCAGCATGCGCAGCCATCCTTTGGCGTAGCTGCTGCTCGGTCGCCCAGGTTGACTCTAGAAGAATCGTCCCCTGAACGACCTCCACCAAGATTCGTTTGACCGCCTCCCGGTCCAGATTTGGCGCCTTTCAAGCTCGTCTCGGGGATGGCGTTAGCAATAGCTGTGAAGACCTCTGTGACGTTGTAGCCCGTCTTAGCACTAGTCTCGAAAAATAGGAGGCCTTCCTCTTCTGCATAGGTGCTTGCTTCCCGAGTAGAAATCTTTCGCGCATCCGTCGTGTTAGAGAGATCATTATTCTCTACTTCCTCGTCGCCCTCGGCATCGGGACCCGGTGCGCCGTTGTTCTCAGCATCCGTAGCATCATCTTCGTTCTCTTGACCACCGGCCCCGGAGTCGGTCAAATCAAGCTTGTTTCCGACCAGCGCAATGACGATGCCGGGACTAGCTTGTCGTTGTAGTTCCGCGACCCAATGTTTGGCTTTGACCAGCGATGCAGGTTTTGTGAGATCATATACGACCAGAGCGGCCTGAGCGTTTCGATAGTACATTGGCGCAAGGGAAGCAAATCGTTCTTGACCAGCGGTATCCCAGATTTCAAACTTGATCATTCGGGTTGGGAGAGAGCATTTTTGTGTCAGGAAGGCAGCTGTTGTGTTCACGTCTAGGTCAGCATCTCATTTTATGAAGCAAGGCGAAGTTATCTGGTACCTACCGCCTATCGTCGGTTCCTTGTTCTCTTGGAAATCATTGTTCACGAATCTCAGGACCAGAGAAGACTATCTCATATATTAATGCTGATTCCACCATTGCGACAGAGACAGCGAACCTTTCCAACAGCAGCTTCTCCGAGCAGGACCAGCTTGACGCTGCTGCTCGGTTTCGATCCAGCGGGGGCGGATTCCGGCATTGCTCTGATGGCAGTCTGGATGGTGTGTCGTATACGTTGGTGGTTCTGATGGAGCCGATTATCATCAGCACTTGGTCATTGACAAAAACGAGCGAGTGGTTATAATCGTGAATCCAGAAGCCCACCCAGAAGTAGACAATGGCATGAGTGCAGGCAGCGGGATTCTAAACTTTCATGAATGACTTTACCTAATCGCTATGGAATCGGGAAGTTCGGTATATTGGTGAGGCAGACTGAGTCACTCTGCTTGTAGTCAAACCGCAGAGAAAAGTTGCTTGCGATATAAATTAGAAATAAAGGTTGATTTTCTCAACCAGATGACATTCCGGGTTCGGGGTGTTGTTGAAGCTGTGAGACTAGAGGCTAATTGGGTTTAGTCAATGGCTGACGTCGGCAGGGTCACGGGACCTGACACTAAAGAGGCAGGTTGACATCATACATCGAAAGTGCTAAAACATCCATAATCTAGTCAATTCAAGCTGTGAATTTATTAATACATACTTCTGATTGCAACTCGTAGAGTCAGGAAGTATCTTAAGTCAGTTACATTAGTCATCCATACTATCCTGTTATCGGTATCCCAAGGACCACAAGTACTTCAATGGGTGCGATTTAGACTGACCCATAAAATACATCCTACGCGCCGATAGAGAGAAGGACTAGTATCTGCATGAGGCTGACGGAAACTTGTGGCTGGCTGGTTATACTTCAGATGTGACAGTCCCAGGAGCCCGGGTCGCTTGTTTCCCAAATTGGAAAATCCTATGAATGATGCTTTTGAACGTAACTGATATCGACAGGGATGCTTCATACTCTTGAGTTTTGACCGTGTGATTTTTTGTCTCTTGGACAATCGCCCGTAGTGGTTCAAATTACCCAACTCGGTATCTTATATACTCGATTCCATTTCATGTACGTGACGTGGTTTCGGATCCGAACCGATATTTCTGAACTCTAGCTAAGAATGTATTTTGAAATATGTCTAAATTGTGAGATATCTGGAACCCAGTCCTGAATGCAATAGTAGATAAATAGATAGAAAAGGAAAATGTCGTGAATACATGTCCGCTAACCCTTGAAATCCTCCATAATGAAACCAAGCAATTAATAATATGATAAAAAACCAAAAAGACCATTGACAGGCCAGAAGAAAATAAACAAAAGTGTGGGAATATACTGTGCCCGCAATGCTTCCAAATATTGTACATGAGTATCTCAATCTGACAAATGGTGAAAATGAGAAAGGAAATGGAAGGTGTTGGCGAGGGCGAAGAAAAATAATAAAAGGTGACCGCGAAGTCAAAAGGTTCTAAGATCCTGGTATCTCCCAATTTTGCTGTCCATGAAAAACCGCCCAGTCTATGTTGTTGAACGCCGTGTATTTGAAAACCAGATCCGATGCCGTGTAAGGAAAAACTTTTGTGTAAACAATCCGAAACAAAGTGATGTATGAGGCTCCGAAAAACGCAAAATGTAAAAAAGGTCGCAAGTGAATCGCCGAAAATCGAGGTATTGATACAGGGGAATGGTGTTTAATTAAAAGATTGGTAATTCGAGTTGAGAAATGGAGACCAGTCCAGGTGATCCGGTCATTACCGGATCACTTTCGAATAGAATTGTAAAAAATGAGATCTAAAAACAATTAGCATTCGAGTTCAACTGATCTGCATGTTCCTATCAACTCACGGTCAAGGAGACGCCGCATGGATGGTTGTCCTCATCGTTAATACTGACAATCTTGTTGGGTCTGCAAGTCGAAGAGGAGGGTTCATCGATGTGGACTGGCATGTCACATCCCAGAGACTCATTTGCGAGCATTTTATGCGCGCTTGGGAGGTTTAGGTTGGCCGGGCTTTTTCACACCGGTAGTATCATAAGCGCCACGACCCATATTGATGTTGCAGGATCCCCGAGTAATCATTATAGAGGCTGGATGAGAAGGTTGTTAGCCGAAAGCTTGCAAAGTAGTGCGTTGAGTGACGAGGAATTGTAGACGTTGAGGTAGGAATAGATGAGTTGAAG